TGTCGCGTTTGAGGACGGCGTTGTTGCCCTCCAGCCGTTGAGGGACCTGGTTTGACTGTTGTTCCTTCACTCATGACATCCGATTCCGACTCCGATTCGCTGGGCGCAGTTGAGGGCCCATGGAGCATGACCTGACCCATCGAACTTTCGAAGTCGATTTCAAAGCTTTCTCCGTCCAGTAATATGTCCGTTGCGGCCTCAAAGCGCACCTTTACGCGGTCTTCACTTAGGGGTGTGTGTCCAGGGCTGGCCGATTGCGAAGTCCTCCCTCCAGATAACATCATCAGTCCCAATGGCGCATTCGTAGGAAGGTTCATCTTGTTGGCCACAACTTGGAACAGAGACGACACGCGAGCCTTGGCTAGTCCATGGAAATCTGCCCTCATGTCCGTCAAGTCCAGCACGGTGCTTTCGCCGCCAATTTCGACAACCATTTCGTAGGAAGTGTCGTCTACGAAGGGTCTCGCGTAGTAAACCCACCCCCCGGTCGAAGACTTCTCACCTAGAGAGTCGTCGCTGGTGTAGGCCACGCCCGATGGCTTGACGTCTTCCAGCCGCAGACAAATCTCCTGTTTTTGTCTCTCTGAATTGTAGCTGATCTCGTGGGCAATGATCTTTTGCTCCAACCCCCTCAGATGGAAGTAGCGGCAATCTCGTAGTAATTCGGCTCGATGTGATTCATTCCTAATATGGAGGGGATAGCCTCGTAACAGATGCAATAGTTCTGCAAAAATCTCAGCGGATCGACCAGGGACGTAAGGTGGAGTTATCGAAGGTGGACGAAGAAGTCCTCGACGGTCTAAACCGGGAAAAACCTCTCCGGGTGTCGAAAAGAAAACTGCGAAGCCTAGAGAGAAGAAGTTGGGTGAATTCCCAGGTTCTGAAAAGATGTCTTTGGGGATCTGAAAATGTCGTTCTCCGATCTGGATGAAGATTTCAGACTCGAACAGCTGATCTATTAGGCGAGGCACTAGAGGGAAAATCAGCATTGATCACAGGGAATCCGCACTGACCTACAGCTGTAGAACTGAGCATCCGCGAATAGCTTCACAAAATGGCTCCCATCCACTGGTTTGACGTAGTAGCCTTGATCAACTGTCAGCGCCAGAGCAACTGCTCAAGAAGGAGGGGGAGAACCTTGTAAATGCCTGGCCACGTCTCGGAAAGTCGCAGGATCTCGATCGATATAAAGCGTTCTGACGCCGCCGGATTCCTCATTCTGTCGGATTTGTTCCTCGAAAAACTGAGTAAAATAGGATGGTGCTATTTGAATCGTCAGTTTGCGCAGCCGCCCAGAGTGCTGTTTGCCCGAGTTCTCACCATCGGAAGATATAGAGGCTCCTGATAACCTGAACAGGTCTGACCCAATCTGAATGGGGAAGACTTTCTCAGGAGGGAGGATTGACGGCGGATGTCCTGAGGAAGTGCGCGTGCCTCTCTGCCGGGTCGAGGTTTGTGACGAAGTCGTGGGAAGCACTGATGGTCTAGGAGTTGAGCCGGAGGACTGGCGGGTTCTGCGGTTGCCGGCAGACACACCTGGAAGTGCCCTGGAGCCAGCTGGGAGGTCTGAAGAGGTAGATCCTTCATCAGGGGACGTTGGTCCGACGCCTGACATCCGCTCAAAGGTGACAAAGCGATTATTTGCGACGGCAGATTCGGGTCCGGGTGCAGGTCCAGGTAATACTCTGACTTTCTTGTCGCCGGGATATTCGGTCGGGGTCGTTGCAACAGAGCTAGACTTTCGTTTCAGAGCAGATCGAGGAAGCAAAGGCGGGATGAAGGCCGTCACCGAACCATTACCATTGGTAGTGGTGGCCACGTCGGCCGCGCTGCTTGTTGGTGGTGGCGGATTCCTCGGAGTAGTGGAGGGAGCAATTGGAAACCTCGAAATAGAAGGGGCGTCGAACTCGTCAAAGGTGTGAATGTTTTCGTGGATCAACTCCCCAGTAGGCTCATATATTGGTTGAGGCGCGAAATCGAGAAAAGGTCCAGAAGGAGCAGCCCAGGGCTGTGAACCAAAGCTTGGGACGCCTAGGGTATAGCTAGCGGCAGGAGCTGCATAAGTAGAGGCAGCCGCTAGGTGGTGTTGAGGGTCTGTATCATGTACAGTGACGGTAGGATATTCTAAATCCTCTGAGAGAAAGACAGGTCGCGTGTCTGGGGAAGGATTAGCGGCGTCAGCAGACTCGGCATCAGGGTCAGAGATAGTTGTGTAGGCACGGGCACTGGGTGTGGTATGGGGGTGATTAGTAGCTTTGGGGCCTGGACCATGCCCTGAAACCGAACCGGGACCGTTGGCAATACCGGTGACGGTCGCAGTGGTTGTACTGGCAGCTCCCGTACGACGACCATTGGACATGGGCGAAATCGAGATGGCTGGGGAGATCAGATTGGAGTCAGTAGTCGTCGTATCCGAGTGAGTGACATGATTGTGATCAAAGGCGAAGGTCGGATGTGGGTCCGTCATCACTCAGATTGAAATGGCTCTTTTGAGACCAAAAGAGTCCGCCGAACTGGAGGCTCGGGGGACGCCCAGGAAAATCAGCCCACAACTCCTACCTCTGCCGCTGGGACCACGCCCACTGCATGGGCTTCGGGCACCAGTAGCACCAGCAGGCAATGATTCGGGCGAGCAGGTGAGAAGCACCCAGCAGCGGTCCCTCGAGCAGCACGACGGTCTTACCCCCGAATGCCACCTGCACGGGCGCTTCCGGCTAAACAGAACCAGGTCTTGGTCTTGTTGGAGGGGGTGTCCACAGCTCTAGGAGCGCCCACGAGGGGACCATCGGCTAAGGGGGGGGGTGGGCGTTTGCCTCTATGTCGGGGCGGGCAGTGGGTCGGAAGGCTTTTTGTCTTTTTTTTTCACCTTCTCTGCCCTTTTTCGCTTCCCCTGGCACAGCGGCTGGGCTCTTGTGGGCGGGCTCCGCAATAGGGAAGCAGGGCTCGGGAATGACGAGATGGAATGCAGGTTCTGGAGACCGCTGGAGAAGGTCTGGCGGCAGCGATCAGGAGGCTTTGGCGGGCGCGGGTTTGTCTTTGGTGTGTGCCTGGTGTGATTCTGGCGGACTCTTTGCGGTGCTTGAAATTCGAGGAGCGCGAGATCTTGGCTGAACTGTACGATGAGTAAGCCCTGAGTCATAGGCATGACGGGAGCACTATTGGCCACGGCGGTCTGACAAGTCCCATGAGACGAGTCTTGTGACGCATGCCGATTACCAAGAGCCGGCGCCATCAAAAGTCAGTGTCGGAGATGTGAGATGTGGACGGGGGAAACAGGAAAAGGGATGATGAACAATGATGCTTATGGTGATGAGGAGGAGCACACACGGTGTTGTAGTACGTACTAGAAATAGGGGTTGGGTAGAAGGTTCTCCGGGCGTTCCACCTAGCCGCTGCCGGGCGGGCGCTTAAGCTGCCTCCGGGGAGGGGGTGTGGTTTTCTTAGACAGCTTGGGTACCAGGTAGCTACTCGTAGGAAGACCTGGGCAGTCTGCTTGTCTGGACGCCTGGGAACAGGGCCAGAGGCCACCGGATGCCAGGCTTAGGCTTTCAGCCTACCCGTAGATGACGATTTCCGAGATTCACTTTCCCCAGTGGCAAGCACCGAGCCTGGAAAAGGCGGAGGGCGACGGATAGTCGGGACACAGCCTACCACCCTGCACGACGGGGACACGGCAGATCTAACGCCTGCGACAAAGCGAGCAAGTAGAAGGCCGTCTGTCCCTTGATCTTCAGCTTCCGTCCCGCCAGGTCAAACAGTCACAGCACCCCTGGAAAGCACGGGAAGGGGACAGCTTGGTGAATTTGATGAGTCCAGTGTTGTTAGCTTGGGCCAGTGGACAAGCGAGGTAAGGCCGCGACGTTATCGAAACGTGGAGGGCCGTCCTCCACTTAACCGAGGGTCGGTAATGATGAGTGACGTGCGTAGTTCGTGTTGTAACTTGTGAGAGATCGTAATTATGTTCAGGGCAATAGGTACCCAAAGAAGAGCTTCCAGGTCATAGAAGTCGCTAGTCCCACAATGGCGTTTCGCGCAACAAGCTCCAAATAGGGTTGAACAAACGAGAAACTCAAGCAGATGGAAGGAGAAGGTGGTGCCAAAGCTCGATGGGCCAGAATTTTGGGGTAATTTGAAGATGAAGTTTGTTTTCCGAGCGGGACGAGGCTGGATGATTCGAGGAGGGAGGGATGCTGCAGGAGGCTTTCAAATATTATTGCCGTGAGCCTACCCTCGAGCCAGCGCGGAGAAAGGGCGTGTTGGTATATGCAGCCCTTCTTCTATTCGGCGATATAGATGGACGGAGACACACCGCGGCGCTTGAATCGTAATACTTGATCGCACTGGCTGCAACTGCTCGTCTTATATCTGCACGAGTTCGCGCCAACATCGTATTGTCTGCCATGTCACAACCCAAGGTATTTATTTGCATTAAGGTAACCCAACCTCATGTCATGATCGTCAGCATCACTGGGGGCAATATCGAAGATGGCGGCGCAATGCCCCATGCTGTACGGCTCATGTTCGGCCCCCAAGGATCTGAAACGAAGCGCTTCACTATTTGTTGTTCATGATTTGACGATCTACGCCTGTAGCGTCATTGCGGCTGAATTCCAGCATTGACCTCATTTGCCCATGTCATCAGCCTTAGAAACGACCGTGGTTGACCGTCACCCAACCGTGGAACGAGGTGAGATACTAGTACTAAGCGAGCCGAGCTGAATGAATTCTTCGCAGAATATATCAGGCCAGATGATGGAGGAATGGGTGAGAAAAAATGCTGTCCGGGGGCCAATTCGGTCTGGACCGAGCCAGCATTACTTATTCCACCCCCAAGAACTCATCGCACCTGACCTGGCGAAGGGGCGCACATTCGACAAGCGGTAACCCAGCGAGTTTATTGAAACCAAGTCATCTGAGTAGTTGAAGGCAAGGTAACAAGTGCAGTCCCTTTCCTCGATTGGTCTGTTCGATACACGCACTGCTGCCCACGTATTGGGATTTCACAGGGTGGTCTTGAATTCGCCCTCAATCTCCACAATCTTCGCGACCGCACGCTTGTATGCATCTCTTTCGTGAAGCCGCTCAATGTACGCCCAGATCTTGGGATATTCACTCTGCGTGAATCCTGACCTGGTCTGACCAGCTTCCAGTGGGAATGAAAGCATGATGTCCGCTGCCGTGAGATCCTTCCCGCACAGGTAGCTTCCAGCGTCTGGGGATGTTGCCAGTTGGCCTTCAAGAAAGTCGTAATGGTTCTTCATGTTTCTTTGGAGAAAGGATGATTCAATCTTGCCAGCAACGCTATTTGTGATCGGTTTGATGAAGAACGGAACAGGAGCATTCCTGATGCCTTGTTTTGTGAGCGTCTGGTGCCTTATGCAGGGAGTATGAAAGTACTTACTTCCAACTATGAGCGATAGAAGCATAAGCGGCATGAGGCTGCCCTCAGCATAGTGCATAAACATCCTGTAGCGCAGCCAGGACTCCGTTTCGCCTCCAATTTGGCCCTCTTTACCTTCTTGGTACCTGCTGGGAACTAAAGAGGTCCCCTTACCATAGTGGTCGCAAAAGTACTCGCCGATCGCTGCGGACTCTGCTAGCACAATCGGCTTATTCGAGTCTGGGAGTTCAATGGTGACAACAGGAGATTTACCCAAGGGGTGAACATGCTTCAACTCTGGTGGTGCGAGTCGTTCTTTGGTCCGTTTGTACGTTTTGAGTTCATAAGGAACTCCAAGTTCCTCGAACAGGAACAAGATCCTATGAGACCGAGAGACTTCAAGCCTAGTTTATGTCAGAACGGGCCTTTGCATAGGCGAGGTGGTCTTCGGAGAGGCATCTCTCTAGAGTCTACTCACCAGTGAAGAGTGATCTTCGGTTCCCCCGGCCCCCTAGTTTCGCCGTGCGCAAGGGAGGCCATTTCACAGCAAGGTACAATGCTAGATCGTTGTCCTTACAGCAACTAATACACCGAATGGGTTGCGCCAAAAGTAAGCGAGGACTCTTTCCTTGACTCCTTGTTGATCCGTACCCCTGGCTAACTACGCCAGGACGGGGCCAGGATCTCTTGGTGTCAGCATTAAAAGACAGTGCTTATTACTTCGCCAACGTGTGCGATCGATGTTCGTTGGAAATTCCGCCCCACGAGTGTTGCAAGCCGAGCAATAGATGGATAGGTGCAAAAACGGCCGGTGGAAGATCTCCGGGTCTCGCTTCTTGGATTCAAGATGTAGTTGCAAAAACAAATCCGTACCTACACAGTAGATAGTTGCAAGTCGAGTCGAGTTGAGAAGACTGGAGCTCGAGTGCGTAAATCGTTCCAATTCACGCGAGATTGGTGCAAAAAAAGCAGAGACTCACATGCTAACGGAATTTACCCAGCGAGCCAGTACGAAGTATCTACGAGGTACCTAGGGTAACAACTTGGAAGTCGACATAGGTACAGTATCAACTCAAGGTAATGTTCTCCCGTACGGCTACGGAGAACTGTGAGCACCTCAGTGAAAGTTCGTGCATCGCCACTACTGGAAACACCAGCCACAGCAAGCCACGCCAAGAGACCAAAGCCAGTTCTAGCTGACCTCAATCCATTGTTCGAGTCGACCTTACAGCGCAGGCACCTCGACCTGACCTCCTAAAACAACATCTCACGCTCAAGCGGTGGTCAATCATGGCAGGACCAACACGTATGTACATCTCTGAAGCTTACACAGAGACCGTGCCTTGAGCATGAAGCTGACGTCGTTGTTCACACAGCCCTCCGCCATGATCCCGCTCTCGAGAAATATAACCGTACGTCTCCCAACCCTCCCAATTGAAGCCAACATGGCCTCAGCGCACCCTTTGCTACGTCTATAGACCCTCTGGAAAAAGACAAGCTAGTCAAGGCACAGGGAGCTGACCGCAAGCCGCAGAATTAAACAAAGAGCGGTGGAGATACTTCCGCTGGACGCCGCGCACAGCTTTCATTTCCTTCATGTACGCCATATTCGTACCCTCAGTTGTCGGATACACATTTGCAAAGACAGACGTAAGTCTATAAGCATCATGTTGCTGGGCTCTAGGATAAAACTGCGATGACTGACTGAATTTTGGGAATGAACAGGGCAAATGGGATCTGCGCGCGAAGCTCAGAGGTGATACTATCAGCGAATTCTAGGTCTTGCAAGCAAGAGCTTGATGGCAACCAGAGGCAAAACACCAGAGCAAAGAAATTGTACATATGCGTCTGAAAAGAGACATGGTTCGTTCAGTAGCAGCATGGATGGTCTAGGGAACTAAGAACCCGGCTCCCACGGCCAGACGCCTGGCTGTTCGGGCAATGATACAACTCCACGACATGTTTTTGAACCATTATGTGATTTCCTTGGTTTCGAAACCCACGCCATTCATGACAATCTGCAAAGAGGTTTTGTCTACCGATACAGCATGGCCAACCACAGATGCTCTCCTGCAGTCTAGTCCTGCTGACCCCTGGACTCTCGAGGCAAATCGCCGGTACAGTGGTTTTAACATGGGCGCCCTTATGTCATGGAAAGTCGTGCGAAACCCTGTGGCGTGCATTGGCACCTGCACAATGGATACACTCCCCGACTTGGGGTATCGGTTGGGCGGCCTGTAGAAAGAAGTTCGAGCTTCTTCGCTGCAAGTTACGTTTCGTAATCAACTTAGTTGGATCCTCATAAAACCGAGGTACGGGATCCCTTGGCTTGCGCCTGAAGCAAAGCCGTAGAGCGTGGTGGGCTGATCTCTGCATCCACCATGTGGGTGTCATGTCGATGCCACGCACCCACCACCGACTCGGAGTCAACGAGGCGGTTAAGTAATCTCTGACTAACGCCCAGATTTGGCAAAAACTGGTTTATGTGCTTGTACCAAGTACGCGTGTCTCTTGACAAACAAATACCCATATTCCACGCTAACCGACTAGCCTGCGTGGAAAGGCAGAATATTCCCAGTGATATGGGTCGAACGAGGCATCCTTCGAAGAAGGTTGATGACAAATTGCGGCCTGCAGGGTGGATATGTCGTCTATCTTCCAGTCTGTGGAGCCTCCATTTCCTCTGTAACTCTGTAACTCTGTTGTGTCAACGGTTCAGGCCGACCGAGCATAATTGGACTCATACCAGTGTCAGCAACATATAATCACCATTCTGTGGGGTCAATGCAACTCGCAAATAAAGCTTGAGACGCCCGGATCTCGCTGTTCCCCAAAGAAACCGAGTCTGATGATCCTAGAGACGAGCTGAAGCCAGGCAGGACCTACTCACCCCTTGCCATGATCTAAACTGATTCTGGGTGGCAAATCCCAAGTTTCTTTACGGGATAACGCCGTTCGATGATCTTTTGTTAAAGTTGAGGAATGGTGGCAGTCTCTTCCGCATTTGCAACTGAGAACTGGCACACCAAGGATGCACAAAATGGCTCATCAGCTAAAGCAGGCTCATACCGTGGCTTGGCACTCGAAATGCATAAGGTTGATGAGTTGCGGGCTGCATTAGTGAGTGGTCCTGCCATGAGAGTGGAAAACATCACGCCTGCTAGCTTCGACGCCACTTCTTGGTTTGCAGACACCCATGGATGATTCAAAGCGAGCAGATGAAAGTGGAGCAGAGCCACGAACTGGAATTGCTGAATACGCAAACCCTGCAGTGGGCGCCACTTGGTCGCAGAAGAGACACTTCCATACAACCCCTTCTCGAGCGCTAGCAGCGGAGGTTGGCTTCGTCGATACATGCCCTTGTGACACTGCAAGGTCCAGACCGAAGCAGAGAAAAGAGCACAACATCGGGTCCGCCGATCCTAATGCAAATGCCGTCTTGGACCAACACCACATTAACAATATGCCACAGAGGACGGTTGCGCATTTTCCTCACCTCTGCTGTTAGAGCGAAAGCCTGCTGCAAACAAGTCGATGATTTACCGATGCAGAAGATAGTATCATGAATAAATTTACCTATATAATCGCTTCCGATTTAGGTCATTTAAACGTCGCGAATGTGTTTGAACTTTTGAGGTTATTCTTCATGTATTAGAGCTGACTCCATTTTGTACAGAGGCACTCGAGACGGGGTCTGAGGGTTGAGACAACTTCAGATCCCTCCACATCCCAAGGTGTTCAATTCCTTCCTCCATCCAGCGACCCAGTCTTTCGTCAGTGACGAAGCCCAGCTTCCCGTACATTTTCTCCACAGAGACTTGAGCATGGCAGAGCACAAGACCATCCCACTCTGGAGAGATCTCCTGCCTATGTTCATAGGACCACTGGAGCGCTGTCTCGGTCAGGGCCCGGCTCAAACCTTTGCCCCTGTGGGCGGGCATTGTTGCGACACGCCCAAGCTTGACATATGGCCTTTCGTTCGGGTCGCTAAAGCCATTTGGATGAGGATCATGTGGTGGAGGAACGATCCGAATGACGGAAGCTGGCTCTATCCTATCTGAAAACGTATGGTACATGACCCAATGCCACGACCTAAGGTCGTCTTCATCTAGCTCTGCCTCCAAGGAGCAGTTTTGCTCTTCACAAAAGACTTTGACGCGAATCTCCATGGCATCACGGAAGACTTTTGACCCTTGCGTGGGTCGAGGATCCGCAGGGAATCCTTTTGGTGCGACCACCGCGCCTGGAGGGCTTGACATCAAGCTGCCGTATTCTGGCTGCGACATGGTGAAATTGCAGAATCAGATGCTGCCGTGGGTCAGTCACTGTAGGACGTCTAAATGTCGTGTCGCTGTCCTTGAGGTTATTTCCGAGAGCGAGGCCAAAGCTGTCATATGCAGGACCTGTAAGACAAGTAACGTCGAATTGTAGCATCGAGTATCTAGATTTTTGCTTGCCGTCTAGTCAATTGTAAGAATGAAAAGAAGGTGGGAGAAAGGGAGCGGACGTTGCCAGTGGGCTGAAGTCGGAAGTGGAGCATTCTGATTGGCTTTCTTGTCAGGGCAAATAAATCTTGTGAAAGTCGCACTTTGGTTGATACCCATGCCTTTATTTCACAAGGCGCACTGCATCTTCAACATATCGCCCTGTGACCATCCCTGAAATGTCTCTATATTACGATGCGGCAACCGTGCTTACGACAACTGCCCAAGAGGGATCTTTGAAGTCTCGAATCTACGGGAACAAGCTGGGCCTCAGATCCAAGCCGGCACACATTTATGCACTCATTTCGGAGACTGCAAAGTACGACCAGTTCATCAAAGAAGTCGTCGATAATGCCGGCTTACTGGCTCAAGAACAAAAGGTTTGACAAGCTCTCCTCCAATTTCTTGTGTCTCTACTGACTGACTCAGCCTTTGGGCTCCTTCTCATAGTTGACACCACTGCTTTCCTTGCTTCTTGTCCACGACCATTTCTTCTCGAAGAATGGTCTTGCAGCACCATCTGCACATCCTCTTCGACAAGCGATCGATAGAAACAAAACAAGGCTGCAAGCGGAATTCACCAAGGCCAGGTTGCGGAGAAGATGCACTACGTTGGACGAGCTGCGAAGAAGTCTTTTGGCGGAAAGCCCGCGAGTATACCGCTCTCAGCCAAGGTGGGTTCGCATCAACACCTTGAAGACTAGCCTCGCACAAGAGCTTGCTACCACATTTGAGGGATACCAGTCTGTTGCCACCATTACGGAAGTGACCAATGCCTTCGCTACGGAAAAGGTTCTGGCCATTGATCGGCACGTTCCAAATCTAGTCGCTCTACCTCCGGAGGCAGACGTGACAAAAACACAAGCTTACAAAGCGGGAGAGCTCATTCTGCAAGACAAGGCTTCGTGCTTCCCTGCATACATGCTCGTCGGAGAAAGGGAAAGCAGTCCTGATATCGGTGACTGCATAGATGCCTGTGCTGCGCCAGGAAATAAGACTTCTCATCTCGCCGCGCTGCTTGCTGAAAATGGCAAGACAGAAAGCAAGTTGTTTGCTTGTGAGCGGGATTCGCATCGGTCGAAGACATTATTCTCTATGATGCAGAAGAGTGGGTCAGAGGCTGTCACGGTTCAGCCAAGTTGTGACTTTTTGACTCTCAGTCCTCGGGATGTCAAGTACAAGAGAGTCACGCATCTTCTCCTGGACCCGAGCTGCTCCGGCAGTGGCATCGTTGGGCGCGAAGATGTTCCTTCCCTAACGCTACCTGTTGATCCAAGATCCGAGAAGACACATCCTAGCACCTCTCAAAAGACCTCGAGGAAAAGGAAAAGAGAGCATGATTCCAATGAGGCTATGAACAATACAAGTGAAGCCGAAGAAACGAAAGAAGTCGCATTGGATAGCACTAGACTGCTGAAATTATCCAATTTGCAGACAATGATTGTCGAACACGCTCTTTCTTTCCCTGCCGCCGTCCGAGTTACTTATTCGACCTGTTCAATCCACGTGGAGGAAAACGAAGCCGTCGTGTCCCGAGTGCTACAATCTGCGGCTGCGAAGGAAGGGAGGTGGCGGCTGTTACGGAGGGAAGAACAAGCTTGTGGGATGCGTGGATGGGCGCATCGCGGTATTGCTGTGACGGACGGGGTCGCGAGCCGTCTTTCAGCTTTGAGTGAAGAGGATCGTGAAGCATGCATTCGGTGCCATCCAGGAGATGACGAAGGGACCATGGGATTCTTCGTCTGCTGTTTCGTCCGTTCGCCGCTGGAAACGACACCGCAGAGCACTGGTGAGGCTGGCGAGACGCAGGACGGACAGGAGAGCTGGGAAGGCTTTAGCGACTAGGAGATTAGTCACAGCCTACATAGACTGGTACATGAGTCGGACAAGGACGCAAGGATTTGAGAGTATTTTCCCAGACTTTCTCAGACCACGGACTTGGTGCCGATATACCTTTGATACTTGTCGAGGCAAGGCCTCATAAGACGCCGTTGAGCGACTTGAAACACCCACTGGCACTGGCAGTCAATCATATACCATGCCAAGATCGCCCTAAACCCAAACAAGCACTGGGCCGATCGACATCGCAGGGCCTGGAATCCAACAGCAAAACCTCCTTCCAATCTCACATCATCCTTGTCTAATGGTACATCTTCATCATACAAACAGTGAAGTTCTGTATAGGGATCACAACGAGCAGTAGATGGTCCCGGCACTGACGCAGTTGCGATGAGAGCATAAGGCCATCGAGGGGTCACAACCACCCACAACCTCCCCCAATCGATATTTGTCAGCCTAACTCAGTACCTAGGTATCCATACACGACCGCCAAGGCATCCTCGAAACCGTTCGCAAGGAGCACGAACAGATTTCCAGTGCTTGGTTTAGCCTTATCGACGATGTTCCACTTCAGCGCGGGCCAACCAGGCGATGAGCAACCTTCCGTCTTGAACGGTGCTAGGCCGACCTCGAGCCACGCCAGACCCGAAAAGCGTCAAATCACCAGAAATCGGACCAGCTACAGCTGCCTTACTTGTCGAAGGAGGAAAGTCAAATGTGACAAAGTCCATCCAATCTGTGGAGGCTGTCAAAAGGCCGATGTGGATTGTCTCTACGGTCAGGATGATACGACGTCCACTTTGGTACCATCCGATCTACCAAAGGAAGCACCAGGACCAGTTTGGAAGAAGCGTAAGTCGAGCCTAGTGAGACAAGGCTCTTTCGGAACAACTACGGGATCAGACGACTCTAGATCGCCGGGCGACCTCAAAGCTATCGAAGAGCAGCTGCACCGCCTGACCAAAATGTTCGAGACGCTCCGACAGAGCAACGGAAACGATCTGCGGCTGAAAGAGCTGCTTACACCTGAAGCGTCAACCGCAGATTCAGGATCTGATGGAATCCCACCAAGACCCAGCATGAGTCTGGACATGTTCCAATCCAGCAATCATGGACCCGCGAGGGAACCCTCTGACCTCAGCATGCCTCTATCTGGCTTGAAACTGAGCAACGGCGAATCAAAGGCAGAAGACCCATTTTGGATTCATATCTCAGACGAGATTGATCAACTCAATCACATGATGCGACGCCGGGATAATACCTACGCAAGCTCGATCAGCCCGGAGAACAAGCAGTGTGACAGGCCACGAGAGTGGATCCCTCCCGTTGACGAAGGCCATGAGCAAGAAGAAGACGACTTTGAGAATCCAACTGATTTCCACAAAGAAGCTGGAGAAAAGATCCTGGAAACCCTCGATCCGGACAGCCACTGCCCGATATGTCGGCCAAGGCCGTTTACCAAATCTAGTCTATTGCAAAGCCTCCCAATCAAGTGCACTCCAGCGACCGCCGTACAGCATTTGGTGCAGAGCCTTCCCACCAGAGCACAGAGTAATGTCCTTTTCAGATGCTGGCTATCGGGAGTGTATCCAATTCTAGGACTTCTGCTTCCCTCAGAGGTGAGCAAGAAACACGAAGAATTCTGGGATGAGGTCGAGGGGAACGGCCTCTCAGAGTCAATTCTCAAGGACTTGGACTTTTTAGCCGTCATCCATGCAATATGGTATGCAGGGTCGTTAAGCATATCCACAAAGGGCCTTCGGCACTGGTTTCCTCACATTTCGAGGGCCCAGCTTAGCACCCGTTTCCACGATCAGGTGGTGTTCTGCCTCCTACTAGGCTCCTTCGCTCAGAATGTCAGCCTGTACAAACTTGCGGCCTTGGTCCTCCTGCAAAGCATGCCAATAGCTGAAGAGGACCCTTTGCAGGGCAGTCTGTACCTGTCACTGGCGGTGAGGTTGGCGTTGACCATGGGCTTACACAGAGAGCCCACTCTGTTTGAGCTGTCTGCAACTGAAGAAGGCATGCGACGACGGCTCTGGTGGCAGATTATCCAGCTGGACATTTCCCACGTTGTCGCAAGTGGCTACCCCTCCCAAATATCTGAAAGATTTTGCGACACGAGAATCAACTGCGAGGACAGGGATGCTTATATGTCCGAAGACGGATCCATAAGCGCCGATTCGGACAAGTCTCCGAAGAGTTCGTCCTCCTACAGTGCTACATCGACTGGTGAAAGTACAAATCCAAGAGCCTTTGGCACGCTGTCTCTTCTAGCAAGAGGAAAGTCCATAATGGCATGTGCAACGCGAAGCGTCGTAGCCCTGCATCTAGAAACGAAAAGGCTCACGAACGGCGACGTGCAAGAAATGAAAAGGATCATGGGTGAAGCAGCAGATCAAGTCAACGCAATCATAAAGTCGATCCCCAGCAAAGGAGTGCCGGAAATGGGATTCTTTCCAGATATAACCAGAGAAGCACAGCAGCGTGCGCTGGATACCGATGTGCTGATGAGCAGTCCCATCACTTCAAATGATATTGCGTACTACAAGACATCTGTCAACAACACCGACCCTTCGTGGCCATTAGCGGCTTATTATCGCCAGAAGCAGGCCGCCTACAACAAATGGGCCCGAATTCATCTATCAATGTTGATTGACAAAGTTCATTGTGTTGCATATGCGCCATTCCTGAAGAATACGAAAAGCAAGTTGTGGGATATGGGCAGACAATGCGCATTGCATAATTGCCACAGCTTCCTAAGAAAATTCATCTCACTCGCAGCCGATCCGGACCTGGAACCTTTCCGTTGGGGCTGGCCTGCGACTTACGGACCCCTCCACGCAGTTTTGATAGTTCTTGTTGATCTTTACGAAAGGCCTTCTAGCGTTGAGGCACCTAGGTCAAGAGAACTAATCGACGAGATGTTTGGGCTGGCTGCTCCTGGAGCTGGCATTGTCGGCAGCGCCGATGGCGTCACTGTTCAAAGACCGCTACGGGAGGGCGGCACTGAAGCGTGGGACATGCTGCGTGGCCTTCGCTCAGCTGCCTGGCAAAGAGCAGGACTCGATCCCACAGTCCTTTGGACAGAGGCTGATCAAATCGAGCTTGGCATCGCGGACCCATTGTCGGATGCCCAAAAGATTGCTCAGAGTATCCGGGAAGATTCGATTTATGACACCCCAACCCCGACTGCTCAAATCCCTGCTTCATGGACGAACGATTCACAAGCAGAACAGCGGGTGATGGAACAAGGTGTTAGATATATTGTGCAGCTGGCCCGCAAAGAGCTCACAGGTGAAGTCCATGACGCGCAAGGGCCCCTCTGCTCTCAAGCTATGCGGAGCCAGTTGCGCCAAACTCTTGAAGGCGATTCTGGGTCAAATGGCGGTCGAGTACTGGCACGGCGTGAGGGCCAACCCAAAATGCCATTTCCACTCAGCAAACGCATGCAGAAGTGCTCTGGTAAGGCAGCCGCCGGTGATGCTGTGCCAGTCCACACTTTGCCTCTCCATTCCCACGTACCCCGAGCAGAGGGGCAGACTCCCTCCTGTCCTACTCAGACAACGTCATTCCAGGGCGGATATGAAGCAAAGAATGGCACACAGACAATGCAGCAAAAGTCGAATACACCGGGTCAACATAGCTGGGGATATGTGTCCGCAAACTCCGTGACTGGCACGCACCAGGAATTACTCAGTGGTCAGCTATCGAACCAGCACATCAACGAAGCATCGTACGCAAACGGGTATGCGAATGGTCACGGCAACGGACTAGCCGATCACCATGATGAAGAGTCACACAAGGACCAGAGCTTTGTCTACACGGAGTTACACCAGGGTGACACGGATATGAACATGGGCTTCGACTGGGAGCGCTGGGATTCTGTGTTTGGGCAATACTCTGGATTCACGGATTTAATGGAGGATGTGACAGCATGGAGCGAATATATCGAGTCGTGAACGCTTCTACGCTGCTCGATAGCTCGCCATCAGGAAGCCAATATAAATTTGGCATTCTCCCTAGTAACAGAACTGCATTTGGATGCAACTTACTCATTTTACCATTTTGACATGCCAGATGGAGTCCAACGACGATCAGACCACCCACAAGACGCCTAATGTTCTATTCGACTATTCGAATGTGGTGACATTTGCAGCCGGCAAAGGCAGCAACCGCCAATACTTTGCATTTGACGAACTACGACTCTGCCGTGAGTCTACCTACTTCGAGGAGCGGCTACGAGGAGACTATCCCGAAGGAAAGGCTCGACATTTCGACTTTGCAGACGTCGACCCTGCCGTCCTCGCATGCATGCTGTGCTGGTACCGCGGTTGGAGATGCCTCTCCTGCGAGACGGGTGGCAATCATATCAATGAGACATGGTTATTAGCGGAGAAGTGTCGCATTCCGAGGCTCAAAGAACATCTGGCCAAAAGGATGGAAGCACGAGCAAGCGCGACGGACACGGATGGGGCGCAGCACGATTGTCCATCATGGCTTTGCGCAGAGGGCCAAGAGAATGTTCCTGCCACTGACGCTGGACCAGCAACCTCACAACCTGAGATCAAGGATGTCACAGAACGGGACAACCGACCCTACTCTCTGTCTGCTCAGGAAAAGAAAGCCTTTTGAGATCGTCTTCGGTGCCCACTCTCAAGTGCGTCTGGATCCCATGGATGACCTGAGGTCCTTAGCAGCAGTCGAGCATCTCTGGATGCCCTATGTTGGTTGGAGTCGGTGCAGCTGGTCGGGGACGTGCGAGTAGAACTTCACTTGCTCCCGTTGTGGGAAGTGCTGACCATGAGGGTTGCATCTACGGGATATCAGCTGCAAGCATGAGCTTGGAAGTGACATAATTGAACCGATCGAATGGCCCGTTGGACAATAAGTTGGGAACCAAAGTGATCAAGCCACACATATTACAGCAAGGGGAATCATTCAGTGCAAGTCTATTAAGTTTGTCAGTTGGGGGCACAATTCCGCCAGTCTGTGCGTATTCACTTTTGACCATTCACTCTTGAAATCACTTCACTCTCTTTGCAAGATAGCGCTGTTCCAATCACTGTTACATATATCAGTAAGGGCTGGTCTGTCAAGAAACAGCCTCGATCTTTCTCCAGTTGCTACAATTTATTGTGGCATCCTTGATGACCTTTCAGCCTACTCGTCCGACATCGCCACCGACTTGCATTTCCCTCACCCATCTAATTTCAGGATAAGGTCGCACCATGTCCACCTACAAACCAAGCCCCCTGGAGTACTTTAATCCCCAACGCAATCTCGTGGTGCCTCACAGCTGATTCGTGTCATAGGTTCACCAGTATAGGCACTATTCCTGTGAGAGTACCGGGAAATTCGTCGAGCTCACGGGTATATCACGTCCACATCAGTCTCCTTTACGGTCAATCGAAATTGGTTAAGAGGATAATATGGGAGGGAGTTGGCACCGGGGGCATCCAGATTCCGGACTATGTCGCCGGCTTGGGCTTCGAACACTTCGTGACATGGCTCCACAATGGTGATATACTAGAGGGCCACTTCAAACGTCACATCATCAACCTCTGGGAATTAGCTTTCGAGCTAGAGTCAAACAGCTTCAAAGCGTATCTCAAAGAGAAGGGCAAAGAATGCCTGGGGGAGTCCGACTATTTAGCCTTTGCTCAGCGCCTCGAGACCATGCAGCCCGCGGACTCCTCCTTCAGCCTACAGGATCTTCACGACTACATGTTCCAAGGCCTTGCAGACAAGATTCATACGGACGGATGGACGAGCTTCATTGAAAAGACCGAGGGCGGATGGGAGGATTTGATGAACCGCAAGGACGATGAAGATGGAACCAAGGGAAAGTTCCTTTCCAGCCTCATGGCATGGTTGGACAAGGACGATCGAAAGAGCACGCCAGGCTAGCCACTAACACGGCTCTGAGAATTCAGCGGTCTGCCGTGGTCTGTCTGGGAGGCGAGATAAGTGTGTTATTGGACTACCAGCCTTTTCGCACCCGAAGACTGAGGCATTTGAGAGGAGGGTGAAGGAGTAGCTGAGCTGCTGGTTGAGGTTGACAATTGAAAGTCACAGAGGCTGCGATGCAAACTGTGAATGACAGGCCGCTGCGAGAGGGACACCAGGTTACTGTGTGCCAGATTGAAGGTTATCAAAACAACATCGCAGAGAGGTACATCTCGGTTAGTTTCCAGAATTGGTAGGTAGACACCACACAAAAGTGCTCCTTGGTTTGGAGAGAACAGCAGTTTGCGGCAGCCTGTCAAGTCCTCCTAATCATGAACTCGGCAACTGTCTATCCAGGTAGCCACTTCCCCCCTTCTTCATCGAAAACCTCTTGGGGCAGTATGAGAGGATTGACATGTTGTGATCGATACACTGGTCGCCCTTTCGCCATCATCCTTTTCCGTTCTTAGCAAACAGCTTCCTCAGTTGAGTATCAGCCTTTCATCTCCCGCTCCAACTTCTTTCATTTCACCTTCTCTTGCAGACTTTCACCCAAGCAAGCCAGCCAGCAAGCAGGTTTCTTTCACTGTGTATGTTCACTTTGAACCGGACCCTTTGACCACCTTCATCGCAAACTCATCTGTCCTCTCCCATAACTTCTCTCGCACTCGCGCTGTTCAAACACAAACACAGCTACAAGTGTCCTTTCAAGTTGACCTGAGAAGTACCATAGTCCATCAAATCCTAAGGCGGGACGCCATGGCGGCGCCACCAGCAATGAGTTCCAAGTGAGAAGATCAAATCCTTACCCAGTGAGACAGAACTAACTCTCAGAAGCCACGCTCGATCCCCCGTCATCAAGATCATTGCAGGCGAAGACGAGATCTTTGGCGAAGAAAACCCGGATCTTCCTATCAACGTCTTCCATGTCAGCAAATCACTCTTGCTGGAGAACTCGAAGTACTTCGCCATCATTCTCGATTGCTCCCCCGAGCGTACCACCGTCCGTCTTCCCACCAGCGACCACGAAGTCATCGCTGACTGGCTCGACCTGATCTACCAAGGAGCCCTGACCAAATCCAGCAGCGGCGAGCCCATGACCTTTGAAGATGTGGAGCGCTATTTCAAGTTTGCAGATCTGGTGGGTTCCGAGAAGCTCCGAAATACCATCATGGACTCGATGCAGGACGTTCCCTTGGATCACTGGGACCTAAATTCCTTGTTGCTCTTGGAAAATGAGCATTGCTCTTCCCTCGGAGGCTTATGCGACTATGTCCTCGAATGTCTGGCGTACAAGATCGTCGTTGGGGGTTGGGCCGAGTTTATTAAGCAAGACCGAGGAGGCGGGGATGTTATCTGGCGCAGCTTTATCAGCGACGCGGCCAATATCGACTTGTTGAACAGGCTGCTCTTGAAAGTTGATCAGCTCAACGAGGAGAAGGATCACAACAGACTTGTGGCCCCATCAGCGCGCAAGGATTGCATGTGGCACGAACATGCAAGTGACGACACGAAGACGAAATGCCCAAGAAACGCTTCGCCGCCGTGGAAAGACATGCTTGCGTACAAGGATATCGTGAATGGACATGGCACTCAGCTGGAAATAAATGGTCACGAGCGAGCTGGAAGTCTATTTGTTGCTACGGCCTGATTACCTTTGCCTCCTTGTGCAGATTGTATCTCGGAGGAGGGACTTCGTTCCCATCCATCGGTGGGACACAGACGAGCAAGGTGGCAGCTGCTTCCGCGTCAACACGATCTTGCTGGACACGATCTTGCTGGACACGATCTTGCTGGACGGTGCTATGGGCTTGGTCAAAGAGGGACAGTAGGGGACTAAGCGAGTGTAGCTAGTCGTTTCCTCAGAGCAGCGGAAGTTGAGGGCGAAGTTGCTTACTTCTGCTCGTAGCTACAAGCACAAAATAGTCGTGCTCAACATCATGTGCTCTGACTGCGCACGAGTTCAGCATGGAGAAGAGTTTCAGGCACAAAAGAGCGTATCCACAGTGTCACTTTCTTTCCTTCTCACAACAAAGACTGAGAAGGAACTTTGTTCAAGGCTTATGATAACCCGGGGGTAAACAAAAGAAATGGACTTCCGGCCTTCGGACAACCCAGCCTCGCAGCCTCGTGTATTATCAGCCGAGATTTATCCGCAGATTCACAACGTCTAGATTCCTCATCTTCCTGCACGACTTCTCCTTCTGTAGTTACAGAGTCCTGAGGTAGGTACAGAGAGCCCACACAACGAGGCGACAAATGACTCACCCCATCCCGACCTTGACATGGCCAACAGCGTAAGCTACCACTTGCGTCAAGTTGTCCTGAAGCAAGAGTCTTGGGCGATAAGATGACGGTTCACACTGCACAGTCTCCGTGTCAAACACCTGTGCTTAAGTTCGACACAGCCAGTGTCTTCGTCTCCAAAATGTACAGCGAAGTCATTCAAGACACATTCACTCTGGCTGTCTGTTTGAAGATAACGTGAGATGGAAAAACACAAGTCAGATGCGCAAAGAGAGTCGCGAATACCCGCCTTCGGTTCCACGTACCGGCACCAAAAGACGAGAATGAGAAAGGGGATGGAGACAAACACCTTGAGAGGGTTTCCACCTCAATGCATGTGCATTGTCAGGTGGGCAAGGCAGTCTTGTTGATGTTCATTTCAAGCAACAAACTACTGACCTGGCAAGGAAAGAACGAATGTGAGAAGTGAGACGTGCGAAAGCGGGCTATCGACCGACCAGTCCTCACCTCATTCTCATCGATCTCTTCTCCTTCCGATCATACTGGACGATGACATCGCCGTCACCGAGAATCCAGCCAAGGAAGCGTCACCCGCAACCATCTCATTCTCCAAGAAGTATATAACCGTTCTCGGCCTGGCCCACGCTCTTGGTATCCTATATATCTCTCCCGTCTTCTTCCTCTGTCGTCCGCTGGCCTCATACCTTTTCATTCAGCTCCAAGCGCACGTTTGTTCATATTGTTTGGCACTCACGCCCCCGCTGTCCTGATCTCAACCATGTCCTTTTTGCCAGATTCTTCGCCTGAGATGCTTCTAGCGTCTCTGGACCGTCCCCAACCACCTGAAGTCAGGGCGTATGTGGCAGCAATGTACGTGGCCGGGTAAGTCGACTCACAGCGCGTCTCCGTTGTATGTCCCTGGTCTGCTAACATGAATGGACAACGCAGCCCAGACAAGGCCAAGTTGCTGGTGGGTTGGGAGGGACCTCACCTACCTTTCTACGTCTGCGTTCCCACGGCCGAGCTTCAGGAAGTATCGCCCATCCTTGAAGCGGACGGGATTCGCGCCACCAACCTCCCTCCACAATTCCCACAATATACAATCGAATTTCAACAGCAGGAAGGTCAGGCCGTGGTGGTGTTTGGGCTATGGCTGGGCCTGCACAACGCCTCCGACGCTGCTATCTATGCAAATTTGGACGACATGATTCGATTCAAGTTCGAGGACATCCTGGGCATGTTCTTCGACTGCTGGCAAATCGCCGAGCGACTCGACTGTCCACCATTCAAAAACTACATCGTCACCACCATGATTCAAATGTCCGAGGACGACTTCGACTTCCTCATTTACGAAACCAACCGTTTCGCCCGCATGGGCTATTCTGGGAGTGCCATGGTCAACGCCATGGTCGAGAACATGGCTTTTTTGTACGTCAAACACGAGCTCGACCTCGAAATCATACTCCATGACTGGCAACGCCACGCGGGGCTCATGGACGCCAGTCCTCCCCTCCTCACCGATTTTCTGCTTGCGGTCGAAGACTTGAAGGGTCTCAAGGACAGAGAGTTGCCGTACCATCCCCTCCACCGGATTTGTTGGAAGTGGCATATGCACAAGGACATGGAGGAGCGAGAAGCGTGTCGCGACTTTGACGCGGGGAACGATGCTATGCTGGATCGGAGTGATTATGATGATGATGACGGTGATGGTAACGGTGATGCTGAGCCGAAATTCTATGAAGGCTGGGCGCAGGAGAATATGGAACGTCGTCGCACACAGGGTCAGGGATCTGGACCTGGGCCGAGGGGAGAGAAACGAGATGCCGAGTCGGCTGGGTTAGATGATGGTGATGATGATGGGGTTGGTCAGGAGAACGAGGAAAGACGAGTTCGAAGACGTGCGTGAGCGGGAAAGACACAGAGGAGGTATTGATGTGGAAACCAGGAACATGCACCTGCAGTACGGCACTCCTCATTCAAGTGCACCGACACGGGGCATCCGATCGACGCAGATGATATCAATGGGGGTTGTTACCTGGGCATAGACACGGACATGTTGATGAGAAGAAGAAGAGAGCCTCTGCAATGCGGTGGGAGGATGGATGGGTCTTGAGAATGCCCGAGAATGCATGGGTTTCTAAGTCAGCCATAGGTTCGCTGGGCGAAAAGAAAGGAGCACACGATCGACCCAGCTCTCCAGGATGACCAGACTCTGTCTCCAAAGCTTTTCTCTTTTGAAGAGCTAGGCTAGAGTGTCAGATAGCTCTTATGGCATGACGGCGGAGCCGCCTGCGAGTACAAAAAACATCACATCACATCACATCACGCTCTACCTAGGTCGAAATCAGCCCCTTTTCTTCTCCTTCTTTTTCTTGCCGCTCGACTCTCCCCCTCCCCCTCCTCCCCCTCCTGCACCACCGCCGCCCATGAGACCACCAAGACCGCCCATCCCGCCCATCCCGTTCATCATGCTCTGCAGCGCAGCCATATCCGGCATGCCACCCCCTCCCGGCCCACCGGGCGCCCCAGCAGGCAACTGGCCCTGACTCTGTGCGTGCCTGAGCTCCTCCATGGCCTCCTTGAAGAAATCGTCCCTGACCCCGCCGCCACTAACGGCCGAGGAATGCACCGGTAATATGGACCCCATCTTCCACCCTCTAGGCACGCTGACCTCACTCTCCACAAACTTCTCGGGGATAGGCAAGCCCGGCAATCTCAACTCGAGCGGCGACTCCTTCGTCGTAGGATGATCCTTGAGCCACTTTCCAATCACAGTATACAGATGCGCCTTACTTCTTATCTGTCCGTGCAAGGGCGCATGCGTCTCGGGATCTTTCAGGAGCAATTTCACGCGCCCGGGATTCGCCCAGTCCTTGGGGTGCGTCTTCTCGGGCTCAAACGCCATCTTGAACACGTTCTCCCCGACCGCGAAGCGGACCGCGCACAGGACCTGCCAGGCCAGCGGGTTCGGGATCGCGAGCGACTTCGAGACCCGTCGGCCCTGCGATTTGGACCGCGTGCTGTCAAAGTAGACCGGGTAGAGGGACTGGAAGCGCTTGACTTCTTCGCGGGTCTGTTGGCGGATTTGTTGCGGAGGTGTTGTCGCTGCGGTGGTCGGAGGGGGTGGTCTGAATAGCGTGGGATTCGTCCCTGATGTCGAAGAGGGAGGGGTCGGTATGGATGCTAGTGACGACGACGACCGTGTCTGGCTTGCGGCGGCCGCTGGCCGAATGATCTGCTCGTCCGACTGGGGGAGGAAGTCGGTGGGGTCGTCGATGTCCGGGTCCGAGTCGGACACTTCTTCAATGCGTGCATGCGACATTGCAGCCGGCCCGCACGAGAGAGGAGGGACGATGGGTTGGGGGACCTTATCGTATGTTTCCCGCCTTTTTTGCTTCCCTTTCTCTTGTCTCAATCCCTCTCGTTCGCCTCCAAAATGTGTAGGGCTGTATGTAGATTCACTCGTAGCGAGGATATTTTCGGTCCCAGGTCCAAGTCCACCAGGGTAGTTCAAATGAGGGTTCAGGTTCGGTTTGTGGTTCAGGTTTCGCTCCAACTTTCAATTGTCGTAGCAGAGGTCCCCGGGCCCGGATCGGCAAATCCCAACTGTCCAGCAGTGTTTTAGAGAGGATTAGTTTCAAGTCGTCTTGAGCAGAGAATCCAAAATGCAACTGGCCTCCCCTGGTGTTCTGGCGGCCAACTTTCAACTATATGAGAAGAGAAACCGTGGACCATGTGCTCAATCAATGGCCACCTGCATTCATGTGGGGAAATATCCCTCCAAAAAACCGCGGGCTTGGCAATCAGCCTTGCAGAGGAAGACTCAGCCTCGTGCAGCATCATCACGCTGCAATCTGTCGGAAGTACGGATTATGGATGACATCTGCGTTGGTTCAATCTGCAAAATTCTTCATTCTTTGTTCTTCATTGTTCTTTGGATATTTGGGAAGCGCTAGTGCCCAAGCTCAATCTACGTCTGCACAGTCTGTGATCTGTCATGATATTCGTCCGTCCTCCATCTCTTGACGAACCCCCCTATCTCAGCCATTTCCTCCTGCCCCTGGATACACTACCACTGGGATATATGATATCTCCACACTACTCAATATCCCACTCCTCGTCCTCGCTGTTCCTGATGTACGGAACTGGCAAGTCTTCCGGCCCGTACTTTGTCTCCGTGATGGTGAGCCCATTCCCCAAAAACGCAAAGACGTTGCTCGGGTCATTGTACTGGAGCTCGTAGTGCTCGAAGCGCGGGCGTTTCATGAACTTGAGGTGGTGGAACAGACTGCCTGGCCAGATGTAAACCCGGCCATCGGGCTTGTTGTCCTGGTTTTGGATTGTCATGTCAGTAACACCACCAAAAGAAAAAAGAATATCACTAGCAGAGGTTTGAAGGCCAACTCACCTTGTACCAACTCTTGCAATCCTCCGCCCAAACGCTATGTTTCCTGTGCCACGCATCCATATACAGGTTCAACTGCGTGGTGAGGTCCTGCTTGGGCATCATCCAGCGGATGCCATCCTCCTGCATCTTCCGACAGCACTGCAGGATGTATTCACTGTGCACCTCGTGGCTGGGGAGCACGCAGCCCTGTCCCCAATTGCCCCTGGGACCGTTGACCACGAAATAGTTGGGGAACCCGGGCGCGGCAATCGAGGCATACACGTTGGGTTCCTTCTGGTCCTGCATGACTTGGCCGTTGAGACCTGTGATGCGGAAGTGCGGGAGATACGCGACGTAGAAGCCCGTGGCGCAGGCCAGGATGTCGACCTTGTGCTCTGCGCCGTCACTGGTGACGATGCCCTCGGGCGTGACTTTGACAATGTCCTCAAACACACAGGTCACATTCTCCCGAATCAGCGACTCGAGGTAGCCCTCGCCGGGCGTCAGGCGACGACAGCCGGGACTCCACGCGGGGATGAATTTGGCCTTCAGGTCGTCCCTGTCGCCGAGTTTCCTGGCCATGTCGTTCTGCAAAAACTGTTTGGCGCCGAGGTTCATCTCCGACCCGCGCAGGAACATGCGGAAGATGCTGGCCACCGAGCGCTCGACCTGCTGGCGGTATCTGAGGTGGTAGTCCGGGTCGTCTCGAAACTTCTGCTTCTCCTTCTCCGTGTACGAATGCTTGCCCGCGGCGCCCGGGTCTTGGGCCTCCGGGTCGGCTTCCTTGTTGGACACAGAGCCGATGGGCGTGGCGATGTAGGTCTGGTTGCGGATGAAGACGGTGACGTGCTTGGCCGTCTCGGCGAGTTTGGGGAGCATCTGGATCGAGCTCGAGCCCGTGCCGATGACCGCGACTCTCTTGTCGGTCCAGTCGATGCTGTTGTCCCACGCGGCCGAGTGCACCAGGGTGCCCTTGAAGTCGTGCAGTCCTTGGATGGCGGGCCACTTCCACTTGTTGATGACCCCGGCGCCGTTGACCAGGACATCGCAGGTGTCGCTGAAGGTGGTGCCATCCTTGCGCTTCAACGCGACCATCCACTTGGAGGAGTTCTCGTCCCAAGTGGCAGCCACGACCTCGGTGTTGAGCTGCACGTACTTCTCCACCCCGTACTTTTTGGCAAATTCCAGCAAATACTCCTGGATCTCGTCGCTGTAGCTATAATACCCGCTCCACTCGGCATTCGGCTCAAAGGGGAACGTGTACGTGTGCGCGGGGATGTCGCAAGCACAGCCAGGGTACCTATCCGCCCAGTCAGTCTGCCTCTTGATCTGTAGGTAAGGACCCGTCCGGCGTGGCGGACGAAGTGCTAGAAAAACCTGACCTGTTCTCATACCATGTGCCTCCAATGGAATCGTTTTTCTCATAACAAATCAACTCGTAGTTCTTCAGCAGTCTCTCGGCCTTGTGCGCGAACAAGAGCCCCGAAGCGCCCGCGCCGACGTGGATGATCTTCAAGGGCTGCGGCGTGCACTGCGGGTAATCGGGCACATCGTCCGCCGTGTAGGGAGCCTCGTTGATAAGAGGCATGTTTTTTTCCGTCTTGCTTGCTGTGGTTAGTAGAGAAAGAGAGGGGAAAGACCCCTAGGACAGCCGAAGCATATAAAACTCTTTTTTTACCCTGCTAAAGCTGAAAGAAACGTATATAGGCTATATACGCTCCCTATGTCCTATTCTCTAAATCTCCAAGCAAAGTCCCTTGCTGCGAGCACGAGTCGAATCTGTAAAAAGAGATATCTGCCGTTGTCGGCTTCTTTGGCCTCCACACTGAGTTGCGTATTTCAACTTGTTCAGGCCACCCAGCCCAGTAGTGCCACTACTGGGCTGGGTGGCAGCCACCTCACGCTCCCAACCAAGGATGTTGTATGGTCGCGTCGTGCCATGCGGGAGGGCGCACCGCCGCCTTGTCCCTCGGGTCTTTTCTGCCCCCCATCTACCCCCTGCTTTCTCTCAAAAGGGTATATATCTCCAAAGTCGCGCGGGTGTATGTGTGAGGGCGGGGTTCAATCTTGCCGAGGAAAGATCGAGCAGAAGAAATGCCAGGGCCGCGGCGGGGCACGAGGCTGAGGTACCTAGGTAGTGATACGCGCCTTTTCCCCATCATTGGGTGGTTTTGGATCCCCAGAGCAGTCACCCAGGCACTCGAGAAAAGGGGTGTGGCGGCCAGACTGGGTTATCTCCATTTCGCTACTTGTGAGGAACAATAATTTTCTGGACGCAAGGGGTCGATGAGTACGAGGTACTCGGTACATGACCATCCGTGCCGATATTGGTTTTGAAAGATACATGAAGACGCGTGCGAGCGATGGAACCGAAAGAAGTCTGACAGCAAAAGATATGTGAGAACAAGGCAGAATTCAAAATGCCCGGCATGTCTCTTTATCGGTCTAAAAAGGGTGTATTTGGAGAGGAAAAGCGAATATACTGCATACCCCCTTGCTTGTTCCGAATCCCCAAATTCTCCGCTTCAATGCATGAAAATCTATTTACAAGACGGCGGCAACACCGGCAGCGACAGCACCAAGAACCATCAGTCCGTTCGAAGCCATGTTGGCTCCAGCAGCGTTGCCAGAGGCAGAAGCGCTGGCGCTGGACGAGCTGGCCGTAGCGGAAGCGGAAGAGCTGCTGCTGGATCCCGAAGAGCTAGCAACCGCGGCACCGAAGATGCCACCTTGAACGGTCTCAGGCGAAGAACCCGAGGCGCTTTGTGCGGCAGATTTGTATGCAGCGAGGGTGTTGCCGCTTGACCTGCATATTGATGATCAGTATATCGGTGTTTCCAGAGAGGGGCACTGGTACTTACGGAGGGTTGACAACCATGGCCATCCCGCCCTCACAGTGACCAGTGGCCGAGCAGTACAGCCACAGAGGATCGGTGCTGTTGATCTGGATCCGCCACACATCGCCGTCGTTGGGGAACCCCGAGTACACACCGGCGCTGCCGCTGATTGGTACGCAAGGAGCGGCGAATGAACTCTCTGCAACACTGTGGCCGGCACCGAATGTGAACTCAACCCAGTCGCCCTGTGCAGCAGTGACGGTGTCTGGTGTGAATGTGAGGCCCGGGCCGACTTTCACGTTGTGAATGTTGGAGGCCGAGGCGGCGGCCGCGGCAGCGGTTGCACTGGATGACGCCGAGGAAGAGGCAGAAGACGAAGAGCTACCAGAAGAGCCGCCATAGTCGTATTGAGGGTTGGCGAGAACGGATGTGGCCAGCACACCGAAGATGAGGGTTGTTGAAGAAAGTATGGAGTGCATTTTGTGAGGGTATGTGTATGGTATGGACTGTCTGTCACGGGTCGATGAGGTCGGTTCTAAACCACTGTAGCTCTGCTGTGAGAGGGGATATAAAATATAAAGCAGCTGTAACTTTTCTCGGAAGTTGCACTCGGTGGGATGGGCGTTGGTGGGTTGAAGAAAGAGGCTCTCCCACAAGCCGGAAGTATCTCAGCTCTTTATATCCCGCATGATATGTGGCCAAGGGAGGACCGGCACAGGGAACAGCCATGGATTGGACAATATTAGCCAAACAGGGACTGTTTGAGTAGCCTGACTCGGGTTCCTGAGCGGCGAATGGCAGATAGGGGACATGGCGAGAGTGGGGAGCACAGACGGGAATCTGGCCGACGCGCAACCTCCTCATGCCCTGGCGACATCCAGGCTCTTCAGGTTTGAAGCCCCCGTGTTGGTTCAACGGGCTGGATGGGAAAGGAGAACGAGGCAAAGGAAAGCTCGAAGGATTCCATGGGCAAGCTGGGCCGCGTCGATTCTCCGAAGTTGTGGCCCAAGGCGGCTAGCGGTAGATGAGAGGGTCAGGGGAGAGATTGGACCAGAGCAAGCGCCTGTTTAGCCCGTTGCACAGAATGGGGGGACGAAACGCATTGGAAACACGAACCGCATCTCCCGTAGCAGAACCGGGGCCATCACATCAACACGAGTCACCACCACCACCGCCGTCATCAACCACCACCACCACCACCACCACCACCACCACCACCACCACCACCACTCTGTGGCTCGTACTCCTGAATCCTTCTAGACCCCATCGCAGACCAGCCGGTTGATACGGGAGAAGGAAAAATCTCCCATTCCCGCCCTTCGATCCACCGCCTGATTGCGTACGACGTGCCTAGGCAATACCCCGACAAAGCTCGAGGTTGAAAATAGATTTTGGTGCGGTTCGGTGACGGCTAGCTCTGGAGCCGTCGCAAAAAGGAAGAAGGGAGGGAGGTGGATTCGTGGAGACTTGAGGGATGCGCCCTAGCTCGAGTCGTAACAAGGACGAAGGACTTGGTAATAGTAACGTCGTAGGTAGAAGAGTGGCAGGCAGAGTGACAGGCAACAAAGCAGGAAGGGGAAGAGTCGGAGACCGGGGGGGTTGGATGGAGGGAGGCACGGAAGATCCCTGGGTCGTCATGGTGCCAGGTGGATGAGTTATGCTGCCCACTAAGAGATTTAGTGGGTGCTAGCACGAAGACTCTTAATGATGGTTAGGCACTGAGGTAGGTAGGCACCCTAGGCACCGAGGCACCTAACCCGCCCGTTACTAGTAGTGCAGTGATCCGCATTCCTCGGTACTAAACGCTTAACCTGCCCGTTGTTGCCACAGCCTTACCGTGTGCTAAAATAGGGCATGCGAGGCTGTCACGGAGCTGATCGCTCTCATCTTCACCAACGATACGATCAAGCAGACTACAGACGCCTGTCATCAAACCCATCGCTTCTGCGCATGGTCACAAGAGATCGCCACCGAGCCAATTCAACAACTCAAAAAAGGCCAAGAATCCTCTCGGGTCTCTCTCTCGCATTCGACTATCTCACCCGGGAAACCGTGAAGCTCGCGCGGCCTCTTTCCGGGGCAAAGATAGAATTATATTTAGCCCTTTGCCCTTTCGCTGGCTTGCTATGCTGGCCAATCGGTAACTCAACCCCATTTCCACTTCCATCAACCTTTTCTAAAGGAAAAAGAAGGAACTCATTGGAGAAGTAACTCCCCTGTGGCTTCATCATTTGCCTCCTACGCACTTTGGAGATTGAGCCGGACTGGGACGTTGAGGCGGAGATTTGCCCTTCAGCCGACGTGCACCGCATGGACCCCAGAACTGATTTGCGAGTTCTCATTCCAACAACAGATGGCGCTACCAAGGCATAATATGAACAATAGATAATGAAGTGAATGTCCTCCAATTCCATCCCGCTATTCCAAATGCCGCAGTGCTAGGTCGGTCAATACCAGACATGGCATCCACTTACCCAAATCATACTCCGTTTCCGAAAGTCATCACCCATGCTTGCTTCCAATCGTGCCGCCAGTCAGTCTCGTGGTCAGATCTTGATCCCAAAAATATCTTTGACTTGTTTGGAGAATGACCTGTAAGCCAGTATCCGCACCATGATTGCATGCGCTCTGGATTTGCCTTCCCAACTGCCACGCTGGAGACCCATCGCCTCCTGTCGCCATCAACATGGCGGCAACCCAGATCATGCTTGCACGACGCCCGTTCGTGATTGGGGCAATCCGCTTGCCAATAAGCCCCATGCAGTGAAGTCTTTGAGCCCATTCCATCACCGAGTAGATCGCCTCACCGTTCATGAAGATGCAAAAGGAAAACAAGCCGATGACCAAGAGCCGCTCCGTCTCCTCGAGCTGGTCCTGTTGGAGCAAGTCAAATGCCCGAAATGCATCCAACGTCATTGCATGCACGACCGCTGCAGTCTGCTGCCCATCTGCCCCTGGCCCGGGAAGGTCGGCAACCTGCAGAGCCCATTGAGCCACTCTTTCTACGAGGTTCAGGACCTGTACCTTGACAGGAGTGCTGCGGAATAGTTCTGAGAATCCACCAGGTAGTTTGGCCAGTCGATCGTGGGATACCGGCAGAGGTTGCTGGTGAGGGACTTCAGCCATCGGCGATGCACCCTCGAAGCCAGAACTCACGACATGGTCAAAGTGTCGGTAGTTCAAGAAATTCTCAAACCTAGGATTTATCAGCAATGGCATACTCTGAGCCAGGCACGGCGCAGCCCTTACTGGAGAAGCGGAATCTTCACCCATTTGCTCAACGAGGGGGACTCCATTCCACCCCTGAGTTGGATGATGTGTCGCAAGGCCCCGAGGTGAGTCCCCATCGCGTCAATATTGTTGTGAAGGAGCTGAGTCTGTCGTTAGCAGAGAATGAACGTGACTGGAAATTTCTCACCTCAGTTCCAACCAGCAACAGGATCGTCATCATAACAGCATCAGAGGCACATGTCTCTGGGGAAGAGATCCTTTCGCGGAGCTCTCGGATGACATCGTTTCGCTGTGACAAAAGCACGTCCCTCCCACTCTTCGTCCCTGTCTCGAATCGTTCTCGCATGTCTGCTGCCCAAACTAGGACAGCCTTTGCGACCATGCTATCGTGGAGCATGATCCCGTCGAGGAAGTCACCAGGCTCAAAGAGGATGGTCTTGTGGCGACGCTGTATGGCAAAAGGTGCATAGCACTGGAACACTAGCAGACAAGAATTAGCAGGGACAGAACTGATGAAAGAGACACGGCTCACAGAATTCAAACGTGGCATTTGGATCCAGTTTGTGGTCCCTTCCGAAGTTATCACCAAGATTCCAGTGCTCTAAAAGTTCCATGACGGTCTGGAAGGCAGCACTGCCTCCGTCTGCAACTAACCCGTTTGCAGCAGACCTAGAAGAGCCAGACTCAGTCGGAATGGAAGTCTGTGCATTAGCGGAGGACGACGAGGCCGACGAGGAGTGACGACGGTGAGCAGACTGGCTGCTGGCGTTTGGCGCCGGATTTCCGAGCTTCATCCTGTACATGTAGCCTTCCTGCGTCAGTTTGGATCTGACGGATCCCCAGGATGGGTTCCTGTTCTTCGTGTCGTCCTTCTTCATGCCGTCGACAGATGGCAAAGATTGGGCTCAAGGAACTGGCAGCGCTTGAGATTGATGTGGCCAACGCAATAGCTCCTCCACAGCTGGTTGATTGATTCATGACCCTTCGACCCTTCATTCCCTGACTACTTCTATATAGGAGAAGTGACCTGTCTGCCCAGCTGGAATCCATGAGTTCATCTCTTTCTTTCCCGGAGCATGGAGCGTCCCACGTTTGATCATCGCGCAGCCTTGTTAGAGTAAATTACCAGATCTGCGAAGACGACGATAGTGCTGCTTCCCGTTTCGGTCGCAGGTGGGGAAGTACGGCCCGTGGTAATGAATTTCTTCTGGTGTGACCTCGTCGAGTCTCGTGGCCCCCAGGCCAAGTCCGTACAGGTTCTGGCCATTGGGGAATAGACTTGCGTCGCCAGGTATTCGTCGCGATTGATCCCCAAGTTCACTCGAGCAGCCGCATTGGCTTACCTAAAGTGTGGCATTGCCAACACGCCATACCCGATCCAGTGTTTGTCCAACTCTCAATTGCATTGGCTGGCCGTTGCTGGTCCGTGCGCTGGACAGCGCTCATAGGTTGGATTTGGTTGTTCCTGCTGAACGCCCTGCAGCATTAGGCTTGCCGGCTATTCAAATGGCCTATCATGGCAACCCTCCAGCCCAGAGTCGGCGATCCCGTCGCGGAGGGTCCTGCAAGTGTGGTGAACTGCAAATGGCATTTACGGTAAGGCTCGGTTTCGGTGTCCCATAATCCGAATGCAATCGGCGAATCTGTCAGCGTCAAGAACCCTCCAGACATGATATGCAAACCCTGATTCTGGAAATTTTAGGCTGGGGAGCGGTCCTCCTGGGAGCAAAAACGAAAGGGGGGTTTGCGAGGTGCCCATGTGCAAATGCTTCACCTGATACCCAGAACCACCAGAACTTCGTCGATGTGATGATGTATCGAGCTCGGATCCGTCGCTCCGCACTCGATGGTCCAATGCCTTTTAGCCAGGATTCTGCACGCACTTCGGCTCCAGCTGTCTTGTCATCTGGTGGTGGTGTCTTCTTTCATCGATATCGGGAAAGTCTTCAGGTCTCTGGTTAAGAGGGGTCGTGCTTGAATTGCTTCTTGCCGCAACTTCCAGGCCACCAGAAATTTGGTCCCATGTCATTAACCTTGGTAGGAAAATTTCGCTTCCCGTCCTTCAGCAACGGTTGCCGTCTTCTTGAACGGCAGTGGTGTTAGTCTTTTTATCCTCCAGCTGCCTCCAGAACTGCATGTGTATCATCAGAAGTATCCTGGCCGGCATCAAGCGGCTAAAAATGTCTTGTAAAGGGTTGTTGCACCTGTATTTGTGTAGGACAAATGAGGTAGATGTGGAGGCCTGGTCTGCTGCATGGCATTTCATATGCAATCTGCAGAATCAAAGCAGTCGGAGCCGTCTTGAAGCTGAAAGGACAAAAATGTGACTGGTTGGCGCAGCGTGGGCAACGAGATGGTTCTTACAAAACCAAGTACATCATTTCGGGTCTCTGCTCAGACCATGCTTCTCATGTCACTGAACAAAGAGAGAAAAGATTGGTGAGAAAGCTCGAGTTGAGGCCTACTCTAGACGCTGACCACAGTAAAGGGGGCCTCTAGGTGGTCCACGACTTTACCATTGAGATGTGATGTTCTTTAAACCAGACCGTAGACGATAGTAGAGCTGTCCACAGGGTGTCCAGAGCGCATGTAAGCGGGAGCTTCATATGCTTATAGGATTCAAGAGTGTGTCGTCCGTACGGCCGAGAATAATGGCACAGAACACGAAGTGCAAGCACCGAAAGAGTAAAAGCAAAATTGATGGACGAGCTGTGCTCGGTTGCTGAGATCGCACATGCAAGAGCCAGAACCCAGAATCCAACCTCGGAGATTCGGCGCTCGCTGGACACACGATCAAAACCTGGTGATATCATGCACCTCGACATACCCGCCTGCTGGGACTCGCAAACTTGGTTCCAGGAACACACCGAGGACACTCAAAAGTCTAGATCGATGACGCCTGCATTTACAAATACGATGGTTTCCGGAAAACCCTTAGATGCGGTGCTGCGCGCATACCTGAACATGTGTGCATCTGAGAACAGTCCGAGACCTTTGACGGTGTTTCAAAATACAATACGCTGACTGCCTCTCTCAATCCATCCACCTATCCAAATGCCCTCTTCAAAGGACAAATATACCGACCCTAACCTCCGAGATGAGATCAAGGAAGACATTCAGCAGTCGGACAAGGGTGGTGCGCCAGGCCAGTGGTCTGCGCGCAAAGTGTGTATTCACTCTGCATTTTAGGGCTGTACACTAATCCCTTTTTTTAGGCTCAAATGATGGCCAAAGAGTACAAAAACCGGGGTGGTGGTTACAAGACAGACAAAAAGGACCAGGACGAGTCCCAGAAGCATTTGAGCAAATGGACAGAGGAGGAGTGGCAGACAAAAGAGGGCAGCGGATACGCAAAGAAGGACGACGGCACCAGGAAACGCTACCTGCCAAAGAAAGCTTGGGAAGATATGAGTGAGAAGGAGAAGGAGCAGACCGACCAGAAGAAGCAGAAAGAAAGTAAGCAGGGCAAGCAATTTGTACAGAACACCCCACGCGCAAAATCCGCTAGAAAGAAAGCCAGTGACGAAGAGAATGCCGCCCACGAGCAGAGGGAGAAGAAGGAAACGACAAAAGATGAGGGCGGGAGGGAAACGCGAAGTCGCTCGATGGCACGGGGGAAACGTGACAACCTGCAGTCCGACTCAGATCCGGAGAAGCGGGAGCACGCCAATATCCGAACCAAGCAGGGACAGGCATCTCTAAAGGCCGGCCAGAAGCGCGATCGTGGTCAAGACTCGACAAGTGACGAAACAACGTCGACACCCCGGAAGAGACACAAGGATCAGGCCGAAACATCGGAAATCCAACCCAACGGCTCATCCATCTCAACAAATGGCAGGGCGGACGCACCAGCCCAGCCCGCTTCACAGTCGAGGCTGCCAGCACAGGGGCAAACAGCTCATTGGAAGACCACATCTGGCTGGACGGAAGGAAGCGTGGTCGAGGTGCTCAAGGCAAATAAAAAGGTGAATGGCAAGCAGGTCAAAGCCACTGAAGCCGATCCACGTATTGTGTTGAAGAGTAACAGCAGTGGAAAGACCTGCGTGCACAATCCAGCCAATGTGTACTTTGATTGATCCATGCTGTCGGCTGGTATCCACTTGTTCCAATGTACCAGGTAATGGAAGCTTGCGGCGTCCCAAGGATATGGTTTGCTTTTCAACATTCCGCTAGAATTTTGGGCATTGGATTTGCATATTGTCACATCTATAGTTTGGCTTTGGCAGCGCCGCCAGCTTTCGCGAGGATAGGCTCCATCTTCGTTGCTGTATTGCTCGTCAGTTCTTCGCCCTGGCCGTCCAGGATTAACCGAATTACCTTTCATAACATTTCCCTTAACCTTCAGCTTGCCACTCATAAACAGCGTCTGAGCCTTCGACTTGCCGGCAATCAACTTGGCAAAGTTCTCGTCGGAGAGCAGGAGTGTCACTGTTGCCGTTTAGTCCCTTCTGCCTTCTCCTCTAGTGGTGAGTGTATCGAACTGACCATCGGCCTTCTTGCCTTCGGGGGCCTCGCCCTTGCCAACCTTTCCAGTCTGCTTGAGATCAATATACCATGCCTCTTCCTTCCCGCTGCTGTTGGTCAGCTTGAAGGCGAAAACTGCGCCCCCTTGCTTGATGGCGTTTTTCCGTTCGGCGTCATTGGAGGCGAGGGATTCATTGATGGCATCAAAGGCCACAGAGGAAGGGAAGGCGTCTGAGATGACACGTTAGTGCTGCGGTGCTGTCGCGTCCTAGGACAAATCACGAATGCGTACCGTCCTTGAGAGACATTGCGTGGCAGACTCCGGAATCGAAAGGAAAGTACTAGGAGACGCGGAAAGCTGGAGGGATGATGTAACGCCGGTGATGAAAGTACGCGAGGCAAGATAGAAAGGCTCAAGACCTATGTGAGAGCGACGAACGGGGTATTAATAAAAGGAGACGGGATGCAAGCGTCGCACTCGGGAGTGATCATGTGCAGGTGAACAGGATGAACAGCGAACACGGCAACCGAAGATGAAGTCATCCTCCCGCTTCCAACCACCACGACATGTGAAAGACTCCAAACGCCGAGGCTCGATTCTCCATTTTCCATTTTCCATTTTCCATTCTCCAATCTCCTATGAGGTTCGCGTTTTCCTGCCACAATATTGCAAAGTATGTAAGTACATAATAATCAAGGATTCAATCCGATCCTTTCAAAGGCCGAAGGATAACGAGTCCGACTTCTCCTGCGTGACAATTCGGTGGTTGGTTACACAACGGATGGCGCATTCCGTGGACATCGACTCATCTCAGAGCCTACTCGTGCCTAATCCCAAAGCGCTCAGATTCGTGCAGGCACGTTGCAGGGGACCTGATGTCTGCCTCGTCGCGGTCTACAACGAATCACCATGACTCCTATGTGCCTCGCCCGACACTGGCTGGATCCCTTGGGCGCTGCGCAGCCTACCAAGGCGCACCGGGACGAGGCGCTGTGACCGCCAAATCATCATGTTTGGGACAGCTTTTGGACGTCTTGTTCCTCAGCCTGCTTGGTGTTTGAGTTTTCTCTTCACTCTTCTCGACGCTCACAAGTGAAGAGAATTTAATGTCCTAGTATACAGCTTCATCTGCTTCTTGGTTTCACGGCCATGTCCTTTGGTTTCTCACCGCCTGATGCTGTTAATGGCATTTGCGCAGTGAAGACAGTCTGGGATGCGCTCAGGGAAGATAAGGGATCAAAGGAACGAGTCGCTACCGCCTCGGCAAGCGTGGATCATCACCTCGAATCCATGCAAAATCTGCAAGCCGTTATAGATTCGACGCCGGATGAAGTCTCGGCCTCCAAGACTGGCGTGGAGAAGCGAGTCAGAGCACTGGGCCAATTCCAAGAAAGCCGTCGTTCACAATTGACGAAATACAAACCAGTACTGACCAAGGGTGCGGGATCCAAACCGAAAGCTCGAAAACTTCACCGAACAGTGGCATGGCCCTTTTAGCGGCAAGAAAGAGTTTGAAAGTTCTCACGCTCGCATCGCGTCCTCTGCCCATGCAGTTCAGTTGGATGCGACTCTGTAAATTACCAATGGATTTCTGTTGTTGCAACTACATGTCTAATTGTGTTGGTAGGTTCACCGCCGAGCTGAATCTTGCCGAAACGACCAAAACAAGGGAGTCTCTATCGCAAAAGATCGATATGCCCAGCCAAGAACTACTTCACATACAAAATGCCATTTCCCCGTGTCTTTCTCAAGCCATACAGCGAACAGCAGAGGCCAGTCAGTCACCTTTGCAGCATTCGATTGCCGTCGCGCTCGACAAGACCGCCCAAAACCTTGAAAGCACACAGGGATCGATTCACTCCTCACAGGCCAAGGCCTACACAATGTTGAAGGACATGCTTCAAACCATGAAATGTGTTGAAGAGAAACAGAATGCTGAAATACCTTCAGAGCAGCCGCTCAGTGCAGTGAGCGAGCCCGAGGAAGACTGCAAGGGTTCGGGCAAAGAACACGGCGTGAACCATTCAAGTCGAGTTCGCGTTGCCAGGCACAACTTCGCAACCGAACTTGACACTTACATCAAGAACAACGGAGCTGTACCTCTGTCAGATGAAATACCACCAACCCTTATAGGGCGGCTCGGGCCTATTGCTGAACAATGTCTTGTTCCGATTCTGGTGGCGTCGGTCTATTTCTACATGTCACGAAGCCGACTGCAGCTTTCTCTTCAGGCTTTCGCCAATCTCTTGAAGAAGGACCCTGTTTCAGCAATCGTCGTCGGCCTGGTATACATGACCGTGTGGCGCACCACCTGCCGCCTCTCACAGTCGCTTTCTCTCCTTGGAGCGGATTATATCACTTTCGAGGATGCATTCGGAAGGTCGATTCAGCTGCCATTTGTCACCGCTCAATACTGGACGACATTTTCTGGATTCATCCAGGCTCACTTCCGAGATCACCCTTGTTTCCACTTTATAGCTGCAGGACAATTTCACTTGAATCTCCACAGCAGTCGCGGCCGACTAATCACTCCCCAGACTTGGAGCTGCCTCATGAAGCCAAGTGCGAACATCGCCATGTCTATATTCTTCGAGTTGCCAAGGAAAGCTTGCGTGCGGTGCTTTGGGGAATTGTCCTTCGCATGGGAACGAGCTGTGTTGGTATGTCACTTGAATGCCATTTTCCGAAGTCAGTCCTGCTAACCATCGTCAGCATCTCGTGCCGCACATGGTACGCCATGTATCCATCGTTCTCTGGACCCGGTCCCGACCTGGAAATTGCGTCTAGAAAGGATAAGATCCTTTCGTTCGTCGGGCACAGCCCGGTAACGGCGCGGAGCAAAGAAGTCCTAAGTGGTATAAAGAACCTCCACGCGTCTGTTGCACAGTTGCGCGTAAACGTTGACTGTTTGTCTCGGCTGTGTGTCCAGAGTTTTCTCACCTTGTGCGCATTGTGGCCAACTTTAAATCCACAAGTGGAGATGCTGTTTCCCTGTATCAGCGCAATGTACTTCCTTGAGCACCGCTTAGCGAAAGAAAATTAATTTAACATCTACAGAAATTCTTCACATCACAAGTCAAGTACCTTTGCAGCGCATCTACAGGGCTGAACTGCGCTACTAGTAGTTCTGTCACGGTTGGGATCCTTTTCGGGTAGATCTGCCGCTACTAGTAATTGATGGTGTGCTCCCAAGCACCTACCTAGGTAGGTAGGTATCGAAGACGAGACACCCAGCGAGGTACGTTTAGGGTCAGTCCTTGAGGCAGGAATTTAGAGCGACAGGGGAACAAGACAAGGGCTGTGCAGACCAACACAATGTCAACGCTTATACAAAGGTATGGGTATCTTCGCTTTTCGGGAGCCACACTTTTAACGCCGCAACAACGTTTCTTGCGCGGTGAGACCTCGAGGTCCTCAAAATTCTGGCTTGACAACCGCATCCTGACACAGCACAGCCATCCGTTTGAAGAACCTCCGCCACTCCAAGGGGTCGCCCGAAGCCTTGACAAAACACACCTCGACCAGTCCCTCCTCGCTGACCACTTCCATTGCAATGTTGCCGCTCAGGGGACATCCGCGACTATCTTGCGTTTTCACTTTCACCAAACACTCGTAATCTTGAGCCGTGGGCCGGCGAGGAATGTTTGGAGCGGGAACTCCCAATCGGCTTAAAGCCTCGAGGACACGAGGGACAAGGAGATTCAGCGTCCAACCAGAATAGAACTTTGTCAGGCCTGACGAGGGCAAGATGTCGTGAAATCGTCGAGCCATCTGCGTCCGGCTGAGGGGGACGCTTGGGTTGGATTGAAACTGTGACATGGAAGGTTCGTCTTCGAGATATTGTGCTGTCGATATCGACTGTGTTGCCGACGTGAGACCCGCCCCCACCTGAGTGCTTGACACGGCAAGGTGTTTTGGTCGGTCCCAGTCAAATAGCATATCTTCGCCGGGCGTTTCTGGCTGGGTTGACGCGAATTTGGTCCGGAAATCTCCATCAATGTCCATGGCGTCCAGTTTTTGACTTCTCTGCGTCCCTGCAAAGGGATCTGCATCAAAGCTGACACGGAGGGATTCAAACATGTTCGTGGCCATAGTGATCGGGTCGTTTAGCCGACCCTTTTGGTCCATGAATCTGTTCGGCCTGGTAAACCAAGGATGCCGGCGTACATCCTCAAGGGAGAATCGCGTTTTCACATCGACCCTCATCATGCCGCGGAGGAGGGACAGCACCTCTAGCGGAAGCGAGTCCCACAACTCGTCCGACGGCTTCCCATTGCTCTGAACGTACTCGCTGAACTCATTCGGTCTCCCATACTCATCCCGTCCCTCGACTGGTTTGCTCCAAGGGGTATTTCCTGCAAGCAAGACGAAAAGGACAACCCCACATGACCAGATATCCGCCGTGTTGGCCGCGTAACCACTTCCTTTCGTGCCAGCTTGTGTACTACATGAAAGAACCTCTGGAGCAACATAAGGCGGACTTCCGCACAACGTAGTCGCTAGTTTCGTCCGGCCGTGGTACTCGAATAGGGTGGCCATTCCAAAGTCTGCAATCTTGAGATCTCCGTCCGCAGATAGAAGAACGTTTTCTGGCTTTATATCTCGGTGAGCCACGCCCTTGGAGTGCATGTAGCCGATTGCACTAATGAGCTGGGTAAAATAAACGTGCGCAATGTCTTCCGCAACGCCTGCGTCGGCTTCGATCTTGTCAAAAAGGTCGCCTCCCTCGGCCAGCTCCATTGCTATCCAAACCCAAGCTGGATCGTCACCATGGTCGTAAAACTCGATAATGTTCTTGTGTAGACCAATGTGCTTGTGTAGGGATATCTCCATCTCCAGCTGTTTTTGCTTGATGCGGCCATACTTCTGGGCGAAGAGTTTGTTGATGAATTTGACTGCGAAGACGGGGTTGTCGGCGGCGAGAGGGGCAGCTTTCTTGATGCTTTTGCGGAGACGTTAGCAAGTCTCCCTTAGACGCTGCAGGATTGAGGACAGGTGATCAAGTACCATGCGTATGCACCCGAGCCGATGGTGGGAGAAACAATGCGGAAGGGCACTCGGTCAGGCAGAGGTGCCAACTGAGAGTGAGGGATCCCGTTCATGACAGAGGCTGGCGAGGATATTGAGGGTTTCGCAAGACAAGGTCGAAGTCTATGCAGTGATCGTCGTTGATCCTCCCATGGTAGTGGTACGCATCCAACCGGTGTCTACCAACGGCAGGACGCGTCGTGTCACAGACTGAGGCGCCAGAGCCGCGATGAATGGCAGTCGACGTCATTTGGGGGGCTGCTTGGGGGCTGCTTGGGGCTGTTTAGCGGTGTTGTTACTGCAGCGACCAGAAAGTCGACCGCGAAGGGTACCTAGGTAAACACTCTTTCAGTGACTTCGCCAGGCGCAGTCGATCTTGCCAGCACAAGCACGCGACCAAACCTGCACCCTCGACTTTCGCTTTCCTTCACTGTTTGCACCTCTTGATCATCTTTTTCTCATCCTCATTTTCAGTCATTGCCCTCCGCATTGCAGGTCTACCATCACTGCTGTCAGAACTCTAGTAGTCTAGACCATTCTTCCGTTTTCAGCATTCCTTTACTCGCATTCTCGCCGTTTGCAGCCCGCCAGCTCAAATACATTTCCAACATGGATTTTTCATTCGAGAACTCCCAGAACGCTGCTCCAGGATTCCCTACCATGGCTGAACAACAGAAACTCGGCGCTTCACCGCGGAAGGCAGACATCCAAAGTGTCACAAAACGGTAGGTCTATCTTGTCCCCTCGCCACCACGTTGAAAGCACGGGACTTATCAAAGCACAGGCTTCAATCCGAACTCATGAGTCTCATGATGTCTCCTACGCCGGGCATCTCTGCCTTCCCTGACTCCGACGGCAACATGCTGCACTGGACTGCCACCTTGCTCGGACCCCGAGACACAGCCTACGCGAACCTCACCTTCAAACTCAGCTTTGAGTTTCCCACCAACTATCCGTACAGTGCCCCCATCGTCACTTTCAAGACACCGGTCTATCATCCGAACATCGACTTCAGTGGACGGATATGCCTCGACATTTTAAAGGAGAATTGGAGTGCTGTCTACAATGTCCAAACTGTGCTGTTAAGTCTGCAGGGTCTTCTGGAAGAGCCGAACAAGTACGACTTTGTGTGAATCAGGGAAGTGACAACGAAACTGACATTTGTACAGTAACAGCCCGTTGAACAACGAAGCGGCCCTACTTCATCAGAACAACCGCGAGGAATTTAACCGAAAGGTTCTGGCTCGTCACCAGGATCTCGAGGACTAAACATGAGTCAATGCAATGAGTACGACCTGGGCCATTGCTTTGGAGTTCGCCATGGCTGAACATGATGGTTAGCGCATACCCTTGCATTGGTTCTTGAGCGTTGGGCGTTGGTGCGAAGTCGTTGCATTTTAAGGTGAGGGTGATAGAGCAGGGTTGGGTACATACGTAAAGACAGTGATGGAGCAGGCTCGAACAAGCTATGGACGTCCTGGTGCTGGTCTAGAAGGTGATCCCGTTGAAGTTTTGTTCCACACGTTCCGAGCGCAAAATATACAACATGGCATCCTTTTATTGTTCCCTGATGGTACCAAGAAGTCCCATGACATTCCGCCTATCACATGTAACATTTTGCTCTAACATCGCTTTTCCCAAATGCTTTTCCCTTGCACACGGGCGCCTCAAAGTTCCTCGTTGGCAACGAACCGACTACTGCCATCATCCAAGCCCTCGAACAACTCGACTCCCCAATCTTTACTTGGATTGTTGAATCTCGACCTCTTATCCTGCTCTGCGATCTTGAGCATTTCTTTTTCCGTGAAACTGACTTTTAGCGACCCCAAATTCTCCTCGATGCGGTCTTTGTGGACGCTCTTGGGAATCACGATGGTGCCGCGCTGCCTTCCCCACGCGAGGATGGCCTGCGCCGGAGTCACGTTCTTCTTGGCGGCGAGCTCTGTCCAGAACTTGTCTTCCAGAATTGGCGGTAGGTCCGGGTATTTCCCATCATAAGTCGGGTTGATATTCGCGAGGGGCGAGTAGGCTATCACCGTGATATTGTTCCGCAAGTGCCAGTCGACGAATTCCTGTTGTTGCAGGTACGGATGCGTCTCGAACTCGTGCGCCAGGGGCCGGATGTCGCATTTCGCCAACAGATCGTCCAGCTGCCGCGGCGAGAAGTTGCTCACCCCGATATACCGTGTGAGGTTTGCACGCACGAGATCTTCCATGGCCCGCCAGGTGTCGTGGATCGAAGTGTCCTGGTCGATCACGGTCCGGCCCTTTTCTTGGTCCGGCAAGAACGCCACGGGCCAGTGCATCAGGTACAGATCCAGATAGGGCACTTGGAGGTCGTGCAGGGTTTTCTCCAACGCCGGCCGCACGTTTTTGGGTTGGTGCGCCGTGTTCCACAGCTTGGAGGTTATCCAGTACGATTTGCGCGAGGGCGAGAGGGACGAGTTGGAGAGCGTGTGGCCGACGAAGTCTTCGTTTCCTGTTCATTCACCGGAAGAATGAGTTAGTTTCGGTGATTTTTCTTTTTGTTCTTTATGGGCTGGGGAGGCAGGTTGGTCGAGTCGAAATCAATCCCGTGGGAAATTGTCGTTTTAACAGACTCGACTGATAACACCGGGGATCTGTGCTCAAACCTACCGTAAGCAGCGGCCGAGTCGAGGTGATGATACCCGGCCTCGAAAGCATATTCGACCGCCTTTGAAGCCTACATAGTACCCTCGGTAAGAAAGAAGCGTCAGTTTTTCATTCCCATGTACTTCATCGATGCATCAAAGCCGGATAAGGAAAGGTCCAGGATGTTAAAGGGGAAAAAAGGATTATCACGATGGCGACGAATGCAGCAAAATGGAAGGACGGCAGGGCAAGACAGACATGTTCATTCTTTGAGTTCCACAGCCCCAACCCGACTTGGGGGATTTCCTTGATCGGACCTTTTGCTACAGAGATGGGGACTTGGTCTTGTTCCTGCTCCGCCACAGACGCCGGAAGAAGCGTTGTCAAGAGACTGATGATGCAAAGGCCTCGAGCCAGGAGATGCGGGGAGAAAGGCTGCATTATTCAATCGGGCAATAGTAGTTAACCTTGAAATAACCTAGGCGAGAGGTTCCTGAATGGAAACGGTCTATTGATGTCTCGAACTGAGATGGAATATAGAGTTCCAATGCACACTGTTAGAAAAAAGGTTGAATCGTTTTGACGTTTCGTATCGTCGTCAGCCTTGGGGGGTGATGCGCGCCTCCAATGTCGTCATGTAATACTCTCCGCATGGAGATATATAGGTAGCCAATGGCTCCAGGGAACGCTGTGGGCCGGATAACGCATCCGCGAATGAACTTGGCGGCTATCCATGAATAATATTCATCAATCTACGAGTAATCGACCCCTCGGGGGTTATCCCCTAGATATTTCGTGGGTTTCAGGAAGTAGCAGCTGTAAATATCAAGTACGGCTCACACCTCATGAAGTAGAGACACAGCGGCTCGTTGTTGCCAAGACACGGGGCCCCGCGAGAAGAGACCGCACTGGCCGCCCTTGGCGGGGAAAAAGGGGGAAAGCCTTGGGCCCGGGGGAGGGAGATGGCGAGGCTACCTAGGTATATTAACTTTGTTGAAAGGTATTACTACAAGATGACGATCGATCGAACACGTACATGGGTAGGTACGCATTGACCATTTCCAAGGACAAATAATCATTGTTCAATTACCTCCCTACCGAACCAGCCCCATTTCCTGTCCTTCCCTTCGCCCACTACAGCAATCAAGGTAAACAAACACCCAATCAGATCCATATGCTGGGCGATATAACCGCTTCAATTCTCATATTGCTCCAGAGCCGTCAACCCGCCCTCCAAGCGCCTGACAATATTGTTCTCATCGCACAGCTTGATGAACTCGTCCCTCCCCCCGCCTTTTCCGTCCAGGCCGTAGATCTTGCCATACTCGCCGACGACGTTGTCGACCGTGGCCTGGGGCTTGTCGCGGCAAAACCCGCAGAACAGCTCCCTCATCTCCTCCTTGAAGCCGAGACGGGGCCACGCGGCCAGGACCTCTTTATAGTTGTCCACCGTGATCGGCCAGCCCGGCACGGGGAGGTTGGGTCCGAAGAACTCGGCCATGATGGCCAGCTGGGTCGCGAAGACTTCGGGTTCCTTGTGGTGCGCGATGCTCGGGGTCGTGTGCAGCGCGATGGCGTCCCACATCAGTTGCAGGCGGTGTTTGTCCCATGGCCCGTGCTCGTCGGCGGCGGCTTTTGTCCGGATGAAGTTGCGAGCGATTTCTGCGCCGTCGACTTCGAACCGCTTGTCCTTGGACGTCAGGGACGAGTCCGTTGCCCAGCCCATGTCGTGCATCAGGAGAGAAAGGAAGACGGCTTCCCTGTCGATGTCCGGGTTGGTTGCGAACGGTGGGAAGTCGCGGAACAAGATAAGGGAGAAGGCGACGCTGCGGAGGCAGTGGTTCAGCGCCGCTTTGCTGTAGTGCTTTTTGACGAAGGCACAGGCAGAGGCGAATAAGGGGTTAGAGGGCATCGATATTTGGGACACCGGGAAGGCCGGAAAGGACAAGGGCTCGGAAGACATTGTCGACGGTTGAATCTTGTTTAGACCTTTTGTAGCGTCGCTTGACCTTATCGGCTTTTGCTTCTTGCTTGACGAGGAAGATCTATATTGCTTGTAGTTTGGTGCTTGAACAGAGAACCCTCTCGGCGAGGGGAGACCAGGCTTTATATCTTGCTCTTTGCCTGCTCATGTTATACCCCGGATCAGTCAAGACGTTGGACATGTCAATTGATGATGGATTTGATTCCGCAGGGTCATTCGTGCTGGTCACCTTGTCCGTGCAGGATTGAGGTTGAAGGCTGTAGATTCGCTCTGTAGCACGAGGCTGGGTATCATTGCCACCTTGTTGGCCTCATGGGCTAAGGTACGAGTCTTACCTTAGTGTCCACCCTGGGTGCCCTCTAAACCATTACTCCGATCTGGGTGGCCCTGCTGGCCCTGCAGCGGCTTCCTCAGCATGTCATTGGTGGATCTGGAAGCGGTGGAATGTCATCCCGCAGAGGTTTTGTGGCTCTGTTTACCAAAACAGGGTGTAGTTCCTGATTTGGAGGCTTCCTTGGGCGCAAACAGATGTTGAAAAGAAACGATATACGGGTCGCATAACGAGAGGGACATGGAAAGAGTCGACGGTGCGTTTCCGCAGTCCGGCTTCGGCAATTCACTTTGCCAATAATGACAGGGCTTTTTTTGTCGTTCCTGCCCAAAGCTCTATCTGCAGTTGGCCTATACTTCAGGAGACTTATTGATCATCAAGCCCGCCATTTCGCGGGAAGGAGCCATCCTACTGTTCGCTGGGTGTAGATATTGACTGTCCCATGCCCACCGATTTGATAATTCAGGAGCGAGTCTTCCTTCAAGCATATGGACAATGTACTTGCCCACCGTAGGTAGAAATTTCCAGCCATGGAATGAACCTCCGGTTGCTAGATAAAGGTTTTCACAACCGGGATGAGCTGATATTAGGAAATCTTGGGAAGGGGTTATTGCGTCCCTAGGTAACATGAGAAGGATTTCAACTCGGAACTAGGGGTTGAAACTTACCAGCAAATACGGCAATCTCGAAAGCCTTTCTGGCTCCCTTTTTCACCAAGAATACCAACGGACACTCTACGTAGTTCTGCTTTCATCTCTTCTAACAATGCCCGCTGTACAATTTCAGAGTCTTCCGGGGGTACTGACATGGATATTTGACCTGATAGTGCTGTTGTGTTCACAAAACTTATATCACATGTGACCTTAACACAGTTCTCTGCACCGGGCGGTATGATGGCTCCTATTCTGTTTAGTAGATCTTTATTGTGAAAGCGTACTATACATTACCTTGGGCTGGTCCGCCAGCATGTAAGAAAACTGGGGTACCTTGATGACGGATTGCTTCATCCGGATCGAGGTTGAGAACGCCAGTCACAAGGCCTGCTGCTGACAGCCGACCGCCCACGCGTAGTTGTGGAACATCAGGGGCGCTTGCTATCAGGAATTTCGCCGTCTCAGGACCGGTTGCCAAAATGACTTTTTCTGCCATGAAGACCTGCCCATCCACGGCCCGGAGCCCAATACAACAACCCCTATCATCAAACACCAAATTGCTGGCTTCGGATTCGATGAGCTGTACACCTGCCGACGCTGCTGCTTGAATCACAGTTGTAAGAGCTTTACCAGCCTCAACCCATCCACTACTCTCGTTCAAGTATATGCTCTGGAGTTTTCCAAATTCAGCTTCGGAAAAAATACCGCCGTAGCTTGCTTTCAGATCTTTTACAGACACCATTTGCCATTTCTCCTCAACTCCAAGGACGCTGTAGTTCTGAGTGACAGCTTTACTGAATCCAGACTCATCGACCCATACTAACCCGGTTTCATGGTAGTTCTCACTGTATAGAGGATCGTTTCTCCATATATCTTTAGCTTCGAGAGCAAGCCTGGTATAAAATATGTCTGTGTAATCGGCTCGAATCACTTTGGTCCAGTCCCATGAAGCACCCTGGCGACGGGGAATCTCCCTATCGATAAGCGCGATTGACTTTGAAGGATAACTTTGTACAAGAGCCAGGGCTGTAGAGGCGCCGAAGACGCCAGCACCAAGGACGATGAAAGAGAAGGATTTGGCAGTCATTGGGAAATGTAGTCCAGGTTATGAGGACCCGAGGAATTATCGAAACGACGCCAAAGCAGTGCTGGAGCTTCAAATATACTGTTTCGAGCCCGCAAGGAACGAATCCGGTCCAGATTGGTGAGCTCATTCGAGATTCCCCCACCTCATATGATAGACGCTTGTAATCAGTCAGGTTCCGAAGAAGGAAAACAGGTAACCACTACTTGGTGGTAGTAATAACACAAATATCCGTCTAGGTAGAAGGTTGAAGAATAACAAGGAGCGTCGCACTGAGTCGTCTTGTACCGTTTGCACTACAGCAAATCGAAACATTCACGTAGCCAATAAGACGCTACCACGTCGTTCTTTCCAGGTCTCTGAAATCTCGGCACTTGGGTCTTTCATTGCAAGGGGATGCAAGTTACTTGACTGAACCTATCCAACGCCAGGATTGGGCAAGACGCGTCACGACGCAGAGGGAAGGATAGGAAGTCTCCAGGCCGCAAGCTTGGTTAAATGATTCAAGGGGACCAGCTAGGCAACTATTAATATAGTCGAGGGGGACCCGAACTGGCTTCGGCTGATTGACATCAGGGGCAGCTCTCACCGTGGCTCGCCTAGTACTCTGCCGTGGCCTCCTCGGCGCTCTCACTTGCTTGGCCGGGTATCTGAACGAAACTGGTAATGGACGAAGCACAGTTCTGGGTGTACCGAGTAACACACATTATCCCCCCTTCGTTCTGTCCGTTCGACTCGAAGTTTGGCGCCTTTTTTTCTTGGCACCGGTCTTGGCACTAATTAGGCATGCCTAGAAGTTAAAGCTAGTTAAGAACTTTAAGAAAATCTAGTTTAAGGTTTAGTTAAAGGGCCACCACAAATTCGATGCCAGGGAAAAAGGCGCCAAACGGACGGAGGGGAAGATTACTGTATATATCTAGTTCACTATTGTTTTCCTGACCTCTGAATCTGAATGATGTGAGAAGACTTTTTAATTCGGCGCATGCGCCGCTTTGACCATGTCCGACGCCTTCTCCGCGATTGCGTAGATGGTAGCCATGGGATTTCCAGAGATATGCACGGGCAGGACGCTCGCGTCGACGACACGCAGGCGGTTGACCCCCAGGACCCTCAGCTGCGCGTCAACGACGTCGCCCATGGCCGCGGTGCCGATCGGGTGGTGCTCGGTGCCAACGTTGCGGCGGAGAAGGGCCTCTTCGGCGTCCCTGTCGCCCAGCCCGACTTGCGCCGCGAACGAGTACCGAGGGTGCAGTTGCGGTCTGATCCGCGGCGCCAGCGACACGGCGTTCAGAAATGGCAGCGCCGAGCGCAGCACGGCCATGTCGACCGGGTGTGCGAGGAAGGCGTTGTCGATCGCCGGCTGGACTTGCGCGTCGCTACTCGTGATGTGCACGCTGCCCCGGCTGAGCGCGTATTGGAACGCGACGACGAAGCTGACGTGGTTGGTGTCGCTGTTGGCGGGCGGCGTGAGGAATTGGGATTGGTCCGCAAGGCCCTTTTCCGTGTTGATGTACGCCGGGATGAAGAGCAATTGGATCGCGGCCGCCTTGGGGTCCTGGAGTTTCTGGATCACCCGTCGCTGTTGCGCCTCGCTGAGCGGCGTCTCAATCCCCTGAGTCGATCTCACGGCGTCAATCGTGGCTTGCAGTTCTTCAGGGCCCACCAGCGCCGCGTAGCTGAGGTATCCCATACCCGAGGGAGGATTTGCCAGTGGCCCCGTGCCGGTCTTCTGATACAGCTCCATGAAAGGCTGGACGACTTCCGGGTTGACAAAGGCATCGATGGAGAATCCTCCGGGGGCCAACTCGAAGGAAACAGCAGTGGCATGGTGATCTTGCATGTTTGCACCGACGAGCTTGTTCGCGACGATACAGTCTACCCCGGCGGCTTGCACTACCTGTGGATCTCCAATCCCGGAGAGCTCGAGAATTTGAGGGGTTTTGTAGGTCCCAGCGCAGATGATGACCTCCCTGTTCGCATTCGCGGTGTACCGTTTTCCGCCATGCCAGAAATGCACTCCATCAGCTGTTGGATCGTTCTTGGAGCTGTCAAATCTAACGCTGTCCACGGTGGCCCCGGTGAGAATATTGAGATTTGATCGTCCAAGGTTGGGCAGAATGTATGCTGAGGCTGCATAGCTGCGCGTGCCGGGACGATCAGAGCGATCCACCGTCGACAGAGCGTTGAAAAAGTTGTCTCGATTTGCAGCAGTCGGATCATCGGACGTCACGTCGAATCCTGCAACCTCTCTACAGGTCTCGAGAAGGTCTTTTTCGATGGGTATTTGGGACCGATTGCTGCTAGTGTGAATCACTCCATTCGTCCCGTGCGTTTCAGAAGGGTAGAGAGGAGCGTCTTGCGTGTCCAACCGCTCATGTTTCTGAAAATACGGTAGCAGATTATCCCAAGACCACTCGTCTGAGCCAGCAAATGTCGCCAACTCATCATAGTCAGCGCGCGTCCCCCTCATCCAGAGGGACTGGTTGAGACCACTGGTGCCACCCAGCATTTTTCCTCGAGGCAGCGAATATTCAAGGTTGTTGGCATGTTTCTACTCCGATCAGCAACCACTCTTTATCACCTGTCCAAGTCCACGGGTACCTGAGGGACGCTCTTCAAAACCCAGTCATAGTCCGGCTTGTTCGCTCCCTGCATGTAAAGGGTAGGGATAGTGATCAGTGGATCATCTAACTTGTTGTCGCCAGCTTCAAGGACTCCGACACGAAACGCAGCATCCTCCGAGAGACGGGCGGCGAGCACCAGGCCAGCAGTACCTCCACCCGCAATGACAAAGTCGAACGGTATAGCGACGAACTCGTCTACCGAGCAAAACACCGGCTTCTCTGAAGACATGTTGTGGCGCTGTGTATTCCACGGATGGACAGATTATGGAGCCTTCTAGAGGGTGAGAATCACTTTATAGCTGGTTGTCCTTTGTCACTTACATGTTCTCAACAAGCGTAGTTACTGATGAGTAATTCTTCCCAAGTCAGGCTGGCTCTGTTGGTTGTTCACGTCCATGAGGATAATCTCCAACCTCGGGTCCCATGCGGCCGCGTGCGCGAAATTGATCACCACTGACTGTTGGAAAGAAGGCCCCCGAATATTCCTTTGCTGACACGAGACCTGCAAGCCAATCTGGGCACTGCGGATTTCCTACGAGGTTGCATAGAAGTTGAGGACGATCCGATCTGGATCAAGTCTTAATGCCATTCGCCCCTAGACTTTTCCGTATCCGGCCACCGGTCCTGACTGAGGTCTGTCTCAGGGTTCAAAAGATACTTCAGGCAATTGTCGAGGGTGTTTGGAGGCATGTCTGAGGTCGGCATGTCGATGAGTAATACATGTCGTAGACTGAGCTAGCCACGTTTGGTAGCAGTAATTGCAGATTCTGAGGTACTAGTAGGTCCTTGGGTATGGCCGAACCGCTAGTGGTCATCGTAGTACTCAACTGTTTTGCGCTGAACCTGTGTGCCTGGACGCTTGTGCGCCTGATCGCGGAGTAATCTCTTTCGATACTGTGAGCTATCTTTGATGCATTAGGCAATGGCCAGGCAAGCATTCGAACTAACATTGGGTATTTGTTCGTCGTCGATTGGCAGTCAGAAGTTCTTTCGTATTCGTCGAACTCGAAGCAACAGGAATATCAATTGAAATGGCCACAGCTTGGAGTCACCTGGTCGGCTTCATCCCTATAGCAGCGTCGTGGATCGAATGCTTCATCGGACATGCCTCAGAGGTCACGGAGATGAGACTGATTGTGCAGTGAGCGGCGAGAAGAATGAAGATTGTATCTCAGGATCCCAGTAACAAAATTCTCAGACACAGAAGTTTGCATGGTGAAATACCACTGAAGGCAGCCCTTGGCAATCAAAGAAAATCCAAGCAAGGATACGGACAATACTTACTCGGAAGGGCATCCGCTGATAGTCAGGAGCAGGGACAAAAGACCCATGCCTCAAGCATAAGGCAAATTTGACAAGTTGACTGAGAAGCCCGTAGATATCAGAAATTGCTCTCAGAAAGGCATTCCAGCGTTCACAGGTCAACAAAGACATCGAATCGCCAAGGGCAGGAGCAAAGACCACCAACGCATCCATGGAGCCATTCGCATGTACTATATCCCTCATCACCTTTGAGGAGGTTACTTTGTCGGTCACCACCGAATGGATGCATCCGACAAGGTTTGATATAATTGTGACAGAAGCGGATTTCTGCTCACAGACCGTTATGGATATCTGAATGGCAAGGACATCTCCGAAAATAGACCACGACGCCGCTTCCTCGGCGCTGTGTATGGGCCGTGTACGTATGCTCTCGGCTGAGATGGATTCTCCAGAGACGATTGAACGGGTGGGCAGTTGTGTTTCTGTTTCTCGGAATGTTACGTTGCCTCCCCATGAGGGTCTTAGTAGATTCGCCAGCCATTTGAAATCAGTCCTCGATACAGATCCAAAGCACTGAGAAAGTCTTTTCCTACGCTGACTTAGCCATGAATGCTTCTCCGCTTTCGCAGGACGTGAGTTCTGTTCGATATGCTGACTTGACCACGGAGATTTGGAATTGACTAAGACGTGCATCGAACATATCCACAGAAGCAGGTCCCTCCAAAGCGGAGAAGTTATTATGCTCAAGCTGGAGCGACCAGACTGCGTACACCTTCAACCTGGGATCTTGTCAGCAGACTCGATCCATGTAGGTGATATTACCTTAAACAGTTAGCAGTCAACGTCAATGCAGCCAGCCGGCTTTGCCTCGACCTGTTCTGTGGCTGACCGCAACGTCTCCGGCCAGAACCGGACGAGAGCATACCTAGGTATTCTTGGACAGCAAGCGCGTACTCACCTTTGTCGCCTATAATTGAGGACATTTATTGATATATAGCTGCTAATTATCGGAGTCTCGCGTCAGAAGAAGGCCAATCTGAAAATCTAGCCCACAGATTCCCGCTCGAACATCAGGCCTACACCTGTGTAAACAGCGCCAAACAGGAAGGCGTGAGTATGGGCATGACCAAGGCGATCAGCTCACACCGACTAGGCAAAAATGCTTCCCATATCTAGGTATGTCCGGGGTAGTTCTCGTTGATGGGGGGTTTTCCTTATTGGTTGTAAGGGGGTATTGCCGCAATAGCGGGTGTCGGATATGCTGGTTTTCCGTCACAGCTGGCGGAAGTCATCCCTGCATATTTGGGTCTCGTGGAGCACACATGGAGGAAGGGAAGACGTGTCCTTGGTCTGATTCAGTCGTCTGTCAGACGCTTTAGAGGCATGACGGACAACTGCACGTCGCAATGGCATAAGGACGTCCTGCATCCCATAGTCTGAACATATCGTGACAGTGAGTGGACCCGTCGCTCATTCCGGGAATGCAATGTCTGAGGAAGGCTTTCGTTCAACAGGTCCAGCTACAACCGAGAAAAGGTCGAGGGCAGGCGCTGGGGGCCGGAAGCTCCATCACTTGGTACTGCGGCTCGGCTCAGCCATGGAAGGTGTACCTGCATCTTCCATCTCTCACATGATCGTCTCTCGGAAGTGGCGGCATAAGCAGCGGACGGACAACAGCAGCAGTGATTGGAGAGAAGAGGTTCTGAGGAACCTCGGCGTGGCGGATATCTTGACAGCCACAGAAGGACACACGGACTAACACTACAAAAGAATGATTAATTCTCAGCGATAGCGATGGTGGCGAGAGAGGTGACGGAATGGACATAGCCGAGGGGAAAGGACAGAGCAGCGACCAAGGGGGGCCGCGACAAGAATCGCGTTTCGGAAGCCCACGCGTATGATTGATGATGAGTTTGTATAGATGAGTTTGGCAAGGGCCGTTCTCTATGGCCGCGTCGGCTTTATTCCGCGAATCCGGATCTATACTGGTATTCAATTCATCTTAGCCCACAGCTGCCTCTCTCATATTCTCACTCTTCCTTCCCTCCGTTCTCTGCTGTCTTCCCCGATTGGGAGATAGGTCGCCGGGAGCTATGACTCTTATTTACACAATCAATATCACTTCGATATAAGCAATGGAGTCCCGGAGACAAAATGACCATTACCGACTCCGAATTACCTCATCAAGAAGTGACATATCTACGCTTTCTACGTGACAGTAATTTTTCCGATGGGCTCTGCCGCTCTGCTGACTACCTACTGAACGTACCCCAGGAGGGGAGGGGGATTCACGAGTATTTCGAGAAATTCGAGGACAGGCTGACCATGTGCCTGTACAGATCACGGTGGTCAGCCTCGGCCTCGTCACCATCGTACGCTTCAGATACATGTCCATCGTCGAGCCATTGCTCCGATCGGATCAGGTTAGAGGGCGATATCACCCGAATTCGACTTGATCACCTTCCAATCGATGTTAAGAGAGCGAGTCTGCTTACATTACTCGGTCCAAGAGATTTCGTCTAGAACGGGCACAGCTTGTGCTGGATCCGCCCTGCTTCTGACGCTGTGGCCCAGACGGTGTTTTATAATGGATGCGGTTCTCCTTCCAGCCGGGTCTAAGTGTGAAAGGAAGGTAGCCGAAACATTTGCTGCTCTGTTTCCCGGGTACACAACCGAACGGCGCATAAGTCATCATGCTCGACACAATCCGCGATGCGCCTCTGGGGCAATTCCTTCGATGGGTCACTCACAACCGGATACTTCTGTATCCCGACGAGCGACCAGGCTTCGTGCTCCCCAAGCTAGTGAGTCTACCTGCAATCTCCCAGAAGGGACACCGAAGGAATGACGTACGCTACAGTCGTCTGGGGATCCCCTCCAGAAGGATATACCGGAGCCCGACGAGTCTGAGCCCGAAGCGGCCGAGCCAGAAAAGCAGACTTCCGAAACACCTGGGGATGCGCAAGCAGAGGAAGCAAAATTCGAGTCCGGGGTCGTAGATCCAGAGAAGGCTGAGGCTGATGGCGAAGCGTCGACACGCCCAATGGAAAGAGCAGAGGGAGGAGGCGCTTTAGAACCAACTCTCTCCAGACAACACAGTCTACCCTTTACGGAAGAGCGTCTCGCCCTGGATCGGCAGCTCGAGCTGGAAAAGACCAGGAGCAAGCCGATCTCCCTGCACAGATCCGCCGACGGGACCATCCTTGTCGACTGGTATACGACTGACGACCCAGAGAATCCACAGAATTGGTCGCAGGCGAAGAAGCTCTTTGTGTTGGTGCAAATATGGTATTGTCTATCCCTGCTCCTGGCTCTGGTGCCGACGAGACGACTAACCTAGATGGTACAGCCTATACACCTTCGCCATGTACGGAGGCTCCAGCATTTACGTCGTTAGCGAAAGGTAAACCTCACTCGCATGTGCCTCAGACCGCATACTGATGTACTCCTAGTGGAGTCATGCAGAGATTCGGCGTGAGCGAGGCAGCGGCAGCAATGGGCCTCGCCATATATGTTATAGGCTGTACGTTGAATCTCCTGCTTTATTTGCGTGAAACCGGCACTGACGACACCTGTATACAGACGGAATTGGTCCCCTGCTGTTTGCGCCGCTCTGCGAGATTCCTGCCATCGGCCGCAACGGAGTCTACACGCCTGCCTTTATTCTTTTTGTCATCATCTGCATACCGACAGCAGTTGTTGATAACTATGCCGGGTTGTTGGTTCTTCGATTCCTGCAAGGCTTTCTGTCCAGCCCCTGTCTTGCAAATGGAGCTGCCTCCGTGGGCGACATGGTATGTTTGGTCCCGTCTATGCATGAGGTGAATACAAGAAGCGACCTAACAACCATAGTTCTCCCTCTTGATTCTCCCCGTGTATCTTTCTTCCTGGACGGCTGCCTGCTTCTGGGGCCCTGCGCTCGGACCAGCTATCTCGTCGTTCGCTGTCACTGCCGAAGGGTAAGTGATATCTTCCCCAAGCCCAATCGTTCTCGTTCTGCCTAGTTTGGCTGACAACAAAGCACAGATGGAGATGGTCGTTATGGGAACTGCTCTGGCTTAGTGCACCTATTCTGGTCGTCTACCTGATTTCCTTCCCCGAGACCTCCAGCGCCACGATCCTCCGGCGACGAGCCGCACGACTGCGGAGACTCACGGGGAGGACAGACCTGCGGTCCCAGAGCGAGATCGAGCAGGCCCACATGAAGTATTCGGAAGTCTTTTTCGACGCCATCATAAAACCGCTCGAGATCATGATGAAGGACCCTGCCGTGTTTTTCACAAATATCTACGTGAGTTAGACCCTCTCAAAACCATCCCTGCAACACTGTCGTTTCGAGGCTACCATTCTCGCTAACCTGTTCCTCTTGCGTCTTTTTTTTTTCTCCTAGTCCTCTCTCCTCTATGGCATCTACTATTCCTTCTTCGAGGCGTTTCCGCTGGTCTACATTTCCATCTACGGCTTCAATCTCGGCGAGCTGGGCTTGACCTTTATCAGCATCGGTGTGGCGACCACGATCGCCGTCATCATCTACAACACATATCTGCTTGTCTACCTGGTGCCTGACATTATCAAAAACGGCCTGCGAGCGCCAGAACATCGGCTGGTACCTGCATTGTTTGCCGTCTGCGTCCTACCTGCGGGACTGTTTATGTTCGGTAAGTCACGAATCAGCCTTCCCCCACCTCTCTCTGTGTGTCCCAACGCCCTATTCTGCCTTTTCTCCCGCTCACGCTCCATACCAAATCCATCCACAATCATCTGGAAAAAAGCGGAGAGACGCACGCACACCCAAACGACACGCTTTTCCTCGCAACAACTAATGCTTATACAGGCTGGACCTCCCGCCACGGCGTGCACTGGATGGCCAGCATCGTCGGCGTGATGATCGTCGTGGGCTCCAACTTCATCATCTTCCAGTGCATCTTCGTGTACCTCCCCCTGTCGTACCCGCGCTACACGGCCTCCCTGCTCGCCTCCAACGACCTCTTCCGCGCCCTCTTTGCCGCCGGCTGCGTCGAATTCTCCAGGCCCATGTTCAAGAACCTGGGCATCGGCCCCGGGAATAGTCTGCTCGCCGGCCTGGCTTGTGGTGGTGTGGTCGGCATGTTTCTGCTTTGGCGGTTCGGCGCCAAGTTAAGGGCCAGGAGTAAATTCGCGGTGAGTTAGGCGGTCGGCCGAAAAAACAAGGGGGGCCAAAAGGCTGGGCTGGGCTGGGCTGGGCTGGGCTGGCTTGACATCTGTTGTCTCTCCTAAAGAAAAGAAGGAATACCTAGGTATGTTCGGTCAGGGTCCAGCTTGGCGCCATACGTGTATGTGGACAGGGGAAGTCTGCGCGTGCTAAAGTGACGCCGAGGACGTAGGGCAAATGTACTACCAAATTCCCTTCATTGACTTAATAGGCTGATAGACCAATAGATTGTGGATAACCAGGCTGCATAGGACTAGGGCGCAGCGGTTCTCTCTTGGGATTTACCCATATCTCACTGGCCATGTATTCGTCAGGAGTGAGGACTTCCACTCTCACCAAGGATATGAGGCGGCTGCAATAATGAAGGCAGCTGGCTTCAACAGTCGGGTTTGACCGCAAGAGAGAGCACAGTTCCTTAGAGAAGGAATAAAGTATATATATCTCGCTATATATAGTGGCACTCAGCCTCCATAGAGCATCTACCAAGTCTAAGCAAGAAGAGTGGTATATTACAAAGCTTTGAAGCTTGATATCCAATATATGTGGCCCTTATCTAAGGCCAAGTGACAACCACATATGAAATAAAGTCCTCGATTCATTCACCTTACACAGCATCTGCCTCGACGTTTTGCAACGGGACGTAATTGCCCCGTTCCCTCTCCTGCGCTCTTCTCCTCATCGCCACACCTTCGAGTCTGTCAAACATCGCCTCCGCGACCCCTTGTACGGTGCCCATCCAGCCGCCATTGTTCATCGGCCTCTTTCTCCTCTTCGCCCCAATCATGGGCGCACTGTATCTGTCTCCTTCCATCTTCAGAGCTTCAACAGTCAACCACTTGGGCCTGCCAACCCATCTCAATGCTAAGGAACTCAACGTCACAGAGATGCTGCTGAACATCATCGCCGTGGCGCTCATGAGTGGGGGCATGTGATAGCCGAGCGGCAAGAAGATACCCATTGCAAATGGTAGTCCGATGACGTTGTATGCACAGGCCCATATTAGATTGAGCTTGATCCGGCGGAATATGACACGGCACAGATGCAGGGCGGTCGGGATATTGAGCATGTCATCCGACCGCATGATCACTATATCTGCGGCTTCGACTGCGATGTCGCTTCCAGAGACAAGACCAATGCCGACATTGGCGGTTGCAAGAGCCGGAGAGTCGTTGATCCCGTCTCCAACCATAGCGACAATCTCCCCTTGAGATTGAAGGTCTGAGATGATGGATTGCTTTTCACCAGGAGAGACAGATGCGCGAATGGATTCTCGGGGTATGCCCACCAATTCAGCGATGGAGAGGGCAGTGTTATAGGTATCTCCAGTGACGAGGCTGGTGGAAATCCCCATTTTGTGCAAGGCAGTTATAGCGGCGTGGGCCGTAGGTTTAAGAGTGTCAGAGAGGCCGATATGACCCGCATATTGTCCGTTAATCGCAACGTAGATGGTCGTTATTCCAGTCTTGGATTTGCTTCGGGTTGTGGGAGACAGAGCCGCGTTGACTGCGCTCTCGACATCGGCCGGGATATCGATCTTCTTGTTGGCCAAGAAGGTTGCGTTTCCGACGTAGACTTTGTACTTGGTTTCATCCCCTGGGTTGTTGAGCTCAATGATGGCTGATACTCCTTGACCAACGGTGACGCCGAAGGTGCCAACCTGGCCGGGAAGGCCTTCCTCTATTTCTAGACCGAGCTTTTCCTTGGCGGCAAGAACGATGGATTTGGCAATGGGGTGTTCAGATCCTGTCTCGGCGAGACCAACAAGAGTCCACCACAATTTCTGACGCCATTCATTGGAGTTCCAGAGAGCTGCATAGCTTGTGTCGGCGACGTTAAGTTTTCCGAAAGTCAGAGTACCCGTCTTGTCCAGAACGACATGGGTGATGCGGGTGGCTGTTTCAAGAGCGGCGCCTCCCTTGACGAGGATGCCTTGTTGCGAAGCAGTGCCAGTTCCCACCATGACCGCCGTTGGGGTTGCCAATCCGAGAGCGCAAGGACAAGCGAAGACAATGACTGAGATGCAGAGCTTCAGGCAGACCATGAATTTCCCGCCATTCTGTCTGTCTGTAAATATTCTCGGAGGGTTAGGCATGATGTGGCTTAGAATCATCCACCCAACAAACGTGATCAACCCAAGGAGGATGATGATAGGGACAAAGTAGCCTGCGACAAGATCTGCCATTCGCTGAATAGGCGCTCTGCTCGTCTGGGCCTCTTGCACAAGATTGACAATTTGGCTCAGTTGTGTGTCCTTTCCCGCGCGTGTAACTTTGAAGTCAATCTTGCCGGCACCATTGACGGTACCTGCTATGAGTGTGCTGCCCTTCTTCTTTTGAATAGGCATGGGCTCACCGGTCACCATGCTTTCATCCACGAAGCTCTCTCCGCGGGTAACGACTCCATCAGCAGGTATCTTGTCGCCGGGTCGAAGGATGACAACATCTCCAACTTCAATAAGTTCGGTTGGAATGGTCTTTTCAATCGCAGAAGGGCCTGATGGACCGGGACCTGATGGCACTCTCCTCAGATCCATGGTGGGCGTCTTCTCGAGCACTGGAGACGATGGAGCTGTCCACGTATCGGCGAGCTTCTCCGCGTACAGAGGGTCCTCATAGATGGTTGCCATGCTCGGAGCCAAAGACATCAACTGAGACAGAGCTCTGGACGTCTGGCCCTTTGCTCGATTTTCGAGCCATCGCCCAAGAGAAATGAATGTGATAAGCATAGTGCTAGTGTCGAAGATGGTGCTGGGTTTACTGTGAGGAGGTATCAAGACCGCCACAATGACGGCAAAACAGCTGAAGAAAAACGCCGTCGAAGTACCCAAAACAACCAACACATCCATGGTCGGCGACTTGTGCTTCAAACTTTTGTATGCTGAAATATAGAGACGCTTTCCAACGCCGAATTGCACGGGGATTGTAAGTGCGAAGCAGATAACGTCACCCAAAAGGAGGCCCGAGATGATCTCAATGGCTCCAAAATTTATCGACTTGAAGAACATGGGTATAATCATGCTGATCAAAAACACGGGAATCGCGAAGCCCAAGGAAGTCAGAAATGCTTTCTTCCACTCCTGGATCTCTTTTGTCTTGGCGAGAGATTCCAGCTGTGCGTTATTGTCTTCCGAGTCTGCAACCAAGGCGTTGAATCCAGCGTCTTCAACGACCGCGACAATCATGCGAAGACCGACCAGGGCCGGATCGTAGGTAATGGTAGCACGAGACGTGGAAAGACTGATTACCGCACTCTTGACGCCCGGCATTGCTCTCAACTTGTTTTCCAGCTCAGTCGCAGTCTGCCCATCGGGAAGACCATAAATCTTGAGCTGCTGGGAAACGTGTGTTGAGCTCTGCACATTGGTATCAGCTTGAGAAGACGACACAATTTTAGCATCGAACCCGGCATCTTCAATAAGTTCGACGATCTTCTCGGAGGGAAGGACGACTGGGTCATGGGAGATGACTGCTCGCTCTGCCAGAAGGCTTATGTTAAACTTGACCAGACCGGGAACGCCCTTGAAAGCGCCTTCGACGGAGGAGGTGCAAGCTCCACACGTCATGCCTTCGATGGCTACAGTGGTTGTCCACGTTTGCGACTGGTCGTTGGCTTCTGCATTCCCGCCTGCCGGTCTAGTAGCGTCTTGAAGTTTTGAATCGATCACGCTGGCGTCGAATCCCCGATCTTCAATGATTTCCGCCAATGCATCGGCACTTATGATTTTTGCGTCATGCTGGACGATTGCCCGCTCCGCCAAAAGAGAAACACTCATGCTTTTGACACCCGGAACATCCTTGAAGCCCGCCTCCACGGAGGAAGTGCATGCCCCGCAAGTCATTCCTTGTATAGATATCGTTGTGGCTGTGAGCTGAGCTTTTGAATCGGATACTCCGGTTGAAATGGACAGAACCGGTGGTTTTGGCATATCGGTGGAGAGGACTTCGGCATCGAAACCACGGTCTTCAATGATCTCTGCAATCTGCTCGGGAGACAACTTCTTGGGATCATGATGTACCACGGCTCTTCCCATCATTAAGCTGACCGATACAGCACCGGCACCGTCGACATCCTTAAACCCTGACTCGACTGCGGAGGTGCAGGCACCGCAGGTCATTCCATCGACTTTGAGGGTGGTGGTGGCCATATGGGCCGGACTCGGCGAGGGCTGCGGCCCCTCATGGCCACTGTTACTCGCACTCATTTTAACGAATGTTCAGTGGAGGAAATCAGCAGTGCTGAGATAGAGGGGGCAATCATAAACGCATCGTTCGGGGGAGCGCGTTCTGGGACCGACTTCGGGATAGGAAGAGAAGTCGAATATACCGGTGTAGAAGACGGTGCAAAAGCGAAACAGGACTTTAAAGAGCGTATTGGGAGGACGGAGAGCGAAGCCGAGAAGTAAGCGGCCGTGGAAAGTCGCGAGGGGACCGAGTTGTGAGCAGCCAGAAAGTGAGACGGGGGGTTGAAGCTGAGAAATGCGAGGCGTGGGATCAACGCCTGAAACCGAAAAGCGACACTATCGACGGATTCGGTCAGAGACAGATTCCCAGTTCCCCTAATTAGTATCACGCCACCACTAGCCTGATAGAGGGCATCGCAGGGCTGGTGTGCAGCCTTGCCTCGCAGATACGTACTCGGTAATCAGGAGAGAATTGACAACACGCAGCGTATTATTATGATGATTAAAATCGTGTCTGGTGGAAATTGACAGTGAACCAACCCCCTCTGTGCCTTGCATTGTAGTTGTTAGGCCAACTTGAAGCACGTGCACAAGGCGTCTACCCTCAGCCTCGTCAATGCCAAGCTCCAACATCTGCCCGCCGTGACAGCCTCGTCCTCGGGTTCTCAGCCTGCAGATCAAATCCCCACGTCCTCTCCCACCTTTGCGCGAGTCCCTGTCCCCCTCTGCCTCTTCAGATAACTATCGAACAATGGACCAATCTCAGACAAAAGCACTCGCTGCGATCCAGCCATTTGTTCACCTCGCCACTACTACCAAGACCCCTTCCCCGCGCTTCATTGCTGAACTGATCAAGGGAGCGATCTCCGCTCCTGGGGCGTACATCTTCACCGAATTACTTTCACTGCCAGTACTCCAGAGCTTGAGAGGCACGGAAGCAGAACCATGGTTGACATTGTTGGAGATCTTCAGTTGGGGCACGTATGAGGAGTACAAAGGTAGAACACCAAGGTGGTATGGTGGTAGCCATTGGGGACTTGTATGCTAATGGACTTCTCATGTTCGTAGCCGACCCGTCTCTTCCACCCCTCGACGAAGCTCAAACCTTCAAATTACGCCAGCTTAGCCTCCTGAGTCTGGCCTCACCATTCGCTCCGACCAGCAACAACAACACAACAGCGAATGCTTTGACCTACCCTGCGCTCCTCGCCTCCCTCCTGCTTTCCACCCCGCAAGAGCTAGAATCCTTGATCACACAGTCAATCTACTCTGGCCTCCTCACCGCTCGTCTCAGTCCCACGTCGACTCCGCCGACCGTACACATCATGTCCGTGGCCCCTCTCCGTGATCTACGCCCACACTCCCTTCCCGTCCTCTTGCAGATCCTGCAGACATGGGAATCGCGCTGTGTCTCCGTCGTGAGCGACCTCGAAGCGCAAATTGCCGCCGTTCGAGCAACAGCGCAACAGAGAGCGATACAAGAGAGAAGCCGACAGAGTGAGGTGGACTCGCTCGTCCTGAGGGATGACCGACAGCAGGCATCAAGTGAGAATGGCTTCAACGGACGTGCCGTTCGCGGCGCTGGATTTGGCGCAGGTCAACGTCCTCCTAGTAAGCGGGATCTTGATCAGCAGATGGAAGGCGAAGGGGACGACGTAGAGGATGACTACGAGGAGGGCAGGATGGACTTGGACGAGGGTATCAGTGACAGTGCAGGTGGCTTTGCAGGGTTTGGATCGCGAGGCGGCGGGAGCGGAGGTTCACGAGGTGCAAAGCGAAACCGTGGACGAGGGTCAAAATGATATCCCTTTGGATCTGCACATCAATTATTGACTGCATAATCGAACCGACCGCATGGCTACGAAGTGGCACCACTTGGGCGACTCAAGAGGGTCTACTCTGAAGATATCGTCGGAGAAGAGCTCGCAGGGTGGAAGTAAGTGCTCACACAGAACCAAAACTGGGCCCCAGCAATGGAAGCATATCCTACTAAATATTACGGCTGGTTGATCTCGAGCAAGGACACCAAGGGACGTCGGCTCTGAGCGATGCACGGTATCCACGTACTTACCATGTGCCAGAACGCCATTAGACCGGCCCGATGCAAGCGCCAGCATGAGCTGAGCTTGAGCGGATTGCTTCGAGAGGCTTTTACCGGGAGTCTATCCATCCATACTGCCTTCTGGATCCCCTCGAATGGATCAACAGGGGGGGCGGGGGAAATAGAAAAGGACAAATATGTCCCGTGAGGATTAGATGAGAGAAATGATAACGAACCATTACGCAAGGATAATGACCCCCTTCTTCTTCCCCATCCATCTCCTCTACCTTAGGTACCTAGGTCCTCTGCTCTCCCTTACCTTCTTCTACAAGCGACAAAACGAGACGAAAGATTGGGCAGACCCAAGTACAATCAAACTCAATGTATGACATTCGGGGGCATATGAACGAGCTCAGGTGTCCAGTCTTTTTTGCATAGCTAACAGCATACATATCCAAGCGCTCCATGTGTCTTTTCCTGTTGTTTTGTTTTGATCCCCTGCCTCAAACCTGGTTGTGTTTGCCAGAGATATCGTGACTGTAGAGAGACGTTTTGCTGTTTGCTGCCAATCAACTGTATCTTTCCAGCCTCTGTGCATGTTCTCATCGTTTGTTGCAGGTTGCAGTTAGATCGGTGGCTGCATGTTGCCGCATTCACCATGACTGACTCCACCAATAACGCCTTTGGTCTCCCATTACAGAACAGAATTCGACCTCGTTCGTTTCGCTGCTTCGCTGGACATGAAGCATTGAACATCCCACCACGCTCCGATCCCCGCCATTCTCCAAGCACACAGAACGCCGATCCGACTGTCCTCATTTACATCACTGCGAATTCATTACGCTTCCACCCAGCCCTAGAACCTCGTGCCCGGCACAAATATAAACAAGACACTCAATGCTACCGCCGTTGCCGCAAACATCAAGAATGCAATAGTCGCTCGCGTCAGAAGCAGTCGACGCACAAACGGCTCTCTGACGCGTGACCAGTTCATCCATGTGTATTCACTAAATCCCAGGTAGGCAGCAACGATGTCGAGCTTGTATTGGTAGGAGACGAGGAAGTAGCAGCCGATGGTAAAAGGAAGGATAAGCTAAACGTTTTGGTTAGTGGGTTGAATGACGACGGGCCTAATAGGTGGAATCCTTACCCAGCAGCGAGTGGCCCTCGACCTATCCCGCAGAATCATGTAGTAACCGGCCCAAAACCCGGCCATCAAGCTCGCAAGACCAATAGCGAGCCTGATCAACACGCTCAATGGGACCAGATTTCCCAGGGCTTTGGCCTGCAAAAACCCTGGAAACGCATCCCTCTCCATCGCCTGAAAGACGTAGTCCTTTGCATCGTCAAACACTTCTGGATCATCTCGTCCTTCCTCCTCGATTGCTCGAATGATCCTGTTCAGCATAGTGTCTGGCAAGACAATTTCTCGCTCTGATCCAGGCAAGACAAAAGTGTAGAGGATCTTCTCCGCGCTGGCTTTAATGTCGGCCCTAGCGACACTATGTCCAGGAGAATTCGAGTCCGTTCGCACTTCAGGGGTAGAGTAGGACGGTTGTGGCAGCTCGGACGGCGAGGGTCGGTCGCCGGAAGGACGACTGAGGTTTCTTGAATTTGCTGATCCCAAGCTGTGGGAAGGTGAGTGCTCGGTAGTAGCACCGCCTCCTTCTCTGCTTCGAGGGGGCTTTGGGCCTGCAGCACCAGCACCTCCGTTATCTGATCTTAAGATGGCAGACACTCTTGATTCGTGACCACTCTTTCTTGAGTCTATTCCTTCGCCGAGTTCAAACTGTTCGAGCAACGCCGAAGACCTTTTGCTGGTGGTCTTTTCCATCTCGGGCGTATCGACGAGCATCGACCGGCGCAGTTCTCGGACATAGTGGCGGCACAAGGACATATGTTGAGAGACATCGAGCCTTTGAACAAGTCAACATTGATTCAAGCCTTGAATTCGGGTTGAAAACAAACCAAAAGTCCAGGTAGTCCACCGAGCGTTGCTGGTCACGCATGTAAATGTAGAATGAAAACAAATCAACCGGAGCCAAAGTTCTTCTTCCCAGAACCTCCATCAAAGTGGGCAGTCGGTTGCGGACCTCGACATCCTCACCCCGGCTCGCTGGTTGTGCCATTGCGTTTGTTGACCTTTACGATACGCGCAGGAGACTGCTTCACTCGCGGTGTCGCTTAACGGTCTCGACGGGCAAGGAGTCGCAAAGTCCCTCGAAGTGAGAGTGGTGTATTGCACTCGCTGCACTCCGGTTGCAGCGAACGGACCTTGTCTCTTGGGGTACTTTGTGTCGTCGAGGTGAAGGGGAAGTGACGTGAGGACTAAGTTACGGGGGTCGCGCAGGAGGCTGGTGGATCTGGGATTACATGGTGGACATGATGGGCGAAGTGACGATAGCGAGCGTGTTGAAGTGAGATCAGCCAACGGTGAATGTGTGTACAGGTTCAGCAAGGACTGGACCGTCTGGTCTCTGTCTTGTCTTATCGAAATTGAGGTCGAGGTAATGGTGTACCGTGGGAAAAGCAGGGAAGGTAACTGGCAAGGGAGCGACCTTCAAGTTGGGCAACGAACCTTGAATTGGACGCGGCCGGGGCAACCCCCTGCATCTGCCAGTACAGCATCTGATTGGTTCCCCAGCTGGTCCGAACAATCTTCAGGTCCCCGGAGTTTGTCACCCAGTCTCAGTCTTCGCGAACAGCCACATAAACCACAACAACCTGCACACTGCATGGCAGTTTGTCATTTAACACTAATAATTGTCCGTGGCACCAAGTGCCTACTCGTACGTATTGTCGCTGGTGATTCGGACTTTGCCAATATTCTCTGTGGAACCTATAGGCGTGCCTTATGCGAAGCTCAAGGCACCACTGGACAGTGCTGTTTATCTCTGTCTCATGTCTCCCATAGTCGTGTCTTCAAGGATCAATTTGATAGAACGCCTCTGATGCAGCCTGGGTATCACATCGTATGCAACGAAAAATCAAGCAAGATCATTATGCCATGTCTTCGTCCAGTTCTCATCGCCAACTAAACGCCATCCCCGAGTCACAATGCTAGAGTACAACCACCAATCGTCGTGTAGGTCTGCAGATAACGCGTCAAAAAGTAGGTGCTTACTCTGCAAGGTGCTGCATCAACCATGTCAGCGTGTCGGAACTCCGAAGTATTGTCAGGATATAACCACTCACCGACCACTCCGGGATATTCTTGATCTGTTGCCACATGAACTTTTCCAGCTTGTTCGCACTTTTGGCGTATGGCGTCGTTTCGTTGTTGTAGCGCCGGCAATTGTCGAAGATGAGTTTGGCGTCCTTGATGAAATCTTCCGGCCTAGGATACAGATCGTTTTGTAGTCGTTCTTCCATTGTTGACAGGTCCATCGGCTCTTTGATGACTTCGTAGTAATCGGGGACCTCATCCTTGTTCACCGGCTGGGCAAACGGCCACGCTGCTGTATGGTTCTGCATGTCGTTGAGCAAGTGAAGAAGCTGATTGTAGTTCGGGCCGTGTCGAGGCTGTCGGGAAAGTTCGTCCATCGAAGGAGACCATCCAGACTCTTTGATAGCCGGAATTGACATGGGGTCTATCTCGACGACGCCGTTCTTCCATTGTGCCGGTGGAGGGTGAACAATGTGGGACTTGCTCACGGCTCGGATCTTGGCCATGACTGCCTCCTTCTGCTTCTGAAGCATTCGAGGAGCTTGCAGATAGCGGATCTTGGGCAACATGCTGCATTGCATGATTGTTCCTCCTTCGTAATCTTTGATATATCCCATCCAAATCGACTTCTCCAGGGTGATCTCTTTGGTGAAACCCTGCTTTTTAAAGTAACCAATCGCATAGTTGTCGGCGTAGGTCAAAAAATACATGATCGGCGAGGTAGCCTTGACATAGTCTTTCAAGTGCGCCATCAGATGGGCGCCGTACCCCTTGACCTGCTGATCTGATGAAATGGCGCAAAAGACAATCTCAGCAAACCTTCTCGAGTTGAACGGTCGGTATGTGATACCACCTACCACCTCGAGAGGCTGCTTGACAATTGCGATGGACAGATGTGTTTTATCGTATACCAGACGAGCGATGTAATCCTTGGGCATTTTTGGCAGTTGCTTTTGGAAAATGCATTTCAGTCCAGTCAAGATAATGTTGCTCTCCCTCGAATTGTCATTGTTGACCACCCTGAACTCAATAAATCCTTGTTTCTCTTCAACTACCGCCGGCTTCTCGGGAAAATCGACGGGGGTGGGGGTGATAGGAGGGTCTGTGTCGGACTGCTCAGAGAAGAGATTAGCCTCGATTGTTTTCAAAGCAGGGCGCTCAGCCTGGGAAGGAAAGTGAGAAAGAATGCCGTAGTCTTCAAGGTATGAGAGGGATATGGTTGAATCCGAGGCGGTAGAAATGTTCGACTCGACGCGATACAAGTTATCGTCAGGCGGAAAGGTTCCCACTTGGGGAGGGTTGAAAGGCATAGTGGCGGAGATCTGGGACGGTAGTTGAATTTACCTCTTCGTGCTTGATACCATCTTCCAGTACTGGCGATTCGGTTCTGGCTTTTTTAGAACGTGAAGATGCGGCATCCTCAGATGCCTTCCTCTTAGTATCTGCGTTGTGCACAGTGTTAGTAAGGGTGCACGTATCCCTCTGCCGCACCCAGGGGTGCTCACGTTCACCATTTATAGGCGCCATCGAGGCGATTCCAAAAGCCTGAGTATAGTGAACAATCTCTTATATAAAACGTCGAAAGATGCCGAAGGGTGTTGTCGCAGTCAAGAGCCAGTCATCAGCCACGAAGTCGTGAGGCACCCAAGAGGCGATTCCAGCCGCGGTCGAAGATACTGAGACGATCATTACCTTGGAAGGATTAGCGCGGACCCTCGGAATTGTTTCCCGAAACAGACTCTCTGTGCAGTCGCGTCTTCCTTCCAGGAGACCACCTAGACACCTAGACACCTAGACCACCTTGCATCTGCGGGCGTCTGCTAGCCCTCAAATTTCTACCAGACCATACGCTCGAAGCTGTTCTTGGTGGTACTTGACGGCCTTGTTACCTAGGCACTCACCTCAATGTCGCTCTACGAAGTCTGGCAAGCAGCCGCAGGCAGCCCTTTCCAGCCAACGGTTGGCAAAGAAAGCCAGTTGACCGTAGGACTGTTTCTGTTGCTCATTGGTGAGACTCCTACCTTGTACACGCATTGGGGACTTCTACTGACATGTCAGGGCTGATATTCACTGGACTCTTCGCGTTGAACAAATCTCCTCTTTCGATACCTGTCTTCGGACTCCCTGCCTCCCTGGCATTTGGGTGCGTGCTGGAGGTGGGCTGCTGATTGACACAAATATTGACTTAAGAGTAGGTTCGGCGCGGTCTTCGCGATTTGCGGATTTGGCGTCTATGTCTAAGATTCTGTCGACCATTCCCTACTGCATACTGGGATCAACAACTACCGGGTTTCAACTTGTCTAAAAGTTCATACTCCTAAAATGGCCAGCCCTCCCATCTTCACGGCAATATCTACCTCTGCTAGGCAGTTGTATCTCTTGCTTCGGTGCATTGCTTTCTCTCAGCGCGCCGAGGTCGAGATCACCCAACAAGGAATCAAGTTCTCCGTGGAGGAAGCGCGAGTTGTTCAGGGCCTAACCTTTCTCGACAAGGCTCTGTTCTCGTCGTATAATCTGAGACTCAATGACGAAAATCATTCATTGCCCATCTTTTCAGTCTCTATTGTTGCTCTCCTCGAAACACTCCAAATCTTTGGCATTGCTGAAGCCACTTCCTCAGCTCGCAATCCCTACGGTGGATTTTCATCCTCGTATGGAAACGCCTTCAACACTCCGGCTCTGGCGCTTGGAGGCACATGTCGAATCTCTTACCAAGAGGCTGGCGCACCGCTCACTATCACCATTCAAGAGGGATCAGTCACCACAACATGCGACATGAACACGTACCAAGCTCATGACGATTATGGTGACGATGGCGGTATCCCCTTGGACCGGAACGCGTTGTGTTTGAAAGCAATCATGCGAAGTACTTGGCTGAACGACGCTATTGGAGAGCTCTCGGGTACCAATCCAACTGTTCTTGTAATCAATGCATCAAGCCGTAATGCCCCTTTTTTCTCATTGGAGGGTGAAGGAGGCCCGTTTGGCGACAGCACTGTGAACTTTATGCCTGAATCGAAGCACGAGCCTACTCCCAGCGGACCAAGAGGAAAGAAGCAACCCTTGGTTACGGAAACATTTTCGGTCGTTGCGCCATCTGGAAGCCACGGCAGGGTCTGCCAGAGGTACAAGTTTGACATGATCAAAAGGGCAGGGAGGGTAATGGCCTTTGCCAGCAAAGTCAGCATTCGTCAGGATCAACAAGGGGTACTTAGCCTGCAATTCATGATTGATTTGGGGGACGGTGCCAACGCTGGCCCACGACGAGATGACAGTGCGACCGTCAATGCACCACCTACGCCTGGCAGTGTTGCTTTTGTTGATTTCAGATTTGTTCCCCTTTTGGATGACGAGGAGACCGGGAGTAACGGCGAGCTTGAAGATGAGACGTCTGAAGACCTGGACCTGGAACCAGACAATGAAAGTCCTTGATCGAATTTGTCCACCAATGCTTTCACATGCAATGCCTGGAGCCCTCTCGATCGCCCCTCTTATTTTGCCTCCCACTGTTCACTTTACTTTCAAACACCTTGAGCACATTTCATTCAGCTTTTACCACAAATAGTAGGCCCGACGACAGTGAACCAGTCTCTTATTTGGTCGCACGTACAGTCAGGAACAACATTCTGTCGTTCTGGATGAACATCATTCTCCTCCTTAATATTTTCAGAGCTCCTTCGCCCAGTTCTCGCGCACTTTCGACTGCGCACACGATACATTGTCTGACCACTAGAAGAAAGAGACGATTCGGTAAATGTGCACGGGTCTCGCAAGCCTCATCCCGATTTACGGTTGATATCCTTGATCTGACCACCGAAAGGGTGGTTTTCATTGGCTTCGTTCACTCGACTATTCTCATTCGACCCTCAAATTTTCCTGGATAGCAACAATATGCCCAAGTCAAAAAGACTGACGGCCTCAATTCCGGGATGCTCCGTTCCGGCCGAATATGTTTTCTCCGACGCTGCACTCTTCACACAGAAATGGTGGTCGAATGTAGTGAAGACGGATGCGTTTTGGACGGACCTCGGCAGACACCTTTCCCAAACAGTGATCAAGAAGAGAATCGTGATTGGGATCAACACAGGGACGGAGGGTCACGGCCACTCACAGTCCCAGTCCCCGTCCCAGTCCCAACAGAAGCGGGACCTGTCCACATCTGCTACAGCTAGCAGCCCTGATGTCAGCGGAGAAGGACCGAAAGACGAGCTGGCGAGAGAGGTGGAAGAGCTCCGCGAAATGGCGGCAGAGGCTGGAGACACCGTGATAGGCGAGCGCAAACGCCTCCGCAAACCGAATACCAACGGTAGGGGCGAGTGCTTTTCGTGCGGGAAGCTCTGTTCGTGGTACGAGCTGGATTTCGACGATTCCAGCAGCCCTATCTGCACCGCGTGCATGGATGACAGCCACGCGAAGACGGATAATAACACCACCGTCGAAGTCGAAATGCTGAACGTTCAGCGCGAGGTAGCACACAAATCTGTGGGCAGCAGCCAACCCACCAGGCAACCAGCTACACATGTCACTAAGGTCGTGAATGAAGCGGAGCTGCCTGGTGGGATACCAGGAGGGCGGACGAGCGTCAATTCTAGATCAAGTCATAAGAGGGTTCGTGAAGACAGCCAACCTACCAGGCCAGCCACAAATGTGATCAAAGTGACGGACGATGACGTGGAGCAGCCCGGCGAGATGCGGCGAAAAGGACGGATGAGCACGGCCTCGAAATCACGTCAGAAAAGACCCCATGAAGACAGCGGGCAGATGGTCACGATCCAAGGCTGCGAATTTCTGGTGTACATGGATGAGGTTGGCAAGGCTCAGCTGGTGAAGCTCGAAGAGCAATCGAGCAAGCGGGTCAAGGCGCTGGGCGAGAGATGAAGGGACCCTAGGAGCACATGATAAAAGCAAGGAGGGCTTGAAGGGACAACGAGGCTGCCTGGCAAACAGGGTACCTACCTAGGTAGTCACATCTTGGATATCTTGATATCTGGTCCAAGTGGAAGAATAGTTTTGTGCTATCTGGAGAGGAAGTATTCGAGACAACATGTGAGCTTGGAAGAGGAATTGCTCCTAAGATGTCTTGACCTCGTATTCGACCGTATTGTGCATCTCCGACCATATAATAGGAAGACAGAATCCTTCGCCAGTTGAAGTCCAATATCCTCAAGCATTTCACATACTAAGCCGTCTTCATCATCGTTGTACACCTTTTCCCCCTTTTCCCTTTTTTCTCCTGTAGACATCAACATAAGTGTGTAGAAGGACGTGAAGAGCCGTAGTGTCTGGTCCCGAGCGATGAAGCTTATTCAGGCAGGGATTGTCAGGGTCCATCAGTTTGACAACCATACTAAGGTTGTATGAAGCAAGTCCTGCGAATATATTAGACAAGATCTGTACAGTACTTTTTTTAGTAAACAATTTGTCTCTCACCGGGCAGAGCACACGCGAAATCTTTACACACCGGCCAACTATTCTCGTCTTTCGGAAGTATTGATTCAACGGAAATTCCGGCAGCTCTTATCAGGACTGCCATGCATCGGCGATCAAAGCCGGATGGCCGAATATTCCACCCAAAATGAAGCCGGGTTAAGGCCCGCATGAAGCAACATTTCCCACGATTTCCCTTGGTGATTTCGCGTTCCATGGAGGCACATCGACTGGAGGCCCTCGGACTCTTTCGGACACGTCGGACGGCGCTCTCAGGCAGTTCGCATGCGTTGCGCAGCTATGGACCCCTGAGCCAGGCAGTCTTGGCATTCATGACACAAAGCGAGAAGTCCAGTTTTTCCCAGGCCATTTACCCTGATTTTATACGCAAATGTGCGAATATTATAGTGATTACGAGGTAGCCCACGGCGTGTAAGGTCGTCGATATATTTGAGAAGTCGCTCTTGCTGGGCTCGAGACAGGAGACTGCATTGCTCGCGGTAGTCCTGTCGGGATTGGGTTTGGCCTTTTTTCCGTCTGGACAGCGTTGTTCGATACAATTGGGTAGAACTATCGTCCTTAGTCGATAGAGCAGCGCTCTGAGCTTCCTGAATCCATCTGGTTTGACTGGATTTGATGGATTGGTCGTGGAGATATCGCATGGTGAAGGTTGTGGGTGGACGCGTCTCGAAGGCGCGCATACTGTGTGGGGTGGTGCACGCTGTGGGGAGACCACCTAACGAGGGTCTCCAGGCGGTGCCAAGTTCGTCGGGATCCCTATTGGCCGTGATGGAAAGACCCCGCCCATGAAGAAAAAAAATCAGCATATATATTTTTCAAACTCCAAAAGTTCTCGTAAATTAGTCCCTGGACCCCTGGCGCAACGGTAGCGGTATGTGTACAAACCCTTGTTAGGTAACTTGTTATCACTGATTATTGTGAAGCGTTCGACTCCAGCACTGGTATCGGTATGTTGAATTCGGTCATATCGCCTAAATCTGGCTAATCCCTTCCAGAAAGGTTATCTGTGTACGTATCTCTACCGCCCAAGTGAAAATGCTTCATTCCGCTAATTCGTTTCATTCAGTCAAATCAGGTGGGGTTCATCTTTACTTTTTGCTGCTCTCCTTGTTTCTAGGCTTGATGCGGTACGCCGAATTATATTTTTTTGGCACCCTCTGAAAACGAAGTAGGATTGTGACTCTTCAGGCACAGCATTTCACCAGATTATTCTGAATCTGGTGCCGGAGTGTACGTTGCAGCACAGCCCACACACATCTGCCACTTTCCACAGAACAGATGCTTTGAGAGGCAGGTATAGCCGATCGCTAGGGGCCTGATTAGGCCCCCGGTGTATTTACTCAGCGAGTGCGTGCTGCTCAGCTAAAGGACTCAGTCACAGCTCAGGCTAAAGCGGCCTTCGCTCACCCACTAAGATCAAACCGTATATGGCAGTTAGGTTTTTCATTCTCGAGTAATTGAGGCAGTTATCTTAGGTACTAATGGAGTTTCTCTCAGCGAGCTAGACCACTATCGTTAGGCTACCAATGGAGTCAGCGGGCTCCCTATTGCTGCTGGTAAATCGCTTTACTAAGCGGCCCCGGACTCGGAGTGGACGACGCCCGCCCCTCGACCGGCTAGATGGCCGCGCCACAAAGAAAACATTCAGCCAACGTCATCTAGATTGTTTTGTGGTGGTCGCCCCTCATCGACACTCGTATATACAGCATCAAATCTGTGGGTTGACGAGAATGTCTCCTGCATCATCATCATCATCATCTATTATCCTACGACCCCGACATCCACCACCACCATGGCCGTTGATGCGGATGACGAAGACGCCCGAACGATGGAGCGCATGGCCTCCAACAACCCGGCCATGACGGTGCCGGCCAGCCAGAAGATGCAGGTGGTCTCGCGACCGGACCTCAGCAACCTGCGCTCGCGAAGCAGCACTGCCCACCCTCACTCCGCGAAACACATGCGACGATCTGATCCGTCAGGTGGGGAGGATGCCGAGTCCATCACCCCTAGCAGCATCCTGAAATCCTCGACGTCGTCGCCAGGAGGAGTATCAGCAGATAATATGCGCCCACCGTCCAAATACGACGTCGGCTGGCGGCGCGTAGTCCGCAACCTCTCACCGTCCTGGTTCAGCGTGACCATGGGGACAGGCGTCTGCTCCTTACTCCTCATCGCCATCCCCTTCCCTGCCCGGTGGCTCTACTGGCTTTCCGTGATATTCTTCATCCTCAACACCTGCCTCTTCACCCTGCTCCTCTCCGCCTCCATCCTCCGCTACACGCTGTATCCCGCAATCTGGTCCGTCATGATCGCCGACCCCAACAACTCGTTGTTTCTGGGGACTATCCCCATGGGCTTTGCGACTCTTGTCGAGAGCTGGATCTTTTTGTGTTGTCCGTATTGGGGGTATTGGAGCGTCTGGGTCGCTTGGGTGGCGTGGATGGTTGATTCGGTTGTCGCTATTGCGGTCACGGTGTCGTTGCCGTTTTTGCTCATGAGTCAGAGGGATGCGCAGGGGTTGGAGAGGATCACGGCCGCCCAGTTGTTGCCGATTGCGAGTACCATTGTTGCGTCTGGGGCTGGTGAGTGTGCATTTCCTCCCCTTCGGGAAACCTTGAAGGATCGAAAGCCCCAAGGTGTACCCTTTCTGTTTACTGGGACAGGAGATCTGATGGTGATGGTGCTAACGAATGTCTCCAGGAAGTGAGATCGCCGCCCTGCTAGATTCCCCGGACCACGCCCTGGGCACGTTGATAACCTCGTACGTAATGTGGGGTATGGGTAAGTGCTTTACCATTTCTACGAAATCCTGCGTCGTCGCTGGGAGGGTGGCAAAGGAAGAACCATTCCCACTCCAACTCCCTGCCCCGTCTGCTACTACTCCCTGGTTTCTCCAGTGCTATATGCTAACGGAACCACAAAACCAGCAACGCCCCTCGCCATCACAGTCCTGGTCATGTACTATCAACGCCTAGCCCTGCACAAGCTCCCACCACGCGAAGTCGTCGTCTCCTCATTCCTCCCATTGGGACCCCTGGGCATGGGCGGGTACACGATCATGTACCTAGGCAAAGTCTCCCGTCTCGTCTTCCCGCGCGTCCACTTATTCCAGGACAACCTCGGCCCCCTGGCCGGCGACGTCGTCTACGTGCTCGGCTTCTTCGTGGCGCTCATCATGTGGGGGTTCGGCCTGTGCTGGCTCGTGTTCGCCCTCGCCACCATCTACTCGACCCGTCCGTTCCCCTTCAACATGGGCTGGTGGGGGTTCACCTTCCCCCTGGGTGTGTATGCCCTCTCCACCATGACTTTTGGGGTTGAGATGCCCAGCATGTTCTTCAAGGTCCTTGGTACTATCTTCGGAGTCGCGGTTATACTGCTGTGGTGTGTTGTTGCCGCGGGGACGGCCAGGGGCGCTTGGGGCGGAGAGCTGTTCTATGCGCCGTGTTTGAGGAATTTGCCTAATAAGAGAGACGGTGGTGATGAGAGGGAGAAAGGTGAGGCGATGGTGGATAAGGAGAAATCACCGGGCAATTGAAAAGTTTTGGACAGTTTGTGTACAATATCATTGGTATTTCACGTATATATAGATGGCTACTTGAGCAATGAAAAAAAAAAAGAGTCGTGTCGCTAGCAAAGTCAGGGCCGTCGTGTCTTGGATAATCAGAGAGCCCGGACGCCTCCCTGAGCAGGAGACGACATTTATTGCCACTAATGCTGCCACTATGAGACACTATGGGGGACTGCGACTTTTACACCGGCATCACCAGAGACAAGAAAGCACAAAAGGCGCCAAAGATCAAAGTCGCGACTGCGGTGGCCACGTGTTTCCATTTTGGCTTTCTTTTATCTCAAAAATTAGCCGCCTTCTCAAACGAAAAGCAGGTACCAGCCGAGCATACCGCCGAGTTTTTGTCTGAACAGAGGCTTGAGATGTATTCTCCCAGCATGGGCTAATAGTATAGTGCTTGCTGCCACCACGCGCAGCGACGGTTGGCGTCCGGATCCGTCATGTGCGTGATCCCCGTGACATTGAGGACGGTTTCCTCCGCGTTGGGCCCGTAGAGTGGGAAGAACGGCACTCCCGTCCCATTGGCACTACCGGTCTGGACAAAGTCGACGATATATTTTTGGAGTTCCTGTGCCACGGGGGCCACGACGCCGCTGCCGTTGACGGGCCCGTTGAAGAAAGTATACGGCACGTCCTGGCCGTGCAGCGCGGGGGCGACGGCGAACTGGTACTCGGAGATGTTGGCGCCGTAGGCTTTGCCCATGTAGTTGACGTTGCAGGTGAAGAAGCTCTCCTGGACCATCAGGGTGGCGCGCTCCACGGGGGTGGTGTAGGGCATGGATCCGTCGTACTTGGCCGGGTATAGCGTGTCCAACAGGTGCGAGATTGCAGAGTCTGAAATGTCGGGGAAGCTGACTCTGAGCTGTGTAGTCTCGGCGGCGTTGGTCGTGACCCGCGGATCGGTGAACAGAGGTCCCTCGTTGCTGTTGTGCCCGGCCATGACTTTGACGTTCGACGCAAACTGGCCCCGTGCCAGGAGCCGGCCGGGCTGGTCGGGAACGAAGTTGCCGTCGACCACGGGCCCGTATGTGAAAGCACCGTAGTTTGACATGGAGACTTGCAGAGCATTGGCTGCCATGACCTTTGCAGACGGGAGATTGCGGGCGTCCTCAATCGACGTCACATTCAGCAGGGCCAGGAAGGCCTGCGTCGTGTTTTCCTTCTGGAAGTTGCTCGACACTGGGAGCCAGGCGCCAGATTGAGGGATCGCCTGCTGGAAAGGCACCGACTTCAACCCGCCGTACGCGGTCATCTGGTGAATAACCGATCCGCCGCCAGCAGACTCACCCATGACTGTTACTCGGTTTGGGTCCCCTCCGAACAAATGAATGTTGGTCTGAACCCATTCGAGCGCCAACCTTTGGTCATACAGACCGGCATTGGACACGCCGCCGTCTGCTGCCTCGATGGTAGGTCCAGAAAGCCAGCCAAATGCTCCGAGTCTGTAGTTAAGCTCAACGAAGACGATCCCATCTGAACCGTTGGCCTGACTGGTGTGGATGAGGCCTGAGGGATTGCCAGATCCATCCTTCCAGCCTGCCGTATACCCACCCCCATATATCCTATGAAAGTGTCAGGAGGACAGCAATATAGAGCCATTCAATGACCATAACCATGGTGGAGACATTTCAAAATACATTCAAGTCTCAGAAAACAACGTATTACCACGATACGAACTGAATAACAAGCCAGTACTCACCAGACAAGTACCGGAGCACCTTTGTATCCACTGGTCTTGTTTTGTGCTTTGTCAAAGACAGATTTTGGAGAAAACACGTCGAGAAACAAGCAGTCTTCCTTCATCCTCGGATCAGGCGGAGAAGGCTTTGGCGGGTTGGCTTGGAGCTGAGCCACAACTGCACTGTAGTTAAACGGTTTTCCTTCCGCAAAGTCGGTGGTATACACTTCCGCGATGGCAAGCCAGTCTGGGTCCGCTTGAGGGCAGATTGCGCCAACACTGCCATCTGATACCGTCGTGTTGCGACCCGTCGGAGGCACAGGAGCGGCAAAACGGAGTTTACCCAATGGTGGTTGGGCGTAGCGGATGTTGCTGAAGTTGTAGACTTGACCTGTAGCCTGTGATCAACGTAGCCGGCTCAGTCAACTCGCAGCTTGTTAGATGGTGGGAAGGAAGCATACGTTGAAGGATGACGCTTGCTGTATTTGGTAACCCAAGTCGACCTGAGGCAAGCTCTGCGCGCTGACCATAGCCCATAGACCCCAGAAGCTGGAACAAAGCCAGGCAAGGGCGAAAGTTGAAGGTTTCATCGCTTTGAAGCTTCTGGTGAAAGGGTGATGGGTCGAGAGTGTCCAAAATTGTTCAGAGGCGGGAGGCAGTGGAGAGATAGGTGCTTTGCAGGAAGCCGCCCCATGACGTTCTTATAGCCAGGTTTTCCTGGCCGAGTAGACACAGAAACATCCTTCCATGCGAGTTGATAGCTAGGCACACCTCCGTGTAACTGACCCGGTCTGCGTGGGGTTCCCTGGCAGGATTCGAAACTGGTTATTGAGCAGGAACTGCACGCGAAATGGTCTCGGCAGTTGGGTGTAACTCCGAACGACGCATCATTGACACACTGTATTCGGGCTTCGATCTGAGAACGGATAGCGCGGCGCGGGCAATGTCTGCTGCAACTGCCAGATGGCATACTTGTGGAGGCGAGCGAGATATACCCCGCGTTAGTGGAGTTGTTTTGAGATCCATCTCCAGACGAAACTGGGGAGTATCGGGGCTCTCAGACATGGAGTCCGCCATCCTAGACCGTAGGTAGTCAAGACGGTGTGCCGCACAATCGGCTTGATTGATGGGTTTCGTCCGGGTACCGGGAATGCATTAGCCATGCATGGCTGGCACTAGGAGCTAATGACGCTGGCGTAAATTGAGGAGGTGAGTGTTTGCAACTGAGGTCGTCGAAGGCCGTTGAGTTATCTTTGATAAACTGAAAGAGCAACGCGGCTGAAACGAACTCTCTCGTGTATGCTGACAGGCTCGCTTCTTGCATAAATCGATCGGTAGAGTAGAGGGCTAACACAAAAGTAAAGGTTGGATGCATGGATCCATAAATCGACCCACAGCGAAGAAGCACAGCAAAGCATGGCAAAGCTTGGTCAGCCAAGGCTAGTAGATCCTGGGGTTATGCTTTATATAGAAGGAGGAGACGGCGACGCGGGATGCTGTAGGTGGCTGACAGAAACAAGCTGGGGACGAATGACACGACTGCCTCGTCGACATCTGCTCGGTACCGAGGGAGTCAAAATGCGGAGTAGGTGGTCGGCCGCTATGCATCAAAAGAGGTAGAAGGCCGATTCGTCGTCCTTCTCAAACTTCCTCTTCCGGACAGAGCTTCATTGTTGTTCGTATGGAGGAAGGAAGATGTAGACTTTTTGTAAAGGTGCCGAACTCGAACATGAGTGGTGCAGTCACTCACTAGTCATCTTGGTTTCCAGCAGACTTACCTGGTGGCAGATAGAGCACAATAGACCCAAAGCTCAGGACGCGGAAGAGTCGAGGCTTTTGTGTAACCTGTCCGCCGAAGATTCATAGCTGAAGAAAGGATTTCGTCTGGAAGAAGAGGAGATGCATATAATATACCGAGTAGGTAGTGTTCTGGCTGTCACGTTCGTCGAGTGAGACACTAAAACCCGAAGTAGATTTGGTGTTCCGCGGATTCTGGGGGGCCTGATGGAGCGCCTTCTGCGCTCCTCTATAAGACCGGCAGTTAGTCGTGCATCAAGAGCTCCAAGCGAGGTGTCCGCGGTGTTGTATAGATTCCCAAACCCTCTCGGTCAGTTCGCAGGAGTATCTGGGAGGACATCACAGCCACCAATTCAAGACCAGTCAGAAATCGATGCTGTCATTTTGTATATTTAATATAATTTGAGTGGGTTGAATCACACGCCTCCCGTCGGGTGCGTGGGATCAATCCATTTCACTCCTTCTGGGTTCTCCACGGGCACGACGTCAGGCAGATTCACCGCAATAGCCTCGCCGTCGCTTCTCATCAACACACACTCCAGCTCTTCGTCTTCCTTCGCGTTGATCTCCTGGTGTGGCACGTAAGGAGGCACGTATATGAAATCCCCCGGCCCAGCCTCGGCGGTGTATTCCAACCTGTCGCCCCACCGCATTCGTGCCTTGCCTTTGACCACGTAGATGACGCTCTCCAAATGACCGTGGTGGTGGGCGCCGGTTTTGGCATTGGGGTGAATCTTGACGGTCCCTGCCCACAGCTTTTGCGCTCCTGTTCTCGCGGTGGTTATAGCGGCGGCTCGACTCATTCCCGGGGTCTGAGCCGTATTGGCGTCGAGGCTGTCTCCAGGAATGACCCGGACACCGCTTTCCCTCCATCCATCCGGAGGCTGGTCGCTTGATGAGGTGGCCTGGAAAAGATGAGCTGGTCCAGAGTGGGAGTGGGAGTGATCGTGTGAATGGCCATGAGAGTGAGAGTGGGAGTGCTGCTCGGACATCTCCACGACGTTTGCTTTGTTCTTTCCTTTTGGATGATTTTCGTCGCAACAGGACTGCCAGAGGGTCTTTCGAAGCGCCTAGGTTCCTTTCCAAACCTTTTTGTTCGGCCTTTGATGAATCAGAGAGAACTTAACAGCTGCGGGAAATGCTGCCAATCTTTTGCAATGGTGATGTGCGTATGGTCTGATCGCTCAACTGAGGATTGGAGAAGGAGCGAGAGTTTGTTTTGATGTTCCTCCGATAGTCCGATGTCGCCATAATTTCGTGTCTCTGGCTGTGTAGACCACAGTACGCCTATGGAAACGTACGGGGATGCTTTTGCCCATACGTGTAGTCCAGCCGCAGAAACCGTCGACGTCAGGTTCTGAAGCCTCGCTCCTTTCTCCATCAGCTCGATATGCCCACCTGACCGCGGTTGACTGGCTCGCAAACGGGTGTAGGACATCGATTGACAGTGCTGGCTTCTCTGGAGAGGCTGACCCAGATCTCGGGCAGAAATGTGTCTCCCTCGACTGTCACATACGGCCCTCCCCGTTCTGACGACCCTGATCGGCTCTGGAGCTCTCATTGTCGGCTTATGGAGCTTCATATCTCCAGAATCAGCGGCAGCAGCCTTCGGGGGCTACATGGTACGGGCAATGGAGGCGTCATCGAGTCCGTCAAAGGCCGATAGCTCGAGACATATGGTATACATCTATCCCCATGGCATCCGCAACCTTGCCCTAGGGCTATCGATCCTGGCTCTTACGGCGTATTGGCAATTTGGGCGATGGAGCCGGAGCTCGGCCGTCGTTCGATTGACAGTGCAAAGATGCCTGGGTATTGTCATCACCGCAAACGCGTTGACACCGATCGTGGATGCGGGGGTGAATCTGTGGGCTGCAGAGGAAGGTAAAGAAGGGGACGTCGACAGGAATGCTGCGCGGTTGCACGCGACGAGGTCGGTCTTTTGGATAGTAGGTGGTCTCTGGTGCTTGTTCGGATGAGGGTTCGTGTTGATTTGTTCTGCAATTCATCAATTCTTTGTGTATGTGCGAAGGTGTCAGCTTACCGCCGTGAGGACGACTCTGATTTCGTCCTGGGCATGCTGCTCATCAAAAGCTCATTTCAGTCCCAAGAATACATCAGTGTTTTTTATGTAGCATCCTCTTCCTGTTGCAGCGGTGTTGTTGACTTTAGCCCCAACTGAAGGATCCGCTGTGAGAAGGGAAGAAGCTTGCCTGCATGGCAGACGTTGCCTAGCGAACTCGGCATCGCAAGCATCGGTGGAGGGCAGTGCTTTCTGTCCTGGCGAGCTTTCGAACGGGCAGGGGGACCGGGTTGTTCACTGTGGCGGAGGCCAAGGCAGCGAGTCTCAACACGACATTACCGTCGGTCGCTATGAGCACAACAACAATCCCCCCACTGCCTCGCATACACCCACCACCGCTCTTACAGTACTGGACACCTGCTCTTCTCCAAAGTTGAGCATCAAGCTCAAGCGATAATGAAAAGCTTTCCAAGAAACAACCTAGAGACACAGTTTGTGTGCAGTAAGTAGGAACAACGGCAAAGACAAGGAAAGGGAGTTGCGGAGTTGCCATGTTGAACTGAGGACCCGGCCTGGCGACAAGGCCTTCCAACCAACCCACCTCCAGTCCAGGTTGCCAGGCCAGGATCTGGTGTGACCAGAGCCCGAAACAAAGAAAGAAAAGTGCCCAGAAGAAAGAAACAAGGAGGGCAAGCAAAACAAAGAGAAAAAAGAGAGTGGGAAGTAGTACACACACGCCCTGCTGGACTGAAGGCACCTCAGTATTTGCCGGACTTACCTTGGGCAACTCGAGGAAAGGAAAAGAGGAAAAGAAAGAAGAAGAAGAATTCGAGAACCGAGGGAATTGATATAGTCGGCGATGAGGGCCTACCCTTGGCGAAGGTTGATCTAGCCTAGGTTTTGTTGGGTCCGGCAGATGAAGACTGGGAGTACTGAAGAGGCGAAAAGTGAATCTCTATTGATGCTGATGGGATCATAGGATGGCTGATTCCTCAGGCTTGATCAGTGGTGAAATAATTGATCCCAAAGCCCTGACGGTGATCCCTTCAACGCTACAGCCTCGTCAGAAACATCCGCTACTGGATCATTCTGCGGCCTTGTGCTGGAACTTGGGCCAAAATCAGACAGAAAAATGTTCATTCGTACAGTCAAGGGTAGAAATAGCCCAACACTCTGAAAGCGAACTCGAAGAGGCCCTCACAACTGGTTTCCTTCGCACAAAACAAGCGCCATTGTCGCTGCCACCATCGCATTCCCAAAGAGTTTACTCCTTTCCGGTTTTTCAGTCCCATGATAGTTCTTGATTACATTTTTCAGACAATTCCATCTTCGCTAGACCCAAATACTATCCCCACAATTTGTCACATTAAAGTCGCACCCTAACCCTGCGTCCTCTCCCAAAGCCCGAAGCTGCCCGAGAATCACGTCTCCTGGCGCCGGGCCATCCATCAACGTGTCCTTCACATGAATAATATGTACCGTCACACCTTTCAGTGGTTCGGGAAGCTTTTCCCGCTGGTAGTTTGCTGAGCCGGGCAACGAAGATGATCGCTGGTGATTCTGAGCAGTCGACGTTGTTGCCGCAGGGGGGAGGGGATCATTCAAAGTTTGGACAGGTACAGATGTCGAGTCCGCTTGGAAGGTGACATTGCGTCCGCGCCCTGGAGTAGGTGGAAGATTTACCTGGTCGCTTTCTCGCGGCTCGTGTGAACGCTTTCGGCGGGTCGACGAGACCGATCGGTTTCCTACGTATCCGCTGGAAATAGCTTGAGGCGAAGGTAAGCCACTAAAACTGGCGCGTGCCAGTTCCGGCGTAACAGCTAGATCTCCATTCACGGCCCGTTTTCGTTTGCGTTTCAGCTCTGACGGTGTCGGTGGCTGTCGCATCATCAAATTCGGTACCGATGAGGCTCCAACGGGCCGACTAGGTGTTGGCCCATCAGAGGTTGTGTCGGTGACGACGCCGTCGTTGGAGGCCTTCTGTTTTCGCCGATTGATGACACAATTTGCCAGGAATGTGAGCTCTGCAACCAGATGTCTTGGGCACAGGTGCCCATAGAGATCCTCGTTGCGCACGCTGTCATCATATGAACATTCGATGAAGATGCCTCTGAGCATTCCACTGGCAACTTTGCTTGCCGCATCATCCCAGACGATGTGGTTGCGAGGCGATAAACTGACCGAATCGGGTTCGACATCGCCAAAGATCAGCAGCTCATTCCCCGTCTCATCGTTGCGAATAAAGAACGCAGAACTTGTGACAGGCTCAAATAGATGGCTGTTGTCGAAAGCGTTCGAGGCGAGAGGCCCGCCAGGTGTCACTGGACCAGCAGACATCTGAATTTGCCCGGGAGGATAGGCACCGGCATTTTGCGATTGCTGTTGAGCGACCGCGGCAAAATAGCCATGATCGTCTGATATCCGCGACAACCTTCTAGATGGAAAGTTGTAGTCGGGCGGGTACCCGAAAGAGTCGCCGTGCTGAAAGGACGCGCTGTGCTGCCTTCTGTGGCATTTACCGTGGCTTATGCTCCAGCACTTGGTAGCCAACCCGTCGCAGACATTGACATAACCCCGAGATTCGCCCAGTCCTAGACGAGGATTTCCACCCTCAATCAGTCGTCTATAGGTCACGAAGCCAACTCCATTCCCCTCGTCTGACAAGTTTGGCCAAAGCCAGTCATTGAATATGTGATTCTTGATAGCTTCAATGGTTGATGGTAAAGCCACAATCGCTTTCGCCTCTCTCCCATATTCAAGCGCCGGAGTGTTTATTGCCATGCCCGAGAGATGGTCCAAGTGCGGATGCGTGATGAGAAAACCGTGGAGAATTTCGCGGAAGATGTACAGTGCATTGGCCTTCGCACTGATATTGGGAAAGTGAAGGCCTGCAAAAGGGCCATTTTCCAACAGGTGCGAGTATCCTTTTGCCGGTACTTTCTCAGACGTCAAAGGCATTTCTCTCTGGAGGATGCGGATGATGCTGGACAAGTGTGCACCAGCATCCACCGCGATCATAGAGCTCTTGCGCCATTCCGACTGGGGTGCCCTCACCAACAACCCTGTGATGTTGTCTTCGCGAGGTCCGCCTGTAGATCCCTAAGCCAACGGTCAGCCTATGAGACATTTTTCCATAGTGTAGGCGCCTGCGGAGAGGAAACGACCGGCGAGCCATCGCAAGCCACGAGTGAATGTTGTAGACAGACATAACCTCACTTACCAACACAATCACCTGGAACGAAGCGTCCTCCTTGTTGCCCAGTTCGCGAGGCTCCGGGCCTGCGTCGCGCGAGACATGATTTCCTCGCATGGAGGACCTTTTGACTTCGTCTTTCCACACAAGCCTTTGTTTGAATGTCTGCCGCGTCCCGCTCTTGAGCCGCTGTGGCGCGCTCCACAATGCCTTTGTTCTCTGTCCGCAACTTCCCAAGATTTCGGTCTGGTCTGGGGTTGCTCGATGTTTCGGGAGAGGTCTCGGGTAGCTGCTTCAAACTGGAGCCGAGACAGCGCGGGACACGGGTGGAGTGAGGACAAAGATCAGCTGGACCAGCTGATGGGCGAGAATCTTGGAGGGAAAAGAGTCCTGGCGATTTGTGAATGTCGACTTGTCAATTAGTCGAGAGGCATCTCATTGTACCGAAGGAGGTTACGAGCGTTGGAATGTGAAGCATCAACCTCCAATGCAGGCATTGTCCAAGGAGGTATGTTCCAAAGACAGCCAGACCTTCGGATCGCAGGATCAAGGTAATAATGATAAGGATAGACGGATGTTACAGCCCGGAAACGAACGATATGCAAAAGTCAAATACCTGGTAAGGGGGAAAAAGCATGTTCATTGCAATAGTTCAGCTGTCAACGTCTTGCATCCCGCATTTGGGGGAGAGATGAAGATTCGTGAGTGGCTGCCATGACGCGGTGTTTGGAGAGGGCAGAGACAGAGCAGTTCTGAGCTGACCCCCTTACAGATACCATAGCCCCTCGGATAAGTTTTAGAACAAACTGAATACGAGATGAATGCATACCAAACGCGCAGGCGGCCTCAACGGTCGGGAGATCCCTAATCAAGAAGGCATATCCTATCGATTGGCCAGTGGGTAGCCAGCATCGTCTATCCAGACTCCAGAAAGCTGTCATCCCGTTGCATGACGAATTTCTTTCATAATCACGCATCCAGCTCCGGTCTGGGTGCCGGTATCTGATTCTGGGTGGGTATGGGTGCCACCTGTGGTACCTGTTCTTTGCGTTCTTTCATAAGCAAAACCTGGATTGAAAGGTCAGCCCTGGAGGAACAATGCTCTCTTTGAACCGAGCCCATCTACTGGAAACAGAATCATGCTAATCATATTTACACTCATGGTCGTAATGGATGTTTTATATTCATGCTCAGGGGTATCTCGTCATGTATGGCTGGGTCCTGCCGCTTCGCCCACAGCTGCATCGTAGGTGGGAATGGGTGGTCCTCCTGTCCGATCACGCAACAATTCTTGCCTTTCGTCCTCGTCGCCGTCACCACTCGACCTTCGACTCTCCGGGGGACTGCTATACTCGGGGGGTGGAATAATCTGCTGTCCGGCAGGCGTGTTCTCCACAGGCTGATCTTGTATATCTCCAAAATCCAGCAGCGCGTTGCCCTGGCTGGGAAGATCTTGTGTCGGTACATGCGCCAGTTGCGCTAATGATATATCCGTGGCTGACCGGACAGGCCCAGGATTGCCGGCTGGGAGACCAAGCCTTGCCAGACCACTGCGTGTTCTCGAGTGTCCAGGCTCATATGTCGACTGCCGTGGTCCTTCTCTTCCGGTCTCGAGCAGGATGCTACCTTGCTCGCTGCCATAAGGTGGAGGAGGAGCGAGACTTCCCGTCATTGGTGCCAATCCCCATTTCTTGACATTCGCCTCGATGAACACAAACCCCATCTGACCAAAATTCACATGCACGTGGCAGGGTCCATTGGCGCCCACAGTTGGAAAGAAGTTCTGGGTCTTCAAGTTGTGTGCAATCTCATCCAGTTTCTTGCCATTGCGTGTGAAGAATATGCTCCCGGTTCGAGGTCGGTATCCTACCCCAATCACATCTCCTTGTACATAAGGCGGACCATATGTGCTTGCGGAAAAAGGTTGGTTGTAGCGTCGATGTCCCGTGGAAAGATACGCCACCGATGTTTTATGGAAACCTGATCGGTTAGCACATAGAATTCCAGCGGCTCCTGGAAAAGACGATGAACTTACCCGGCAACCTAAACAGAGGGTATGGTTTTGTGGTCATCCCAATACTGATCAGGCTATTCTCTGGCTTGTCGTATATCTTTGCCTCCCAATAGTACACTTCGTTTTGCTTGGGCACCGGCAAATTGCTCTGTACACTGCACTCTGAATCGAAAAACTCGATTTCGGTCCTCGCTTCGACAAAACAATTGGCGATTTCCAGTTCCGGTTCGAATTCCCATGCAGAGACGCCTTTCTCTTGGATCGCTAAGAACTGCGATAGCGATATATCAGTTTGTACAGATTCTGGCGGATTCGCTTGTATAAATGCTGTGTCGCCGTTAGAACTCGAATGAGCATGACCGGTGTATAATGTGATTGACCCGTACCTTTTGCCCTTAGATACTCGGTCCTTTGCAACTCGTCCATCGTCTCCAAGGCCTCGGCCTCTTCCTGCGCAAAGGCTTGCTCATCGTCAAACTCGCCGGGCCGGCCTATCCGGTCTAACAGAATACGGCCACGAGAGGTATATTTGAAGAAAAAGAAAATCGCAAGAACAAGCACTGCAACACCGGCGGAACCAAACGCAGACAATAACCCGATAAGAATGCCACGGCCAGTTGCGCCGCCATCACTGATATTTATGACAATCGAGGTAGGTGAGCCATCGTGATGGGGTCTGAAAGGAAGTGAAGGGCCTTCTCGCCAGCCATCGTGCTCGGCGAAGGACGATGAGAAGGGAACGGAGGTCGGATCGGAGTGTAATGGCGCGGTGGACGGATGGAGGGAGGTTTGAAAGGTCATCGTGAGTCTGTCATGTTGTAGCGGTTCACCGCCAGGACGCATCGCTCAGAGAATGAGCTCAACGATGGAAAGAAGGAAGGCAGAGCAGGGACGTAAGAAGACGTCAAGAGGTGGCGAGAGGGTGATGTGCGGCAGTGGAAGAGCGAAGTAGCCAGAGCCAAATGGCGCAGGCGGGGATGCGGTTAGGCTAATCGATCGCAAGAGTTGAGCGGGCTGGTTGCGAGGTTCGCTGTGATCTTTTGGGATTTGCCGTCAAATCAACAGGTGAAAATCAATGCTATCAAGTGCAATGCCTCCAAAAGCACGAGAGGCAAAATACCACCATCTTGGGTCTTGGGGGTTTGAAGACTTGTTGGTCCAGAATGTTTTAGGAGTCGATTTGGGGATGGAGAAGGAGATGGAGGTGGAAGGGTCGAGACACAAGGGCACTGCTTCTGGTGCTTCAAACACTGCCTGCAGCAGGGCCTGGAGAACATTTGGCTTCGTTGGTGCCGTCACCCGGGAGTCTTTGGGGGGACAACCTGCACCTAGAAGGCCCCCCGCTCACCAACAATTGGTTGCTGACCTCGAAGAGTCCAAGGGGTCCAGGGACGCCAAGCAGCATAGCTTCACTGGCAGTTAAGGGCCCTGCCGCTTGAGGGCTTACCTGGTAGACATCAGCGACGAACAACCACCACCAGCCACAGCCTTTTCCAGCTCAGCTACGCTTCGCCTGGTTCTAAGCGGCAAAAGCCGACCAAACAGCCACTGTCATGACGCCTGTAATTGGTCGTCACTTATCCGCGCTTATCGGTTGGTCGATGCAAACACAGCCAACTTAACCTGAAGCCGACGAGCCGGATATTAGTTGTTCCGCTCCCAACACCCCCTGCGGCATCTGCCTTTCCACCATCAACAAGCTCATCAGCCTCAAAACAGCCTCCGATCTGGGAGTCCGTAACGTCAAATTGGTCTGCAAACAGCCTCTCGAATTTCTCTCGCTCCGCTGGCGCCTTGGGGAATTGAGATTCTCACAGTCTACTTTAGTGCTCCACGTCTACCACAACCTGGTCATCCGCGACTCCGGATGCCGCGCGTCACCTTACACAGCCGGCACGGCCATTTTCCGTCGAAGATGCCTTATATGGCACCAAGAAACCCGAATGACCAGAGATTACTTTTGCAACAGCAATTGCCAGCTCTGCTGTTTGGTGGCTGGAGACGAAGGCAGTCCCTGGTCCTCGCTGCCTGAATTACGATCAAAATGGTTTCCACGTTATGGCGACGTCTCTCGATGTTCTTTACCAACCAGCCTCGAGCTACTTGGGTGAGAGGTATCGGTATCATCTTATTTCTCTTGACGGTTCTCTCCACAGCGACAGCCATTGCGTACTCGACCTCAAATGTTGAGACAGTATCACCGTCTCACTATGCTGTGATCAAGTCCAATTTTGCCGATCCATGCCTGCTGAGTGTGGATGGGATGTTCTATGCGTTTGCGACGCGACCAGATCCTTCGTTACATGTCCAAGTTGCAAGTGCGAAGGATATATCGGATTGGACATTGCATGAGGGATATGATGCCATGCCCAAACTACCGAAATGGGCTGTCCAAGATGGCGATGCTGCAGTGTGGGCGCCAGAGGTTGTGCAACGGGTAAGTACGCATCATCCCAATGGGGTGGTGGTTCGAGACGCGGCTCGCTTGCCAGGAGCGCTACCGATCTCCCGTGGTTTATCGCTGCTTCTGAAAAGCTCTCTCGGTGGTTAATTTTGCTGACGATCTGAGCGCAAGCCCGACGGGAGCTTTGTTCTCTACTTCTCGGCATCATGGCATGCCAACAGTCGCTTTCACTGTGTCGGCGCCGCAACATCTCCCAATGTCACAGGCCCATATGTCCCAATGGAAGAGCCACTTACCTGTCCCTTCGACCAAGGTGGCGCAATCGACCCGACTTTCATCTACGACCGACGAAAGAACATGTCGTTTGTCGTCTACAAGAACGATGGCAACGCAATTGGCACCGGCGGAGCTTGCAGTAATAGCAACTGGCCCAACACGCCCACTTCGTTCCAATTCAACATCGTCGACAACGAGGACTATACAACACGCATTGGAAACGATACCTGGACTCCCGTTGGCAATGCCACTTGGATTTTGTTCAGCGAACGTAGCGATGGGCCAAACGTGGAAAGTCCACAGATATTCTACAGGGGCGATGCCCAGGGCAGATTCGCCCTAGCTGGAGACCTCTCGGCTTACCATCTGATCTACAACGCGGGCTGTTTCGCAGATGAGTCTTATCGCATCGAACATATTGTCTGCCGAGCAACTCAACTGAACGCGGTGTCCACACAGTGGACTCACCATGATCCCACATATGTTCCGTTCTTCCGGGATTGCTCGTTTGGCGCCATGCAACCCGAAAGCTATAAATCTTGGGGCCAGGCGTTCCTAGGATTTAGGGACAATATTGACAATCACTACGACTTGATCTTGAAATCTGGTGTATTCCGGCAGCCTGACGGAGTTGGCGTGCAGCTATATGCACCTGGGGGCCCTGCAGTGATTCAAGATGGACGATACATGGCTTTCCATGCAGACATCAGCCGGGATTGGTATGAGGGTAAAGTATGTCCCACCTGTAGGGTCCGAGCTATGTTCGTTGCCGAATTGGAATATGGCAGTAAAGGCACGGGACTGAGGGTCAAAAGGCTGATCAAACCTAAGTGAGACTTGGATCAGACTTTGAAGCATGGGCCGGAATGGGAAAGGGCAGATACGTTCAAACGACATTGACATTGTCGCAGTGATCTGTTACCATCCTCCCTGGCACCTTTCCGTCCTTCAAGGTATATAGCAGCATTCGTAAAATGTGATTTCGTTCTGATGGAAGTCGATTTGAAGGAGATCAAAAGGACACTTAGAAAGATAAGAGCCTCAAGTTCCGCAAGAAGCACTGGTCCATCAGCACCAATGACGAACGACATTGTGCGACTCACGTGGAATAAGGGCTTCTCCATTTGGATGACTACCACCAGGGCAACGTGTAAGGCACAGATCTCGAAGTTCGAAACTACGCAAATTGACGATTAAAGAACCACCAGCAGCCACAGCCTTTTAATATAATATATCATACATCTTTCCCAATCTGGAAATCATGGCCCTCAATCGTGCTACTAACTTGTGGCATATGAAACAAGTTATGATTGATTTCGTATAGTATATCTTGAAAAGCTTTTCAAAGTCCTTCTCTTCCGTTTGGTGAGTAGGATGTTGAATCAGCCTAGCACGGCACGCAGGGCTATGGTGACGCGCGAACTGTGCGGCTGTGCCCAGCCGACGAGGCTGACTAGCTGCCACTCCACCGTCGTCCATTCTAAGATTCTATCGTCCTAGATCTTGCTGTCCCGCTTCTTCGCTCTCCAGCCAGAGAGCGTGCTGCCGCCATCAATCTCAATCACATTGCCTGTCATATGGGCCGATGCTTTGCTGCTGAGGAAAATGACCAATCCTGCAAAGTCAGAAGCCTTGCCCACTCGTCCGGTAGGCTGTCGCTCCAGCAGTGTATCCATGTACTTTTGAATGCCAAAGTTTGTCATTCGAGACGGGAAGACGCCACTGCAGTCGTGGTTTAGCATAATGGCCTTCGCAATGTTGAAGCATTAGAGTGCAAACTTACGGGCAGATGCAGTTGACCATGATGTTCAATGGGGCCAATTTGGACGCTTGCATCTTGCTGAGGTGGATGCACGCAGCCTTTGATGGGCCATCTGTATTGAGGTTGTCAGCATGGATGTTCCCAGAGGCAAATGGACAGGACAGTCATACAGCTGAAGGTGCCATGACCCGGTGCGGAAAGGCCCCCATCTCCCGTTGTGGTGACGTCGGTCGTCTGGATCCCGGCCATGGAAGCAATGTTGATGACCCGCGAGGGCATGTCGGCGTTGGTCCCCTTGAGCAGCAGGTCGTGCAATCCGACCGTCATGTAGAAGATGGACTTGACATTCAGGGCCATCAACTTATCCCATCCACTCTCTGGGAAGTCGTCATATGGAGCTCCCCACGTAGCACCCGTGTTGTTGATCAACACCGTCAGACGATCCGTTCGCTTCTTCACCTCATTGACCAGCCCGTCGCAGCCAGCCTTGTCCTTCAAGTCGGCGACGATGTACTCGCACTTGCCTGGTCCCAGGGAGTTCAATCGGTCCGATGTCTTCTTCAACTCGGATTCTTTCCGACTGGCAATGAAGACTCGGGCACCGTTCTGGATGAATCCTTGAGCTGCCATCTCACCCAGCCCCGTCGCTCCACCGGTCACCAGCACTACATGGTTGCTAACACCGAAGAGTGTGGAGATTCGGAGATCGTCTGTCGAAGTCATAGCTGCTCCCTAGTCCTTTCCGTCGTCTCAGGCCCTTGCTTGCCACTGGTCTCGGATGCTTTTGAGATTTGAGGTATCTCTGGAAGAGTAGAAGTCAGATCCAACAGTACTGAGGAGAGATGTTAGCAGGTGGTGTTGATCCCGCGGCAAAAGGCCATTCTTGGAGTGCCAACCAGAAGCCTCGGTTGTTGCAGTGCTTCCCCAGTTTCTTGGCATCCGGGACCGCATTGCGCCTTTGTTAGAAAGGTTTCGCCGTATCAAGTGCCAAGACCGTTTTTCCTTGCAGGTGGCGAAAGAGCTTTTCCCTCCTTGTTTGTCTCTTTCCCCCAAAAACAGCTGATTCCCAAGCCACGTTTCGACGGGTTCCAGATCGCCTCGATCCTTTGTACAGATCCTCTTCGTGGTCTAGACTCAGCAAGCCTCCAAGGTTTTTCTCCTCCACCATTCAGCAGTCACCACGAGTCACGAGATGCAGGTCGCTGGGAACTCATGGTACTAGGCCTCAAGTGTCATGACTCATGGGCGCCTGGCCGGCCTTCTCAACCGGTAGGTACACGCCACTCTGTTTATGACTCTCACACCACAAGGGCAGTTGTGCCTGTTTGGACAAGGACCAAACGCAGGCATACCCAACAAGTCGTCATGCTACACTCGTTCTGACTTCTTAGCTGCTTGGTGCTGGTTCACTTTTGGCTCACATGTAGGTAGGCGTGTCTCATGTGACTCACGCTACCTATGTTGCCATCCACAAGACTCATGGATGGATCGGGCATATATACCTCGCCCTCATGCTTGAAACCATTTTCCCATGCTTTTATTTGAATTTCCCATCTAAGCTCTACAGCTGGCACTCACTTGATCTCACGACAGCACTTCCCTCGTTCGTCTAATCTTCCTACCCGGGATAGTCTACAATGGCACACAAACACAATCGCAGGCGGGTCCGCCCTCGCAATCGCAACCATACCTCTCTACACCCCATTTTGGAGATGCCCGACGAGCTCTTAGCACCGTCAGATTCTTCTGCTCTGTTCCTGCCCTCAGCAAGCCCCGACCCAGAACAATCTATACTTCCCCAGAGACCGCGCGCTACGAATCCTAGCGTTGCCTCGAGGCATTGGTATAATCGATATGTTGCCTGGCAAAACCGCGACAAAGCTCAAAGACGAGAAGCTGCGAAGATCGAGGCTGAACAGATCAAACTGTTTGGAGGTTATCCGGGAGATGATGTCGGACTCTGCTACAAAATGATGGAAGTGTTTGCAGGCATGAATTGGATCGATACGCTGGACTAGACGAGGTCCCAAAAACAGAAGAAGAAAGAGAAAGGCATTGAGATCTCGAAGAGCAGAGCATCGTCTCTGTCGAGACGGGATTGAAAATCGACTCACGGGAACGGACACAGCTCAAGTTCGGCTTGTAGCAATGAAGGCCTTCTGACCCGAAACCGGAGTGGCTGGATTGGCCCATTTATGCTTGAACCCGTCACTGCTGAGGAGGATGTATCCGTTGAGAAGTGGTGACTGGTGCTCGCGCATTCATCGAAGGGAAGGATATGCATGTCTTTACACCCGCGCTTGAGCTCGTTGCCGCAAAGATCGGTGCGTTTGTGGACGCGAGACGGAGAATCTATCCACTCGTCCTACTATTTACATATGTACCTCGTATTCCATGATGTCTCAACTCACATAGGTAATATCAATAGCGTTCACCTCTCATTCGCTACTTCTTGCTTCTGGAGTGTGGCTGTTGGCCCATCCGACGCCACACCAGGTGGGTTCACGGTGGAATCTTGACTGGAGCTTGACCGAGCTTGGTGTTGCACATCCCTCTTGGGCAGAATTGTCTCGTAACTCGACGTTCTACCTCGTCACCATTAGCCAATGCCAGTGATGGCTCCGATGCTGCTGGTTCCAGGTCTCATCCTCATCTCGATCAGCGGAATCGACAGCAGCTGATCCCCTGCCGTCATGGAGACTCTTGGAGCCTCTCTAGCCACACTGAACGTCAGCCAAGCCATATTGGTGCCTTGGCGTCAATTGGCGTGACACCAGATTTCCCAGTTTGCACTTGTTCTCTGGCGATCCGAATGCCAAACTTCAGCCCCGGTGCTCACCGTCGCCCGTTTTCGTGCAAGCGACGGCGTCTAACTGTCCGAAAACAAGGCAAGGGCATCTCACTTGGGTATGGAAATCACATCCACCAACATGCTACCACAGTTCTCGCTGCGTCATTCACGGCCTTGTGGCACGAGAGTATGAGAGGGGAGTTCAAATACTTCACCTTCGCCTCGCTGCTTCCTGTCACTTTAGTTTCATTGAGATCGAGCAGGTACAGCAGTGAACCTTCGCAGTTGCCCGACGTCAAGAGAGGTACTCTCGCCCTGCTCTGACTTCCCCTTCAAGTCTCTTCTTTAGCCGTTCACTTCTGCTCTCTGCTCCTCTTAAGTGATCATTCTCCTTTCTTTCGCATCTGATATCCATCTCAACCATCAAAATGGGCCTTTTTTCACGACGCACTCACGGGCCAGCAACAAATGGCCAGACTACCAACGGTCATACTCATCGTCGTGGAAATCGAAACCGTGGGCCAGCTTTTGACATTGACTCGGGCGACTTCAACCGCAGACCGAGCTTCGGGCAATGGTAAGCCTTCCCTTTTCCTGCCCATGGCGAAATATCTAACGAAGAGGAAGGCTCAAGTTCACATGGTTGGATATCTTGACCATGGCCGCAATGGGCGCCATCGGCCTCGGAGTCTATGAAGCCAAACCTGCCCCTAGCCGATCCTTTCCAGTGACCTTTTCAGATGGAGAAATCGTCTATCCCGAGTTCGCCTATCCCCTGCGCCATGAAATCGTTCCGATTTGGCTTGCCGCTCTTCTTGCCTCTTTGATCCCAATCTTCATCATCCTGTGCATGCAGATTCGCATTCGCTCTTTCTGGGATGCCAACAATGCAATCATCGGTCTCTTGTACTCTCTCATCGGAGCGGCAGTATTTCAAGTGTTCATCAAATGGCTCATTGGCGGATTGCGACCCCATTTCTTGAGCGTCTGTGATCCAGATCCGGCGTTGATGGCTTCTCACCCTGGCCGAGGCTTCGAAGATATCATGTTCCAGAGAAACATCTGCCGGGGAGACCCCGACCAGATTGATGACTCGCTCGAGTCCATGCCATCCGGCCACACCACCGCCGCATTTGGTGGCTTTCTCTACCTCTACTTTTACCTCAACGCCAAATTGAAGGTCTTCAGCAACCACCAACCAGCATTCTGGAAACTCATTGCAACCTATGCTCCATTGCTCGGTGCTTGTCTGATCGGCGGCGCCCTTACAATTGACGAATATCACAATTGGTACGATGTCTTCGCCGGCGCTGTTATTGGATCTGTCTTCGCTATTTCAAGCTATCGCATGGTCTATGCCTCTGTCTGGGACTTCAGATTCAACCACATTCCCTTGACTCGTCATACTCCATTCTCCTACGGAGCAGGTGCTGCTGGCGCGGGAGGGTTTGAAAGTGCGGTCTTCACCAGGCAGGCTGGGTGGGGATACGGAGAGCATTATGGCGGTGCACCCTTTGATGCTGCCCATGGTCTTAGAGGGCAGGCGGCTGGGTTCAACACTGGCGCAGTCCATCACGATCGTTACCTTAACAAGAGCGAAGGAGATGTGGAGCGAGACGCTGGTCTCCATCACACGACCGGCACCACGAATGGCTATGGGAATGGCACTTCATCTGTGAGAGATCCTCCGGCTGCCGTGACCAATGGTACGAATAGCTACGGCCGGAAGAGCTTGGAGCGCAAACCTGTCCCTACTTCAGCATGATTTATGAATAAACGGACCAACGATATACGATGGATGCCACGTTAGATGCATTAGAAGTGGTGCATTGGAGTACTGGTGGAAGATTCTAGGATGGGGACTTCCAAACAGTTGCAGTCAGGGAATTACAAAACTTGACTCCTACTGAGGCATGTAATAATATGAAAAAAACGGCACCCAGCAATGCGACGAGGACGGCTTAGTCGTCTTATGTCTGTAGATTTCGGTTTCTTTGTTCGCCCCTTTCTTCTGTCGATGCGTGGTGTCAGGGCATTATCTTCGTTCTATCGAATTCCTTTCGTATCTCAAACCCTTCAAGCAGCGTCGCCTGCTGCTGAGACGTTGTAAATATCAACTCAAGACTCGCCCCTTTCGTCCTGCGATCCCGACACTCTTCCTCTGTTGCCCATACATAATTCGCATGCTCATTCGGATCTAGCCTAACCTGGGGCGTGCCAGCGGGATTTCCTCCTCCCTCCACCTCCACTAGGAACTCGAACTTACATACTTTCTTACCACTCCGCGTGACAAAAAAGCGCCCTTGGCCGACGAGGGGACCGATGCTTTTCGCGATGAGTCCGGTCTCTTCCCATAACTCTCGGGCGACCGAGTGCAGGATACTGGGATCATCGAGGTCGCACGCACCGCCGGGGATCTCCCAGCGCAAAGGCGCCGAGTCATGGGCCGCGCGCTGGACGAGGAGGACACGTAGTTCGTCCGCGTCCGTGGGAGTGCTTTCGGCCGTGGCGGCCGTGGCGGTCGAGCTGGGAGAGCGAGAAAAGACGAGAGCGCCCACAGCGACGTATTGGTAGTCCAGGCTTCCTGCGCGTGCGGCCCCGTCGGTGATGTATCTCTGATACGGCACTGTGAATGGCGATACCGAGGGGTGAGAGGTGAATGTAAAGTCCGAACATGCACTGGCGGAGTCGGCTGCCATGTTTTCCGCCTTCTCTGGCCCCTTGGTCAGCCTTGTATCCACGAGGCTGGCTGGTGTCAAAGATCGAGTCACCTAGAGCGGGAATGTTTGCGGTGCTTACTTGACAAGCCGACTGGTCAGGATCTGAGGTTCAGATGAGGTGGATGTATTGGCGGCTCTTGACTACCTCTAGTAACTCCCGGATCTCTGTGTTTTCAAACGACAACTTCAAAAACAGCCGGTGAGAATGTTCCTGTTGGACAGAAGTCATGCGAGGCTCCGAGTTGAGAGAAGAAGCGGCCGAACGGCTTGGCAGTCTCTCAGCATCTACGACAAGGCGCTTTCGTTCTTCGCTTCATTCACCACCTTCGCCAGTGTTTCGCGGCCCTCCATGGCCCCAGCATATTTGCCATTCCTCCCATCTTCAAAGCTCGTCTAGATGCATTTGGTGCTTGGTGCTATGGAAGCGGCAGACCCCGAGGATCCGACTGCCACCAGGTTGGGATCCTACTCCTGTTCAACGCAAACCACAGGCCACAGTCAGAATCTGTCTCCATATTTCAAGAGATGCCACCCTCGCGACAAAGAAGAAGGCTTAATGAGGCACTCCTTCCTACCATTCAGGCACCGAAGAAGGCCAAAGCTGCCTAGGCATCAAAGTGGAATCCAAACTCTAACAGGCTTTGCCTCTCGATATCTGGGATTTAATTGGGGTACCACATTTACATCTGAACCATGGTAGAAAAAGTTTCCAAGAAGTCTCTCGAACCCAAGCCATATTTAAACCTGTACATTCAAGGCAGAGATATTTCCAAGTTGTCTTTCGCATATCATTTCTAGTGGCGTCGCAGAACGGCATTTCCAACACGAAATTACTGAGCTTCTATGACTGATGACATTTTGTCTGTGCGACCGACGCATCTTTGTCACATAACGGACCTCACAATATGGATACAGCCACAGTGAAGACTCGCATGTTGATCATGTCAGACACACATGGCATGGATTTCACCTCCGCCGACAAACCCTTTCTCCGTGCTGATGTCGCGATCCACTGCGGCGATCTTACTGACGGCTCAAAGCTAGAGGAGTTCCGAACCACCATTAGCCTCTTGCAAGCTATCGATGCGCCCCTAAAGCTTGCCATCCCAGGAAACCACGATTTCACACTGGATGACGTCGCATTTCAGACCAAAATTGAGGAAGCGACGCCCGCGCCCGAGCCCGAGCTCGTGGAGAAAGAATATGGTGCGATGGGAGAGGCCAAGCAGTTGTTTAAAGATGCCATCGACGTAGGTATTATACTCCTGGATGAGGGCACCCATCACTTCACCCTCCAAAACGGGGCACGTCTGACTGTTTATGCCAGTCCCTGTACACCAGCGTTAGGTGCGTGGGGATTTCAATACCACCCAGACCGTGGTCACAACTTTGCCATCCCTGAAGGAGTCGATCTAGTTGTCACCCATGGCCCACCAAAGGGCATTATGGACTACACCCACCAACGAGAACGAGCTGTAAGCGCGGATCTATTCGCAACTGTTGCCAGAATCCGGCCACGAGTACACTGCTTTGGTCATATCCACGAAGGCTGGGGTGCAAGGTTGGTTTCCTGGCTGCATACACACAGCGAACGACCAACTCATTTTACCGCAATCGACAACAATAAATCCCATATGATCGAAGGGCTTGCAACTCTCTACCCCTCTAGATTCGACACACCAGAGGAAACCGCTCAAAAGCAGGAAAAGTTGGACCGCTATAAGCAGGCTGGGTATTGCAAGACCAGCCACTGTTTGGGAGATGAGATTCCGCTCGACAGAGAGAAAACTCTCTTCATTAATGCGTCTATCGCAGACACTGATGGTTGCTTGACGCAGAAACCATGGCTAGTTGATATTGAGCTACAGAGAGCTCACTAGGCAGATCTCCTAGCGATGGATATCTGCCGTCTCGTCCGCCACTGACTTGTGACGCGTTCGGACGTTTGGGAACCACAGGATCAGAAACAGGAAATGAATCTGGTATCCTCCAACTCAAGCTTTGACGGCTACTCTAAACCCAGTCTTAGCCACCCTCGACACCCATACAAGCACCGCTCCGCCCATAACCATAGTCCCCGCATACACTTTTGCAGCATCGTACGACCCGCCGTGCATTTCGATGATGGCACCCATGACAGGTGGCCCTACGAGCGCTGAACAGGCCATCACCAAAAATAAGACGCCCATCCTTCCTCCAAACCGACGCAAGTCTTCAGTCATACTGGCCACTATTGCAGGAGGCGTGGCGATGACCGCGCCAGAGAAGAACCCGTACAGGACGGTGATGGCGAGCAAGCCGCCGATTGTCCGGCACGGGATCCAGACGAAGACGAGCAGGGCAGTGACGAAGAGCGAGGGCCCCTGTATGTTCAACGGTCCAGTGTAGTCCGCGAAGAAGCAAGGGATCAGACGTCCCAGGATGCTCGCCGCATTCAGCACAGGCAGTAGGTACTCGAGCGGGAACCCGGAGTGCCGGTCCAGGCCAATCGACTCGGCCCAGGCTTCGACATAGTTGTAGAAGCCAAAGAAGCCAAAGTATGTGACGAACTGGCCTGCGATCCAGAGGGCGAATTCTCTTTGTTCCCGCAGCGCCTGGTACTCAATGAAGCGCGCACCCTTCCTCGGTCGAGGTGGAAGGCGTTGCCGAATCAACAGGTTGCTGACCAGCAGTGTAACCAGCGATATCAATGCAAGGATTCGCACCGCCCACCCGAACCCCACGGACGAGATACTGTGCCTCAATCCGATGGGGATGACAATGCCGCCTAACGACGCCCCAGAGCTCACGATTCCAATGGCCAGACCTCTGCGTTTGGAAAACCAAGTGCTCGGCAACGCCACGCTCGGGACCAACAGCATCCCCATGCCCAGTCCAACACAGACTCCCTGCGCCAAGACGGCTTGATAGTACTCCTTGACCAGACTGGTCATCAGCGTTCCGAAGACGACGAGAAACGTGCCCAGGATGAGCATCTGGCGAAAGTATCCGGCGTCGAAGTACTTGCCCCCAAGTGCTCCGCCGACCAGCAAGAGGGTGGTTTGGATGGATCCGATCCAGGCAATGGCCGAGGCGTTCTTGGATGCACTTTGCAGTGGATAACTGTTGCTGTGGGCTATCGGTGTGGTGTAGTATGTCTGAAAGGAGCCGAACGAGACTACCAGGCCCCAGCTGTTGAACATGAGGAAGTGCCCTGCTATGACTTGAAGCCACGGTTGGAGACCGACGTCAGGAGGAGGTATCGGCGCAGTACCAACATCGACGTGTTGCGGTACTTGTTCTGGAGGGTCATTTTGTACCTCTTTTGTTGAAGGGTTCATTCCAGCTCCTTCTCCCAAGGCATGTTTTTCGTCACGGTGGCTTGTGCATGAAGCGTTGGGAGACGATGGTCTCAGAGTGATGGCTTTGTTTCGACCTTCGTTCTCGATGGACACCGGCACTTCACGTGGTGAGTCAGTGTGTTAAACTAGAAGCCTTTGACTCGACAATAAAGACAAATAAAGGCAGCTTTGTGAGAACATACCTCCGTGCTGATTTTCCATTCCTCCAGGCTGACCAATAGCCTCGATAGAGAGAGCAGTCGTCATGGTGTCACCCAGCAGCCCCAGACCGCGCAGCAATGTTCTTTTCTCGTTACCACCGATCGGCCATGGACAAGCCGGACCAGGTGCGCAGCAACTCGGCAAGACAGGTCTGAGGGCTGGTGCACCTCGTTTGGATGTCCCGTACTGACCTCCTGGAACCTCCTCCGTGTATATACACCTCTTAGGCTCGGCCGATTCTTCTTTTTGGTCGAAGTATTTGGAGAAGATGAGAGAAAATCCAAGTCCAAAGATCAATCAATCAACGTCCCGTATGTCGAAGAGATGCATCGACCACCGACCTTTGTCTCTGGAAACTATATATACATGCCCGTAATGTCTCTGTATGTCTATGCATACATGTCACATGGGAGTATACTATACTATACCATCCATACCTAGGTAGACACTGCAAATCCCGATTCACGACAGGAAGACCCCGACATCCGCCCGCGCATTTCCCTTGGACCGCTATTACCAACATTCCCAACCCACTAATTAACCAATACAGCAGAAGCCCTTCGCCAGCATCACCTTTCTTGGCCCTTTTCCACTCCAGTTCCCAAAGGCCGACAGCCGTAGCGCCAGCCGGTCAAATTCCCCAAATGGAAATTCGATGTCATCCCGGGCGAAGGGCGTCTTTTAGTTCCCCCCTGCGCGCCCCCATTTTTCTCCATCTTTCGGCAATTCCGGCAGTCGGGGGGACGGGGGTGGATCGATGCGGACCATCAGTAGGTAGGTAGGTAGGTACCAGGACATTCGTATGCGGAGAAAACACGGCGAACAGGATGGTGATGAAATCCCATTTGTTGGTGTCCTGGGGTGTTGTGCTTGAGGGCGCTTGCTTGAGAGGTAACGTGGGTATCCTTTCAAGAAAACTACTCAGGACACAGCGATGGCAGCGAGCATAACAAAAGCCTCGCGAGAATCGGAAATCCCCCACACCAACCTGCAGTCAAACAACATCCAAGGGTACCTACCTGCCTAGGTCTACATGCAAAGTCACAGGACAGGACTATCACAGGAACATTGGTTTGCCATAGTATATCCGGGGACCCGGTGGAACCTTTTTTCTATTATTCAATCATCACATCTTCCGCCTTCCTTCCATCTTTCGCGACGATGGACACTTTAATTAAATTTACCCCCCCCCCCCCCCCCCGAAATACCTAGGTCGACAGAGGGCACGCGAAATAGAATTGAGCGAGGCTGAGGCTGAGGCTGAGGTGTGAGGGTGTGTGCGTTGAGGTACTGTACCTAAACGGCGGCGAACTCTCGGGCCCCCCCTTCTTCGTGATCTATCCTCGTATTTTTCTCACACGTGCTGACTCGGCCGGTAGGTATCTCCAGGTATCTACAGCTACCTAGGTAGGTAGGGTAATAAGATGATCTCGTTGCTCAATACCTGGGTACCTACGCGGTAGGGTACCTTGTACCTCGAGTATATATTACGCCCCCACTCGACTACCTAATCCGGTTATTTTATCAGTTCATAATATGCTATATTAATTGTTTTAGTTACACAGCCCACCGTTCCGTAGCGGGACAGGAACAAGGGTACCTAGGTACCTACAGGTGGTATCTTACCGAGATACTGTGTACCCTACCTAGGTAGGTACCAAGTACCCTACTGCGCTATTCCCGAGAGGATGGGCATAATGAGAAAACAAAAAAAGGGGGGTTTTTGGAATTTTCGTATAATTTCCATCCCATGATCGTCGTGAGTTCGTGATCATGGTGCTTATGTGTCTATCCACCGGAACTGTGCGTGCTGAAACTGGAGAGCATACATGGCTCGCTCGGCCTCGTACAAATGGTACGTATCAGAGTCGGCAGCCTCTTTGCACAAAACTTGTGTACAGCTAGTAAATTACAATGGGTATTGTACTGTCTAGGTTCATTTTCATATCCGTTCGTGCCATCATCGCAACTTGGACGTCAGGTATAAGCCTCGTAACGACATGTCAAATGCCACATCTGACAAAGTCGAGCATCTGGATCCCTGTTCTGCTCCTCGGAGCTAGAACGGAACACCCGTTCTGTGTCGAGCCGAGGAAAGTGTTCATTTCCTCCATTGCAACAGAACCATGTAAAGCCTCCTCGTATATCCTTTGGGGGAAGCAACGTCATATCTGCTTCCACATGTCCATAAAATCCAGTAAAGTACGGTCGGCCAACATCTCCTTTCGTATCCGGCTTGTGCATCGAAAAGGGTGAGATGTTGACTGCTGAAGACCAGCCATGAGTTCCTCTCGCATGAACTCTATACTCTCTAATGCCAGTTTTCGGGGTGACCTGTACCGTTGGTAGCCCACTGAGAACTGCCTCGGGCTGCGCCACCTATAGTCTTACACAGCGCTCCATTTTGAATAGGACTGCTCAAACGGCCTGCCCTCTTCCATCATCTCGCTTAAACTTTGTGAGAACATCCTTTATCTTGGGCACCAGCTCCGGCAGCCGAAATGGCTTGCTCACGACATCGTCGATTCCGCTCTGCAGGGTCATCTCAATCTGTTCGGCTCGCGCATTCGCCGTCACTGCTATGACGGGGACGTGCGCAACCAACTCTCGAGTATCTTGCATCTCTCGGAGTTTCCGTGCGCAGGTCTGTCCGTCCATGATGGGCATTTCCAGATCCATGAGTACCACATCGATCTTCGCCCCATCTAGTGCATGGTCGCGATGAAACTTGGACTTGCAAATCTGATCGATGGCCTCGCCTCCATGGTTTGCCACGTTGACGACACAGCCGATCTTACGAAGCTGTGCTGCAAGTACCTTTTGGTTGATCAAATTGTCTTCGACGATGAGAACGTGGACAGGGTTAGTCCGTGTGCTCAGGCTGGTGGACATCGTTCTCGGTGAGGCAGGCGACTTCGGAGCGGTAGATGAGACTCCGGACGGTGGTTGGAGCACTTGCATGGTCAAGCCCGTCAGCGGCGTTGTCTTGGAACCTTTCCTACTGTGTGGTCCCGAGGAGCTGGGGTTGTCATCAAGATTGCTGACATCACCTTCACTGCGGCGAGCTTTGATGTAGAATGCAAAGATACTGCCTTTCCCACTCTCGGAAGCCACACCGATTTCACCCCCCTGGAGTTCGACCAATTCTCTGGAAATGAAGAGACCAAGACCGGAGCCACCATAGGTGACATGCGTGCGGGGACTAGCCTGAGAGAATCGCTGGAAGAGTTGCTTTTTCTCAAGTTCGTCCAGACCACGTCCGGTATCTTGCACGGCAAAGTGCAGATACACCGTCTCACCCAACCCCCACTCGGCGGCGGCAGTGACATCTTTGTCCCTGGGAGTTCGAGAAGGAATATACGTAAGCCTCCATTTGTCTTCCTGAGACGGCTTCTCGTCTGAAGCGGCAATGTGCATCCGAATGACCCGATTCTCTTGCGTAGTCGTGAATTTGATCGCATTGGTCATCAAGTTGATCAGCACTTGTGATAGACGATGCGGATCTATTCGGACCCAGTCGATTTGATGGGCTGTGAAAGACGAGTCGATCATCAAGTCCAACCGAATATCCGCCGTCTTCAATTCAGCGTCAAACATCTTCAGCACCTTATTCACAACGGCGATGGGTCGTGTATCGACAGGAGTGACTGCCATCATGGCTGAATCCAACTTCGACAGAGTCAAGACGTCATCCACAATCCTTTTCTGGTGTTGAGCACACAATGTTATTGTTTGAGCAGAGTCAATGGTGAGGTCGAGAATTTCCTGCTGAGGCTGTGTCAACCCGTTTGCATCCCGCATCTCACTCAGAGAGCCTGTAATAGAATCGGCACATTGGAGTATGGCAGACAAGGGGTTGCGCATCTCGTGAGAGGTAGTATCAATGTAGCGCTCTTGCTTTCGTTTGAGTTCGACCGCTTCCTCCATTCTACGGGTTTGTAAACTTTCGGCGAACTTTTGTGCACTGATATCCGTCATGGATCCAAAAATTTGCCGGATTCGCCCATCGTCATCTCGCTCAGGTGAAGCACTGGTGAGAACCCACGTTTGTCCCTTGTTTCCCAGTTTGTCTCCCCACGGCACTTTGAAGCGAAATTCTAGCGAGATGGCACATCTCTTCTCCAGCATCGTGTTCCAGAGCTCCCGAACTTTCGCTTGGTCTTCATCCAGAACATATTTAATCCACTCGTTACCGACCGGCACATCTCGAGGATACGAAGAGATATTATACCATGCATCGTTGACGAAGTTGATCTTGCCATCGAGGTCGCCAATGAAGATCCCGACTGGGGCAAGTTCGGCCATTCTCGTGAATTTGTTTTCGGCCTCGACTGCTTGTTGCGTCCTGACCAACAGTTGGTTGCTGAGCTCAATGCGGTCTTGGGCAGCCAGCTGAGCTGCTCTTTCGCCTTTCTTAATTTCATCCTCAAACAAGACCACTGACGCAATGGACGTGGCAAGCTGGCGGCCTAGAAGCTGAACAAACAAATCGTAATCTTCATCGTACGGACGTCTTGGATTTGTAGCCATCACCAGAAACCCCAAAGTTGATTCGCCCGTGGTAGGATGGATCGGTGATATGACCACAATTCTTGAGGGATCGCCAAATCCTCTCCATTCAATATTTTCAAGCATTCCGGGATCAAGGCTACCATCGTCGACCCGTAGAACGATCGGCCTGTCGGTTGTAAGTGCTTGTCTGAACGAAGCGGCGAAACCCTTAGTGCCCGTCTTCATGTCGATAACAGGAGGCGCTGCCCGGTGCCCGGTAGGAATGCCCAAGCTGCCTTCCAGATAGCATACTTTGTTGGAGGCCGCACCGCTGGAGCCCGAGGAAGCAACATCGCTTTCCGCCAAGTCCTCGTTAAGAGAATAGACCAAAACCATGGGAGCATCGTATTCATTGTATTCCATGCCTTGGAGCAGCAAACCCCAGAAATCAGAAATTTGACGAGCCGCAGCCGTCCGCTCACCAATCTCACGCAGTGTCAACATGCGCCTTTCGGCAATTTTGCGGCGCGTCTTCTCAAACGCCGGGTTGTACAGCCCGACCACGTCGCCATCGGCACCAATTAGCGGAATGATGGACCAAGAGAAATATGTCTCTTCCAAGAAGCCATTGCGCATGATGAACAGGCAGTCGTCATCTTTCATTGTCGCTTGAGCGTTTTTGAAGGCATTGTCGAAGACTTCTTTCAACGCATCCCAGATCTCAGACCACGCATCGCTATAACGTGCGCCCATCAGGGTCGGATGCTTTTGGCCTGCCAGCAGAACATAGGCTTCGTTATATATGGCTACATGATCTGGTCCCCAGTACATAGCTGAAGGATGTGGACTGGCCATGATCAAGTTACACATCCCCCGAAGTTCGACAGACCAGTCTTCAATGGGGCCTAGACTGGTGGAAGCCCAGTCAATGCGTCTCGCAAACTGTATGTGCACGGGGAGTGAGGGTGACAATGGCAATCGTGTCCAATCAAAATAGCCTTTCTCGTCGGTGGTGGACAAGCCGGTGTCCAGATTGACGCGAGGGCTGGCGGGGATTGCTCTCGAGTCAGAGTTTGGGGGGGCAGACCCAGATGAAAGCTCCGAGGATGCCAGATCTGGGCTCGGTACGAGTGACGTTGGAACGAGATTATCTGGTGAGACGTCTGGTAATTGTTCCGTCACCAAGCGGTTCAGCGTGCGTGGCACGTCGCCGCTGGTGCGCGGGGGAATGTCGAAATAACCTTGCAGTGCTGTGTCCCCGCGAGCGCCTCCGCTGGTGGACGTAGACACGGACCCAAGTCCCTGATATTGCTGCATACCGGGCCGACCACCACCATCGGCCATTAAAGGAGGTGAAAATGGATGCTGGCGGCCATGAATAACCTTCAATTTTTTCCGTATTAGGGCGCCTTGCCACAGCCATCCTGCAAAAGGAAACGTGGGGACGATGTCGGGTTCTGTTAGAGAGCTGAGAGCCCAGGCCTTGAAATCAGAGAATGGAGTTCCCACATCAAGCAGCAGAGTAGGGTCCTCAGACCGGCCTTGGACATGTTCGAAAAGAGGAATGCGATTCTTGAGCGCCGTGTTTGCAAATATCAAATTGAGGCGAGAAGAGTTGACATTGACAGCATCGGCAATGTCAACTACAAATGTTGGCCGCTCGTCTAATTGCAGATACTCGACAAGGGGGATCGAATGAAACAGTTGGGCCTCGTTCGATCTTTTGGGATCTGAAGTTGCGCGGCGCCCATGTTGACTCCCGGCACGGCTAGCCTCGGTGGACGTCCTGACAGGCATTGAACTTGCAACCGTCCCCCTTGCCGACGGTGGTATTCTGGAAGGCATCTCTTCTCCTTGGCTGAGGGCTGTCGCAGCCGCCTCCAGAAGGGATATATTTTGCGCCGAGGTAGCCTGCATGTCCGGACCGGTAGAATTGGTATCCTCGTCGTCCTCCTGCCCACCTCGTCGACCACGCCGCTCCTCTTTCAGGTGACCATGTCTCGGGGGCGCTGATCCATTGGAAGAAGATAACTTCGCGTACTTCAAGGCTGGTTGATCAGAAGAAGAGGAACTGAGGGCGGTATCATGAGGACGTTTCAATGATGGAGGAATGAGGGTTTCGGCAGCGGTGAGGGGGTCGCGGGAAGGAAGACATGTTGGAATGTCGTGGGTATCTGGTGGGACGGTCATTCAGAAGACGCATTCTTGGACCAATCGTGCCTAAAATCAGATCACCCGGGCAGAGGCTGAAAAGGTGTGGCCGAGTGGGGAGGGCGAACGAACGAGCGAGAGCATGAGCGCAGGGAGGGTTCGCAGGTTGAGAAATGGAATCTAGGGCAAGTAAATGACACAGGAGCCGTTACCAACCCACACGCATCACGCCCAGGGGTCCAAAGAAGGTAAGCAGGCTGGAGCTAGAAGCAAGGTTTGAGCGACAAGGCTAGCAGTAGGGTTGGCGACTTGGAATGGAGGAGGAGGAGGAGGTACAAGTGTCACTACCCGTAAGGACATCGAGTGTTTGGTCGGAGTGGGAGGCTAGTTCGAGAGCGGACTCCAGCCCATCCACAGCGGGCAGTTGGCGGTATTGGACGCGGGACGATGGTCCGAGTGCAGCTTTTCAGGGACCGTGTTCATCGGGCAGGGCAATCTGGATCTGGATCTGGATACTCGTAGAGTTTCAGCGCAATAAGGATGGTGGAAGGCGGAGGCCAAGGGAGGCCAAGGGGATGAAAGACGGTGTGGATGTGCAGGTGACAGCGACAGGCATTCAAGGAGGATTTTGCCAATTAGGTCGAATCAGCGGGAAAAGAGATCTCGATGGAGACTCGATTGAATTGGTGTACGAGGTACTTGGTACTCGTAGGAACCTGAAAGCAAAAAGACTCTGGGAGACTCGTGCTACAAGTGATGCCAGTCGTGTGTTTGTGCAAGTTTGGCGCAGCTGCGCATCTGGACAGATCGTCGACTCCAGCGTTGGGTCAACGTCACGATCAGTCAACCTTTGCCCGTTTTCCTGCCGTCGTTCACCACTTTCTGCTTTAACACAACATGGTATTCTTGCACATTCCGATCATGCAACCCTCCTCCACCTTGAGCCGCGATGCTGAATCTTATCCTCTCTACCGCCTGCGCTTGACCCAAAAATGACCCCCTAGATCAAACCCTGAATAACCCTAACTCCCGCGGACGTCACCACTTTTGAGCCCATGCGGTTCCTTGTTCAGATTTGTGTGCCTTACACTGTAAATCTTGTGTTGAACGCCAGGTCAAGGTGGACAACGGCGGAAGACAACCGGTATGACTATGCAAGTGGGCCAGGACAACCCGGAATCATTGGACTGGCCTTTCCAATTCGAACTGTGTCCATGCAAGACCAGGGAGACAATAGTCTGGGAGACGATTGGATTGCAAAGGCTGACCCTCATCCTGGACAGAGTTGACCTCCACACTGCGATACCTCACATCCCCTCTGGTTTTCCAGTATAAAAGTTTGGGAACAAAATCCGAGGACTAGTGAAAGCCATGGATACGCGAAAATGATAAGAATAAGCTACTAAAGTATTACCTCGTACGGAGGGGTACCTAGAGAAGTCGCACGGTCGGACAAGCAAAGGGTCCTACAGTAGCCCTGGTGTTCTTTCCTTTTATCAGTATTGCCTGTATCTGATAGCAGCCACCTCATTGCTACCTAGATAGTATTGAGCGCGTTGTTGTATAGAAAGCGTCATGTGCCATTATGAGTATTTGTGAAGGGACTCTGGAGCCCGGTCGTATATTTTCCCCGTTCCGCATAGCCAAGCTTTCTTTCAGTGATAAGCCACCAAAAAGGGCTTAGCGGCCACATATCAAGATGATCCGATCCGACGCCCACGCCAGGCTGCGATCATTCTTCAACTGGCAATCATCATTGTGATCTCAATAACCCCAAGAACCAAGAATCACCAAACAGTTTGTTCTGGCAATCAAGCAAACAGTACTCGGTATACTGCCCTTTAACATTCAATATAAAGGCTGTGCCTCCAAAGCTCACTTTGAAACCATCATCCGCCACGTCCCTCTTATCGCTGCAAGAACTAAGATCTCGGCATACCTCATCTACGAGTTGCAGCAAGCAGTAACACGTCTCCATCTCCAAAGCGCGAACCGCGAGCAGCCAACGGCGAACGAGGAAAAGAGCAAAGTGCGGGCGAAGGAGGCGTGACTTGACCAACCAAAACAGCGACGCCGAACGGAAGCTCCACTGCCCGAACAGCCACTCCCTGGCCACGTCTTAACTGGAGGATTCCTCCCCAGGGCTGACGACCATCCTCAAGGCTCACGCACGCCTGCCACGCCTAGAAAACCAAGCCCCGTTACCAACTGTTGGCCACCGAACACACGAGGTCCCTCCCACGCTTATCCCACGACTGGCCACGCCTGCCTACTCTGCGTACTTGCTGCCTTTTAGGTCCAAGTCCTCCTCCCCGCCTCACTTGCGCCTTTCCCTCTCAAACCTTCCAACATCCATCCCCCTTTCGGTCACCCTGCTTTGACAGCAAGTCTGTTACACCTCGTTCATTATTTTCTTCCACGCCCACTCATACGCCGATGGTCGACTCCGCCGACGAGCCTCCGCTGTCAAGTCGTCTAATCTCATGGGCTAAGACCAAGACTCCCTCAGCGCCATCCTCGCCTACTCCCCATCGAAATCCCCCCGACCCTTCGGACCAATCTCCTTCCGCGCGATACAGTCCAGACACCCGCCGACAAGATGCTGGGAGTAGCCCCTCTGCAGCTGGTCCTGCAACAACCACAGACCATTCCACTGCTGGAAGAACGGATAAAGAGCAACAAAATCCACCGATTGTGGACGAGAAAGGAGATGGAACGCAATCTTCCGCCCTAGGAAATGTGCCTCCCAAGGACAAAGCGCCCTTGGTCAACCGTTTCTTCCGCGATGTCAAGCGCATCCTCTTTTCCAGTTGGGTCAATTGGCTCCTCGTCTTTGTCCCAGTTGGCATTATACTCGGGATTATTGTCGACTGGTTGGATAGCCGAATTGTGAGCCCTAGCGCAGTATTTGCCATCAACGCAGTCGCCATTATCCCCTTGGCCTCCCTTCTGGCGTATGCAACCGAGAGTGTTGCCATCAAACTGGGCGATACCATCGGTGCTCTTCTGAATGTCACCTTTGGAAATGCCGTCGAATTGATCATCTTCATCATTGCTCTAGCAGCAAAAGAAGTGCGCGTGGTTCAGGCCGCCGCCCTAGGTTCGATCTTGTCCAATCTTCTTTTGATCTTGGGCATGTGCTTCGTGGCCGGCGGTCTTCGGTTTCGAGAGCAACTATACAATTCAACTGTGTCTCAGATGAGCGCGTGCCTGTTATGTCTGAGCGTCATCAGTCTCCTCTTACCGGTAAGTGTCGGGAAGGAAACCAGCCACGTATCTTTGGCACTCCCAACTAATATGTGTGCAGACAGCCTTTCATGCTTCATTCTCGAGCACAGCGAAGGCGGATCACGTGGTATTGAAGGTCTCACGGGGCACCAGCGTGGTGCTCTTGTTGGTCTACTTACTTTACCTACTGTTCTCGCTCAAGTCCCACGCCTTTATGTACCAGAGCACTCCTCAACATCTCATTGACGAGGAGTCGCATCCGGGAGTCCTCGCCGACATTCTCAACTCCAGCTCTTCGAGTGACTCATCGAGTTCAAGTGACAGTGACACGGATTCTAGTTCCAACTCGAACACGACCACTAAACGCATCAAGCGCGCACTCCGCCGCAAGCGACGCAAGTCAACCTCAAGCACCAAGGAAAACTCCTCCGTTCTGGCATTCACCAGAAGCTCATCCATGCTCACCGGCCACGGCGGCTCAATGATCCAACCTACATCTCTCACTTCGGCAGAACTAGAACCCGTCTTTAGCGGGGACGAGGCTGACGTCGACGGAGAAGGAAGAGCAGGTGGCCATCGCTCTCGTACACATACTGTTCACTCTCGCGACTTTGAAGGCGCCATGCAGGCCGACCAGGCCTCAGAGAAATCCCTGAAACGCCACCGAAAATCAAAGAAGTCCAAACGTGCCAGGAAGGATAAACACAAGGGAAAGAGCAAAGAACCGGAAAAGGAAAAGGAAAAGGAGCCCATCGTGGAGACGGTGACCCAGGAGAGCTCTTTCTCGACTGCGGACACAGTACAACCACAAGTTGGATTTGCGTCGGATATCCAAGAGATTCCCAACGATGCCAATGTGAAGCGAACGTTTAATATTCGGAACATCTCTGAAGCTGTCAAGCCTGCATTCACATCAGCAAATTTCCCCCATCATCAAGCCACCGGAAGGCCTCTTGCAATCCCTATTCGTCCCACTTCGCAGCCGCGACCTGCCCCTCGACCTGTACGTCGAACTGCTTCAATGCCGGACATTTTTCACCCCACGATCTCCAGCAACCGGTTGGTGCCTACGATGTCTGCACCGGCCCAACATGATGCACCGTCGTCGGAAGGTGCAATTGAGGTCCAAGCGGATGATGTCGTGGAACCCCAGACCCACCTATCCCGCACGTCTGCTATTGTCCTGCTGCTGGCGACGACAGGGCTTGTCGCGTTATGTGCCGAGTTCTTGGTCGGCAGCATTGATTATTTGATCGCCAACAGCGGTGTCAGTCAAGAATTTATCGGTCTGATCATTCTGCCCATTGTCGGCAATGCCGCGGAGCATGTGACGGCTGTGACAGTTGCAGCCAAAAACAAGATGGACCTGGCGATTAATATTGCCTTGGGTAGCAGCATTCAAATTGCGCTCTTTGTCACTCCTCTGATGGTCATTCTGGGGTGGATCATCAAGACAGATATGAGTCTGTATTTCAGCCTTTTCGAAACCGTCAGCTTGTTTGCCAGTGCCTTTATTGTCAGCTTCCTGATGATTGATGGCCGAAGCAACTACCTGGAAGGAGCGTTGCTCATTGCAGCATATATTATCATTGCTGTAGCGGCGTTCTTCTATCCCAGTTGTGATCTGAGCTCCGCGAGCGGTGCACTCGACGGCACCAATCCGGGGTGCTAAAATGGCACGTAAGGACGACAGGTCATCTTTTGAGTAGGACTGAGTGAAAACAGACAAAGTATCGGAGACCTACTTGTCCAACTACGTTCGTTTAGACTGGCTCTCGGGGAATTGGGGGGACAAGCGGGCTTGGAGTGACAGGTTGTGGTATACGTTGACGGAGGTTGAGGGTTACTATTCATTCGACACATTCTTTGCTTGGGAAAATGAGACATGATCAGCTTGCCGGCGCGCTCGCTGCGGTTCTTCTGCTGTCGCTTGCATGTGCTTGCGATTTACAGGACGGATCACCACTTTGTGATCATATTTGACTAACTCATACAGAATATGGCTGGTAAGGTTCGGGGCACACGACCTGAACTTACATTTTCACCTTCATCTTGAATCTGCTTCGATCTATGCCTTGACTCCCCTTGTACCGGGCACCTGTAATCCCTGTCTGTCACACCTGAGGATGTCCTTTTAGTAAACGAGGTAAGGTCTAAGGCCGCCCATAGCCATAAGATGGAGCGGGCCTCGTTCTGCGCAACCTGTCAAAATCATCCAAGATCAAATGTTCAGCTCACGGACCCTGATGCTTTTACCCTCTCTGGTTTCTGCATATTATGTCCCCAGCTACAATACGCAAGAAATACGCCAGAAAGGTCAACTGCTTCGGATACGTTTACTGCTTTGGCCAGTTCTGATACCAGGACAAGGGGTTTTCCATGTAGTCACAACGTGGGATGAAGCTCCACAAGCCCGCAGCTATCCGCACTTCAGGTATGGTTGGCCTCACCCTTTAGCACCTTTAATCTTCGCCGTTGGGTAACTCGGAGCACGCCGTGGAGGCCCGAGAAATGCTTATCATGACATCTTCCTGGTTCTTATCACCATCGTCCTCTGTGAGTGGCAGCTACTGATGTCCGTCGTTCCTCTAACCAGTTGGCTTTAAGAGTGATACGAACATCCTGCAGCTACCCTGGACTGGCGTCCCTTCGACCGTCTATCGGCTCGTGTCGCGCAGAACTCCGAGGCTCAATGTCTCTCCTCGCTCGTGGAAGATGGCACCATGGCACCATACGAGTTCCAGTTTACTTCCTCGCACGGCGAAGATCTGGAGGCGAAAAGCTGGCTTCGGAGCTTGGTTGAGCACAAGCTTCCCCCGCCCAGCGACAAGTTGCATAAAAGGGTTTAAATACTTCCATGTTCCCGAACTTAGTTTTGCATATTGGGAGACTTCTCTCGGTCCCTAAAGAACGGGGTTTGAGCGCAGCGGAAAGACGTCAGTTTTGTTATTGAACCATGGCCTCTGCACGCCCGGACACAAAAGGCCAAAGCCACAATGCGACGGACATCAACCCTCCCTCCGAGCGCCGGGGGTCCCTTATCGTCGATACCACGCTCGCAAGCGAAGAAGACGCCGCGGTTCTAGCAAAGATGGGGTTCGTCACAACTTCACGATCGTCTCGACAAGGCCCGATAAACGGAGACTGATGGTAGAATAGGTACAAACAAGAACTCCGCCGGAATTTCAGTATGCTCGAGGTGTTCGGAATTGCCTTTGCCATCATGGGCTTGCTTCCATCCATCGCGAGTACACTCTCCTACTCCATCCCCGCCGGACCCGTGGGCTTGGTTTGGGGGTGGTTTCTAGCTTCGGGCTGGATCTTCATCGTCGGTCTAGCCATGAGCGATCTTGCAAGCTCGATGCCGACGAGTGGCGGGTATGTGGTTACATCGAAGCTGCCTAAATCCTTTCGGGCCTCCTTGCTCTGACAATCAACGTATCTCTAGGCTTTACTACTGGACTCACTATTATGCATCACCAAAATGGAGGAACCCGCTGAGTTTCCTTGTCGGATACAGCAACACCCTCGGATTGGTGGGTGGTCTATGTTCAATCGATTGTTGGTGTGCCCGAGTCTCCATTCCCAGCGAGCCACTGACTCAATAACAGACGGATTCTCCCTGATGTTTCTCTCCGTCATCGTGATAGCCCGTGATGGAAATTGGACACCAAACAACGGCACTATCTACGGAGTCTTCATCGCCACTGTCGCCTGCCATGGTCTCATCGCTTCGACCATGGCCCGTGTCATGGGCAAAATGCAGACCGTGTTCGTGGCCATGAATTTCATCCTGATATTCGCAACCATCATCGCCTTGCCAATTGGAACGGCGAGCAAGCGGAACAGCGCCTCCTACATCTTTACACATGTCTCGAACTTGACCGAGTGGCCCTCGGGCTGGACCTTTATGCTCTCTTGGCTCAGTCCCATCTGGACTATTGGCGGGTTTGACTCGGCGGTCCACATCAGCGAAGAGGCCACGAATGCCACCAAGGCGGCACCGCTAGGCATTCTGTTTTCTATCGGTTCGTGCTGGCTGTTCGGATGGATCTGTTGCATTGTCATCGCGGCGTGTATGTCGCAGGATCTGGAGAGCATCTTGGGCTCGCCCTTTGGACAGCCAATGGCCCAGATCTACTACGATGCCCTTGGCAAAAATGGAGCTCTGGGTTTCATGGCTTTATTGATGATTGTCCAGTTCTTGGTGAGTATTTTATTACTAGGTATCGCGGTGAAGAGAATTCTGTTCGACTGACATGCTCTGCTTAGATGGGTGTTTCCATCCTGGTCGCCGCCTCTCGTCAAGCATGGGCGTTCTCTCGTGATGGAGCGTTGCCCTTTTCCCGATTCTTCCGCCACATCTCCAAGAAATTCGGCTATATCCCCGTGCGCACGACGCTCGGTTGCGCCACACTAGCAGCCGTCCTCGGTCTTTTGTGTCTGATCGCCCCAGCCGCCGCGGCAGCGCTCTTCTCTCTTGCCGTCGCGGGCAACAATCTCGCATGGGGAATTCCGATCCTCTGCCGCGTCGTCTGGGGTCAAAAGAAGTTCAGCCCGGGGCCCATATACACGGGCCGAGCGTCAACGCCCTTGGCCTGGGCGGCCGTCACTTTCCTGGTCTTTGGGATCCTGTTGTGCATGTTCCCCGTGGGCGGCCCCAATCCGACCGCCGACAGCATGAATTACACCTGCGTGATCAACTCGGCGGTGTGGGGAGGCGCGTTGCTTTACTATTACATTGACGCGCGCAAGTGGTTCCGCGGACCGCAGATCACGATCGATCTGAGCCAGCTTACAGAAGAGCAGGCGGAGGCGCTGAGGGAGGAAGGACTCAAGGAGGAAGAGGGGACCGGGCATGCGGTGATCGGTAGTGGGGGGAGTAAAAGCGTTTCTGTCGATATGAAGGATAGCTGAGAGGGAAGACTAGGCCGTGGGGATATTGGGTAGGGAACTTTAGCAATGGGCAGCCATCTACCTAGGTACGTAGACGACAACCAGGATATGCCACACCGACTGCTTTATGCAGCTGTCCTCAATCAGTGTACACAGGGGGGTCCGGATCATGACTGAACTTATCCGAGAAATCACACGAGCGTCCAAGCAAGGAAAAGATTCGCACAATCTGGACCGGCGGGCTTTATCAATTTTACGTGATTAACTCCTTTCATACCCCGTGAACTCGTACCGGGTGGGTGGGTGTGTTCTCTGCAGGACTGAGGCACCTACCTATCTCCGGCTCTGGACCGACTCACCGAGTCCACCTCTTCACCATCCAACATTCGACCTGAAGCCTGCTCAATGATGCCAAATAATCGCCCTGTCAACCACATATGCGCGTAACCGACAGCCTACACCTCCCCTGTCAGTATTATCATTTACCATCGACTGGACCATACAATGAAATTCGCAACCTTTGCCAAAGGACGGGTCACGTGCCGCAAGCATTCTGCCTCACCCCCTTTTCCCATCGAGCCTTGCACGTATTCACTATTCCTATTCATCAGCGGCTGGGCCACGCGAGAGAGTGAATTCGCAGGCGTTGTAAAAAAAACAATTTCCCAATGGGTGCCAATTCACTCGCGACACACAGACAATGGATTTCTTTTTCGGGTGAACAATAGGGGTGCGGTTGCTGTTCATTGTTCCAGAATAGCTCCTCTTCCCCCCAGCCAAAGAAAAGTTTTTTGTTCTATTGAAGGAAATGTGCTATTGTGAACCAAATTTAGAGCCAGGACAATCAATGGCAATGGGTGGATTGTGATTGTCGTCTTCAGATTCCCATTGGGATATATCATTGAAGAATTCCGTTCGGTACCTACACATAGTTGCTCAAGTATCGTGTGTGAACTCGACTCATTCTCCTTCGTCGATTGAACTTGAACCTGTGCGTGTCTCTCTTCGTCTTGCTCTTCTCTTGTAAAGAACAGCATTTCTTTCCTGCTCAAACTTCGAGATCCAACGCAAACACGAGAAGCAATCGAATCTTCATCTTCTTCTTCATCTTCTCTTCTCCACTCTGCTCTTGCCGGTCAAGTCAGTTCTCAAAGCATCAGGCATTCTTATTCTTCTTCTCCTGCTCTTGTTGATCAAGATCAATTGTCAGAAATTCAAGCTCTATTCTTTATTATCTTCCCCCTGGACTTGCCGATCAACCCAGTTCTTAAAGCTCCAAGCTCCAAGCCCTCTTGTTTACTTCCTTGGACTCCGAACTTCCCTGCTCTTGTTGATCAAGACCGGTTCCAAAGCATCAAAGCCCTTTTGTTCACTTCCACGGACTCCAGTCCTCCCTGTTCAAGTTCAACACCGCAACAATGGCTCCTGTTGACAAATACGCAATCTTCTTCCCCGAAGCCGATGGCTACCTCTTCTGCGGACACCTGGGCATGGGCTCCGAAGGAAACACCTCAATCGTGCGCTCGATCGTCGACAACCAGGACTATGTCAGAAAGAAGACAAAGCCGACCTCAGCGTCGTCAAGCCAGAAGGGCGGCGTATACAATGCCGAAGTCAGCTTCTACCGTCCACATCCACGGATCCCAGCTCTCGTCCACTCCCAGGATTTCCGAGTCCTTCCTCCGGATCATCCACGCGTCAACCATTTCAAGTCTACGTCAATGCTCTTCCAATATTGCAATGGCGGAACCCTTGAGCGGTTTATGAATATTCTCGGGCGTGAAAGGATCCTGGCCCCCGAAGTTCTCTTTTGGCACCTGCTTGACAACGTCTTCGAAGTCATTGAGCACCTCCACAAAGGCAGCAGCCCTGTCTCCCATGGCGATCTGCACGAAGGAAACATCTACCTCCACTATCCGACTCCAGACAGCAAGCTCCCAGAATTCTTCGTTGGAGATCTCGGCTATGCGAGACCGGTCGATCCGAGCGTTTGGGAGCTTGCAGGAAACCCGCCCACGCGTCAACTGAGAGACGTCAACATCATCAGGTCCGAAGATGAACAGGCCCAGCGAGAATACCGCATCATGAAAGAGGTCGGCGGCGTCGCTGCTCAGGGTCTGCCAGCGCAACCACCGCCATCCCGTACCGATCAGATTGTATCGATGGTCGACGATCTCAAGAACGTCCGCACCGCTTTGAAAACACTTCTCCAAGGCCATGGTCAAAACCCGCAAAACATGAAGTACGCTCCATTTAGAGCCGGCAACGTGGTCAACGACATCATGATGGCCAACCCGAATGACTACAATGCATTCGTCGGATTCCGTCAAGTGATCAGGCAGCTTGCCCGGAGCGCCCGAGAGAACACGGGCGTCTTGCCAGATTTCCAATGGACTCGTCAAGACCGATACAGAGACGATTTCCCACCAGGAGTATTCCGCCCACCCTTTCCATGGACGACGTACAGTCAACACCACGCCGTCCATGCCCAACTCAGAGGTCGGCTTACAAAAGTGTGGCAGTACACGCCTGTGCCAGAGATACGGCTTTTCAATAGCCGCCACGAGCTCCTGCACCTCTCGGCTGCCGTCCCAGGTCCCTGGAGAATCGCTCGTGTCGCCCCAGGCACGCTCCAGGTGCTGGCCGTCGAGCTGTTGACCTTCGGCCTGCATGTGCCGTCGGTCAAGGACAACTTGCCGCTCTCGTCCAGCGGTCGTCCGATGAACCAGGACGACGTCCTCATGGCAGACCAGCTGGTTGCCACTGAGGTTGATCGCATTGGCATGCCAAACATCACCGCCGCTGCCGTGGGCAGTGTCTCCGGACACAGCCACCACCCGTTCTTCAACGTGGACCGGGCGTGGAGCCAGGAGAGGCTCTCGAAGCAGGGTCAGTTGACGCTGCGCGCAACGGCACTTGTGCCACCGCCGCAGCCGTCGCCGCCCGCTCCGCAGACGCCTCTCCCAGCTCCAGCGGCTGGTCCGTCGACGCCACGTCGACCGTCACCAACGTTGTCAGAGGAGGCACAGGCCCTGGAAGACGCCTTCGCGGAGGCACAGACCCCGCCAGAGACGAAGCAAGCCCCAGAGGCTTTGCAACGGGATCCTCCAGCGGCTCAGCAGCAGCAGCAGCAGCAGCAGCAGACGCCTCCGTCCCCATCTCCGCCTGCACCACAAACTCCTCCGGCCCAGCAACAGGCCTCTCCCTCCCGTCCTTCTTATTCTCCTCTGACACCATCACCACCACCTCCGCCAGCACCAAAAACTCCTCTGGCTCACAAACAGGCCTCACCTCCTCGCCCTTCCTTTTCTCCCTTGACGCCACCTCCACCATCACCACCACCGCCTCGTCCAGCAGCACAACCAGCTGCAGCAGCGCCAGTGAGCGCTCCCGCTCCCGCCCCAGCCAACCGGGTGGTCAAGAACACGACCAAGGGAGGGAGAAAAGGGGCCATAGGCCAAGCCAAAGGTGTTACGGCGACAGACCCGCCGGCTGCAAGAAGCCATCCTGCCGCCAGAAGACCGCGTGCCCCGCCACCGCCAAGCAGGGTCACGACCAGAAGCATGGCGCGACAACAGGCCCTGGCCAGCATCATCTGGACCAGAGGCAGGACCAGAGCGGCGGCGGCGGCGGCAGCAGCAGCAGTGCAGCGAAATTAGAGAGAGGGATGGAGACAGCAAGTCCTTAGAGATGGCATGGATCAAAGAAGAGTGAAAGTGAAAAGTGGATGGAGAACCCGAGTGAATCAGCGCTAGTCTGGAACTGGAAGGCACGAATGTACTGTAATTATGGATCGGCAGAGTACGACTCCTGGTGAGAAGCACTGAAGAGAAGCAGGTTATTGAGCTGAACGAGGACAAGGACAAGTTAGATTGAACGATAAACGTGGAATTTTTTGCTTGATTTAATTCTTTTTCCCACCCTTTTTTTTCTTTTCTTTGGACTGATCTATTCATACACAGAAGGACTTGAATGCTCCGTGACCACAAAGTCAATTCATTGCGCCCTCTCTTTCTGACTCCTCCCTTTCCTTCATGGCCCGGGATTGGATAGAGGCAATGAAGCTTTCTCAAACTTCTCAATCCCAAGCATTTCCACTGCTCTTCTTTCCTCCAGCATTGGACGGCAGTATATCTTCCTTGTCTTCAACCCGCACCTCGTACTCATGTTTGATGCGAATCTCGTGCTCGTTGACAATCAGCTCGTTTTCAGAGCCTTGCCTACTCGGCCCCCGCGCCGTCTCGCTGCCTCCTTCATCCGTCTCTTGCATGTGCACGAACCCTTTGCTGTCCCGCCGGATATGCGATCGCGTGTGAGATATGGTGCTACTGAGCTCTATCGTGTGGCCGCCAGTCCCTGTCAGTTTGGACCGGATCCCGACACCACCACTGCGGCCGCCTCCGCTCCGGCTGAGGCTGTAGTCCTTGTCCGTGCCGCGTTGGTCGATGAAGGTGCGGATGAAGAGTCGGAGGATCGGCGCCGTCGACGCGATTGGGATGCAGTAATTCTCGATTCTGGGAACAGGTCATGTTAGCCCTTTCTCCTGTCCGTTGTCTTCCCAGTGTGCTGTATCTGTCTTTGAACTTACTTGACCCACAGAACGAACGGAACTATGTTCCATGTAAAGTCGAGTCGGCTGCCCAAGGCGGAGAGAAGATACGTCTTGACTATAGATGCTACTCCTGACAACAGTAGTGGGCCGCAGATCAGCAGTGTCTGCCATAGCCGTTGGGTTCTGATCCCGCGATCCAGTCTCTTGAACCTGGTGAGGAAAGAATTCTCGCTGCTGTTTTGGGCTCCACGAAACATGAATTGCCAGAGCTCGAACCCGGCCAGGTATGTCAGCGCAAAGTCGATGATGCAGTTGAAGGCTAGTGTGGTCAGATCTGGTCCTCAACACGAAAACAACATTCACCTACCGCCTTGAACGTATCCCACTGTTGCTTGTACTGTCGGTGCCTGGCAAGCAACTGAACCGTCTGCTGGCAACGGATCCCACATGTAGTGGAAGTAAGCCGCCCGATTTACCAGCCGATATGGATTGGGCCCGCATTGCAAGAATATTTGCAGAATCGTGAAGAGGTTTGCGACGATCTGCACCACCAGACAGACGATGACGATGATACGGAGACTCCTCCGGTTCTGTGCGAAGCATGTGTATAGAAAGAGGATCACACCCGTTCGTGACCACATCGACGCCGCCACGGCCAAAGGTTGAGAGACAAAGTCCCATTTCATAGCTCGATTTCTCTGTATCGGTGTTAGGTAGAAGAAGTGCCTCCCTAACCCCCATTCCCAGCTACGTGGTGGTCAGTACCAGAGGCAGAAAAGGAAGAAGAACAACAGTGAAATGGTCTGCCACTTGCCTCTTCCATATCATTGCCATATGACCAAGATCAAATGCATACCCAAAGGCGAGGAAGAAGTCCTCTAGACCCCATACTCGTTGGGGCCTCGAGACATTTGGGAGAAGCCACGAAATCCAGAATTTGACACCGAATCGAAACAAGAGCACGAAGAATACAAAGCCGGTCAACACCCAGCATCCGACGAAGATGTTCGTCCCTGGTCGATGTCAGAGCCACCTGGAGTATTGGGATATTCGACGCCCATACCTCTGTTGACATCGGGACCGTCTGGTCTTGGAACTTCCATGTTGTTGCTCGTGAAAGCTTGTTAGATGGTCCAGTGCTGTGCGTTTGGGAGAGGGCGGCTCATCTTATCCCGTCGAGTTCTTTGGACTCATACTCCTACGGGTCTCGGCCGTCCCTTGCAGATGTGGTTTGACCAGCAAAAGTACGGACGGACAAGCTCCGGTTGCGTGTACCTTGCACGCTCGACGAACCTCCCCACACAGCATTGACGAAACCTCCTTTCCTCGGGACCGAATCGAGCTTCTTCCAGTAGGTACCTAGACCAAACCACCTCAGGGGCTTGTCACGGCTCCGTCGGGGAAGGGATTGAGCCTCAAACACGCGAGGGTATCGGCCTTGTCCTTGATCATTCACACTGCGTGGCTCTTGCGCCACATGGCTAGCCTGACGGAGGCCGTCCATCGTGCATGGAGAACGCCTAGGAAGTGTCTCTTTCCCCAACCCCTTTGCGCATTCTAGCGTTCCTGAGAAGGCCGAATCATTGACGAATGAGACCCTAGAGGTCGCAGAATTCCCTAAACAAGTATATTTTGTGCTCAGCACTAGACCCCTGCCTCCCTCGGCCGGCAGAGCAATAGTTGAAGGGGCCAGAGATAAGAGGGTCGGGCACAATGCTACTGGTTCCTGACTTGGGAAATCAGTGTATTTACACGATTGGACGAAGTCACTTACCGCCTCTTTGCTGCCCACACTTGCTTAGCAGACTGTGCAGCATGGATTCGCAGCGATCATTCCTTCCATGGGCTATACCAGGAAGATTGCGCCGCGCTAGGTTTGCAGCTATCAGCCATGGCCGCTTACGAGCGGGCATGACTGACCAACCCGGGTGTGCTGTTCCTTTGACATAAAACTCGTTAATCAACACGCGACGTCTTAGTGTTGAAAGTAACTAGGCTGATACCCTTGCAAGGGTTTCCCACGGCCCGCTCAACCCGTCGGCCGTCGATCGCACCACTGCGCCCCGCTGCTTGGGCTGCTCGCTAAGTACTCAAAGTCTGAGCTTCTCAAGCTAACGGGTCTGCGAGGGACTAGTTGAAGCATGCAGGCCGGGCTTCAATTTGACAGTTCCTGCCCCGATTGTGCCAAGTGCTTCAGTCAAGGCAGAAGGCCGAGAAAAGACCTCCGTATGTCGTTCACATGCGGAAAGTGCCATCCAGACAAGCGAAACGACAACGGACCCTTGCTTCTTCGAAAAGAGACAGAGAGTTCAGTTACAATTGTCTTGTCCAGACTGCAAAGCGACGAGGATAATAAGAGACATGGGCAACACTTCACCCACAACGGCACGCTCAGACGAGTGGGGCCGCATTCAATCACATTCGGCGCGGTGAATTTCTCAGAAAAGTGCCAGCCACTGATCGAGGAATACGCCTAGAGTAAGAGGCGATGCTCATCCCAGGGCGAGACACGCACGAACTATTACCCTGGCGATCTAGGCTACCGCATCGGACGAGATCAGCTTTCTCATCTCAACAAGGCCCTCCCCAGCGACTGGATAAACTTCGAATGTTACTTCCAAGCCTGTCAAAGCCGCCATCGTCTTCCACTCGCGACTACTCCTGATTCTCCCGGCGTACAATTGAATCATCGTTGCGTGCATCTTTCCATAGGTGGGATTTTTGGCGAACTCGTGAATCAACATGCGGGAGTACGGCGCCATTGCATCTGAAACCTTCTTCATCAGTCGCATAGCCTCGAGGTCTGACATATTGTGGTAGATGTGTGTCAGGCTGTAGACGAGAGCCCCTTTGACGGGCTCGGGAGACTCATCCTTGAAGTCCCAATGCTGAATTGTCAGCTGGTCACCATTTTTTGGGTCAGGGTGATATTCCTGCAAAACAAGATTCTCTTTCTTCAGATGCGGGTATGCTTCCTTCACTTCCAGGAGCATCTCTCCTCGTCCGCCTCCAATGTCGACAATGGCGATGTTGTTTGCGTCGCTCTTCAGAACAGAGCCCAGATCATAACCAAAGGATTTCATCCGGTCTGGCATTGTCCCAAAGCGGCCAAATTTGCCCTCCATGAAGGATGAGAAGCTCGGCATCCGTCCTTGCATATGCATGATGGAATAAGTGTGCTCGTTGACAAATCTCTCCTCGCCAATCATTTTATATCCGTATTGCGTGGGTGTTTTGTTCTCCTGGAATGGATACTCGAAATTTGTGTCTCGGAGTTGTCTCATCAAGAAAGCTGCCGACCAGAGGGGCTCTGTCGTGCTTCCAGGCTCAGTACTCAATGGCTTTCCCGGGCTGTCTCACTCACAAATGCAGCATGCCATGAAGAGAAGATGGTACTGCCACCATATGGGCTGTGATGGGGTTCACCTGGTATGTTGTATCATCGACCAGATCGACTAGGCCTAGACCAGCCATCGCGTACATGGTGTCCTCTACAGACGTCAGATGAGCTCTAGTGTTCGACATTATCCAGACCTGTTAGCCGCAAACCTGAGTTCATCGTCAGCAAGAGCTCGTCATTGTGGCAAATATCGTACATAGTGGGGAGGACTGTTTGTCTTCATCACTCCTCTCAGCGTCGGATGCTTTGGTCAATTCTTCCGCTGTTGCAATGGGCCCAATTCGATTGAGCAAGGGAAAGAAATCGAAATGGATCGCTACTGGCACGAACCCAAGGGCTGCGATCTGAGATTTTGCGAGTTATTCTGATTCATGGAGCTATCTGGGATGTAGGTGCACTTACTCCGGTTACAGTAGAGGCCAGAACCGCCCCTGGCTCGCTCATTTTCCCTGATCTCGATGAGAGCACTGACACAGATAGTCAAACTGGAATCCGATCAAATATTACAACAGAACTCCCAATGAAGTCGAGGAACAGCAGCGGTGTCTTGCGAGGCTGGGCGCGCCACTCTTCCAGAAGCAGGTCATGCAAAGTTTTGCCGGGGGCGTGATGGAATTGCGTTTATGTTGATCACGGCCACGGTTCGTCAACCCCTCGTCCTTGTTGCTTGAATAGCTCCCCAGGTTAATTGGGTCGTTAGGATTATCTCCACCGGGGGAGCGGTGCTGCATGTTCCGCACGCCACTGTCGGAAGCTGCCGGTGGCTCCACCATACAAAAGGGTTGTGGAGATAGCAGGTGGCATGAAGGAGGAGACTACGAGTAAGTACCGCGGGCGGGCGGGCGGTGGGCTGATCATCCTCGCTTATCCCCTCAGTCTCCAAAGTTTGCCCGACCTTTAAGTCTATCACAGCACAAGAGTAAACACACTCTGTGTGTTGACGAAGGGACTGTTATGGCTGTCTTTCCGGGTCAGCATTCCTTCTTTTCTCCGAGTCACTAATTGGATGGGAACCTTCAGAATTGAGCTGGTGAGCAACGTCCCAGAAGAGACGCCCTGGTTCTCCGAGGGCGACCAGGTGGCATCCTTGCCCGGCTTTACATATCCTTGCGGGCCTCTTGGCGAGCAGCCGACTATCGTCTTAAGTGCCCAGCTAGCACGACTTCTCATTGGGACTATCCATGCCACCTGGGGCGCACTATGCTTTATCTCGCGTTGCAGACCCTAGACGTCTACCTCGTAGCCTGTGGGTTCATGTATTCCCTTTGTCTTATCAGCCTCCTCGACTACCTTGGCGCATTCCATTTCCCCTAACGCTGCATTCATATGCACGAGCCCAGGGCTCCAGGACGGGCTGTTGGCCGGATCTGCATCAGTTTGCCTTGAAACGACCATGGCCCCAGGATCGCTTCAAGACGGTTCGTGCCCCTTTCGTATCCTGTGCGTCCAACACATGTCCCGGTTGGGGATGAGCCCCGTAGCCACTGTTACCCCTAAGAAAGACGGTCATGTCTTTTCTCTACGCGAGGTGGGGGAGGTGAGGCCCAACCTGATGCCTCCAGAAGGAGATCGAGCCCTTTCCGAGTCTCGACCTGTCCTCGTCTCCTGCTTTGCGTGGAGCACTAGCTGACCACGTTGTAGACGGGCTCGTGGCTCACTGAGTGTCGAGAACCGTGCCTGGAATTCTCGACTTCTTGAAAATCTCCCCTTCATTATATCCTGCCTCCTTCCAGTACTTAAGCTACTTACCACAGTTTCATCTTTCAATCGGACCAGGCTGTTTTCCTTCTTTGCACTCTGTAGCAATCATGAGTGCTCCTTCTTCTTCGTCCGGCGTTGGGGACAAGCCTCCTGTATCCGAGAAGAACGTGAATGCGGAGAGCACGGTCGTCGCTCTGAGCAATGAAAACGATCAGCCCAGCATCCTCGACGGGTTGGGTTCAGATGACAGCCAAAGTCCCCAAAATTGGAGTCCGTGGAAGAAGCGACTTGTGTTTCTCGCACTGATGTCCAGCTCAATACTTGCCGACGGGTATGTCTCTTGTCCGTGGTCGAAATGTAAAAGCTGACTCTTCTGTAAGAGGCATGACCTGGGGTGCAACTCTCGTGGCTCCCCAAGCAATTGAATGGCACACCTCCATCACGCATTCGGCTACTTCGCTCAACTACGGTATCCTGCTTCAGGGCTTTGGCGGCATCTTTGCGGTGCCTTTTATCGACGCATACGGCCGGTTAGTTATTCGAAAACTGTGACACTCGAGGCTTCACATTGCTGATTCTTTCTTACAGCCTCCCCGTCTGGCTCTTTCCCCAGGTCGTCACCCTCTTTGTCGTACTCGGCTGCGTTTATGCTCAGTCATGGTCTGTTTTCACGGCTTTGCGTGCCCTCCAGGGCCTCTTTGGAACAGTGCCTCAAGTGATTGGTTTGCCAATTATTCACGACATGTACGCTCCGCACGAATGGCCACGATACATCAACATCTGGGGAACAACCTTCCTGGTCGGGCCTTTCCTCTTTCCTGCTCTAGCTGGGTACATTTTGCAAGGCACCGGCTCCTGGCGTGACTGCTTCAAAGTCCTCACAGGTTTCTATGGATTTTCTACGATGCTGATCCTGGCCTTCGGTTACGAGACATACTACAACAGGTCAACGGGCGTCCAGCAGACCAACCGGATCAAGTCGTTCTTTGGTATCGGTAACACCAACTTGCCAAAGGCGCAGACGCTCGCGGAGTCGACTATCAATATCGTCAAACTAACCTTCACCCTCCCAATCCTCCTTGTCGGACTTTCCACCATGATCAACTTCACGTGGCCCATTGGAATCACCACGACCGTTGACGCATTTGTTCGAGCACCGCCGTATCTCTTCGGCAACGTGGCCGATGCCTCCATCCGCTTTGCCGGTGTCATCGGGGCTCTTTTGGGCTTCTGCTTTGGATACTTCTTCAACGAATGGATCTACAACGGATCTGGTGGGAAACGAAAGGCGCACTGGCGAAGTGAGTACAGATTGCATGGCGTGTGGTTCCCGATCGGCAGCATGGTGTGTGGCTTGCTGACCTATGGTCTCACGCTCAACTACGGAAAAAGCTGGGTTGGACTTGCATTTGGCTGGGTCATGGTGAACATCGGACTAGTCGGCACCATGGTCGCCATCACTGCCTTTGCGCTCGAGAAATACCCCACGCACTCTGCGGTTGTGTCGGCCATCATCAACATGTGGCGCACCTGTGGCGGGTTCGCAGTTGGATATTTCCAGCCCAGTTGGATTGCGAAGGATGGCGTGGCTGCGGTCTTCGCGACACAGGCTGCTGTCGTGGCTGTGTGCGCCGTCATTCTCATCGGAGCAACCATTTGGCTCGGAAGACGTGCTGCAAGCAGCAAGACGGCGGCAGATGTCACTGGCGAAGCGTGAGCCGTGTTTCGTGATTTGGTTTCAAAACATTAAGAAAAGCAAGATTGAACGGGTTTTCTGGTTTCATTTGTGAACGGGGGAGGGCGCGGTCTCCTGTGGGCGAGGATATTCCAAGACTAGCGAGGAAAACACACGTAGTGATTCTAATAGTTGGCCTTACTCTCACTTCGTTTGTTAGACTGGCCGTATCCTGCCTGGTCGTCCTAGTCCCATACCTACCGCTATATCTTCTGCGTTATCTCAACGTGAGTAGTTCTCTAACACTACAGTCTCTCCCATGGCGCCCATTGATCTCGATATCGTCAATAGCTCTGAAAGCTCCCAGGCTTGACGCCCCGCCCAACGTGCAGAATACAGTGCTCGAAGCAGGTGCGACATGGTGGGCTTCAACACACAGCGCGCATCGTTCTTCTGCACGAGCCTTCCTCACATGCTCTGACACGCACAGCCCAGCGGTATAGAGATGAGATGAGCGCAATGCAGTGCGCAAGGGAAGAGGATGAATAATCGGCCGCTAACAAACGACGAGTGCAGGAAGGAAGTTCCAAGATTGTCCTCCTTGCGTGATGGAGTTATATCTTGAAATGACACAAATGACGCAGATATCTACGGTCATCGCTCGGAAGCGGAAGGATACCTACAGTACTTGGCTGGCCACACAGGATGGCTTCCGAGGCATGCTCCGATATTTTGACTTGTGGGGTGCCGGAACGATGGATGACCTCGAGGTTATTGCTCCGTCCCCGGAGTCGTTATGTCACACAGACACCATGTAGTAAATGACTCCTTTTTGATCGCTTTTGCTTCGGCACTGTTTGGTCCCGAGAGGCTCCTGTGCGATCTGGATTGCATTGGTCACTGTCCCCAGCTTCCCCAGACGTTCCTGTTTCGTGGCCCGGTGGGGAAGCTCTTGACAGGTCCTCCACGAGAGATGTGCCCTGTGTTGTACAGGTCACCGATCCGAATGCTGAGGAGCAATGCCGGCTCTGAAAGTGCCAGGGCAGTGTGACCGCCTGTGTTGCGTTCATGCTTCTAGCTTCGACCGGACCGATGGAGATATATTGGCTCAAGTCGACGCGCGAGAGGAATAGCTCACGCCTCAGACCTCGCCTTCCTACATTCCTTGTCCATGATACTTTTGGCTCAACAACTGCTCTCTGCCGCATCGATAAAACCCCATGGCTCAGACTATTGCCATCCTCGGGGCGACGGGCAAGACCGGCCGTGAGGTGTTACAGCGACTCCTCCACCGGCAAGATGTGAACATCCAAATCTACGTCCGGTCGACCTCAAAGCTTGTCGCTCTCTTCCCATCGCTGCCCTCCAACCCGCGGGTTTCCATCTTCCAGGGACCGCTCGGCGACGTCGAGAACATGCGCAAATGCCTGAACGGCGCCGAGCAGATCGTTTTCACCCTCGGCGAGAACGACAATCTCCCGGGCGTCAGCGTGATCGAGGACGGGGCAAGGACCGTCGTTGCGGCGCTGGAGGCGTTGCGCGACGATCAAGTGGGAGATTGGCGGCGCCCGCGGGTCTTGTTGCTGTCGTCCGCGACCTGGAACCCCACTTTGGCCGCTGTCCGGCCAGCTTTGATCCACTGGGCTATCAAAACCGCATTCGTCCACCCGTACGCGGATCTACGTCGCGGCCAGGAGGTCTTCCTCACCGCCGCCGCCGCCGCCTCGTCGCTGGTCAGTGTCCTGCTAGTGCAGCCCAACGGTCTCATCGAGGATGAGCCCAGCGGGCACGAGATCAGCGTCGACCATGCTACCTTCAGCGTGACGTATGGAGACTTGGGCGCCGCGTTTGTCGATTTGGCTTGCATGAGGGAGTTCGATGACCTGCCGGCGGTCGGCGTCTCGAGCAAAAACGGCGACAACGGGCTGAAGTACGGCCCCATTCTTGGATACAGGATCGTGAGAGGTCTATGTGCCACCTACATCCCTGGATTTTGGCACATGCACAGGCTTGCGATGTCGGTTGTCGCAACTCTGTCCTTCAAAAAGAAGGTGCAGTGATAGTATATGGTGTTCCTCTCCAGCCTACTACATCACGGGGCGATTTGCTTTGCGCTGTGGAACCAGCTCTGTGTATTGGAATGATATGCTAGTATTTGAGGATTCAGACCAGTTGGAAGGAGACGTTTCCTGACGCACATCCAGGTTGGTGTTGAATAATCAAAGTCACAGCTACTCTAAACCCATTTTCACTATCACGATGATCTTAGCGCAGCTTGTGCGGCATATATTGATCCTCAAAGTTTCCTTTCATAGACAACGATATTTAAAACCACTTGTCTTGTTGATGAGAGGCTGCCCCCCACCTCCTTCCGGAACTATAAGTAGCCAGCCCTGGAGTAAAACTCCTTGGCACCATCGTGGAGCGGGAACGGAGGCTGCGCCATCTTCTTGGGCTCCAGGGGATAACTCAACGGGCTCTTCTCAGGAGCGAGATGCTTGTATTGTGCTTCGATCATGTGCCTCGTCTCGACCAGGCACCAGGCCAGAAGATACGCCACTTCGGCCGGCATGTCGTCCCGGACAAGGATCACGAAGTCCGAAAAGTCCAGCGCCGGAAGCTCGTGGGTCACATTCTTCCAGAACCCAGCGGGGAGGACGTTCATCCCTAGCCCCAGCGATCGGTGGAGGGCCGACAAGGCATCGCGCTCGGCGGGGAGGGGGACCAGTCTGCCGCTCTCGATCAGCCCGCTCCACCAGGGCGTCATGATGGCTTCTTGGAGCAGGGCGTCGGCTTTGCCCTCCTCGACCAGCGCCACGCATTGCTCTGGCCGCTGCGCCGTCAGAACGGTTCCGCCCCACTTGTCCACCACCGTGGCCTTGGACACGCCGTGGGCGGTGAGAAACTCGTCGGCCACGAAGCCGATAAAGTTGGTCCCGTCATTGACCGACGTCGCGAGCCGCAGCGCGGGCTTCCGCTCCCGCAGCTCCGCGTACGTCCGGACTCCGTGCTTTGGGGCCACGGCCAGCACCATCCGGTCGTTCTGCGGCAGCACGCCCAGGGCGCGCAGGTGCGGTATGGCGTTCGTAAAGGGCCGTTCGCCTGTGAGAGCCCTTTTCAACAGCGCCGCGGGCGTCGCGATGGCCAGATCTGCGGCGCCATCGTGCAGCTGCTGCAGCGCGTCCAGACCGCCGTCGCGCAGGCTCCAGATCGACGTCCGGCTGCCGGCGCCGGCGCGGTCGCAGAACTCCTGAGTCAGCCACGCGCAGATCCGGTGGAAGTTGGCGCCGCCCCAGTCGCCGACAAAGCGAAGCGTGTAGGACCGGACGAGTCGGGGTTCGCCCTTTTCGTTCCTTGCGAGTCCTTCCATGTCGGGCTTGGAGGATGAAGACATGGCACCTTCCTTATCTTGTGTCTCTGAATCTGGTCGCCAACTCAGGGAATAGGAAAGAGAGATAATAAATGCAGCAGATTCGTTTGCTTTATGAAGAATCAAGGCCACAAGCACTCAACATCCGCGGGGAAGTGACAAAGAGCGTCACACAGTAATACAGGTAGCAATGAGTTCCGATTCCGGGGAGAGTGTGGAGAGTGGGAGCCGATCGCAATGAGGATCTGGATTGGGAGGCAACCCAGTGTTCGCCTATTGCGAAGACGAATTATACTCCGTACGCGTTGCGGAAAAAAATCGACGGAGAATGAGACTGAAGGGACTTGGCAAACAGGCAAAGTCTCGTCTCGCGGGGTCCCTTTGGATCCAAGAAGTGGAAGAAAGACATTATATGCCAAGCAATAAGTTCTGTTAGTATCAAACTGCGTTTGGCCAGCACAGTTCTTCCCAAGTCCCACAACTCAACTGGATACTATTACCTCTCATAGTTGTTTGTCCTAGAAAGCTGTGCGTGTATCTGGAGACCTGGAATGTTCCCACAGGGACTCTTGCGGTTCAGTCGGCTCCAGAAATGCCCGTTCCGGGCTCTGTGTCTGCTTTTGCGGTGCTTTGGCAATGGACACAGGCTGCGGGGAGGTAAGTTCATCCAGTCGGAACCACGTCCGGCTGTCCCACCTTCAGAGGATAACTTGCCCCAGATCGTGTATACCGAAGAAGAGTCAAATCAACGAGTGCATCCAAGTAGATCTGTGACACCAGTCGGTCAAGTCAGACAGGATCTTCCGACCTCGCGGATCCAAGGGTTCCGTAAGCTCCGAGCAGGTAGGTTGCGAGTAAAAGCTCTACCGTCGCATTGACATGGTCGAGTTGGCGAGTTTGCGTCTAGTCCCTTTCGCGCTTCAACTGCTACCGAGCTATCGCTAAATCTGGGAGAGGACTGCCATCCGCCGCCGTGTGCAACGGAATAATGGAAAGGACGTGGGTGAGCGGAAAGGAGAGATTCTGTGTTGGTGTTTCGCTGGGCGTGGAGATATTGAACCCTTTTTTTCTACCCTGTGACAGGGCTGTTAGCAGGCTGCTACTGTTTCCTGCAAGTTATGCATATTTTAAAATCATCAACATGTTCAAGAGTCGGTCTGGAGTGATTTCGGAGTGACTTCAGGGGCATAGGGAGGATGGATACCTAGGGATGTTTGTGTGGAGTCAGCACAGCCGAACGGAATAGGAATAGCGCCAACTGAGAGCCGCTCGGCAAAGCTGCTTAGAATCATTCGGCTCGCAACGTCTGTCTAGCAGCAGCGACAGCAACATTGGGCTTCGTCCCACTTCTGTGTTGCGTCCCCCCTTCATCTTCACACCTGAGAGCAATGGCATCGGCACCCCGAGCCCGGCTTAAACTTGTGCAGGTGTCGGGAAAGTCTCGACGATCCGTAGCCTGCAACCAATGCAGGGCAAAGAAGATCCGGTGTACTGCCAATTTGCCATAACTTCCGCTTGCCGAAGAACAATGTCGCTAACCGTTCGATAGGCAATGGTGACATTCCATGCGACAACTGCCTGGATCGAGCCGAAGAATGTGTCATCACACACAGACGACGTCCGCGCCTCCAGAACACCCCCAACCCTGCTGAGATTATGGTTGTGCAAGGAAACAGCAGTATGTCATACCATTCTGCCAGTGTCTGGTCATCACTCAAAGTCGCGTAATACAAAGAGCAACACAGTAATCCAGACCCATACTCTGAGTCAAATGTAAGTATCGGGCACGTCAACGCACGTATGCAGGACTAGGCAAGGCTCCGTCCGCCGACCCAACACATCCGTCGCAGAGAACTACGAAGACACGCGTCGAGATCCGGACTGATGCTCCTTAGGATCATGTGTTGGCACCTCCTTCAGAGCAGGAAAACCAGACGATTTCGCACTCGCAACTACTGATCTCAACTCCTCAAGAACCCCAATACTCTACAACAACAACACAGGAGCAGAGTGAGCCACCGATCGATGTCTTCACCAACCAAGATGTTGGGCAAGAGGATAACAGCCTCTACGCGACAGACACGGTAAGGCAATCACCGACCGAATCTCCGCCACAATACTAATTGTCCGCATAGCTCAATTTTGAGTACTATGGTCGGTCGGTATGCTCAAATCAAAAGCATAGCACTGATACATGACAGGCCCTCGCTGTATGATGTCTTTCTACTCCCAGCCTGCTGTGGACTGGGTAGATTCGAAGATAAAGACGGCAGACTATTCCAGCACTGTGAGACGTCTCGTTCGGGAGTCGGCTCGAATGCTCAAAATGAGCCGCGATGCCTTGTCATCATGCAGAGAGCCGGAGCCCGCCGCGGAAGTTGCGTGGCAATACACAAATGGCAAGTCTTCGTTTAATGTCCTCTATTGTTAAGCCAAGCTGACATGTGGCGCAGCTTACTTTGCAGAGGGACTGGACCTCCCTTGGGGCCTTGTGGAGCGCACTTTATTTGAATCCCGGCTTCGGGCACATTTCAGTGGGACCAATAATCCGGTCACAGACGACAAGGGCTGGTACGCGCTACGCAACATCATCTGGGCGCACGGGTGCCAGATTGTTCTTTCCAAGACTAGGACCTTCCACGAGGCGTTACAGACCTCGTGGGCTTTCTTCCAAAACGCACTTTCTGTGCATACTGAGATCCTGTTCTTACATACATCGTTGATTGGTGTACAGGCCCTCATATCAATGGTAACTGCTTTTAGCATACTCGGGACTATAACAATGAGTCTAACTCCTATTGACAGGCATACTTCAGTGAGGGTATAGGTGAAGTATCTTTACAGTATACATTATGTACAGACGCTCTACGACTTGCGTGCTCGAAAGGTCTCCACAGACAGCCCTCGCACTCTTGGAAGATTCCGCCACATGAAGTCAAGCATAGAAACTGGATATTCTGGTCCATTTATTGTCTGGAGAAACAAATATGCTCCCGTTCGGGTCGCCCATCGGTATGTCTCTCTTTCCTTATCAAGTTGCTCAGCATGTCTCACCCTATTAGATCATGGATGATGATGAGATAAGTTGTCACGTACCTCAAACTGTTCTCAGCGAACAGCCAAACGATACTCTATACTGCCACACGCTAATCAAAATGATGCAAATGGCATCAACTGTCAAAAAGCGGCTTGCGAGTGCGCGTGCTCTCCGGCAGCCGACCGAGCAGCTACTTCAAACCGTTCGCAATCTGAAGCAGGATCTCTCAGAACTCAAGCGCTCGGTGAAGCAGAATATTTTTCTTGACAGCGCGATCGATGTCACTCGACTACCCGGTGGTCTTACCTTACGCCAGGCACAATCACTTCAATCCCATTATTTCTGTCTGGTGCTAGACATTAACACCCCTTTAACCTATCCGTGGCTAGGAATCTCTGCCTACCTAGAGGATAATATGGAAGTTGCTTCCCAGGTGCATGCGGCCTATGACGATGTGGCCAGGGTTTCGCGTTCTGCTATCCTGGCCACCAGACAGATAAATGTCGACGGCGGCTGCTCTGCCTTGTAAGATTCCTGTCCTCTGGGCCGTCAACGTCGCTCAGTCGAGACGGTTGTAATCTAGTGAATGCTAACTCTAACTTAGAATTGCACGATACGCACCATTATACAGTTTCGTCAACCTCTTCATTCACATTTTAAGGGGTACTAATCTGCCCACTGTTCAATCAGATTTATTGTTGTTAGGTATGTGATCGGATCTAGCTTTTGACTGGTGTTTCTTAGGAGGCATGCCAATGTCTATCTTCCCCCCACTCCAACGAGAAACCCGGCTGACGAGCAGCCTGTGTAGATGTTGCATTGGGTTACTTCTCAAACCTCGAATTTGTTACCAGTCTCCGGCTGCCACGACTTTTTGTGCGAGAGATGTGCCACTTTGCCCGCCTTGCTGTAGAGCACAAGGGCGACAGCCGAGAGGGCAATCTTGAGCAAACAATCAATGGGGACAACGAGGCCAATGATGCTCCCCAAGATGCAAGTCTAACGACTGTCTCGGTAGACCAATACTACACAAGTACTCTTCCTTTATCCGTAAGTTGTCCCATGGTATCTGTCGCTCCCAGGCCAGCACAATTTCCCCAACTATGCACGATGCTGATGCAATATCTACAGGAGCAGGATTTCTCTGGCTTTCTTTTGGATGAAGATCTTGAAGCGTGGAGCACGCTTATCCCGCTCGAGGAGGTGTCCGGTCTAATGTTTTGAATTTCTATCAAGGAATCAAGGCTTACATGTCGGCATGAGAGGACCTATCTCAAGTTACTCAATCGGTGTCTTCAATCCGGCGGTCCGAGTTCGCAGCTGGTTGAGAGTCGGTGTCATGAGGAGATTAGAGACCTAAAGGAATTGCCCCCCCTTTTTCATCGGGATTTCCCAAAACGTTCGGCAAAATGCTACCTTCCTCTTGGATAGCCGCTCGATAAATATGCTTGTCTTTAACGGACGAATGCGGCGGACTTTTACACAGGCAAACCTTCTTGACAGGCTACAAGTCTGATGCCTGATCTGGATCAGAATTTCATGTTGGGTCGGTCGTCTTTGACCACATCCTATAAGTTCCCCAGCAGATCAACTCGCTGAAGGTACCCCGGCCTAACCATAAAACTCGTACATATTCAACTCTTGTTGTGAGAGAGACTTTTCCCTTGAACTTAAGCGGACTCTCCTTCCCATGGGTCCTCCAACCGCAATCGTTACCGGTGGCTCATCTGGTATAGGGAACGCGCTCGTACGGCATCTTGTCTCCTTGAAATGGAGGGCCGTCATAGCCGACATCAATCCTCCAAAAGAGTCCCTACCAGAAACATTATTTATCCAAACCGACATTTCTTCCTGGAATGACCAAGCCGAGATGTTCAAGCAAGCCTACGCCTGGAGCGGGCGTCTCGACTTTGTTGCTCTTAATGCTGGTGTCGAAGATGGAGACGAGATATTTGGTTCGCTCTCCAACAAAGTGGACAAGCCACCATCACGGCCGAACACGAGATCGTTTGATGTGAACATCACCGGGACGTAAGTCTATTGAATAAAACGGCTTCTTCTTGTCGCACTGACTGTCTGGGTTTAAGATACTACGGCATCAAACTTGCTGCACACTACATGACCGTCCCAAGCACAGAGGCCGGTAAGCCTCATCCTGGTGGCAAGATAGCCATCACGGCATCCGGGGGAGGAATATTCCCCATCCCGATTCTCCCTCAGTACACGGCCAGCAAGCATGCCCTGGTGGGGCTGGTTCGAGCTCTGGCGAGAAACGAAGCGTCTTCGAAGGCCAACGTACGCATCAACACGGTCTGTCCGGCCATTGTCGATACCCCAGGCCTCCCGCCGGGCTTGGTGAGTAAACTTCCACCCGACCAGATCACACCGATGAGCACCATCATCCAATGTTTCGATGCGCTGGTGGATTTTGCCCGTGCTGGCGACGACGACTGGGTCCAGCGAGGGAAGACGGGTCAGACCGTGGAAGGCAACGGGGAGGAACTGATCTGGCACCACCCGCCGGAGCCGAAGGGTGGTAAGTTTGTGCGGGAGACCGGCGTTCTGGCTGCCGCAGAGGCGTACAAGGAGAGAGCTGAGAAGGTTGCGATATGAGATGACGGGCACTTTTACTGTCCGAGAAACGCAGAGCTTTCTCAGGAACGGGAAAGACGCGTTGCAGCAGAATGTGGACACAGGATGAAACTCTTTCGGAATTACCGTTCTGGGTCGGTATTTCTGTGGCGCTATCCCTGCTCCACAAATCGTTGGTCCGAGCCAATGATGGCACCGGAGAACACTTGTGTAACATCCCTCGCAACGTGACGCTCGAACAAAAAGGAGGGATGATGCCAATCGATATTTGTACGAGATTTCCGACCCCGAAAGAGACTTCGTATGTGTCGAGGAAGTTGGACATGCGTGTAAAATCACGTCGTACGTAGGAAATAGGCTCGGTAGGCAGAGCAGAGCGGCTCTAAGCCACAACTGATTTCATTTGTTCTTCGCTCGAACCTAGAAGTACCTCTATATTTCACCATTCCCGATACGTTCGGTAAAACAACAATAGTTTGTGTGCTCTCTCCTAGCCTTCTGGCTATCCAAATCCTCCACCCCCTCTCTCTCACAGTCCTCGCCTAGCTAAATCTTATGGATTGAACACACTGAGCAGCTCAGCCGCGGGTCCCAGCTTCTCCACCAGCAGGCAAATTGCCCTTGTCCGGCAAGCCATCACCACGGCGGAAGCCTCGGTAATCACTGAAGTCAAGCTGCAGCCTGGCAAAATCCCAGTTACGTGACAGGACCAGGAAACCAACCGCTGCGACTGGCAAAAGGAGCACATCCAGGGCACCGAAGAAGATGAAACCGCCAGTGACGCCAATGACGTGGCCGCCATCACTCAACCCGAACGCCACAGGATATAGCAGCCACAGCAGATTCACCCAGCAGGAGAGGATCATGTAGTCGCGACCAATTCCCAAGGCTTGAGCGGACCCGCGACTCTCGTTGAGGGTGCTCATTACGAGAATGACATAGGCGAATGTGCCGAAGGCGAAGAAGCCCCATTTGTAGCTGCTGACGGTGTACGCGGCGGCGAGATAGCTGAGGATCCAGAACCATGAGATGAAGATGTTGAGGATGATGGTGGTCCACGAGACGCCCGATAGGAGACCGAGTGACAGGAGCAACGCCGGGAACGACACCGCCCAGTTGATGTACCGTGCGTAGAACAACTGGCGCGTGAGGCCGTTGGCTTCTTCGACGGCCGACCAGCCCAGGTCAGAGGCTTGAGCAAAATATGTCACTGCCCCGACCAGCAGCGCCATGGACAGAGTGTAGTTGAAGACTCTTTTGTTCTCAGGCGCCGTGAAGGAGGGGACCAGGCAGACAAACTGAGCAGGAAGTGTTAGTATACGCATGTCGGGGGGAAGTTGTTTGTAATCCAGGCGGGTGGGAATGCTTACAAAAGAGAGTATGTAGATTGCCGTGACGGCCCATAGCCAGTCAGAACCCTGCTCGGAAAGAACCAGATCAACTCCAGTCGGGGGATTGATGTCGACAACCTCCCGCGGCAGAAGATCCATCATGGTTTGCAAGGGTCAGCGTGAGTTTGAGGATGAATGAAATGTCCTAGGTAGTTTCTGTTCGGGGTTGAAGGGCAAAGGAACTCGTAAAATTCTGGATTTAAGAAGCAAATATGGAGGTAGTGGAAAGCAGGCATGAGACAGAATTGAGCATTTTATAGCTTTCATGCCCATGTCGACTCAAGGAAAGGAGTGATCGGATTAGGAGAGCCCGAGAAGAGCCATAACTGACCCATTCATGGAATCAAGTTCCTCCGTCAAGTCATCCTCATAGTATGTACCTAGGTAGTCGGACATATAATCTATCCGTAACCCGTGAAATCTGTGTACTTTAGAACCACGGTGGTCAAGCGACGGTCGCCGGCGCCATAGAGCGTCGATGGTGTGGATCCTTTCTCTCTTGCCAGGGCCTCCCTCGACACATAGAGATAAGGAAGCCGTAGAATGCTGATCTTGCAATCACTGTCACGGAAGAGAGATCACTGCCATGTAAGCGCCGGACTCTGCTTGCGATACAGGTCTTCTGCTATGTTTTATATCCAGCCATTCATGGGTTCGTTGTGGTGTCCTCGGTTAGGACGAAGCCTCAGCCACTTCAATTGATACCCCTTGTTACGTGTTCAAACGCCATGGGCCGGACAATAGCCCGAACTCCTAGCAGAGGACGTGCCAAAGTGCAGGACTTGATCACATATAGGTTTTGGAGGTTCGAAGTGGAGAATAGGCAGCCGTAAACCCACTCATCGGAGTAGTTCGTCAGGCGTGCTTGTAACCCAGAAGAGCCAAACCTTAGCACCCAGCATGTCTTGCCGACCAGTAGCAGAACATCTCGTACACTTGCAGGCTCAGGGCGTTGGGGGTGGGAAGAATGCTTTTGTACTTGGTACGAGGAGCTTCAGAAGCGGCGCGAGCCCTGCTCAGGGGGCAAGCCTTACCTAAAGTAGCTAGTACTCTTGGCACCTCTAAGTGCGGGGAGCCTTTCCTCATACCCCTCCATAGCCTCGTTTGGAAGGTTACGCGACTACGTCATCACCGGAGCTTTTTCTGCCGGCCACAAATGGCTTTTCTCTGGTCGTTTGTAATAGTTTCGGCTAGTCCATGCTTCATTCGTCATATTTACTGTTATGTACCTACCCAGCTTGCCTGGTATTCTGCTCGGCTAGAACGTTGTGCGTTGTGTACGGTAAGGCTCTGTTGATCTTGTGGACGGGTGTGGACGGCGGGCTTGTCGAGTGAAGATTCGGAGATCAATTTCCAAACGAAATCTAAGTCTCGTATGTCCAATCGCATATCTGTCATGTGCGAGAATGCGATCTGTTGGCGCGACAATGAGGGAAACCAGTTGATAGAAGCAGGAAAAGTCTTCCGATGCCTGTATATTTATGGCCAAAACCAGCCGCTAGGTCTATAGGTGGCTGGAGAAGTATCATCTACAGGCTTCGAACTCCTATCGCAGGGTTTGGGAACCGCAAAAGATTGTGGCTTGACGTCGGAATTTCCTTCCTGGGCTGGACAGTGTACTCGATATGTCGGGTTTCAAATCAATAGCACCCGCGCCGCCGTCCGCATCTCAACCTCTGCCTGGTCGAGGACATTCTGGAGCAGCTCCCCTACCAACATCGAGACTTCTCCTCACCAAGCGGGGCTCCAACGTATCTGTGGCTTGTCAGGCGTGTCAGCGGAGCCGAATCAAGGTATGCAGATGTAGAGAGAGAGAGAGAGAGAGAGAGAGAGCAACGACGCGGTAAAGATCTAACGCAAGACACAGTGCAGTGTCGAACGGCCTTGCCCCCCGTGCGTTGCCCGTCAGCTGGAGTGCGTTGATCAGATCGACCAAGATAGGCGTCACCGGGAAGGGCGGAAGCGCCACATTGAAGAGCCAGAACTCGGCAATGAATTGCTGCACGAACTCAACCTCTCAGTACCACACAGAGATTCTCGATATCCGCGTCTTCTTTCGCGCTATGGGTCGACGTTTTCCCTTCACGATGGCGGCTTTCCGGATGTTACAGCTATTTACCCGGCAGCTGGGCAAACAGTTGCCTCTGGAGACCGAGAAACTCTTCCAACACTTTGAGACGACAGACTGGGAGAAAGGGAGTATAAACGAATTCTCAGCGATTTCCCGGTGCTGGGGATCGAGGCGGAAGCAGAAACGAAAGGCGGCGACGGCGGAGTCTTAACTGAGACGACCATGACTGAATTCTTTGAACTGATGGAAAAGGTTAGATGTCAATGACGTGCAAACTGGAGGTGGGCCGCCTGATTAGGCCACACAGTCGGGGCGGGTCTGGACAGTTGTCTCTGAAGATGTACATGGATACTTCCAAGGGCTGTGACATCTACGCTAGAGGAGATACAAGGTAATAAGATCAAACGTGAGGAATTAGAAGGGGTGCAGCTGAGTCTTGATAGCTCAGGGATCCCATCTGCGTCTTTCCCACCCTGTCTACTCCAAGTGGCTGGCCCCCAAGCCCGGACGTCTTTAAGCTGCCAAAGGGCTGGAATCTCTAGCAAGAATCCAGAAGCACATGGTCATTCCATCATGGCATGGCTCGTCAGCGCGAACATAGAGCACTACACAGGTCCCACATTGTGCGGGTATCTTTGCGTGTATTCTTCATATTTGACAGCCGTTTCTGACGTCCCACAAGTCTCGCTCAAAGATGCAGCATGAACAGAGCAGATGGTCAGCGCCGAGAAACTCTTCTCGGACTTGATTTTGAAGCTTTTGAAATGAAGCGCAGCTCGAGAGACAGACACTTGAACGACGTTGTGATGGCCGTTACTAGGTATGCTGTAACCGTGGCACGTTGCCAAGCCTGAGACAAACTTCCCCCGAAGTGGCGGCGGCGACAACTCAAGTTCTGAACCGAATCAAAGGTGGATATATCAAAGGTCCCTACGCATCGAGACTCCATCTTCATGTCAACTGCATGCATCTTACGCATGGAGTTATGCAAGCCGCAAGGGTCAAGAGGCAGAAGGTGAGCGTCGCATGCCAACCGTGCCGCCTCCGGAAGACCAAGTGCGATGGCCGCGGACCAGTGTGTCAACCCTGCCAGAAAAAAGCCGGAACTGGCCTGAAGTGTACCTGGAAGCTCAGCACGGCGCCTCCGCCTGCACCCTCATCTACGAACACAGAACGTATCCAAGCAGCCGGAGCACAGGCTCCGCTCCCACCTCCCGCCACTTCGCTTGAGGGTTCTCAGCCACCGGCCGCGCTCGCTCCTCGAGAGTCACCTTCCGGCCGGATACAGCCCACTGTCTATCAACCCACTTTTACTCACCCACCTCAGTCCCCCCTTGTGCCGGGTTCTCAGCCGCGCGATGCCGGCGAGCGTACCTTTGCAGGACTCCGCGAGGGTCAGGGTTCTGCACTGGTACCACAACATGTGTCTCCTTCGGAGCAGTCTGTCCATGCCATTATTGGCGCCGCTCTGGAAGAAGACAATGGAGCAGGCTTTTTTGGCAGCTCCAGCGCGGGCACTTTTATGCAAAGTGTCAAGAAAATGATTCAGCAAAAAGTCAGTGGTGCCACACAACCGGAAGACCAGCCCTTGAACGAAAACCCACAACTTCGACACTTACCGGCCTCCGGCAATCCCCAAATCACGCAGAAACACTTTGACTATGTCCTACCCTCTCGACGGAGGGCAGACCATTTGATGTCTGTTTACTGGGAATTCGTCCATGTCCTGTACCCGTACCTGGACAAACTCCAGGTTCAAGAGGATTATGAGAAACTATGGAAAGGCGATGCTGGACCGAATGAAGATGAGCGGTCTTTCCTGTGCTTACTTAACACCATGTTTGCACTGTCCAGTCAATTGGATGAGTCAACCCCGATTGAAGAGCGAGAGCAGCTTGCTCAAGCTTACTACACCAGAGCTCGAGGCTTGCTGGATATCGTCGAGGGCGGATCAGTACGCTCGGTACAGGCTTTCTTGCTTCTGGCGCAATACTTCCAAAGTACTAATCAACCCCATCCATGTTGGATGTTTGTTGGGCTTGGTATACGCACCGCACAGAGCCTGGGGCTTCATTTGCCGGAGACTAGTGAACGTGCCGCCGATGTCCGTACACGAGAGCTCCTGCGCAAGGTTTGGCATGGGTGTATCCTCATGGATAGGGTCATCTGCATGACTTACGGTCGTCCTTGCATGGTAGGTCCGAAAGCCGCCGTTACGGTGCCCCTTCCTCTGGCGATCGAGGAGGAGGATCTTATGCGCAGCACTTCCCGGGAACAAGTCGTCGAATTGCAGCGATCGTCGGCAGTTGAGTTCTACGTCCATTCACTTCAACTGTACACAATTTTGCACGATGTATTGTTCAATTTCTATTCTGTCAACTTTCAACAAACTCGTCCCCTGGACGCCGACAAATACTTCGGCTCCTTAAGTGAAGGACAATCCTCGGTATTTGAGATTGAACATCGACTGTTCAAATGGGAAAACAGCATCCCCGATCACTTGAAGATGGCTTCGAGGCCGCAAGTCGATAGCATACGATCCCAGCTATATCGCCAGGCCGTAATCTTACATCAAAGGTCCGCTTCCGAATAAATCTTGATGTTCTACTCATGTCTGGCGGCTGCTGATAATGTCATAGGCAACTACATGTCCGGTTGTTACTCTTAAGACCCGTGCTGTCGAGTTTCATCACCACGGAATTTTACAATGGAGATCGCTCTATTGCCTTCGCCAGTGTCCTATCCCGTAGAATCTTTCTACAGTGTGCAATCGTTTGTGTCCGCGTCGCACTGGAAGCTATCCACGTCATCCATCAAAAAAGAGGCCGCGATGCCGGGGATATTGGAAATCTGGCAGCATGGTGGTATAACGTGCTTTATCTATACACATCAGCAACGGTGCTCATCGCCGCTCGCCTTAGTCCTACCATCTTGGTTGATGTCTCTGAGGAATCGATTCTTGATGGCTGGCGCAAGGCCATGGAACTCCTCGACTGGTACGGCCCTTTCGGCCCATCCATCAAGCGTCTTACGACAATTCTGCGTCTCCTTTCCGACGCCGTTCCGCAACAATATTCCCGCTTCAAAGGCAACTCCCAACAGCCTCCAACGAATGTAGTGTCAGTTACTCAGAATCTCGCCCAGCGCTCGCCATCCATGCCACCTTGGAGGCCATCAGAGCCAGTAGACAATGCGCCAGTGGCCGTGGATGATACAGCAGGCGCTGCTGCGCAAGACGATGTTTACCTGTTCTCTAACGACCCTTTCCTTGATTTTGACTCGGTGTTTGATCCCAACGATCTTTCCTGGCTGATGACGATTCCGCTGGACAGTTGAGGCAACTGTTATGAGGGTCAAGTGTGTTTTGGGACCAGATTGGGCTTGGGGATAGTATGGCCCTAGTTGTGGTAGGGGGTCTTGGTGTGATGGCAAAATGCAGGTTTTAAAGATATATGTATGAATTACTCGGACCAGACCTGCGGGAGTTCGCCAGCCTTGCGAGCCTGAAGATATCTGGTAAACGTTCTCGATAGCGGGAATTACACCCATGCTGCCGGAACAGCCTCGTCCTTCTCGGAACTTGTTCTGATTGGAGAATGAGCCAAGCTTCGGAGCCAATTCAGACCGAGTCCGGCCACTGCTGCCGGGAAGTCGCAAGGCGCGGCACGTATAAATTGTTGCCTGATTTATTTCTCCATCAGAGCAAATACTCTCCGCCTTGATCGTTGAGAGAAACATCAGACGTATATTCCTCTATCACCAAGCTTCGAATCATGGAGCCCTCCATTTATGTGCGCGCGGCGAAAATCATCGGTGTCACTGGAGCAGCATGGCTCGGTGGTGAGTACACACCCAGGTCCCAACATTATATTAGCCGTCAAGGTGTTTTGCAAGACTTGAAGTTGGAGAAGAACAGTATGCTGACTGGCGTCGGAAAAGGCAACATTGCAGCGCTTTCTCTTCTAGCAACGCCGGGTCTGCGCCGTTCCAACGCCAATGACGGTGTGCCATCAAGCATTATTTCGAAGCAGTGGAGGTACATTTACGATTCCGGAAAATCCCAGAACCCGCCAATCGCTGCGATCACTGCCGCAGCGTATCTTTACCTTGCGTGGTCTGCCCACCGGGTCGCGCCACTGGGTCAACTGCCACTTTGCTATGGGTCGGCAGCCATGCTGACTCTGGGTATTGTGCCTTTCACCCTGATTGCAATGTCCTCTACAAATAACAAGTTGATTCAACATTCGAATGCAGTGCCAAAGAGTCCCAGTACGCCACTGCAGCAGCCGAGCGATGAGGAGGTAGACAGTCTCATAGCCCAGTGGACCACTCTGAACTTGATCCGGAGCCTTTTGCCATTGGCAGGAAGCATTCTGGGCGCCGTTGCCATGCTAGCATGATGGTTGAAGCAATTTGTTGCAGCTCACAGGCGATCCTTCCATGTACTCGTTAGCTCAATGACTCTGCTCGATCTTTGACCCTTCATAATTGGTGGATATACGATGAACAAGGGCCTATTCTCGCTGATTGTTCATTGAATAAAGTTCGGACTTGTTGCTAGAGTGTACAAGCTGCGGACCACAAAGGACCGCCATAAGCAATCACTGAGCAAGGGCCATGTGAGGTGCGTCCACTCCTCTGTCCTTTAACCCGTAAATGCTCCACCGACGCACTTACCATCACAGGCAAGGATGATGGATGTCTTCGCGATACGAGATCACTCTTTTTGTTTCGCTGCACAAACACCTCCTCTCAATCCAGCGAGTCCCAAAGCACCATTGCCAGATCTGACATGGCCCCTCAAGAAAACTCTTCTTCTTTGATGTCCTCGTTTGCAAGCTCACAAGCTGCAGCCCAGAACTTCCGTGCCGGCTCTTCACAGTAAGTCTCGAACCAGAGGAAGGACTTCATCGAATCCTCAACTTTCGGCCATGACTCTGGCTTCCGCGGGACCACTGCGAACTCCAGCAAAGTGGCGAAGCTGCCCAACAGCTTGTCGAGCTTACGATACCCGACCGCTTGTTCGGTGCACATCCAGCCCCATGCGACCGCGCACAAGAACAGATCGGGTTGTTCCCTGGGGATGCCCACCTTGACCGCTTTGATCAGAAGCCGTCCGAGTCGTTCGGCGATCTTTGCTTGCAGCTTGGTCCGGGGCGGCACGGGTACCACGACAAATACCGCATATGCGAACAGGATGTGTCGGCAGATCTCGTAAATGACCTTCTCTTGCCCAGTTTTCCTGCCGTCTTCGTCGGTGTCCTGCTCCGGTAGCGATAGGCAATCGTGAAGCACGCACCACCGCATGTACCTGACAAGGGCCATGTTGGGAGTATGCAGCGGTTGTTGATCTTTGGGGAGATCATAGGACCTCAGCAATTGATCAAAGTCGGCCGAGAAGATGGCCACGCGGTCGGCGATCTCCACGAGGGGGTCAAGGCTGGTGTAACCATCGTTGATCAAGTTGTGGAAGCCTGTGGTCAGAGTTTCAAGCATGGCTTCTGCGGCCGCATCCGGCTGATGGCTCCTGTTATTAATGTGGAACGTTGTCGGCATCAGGAGATCAAAGTGGGGATGCTTCAACTCCCTCCAAGATGTGAGAATGTCGCACCTTTTTTTGGTTCCACCATCAGCCGACGAATTTAAGAAAATCTCGAGAGCCCACTCACACTTGAATAATGACGGCCAAGCTCCTCCGCTGCAGCTTCCGAAGTCCTCCCCACCGGCCCACGATGGCATACACAGCGTTCAGATGTTCCATGCCAGTATCCATGCTCGCGTAGTAGTCGACGTCATGGAGATGGGACAGGAAGGGCAAGGTCTGGCGCTTATACGAGTCATGGCCCTTCAAAACCTCGCCGGTGCCGTGGGATGCCAAGGTTATTATGCCCATGAGGGCCTCCTCGGAGACGTTGTCCCCGTTTTCCTGGATGTAATCGAGCAGCGACCTGATGGCCTTGGTCTTGTACGCCAGCCGGAGCTGCTCATTCTGCTTGGTCGTCCCCCGGCCGCCGTACTGGTAGGCGTTGTGAGTCGCGCCGGCAAAGACGATGGTGTACCATGTCACCGGGCTGTGGATGACGGAGGTCATGATCTCGGCCCTGGCGGCGTTGTGCCCTCCTCCACCGTCGGACAGACACAGTTCTAGCCAGTGGCACGAGATGGCATGGTCCAGCATCTCGTGCACGTAGAGCGGGACAACCCCATCTTTCTCGCCGATGGTATGGAAGGGGTCGGAGCGACTGGCTCCCAGCAGGATTTTGACGGGCGACTCATCGCGCTTGGCTCGCTGCTCCTGGAGCGCTGACTCATCTGTCCAAGTTATCTCGGAGCTGCTGGCCTTCTTAGTCGGCGGCGGCTTGCGACTGTCACCCTTCGCTTTGGCTCTGCGCAATTTGGCCTTTTTATGGTATTCGCGCGCAGCGTGCTGCGTCCGCGTCACGCCTTCGTCAGAGACAGCCTTCTGGGCCCGGCCATCGGCATTGCATTCGATGAACAGCACTTTCATCGTGGTGGGCGGATGGTCCGAAAACGATGCTGTGGCTTTGTGTGTTTGTTAAAGGCAAGTGTTCACAGACGCAGGGTTGATGGTTTGAGCAGCTAGTCCCGTCCTTCACGAGAAGACGCCCTGATAACCGCCCAAGGTGGACGCACCACGTGTCCAGGTCCAAGTATGCCGCTCTTCCGCCTGAGCGAAACAGGAATGGCCAGCCTGCGATGCCGTTGTTTGGAAAGGACAATAATTGGGTGAACCCCGTGTTGAGCGGTCTGGAACCGAGAAACCTTGCGCCTTTCTGCTTCGCTCAAAGGTTATTTCCTCCGGCTGAGAATCCAGTGGTCTGTGCGCCAGCGACAAGTGGTTCAGCTCATGAAATTCAAGCCACACCGCTGACCTGGCGAGCCCCAAGAGTTCCTCTTGCAAATGTGCCTTGGTTGCGTGCATTAAAATATCGGGAGCGCTGGAGAACGATCCATTCACACACCCTCGCAGGCCAGACGCCTCAAGCGAAACCGCCATTGGCTTCTCAAGTGAGGTTCAACATTGCTGCTGCTCGAAGGCTGTTGAAGAGAAAATCAATGAGGAGAGCCAGGCCCATGTGCAGGTAAGCGATGCTGTAAGTTCAGACTAAACGCCCTCCGCTAGCTGCTTCGAGGACAGCCGAGGATCGCCAACTTTTACCAGGACTGCAATCAGAAGAGTAATAGAAGCCCAACTTTCTCCCCAAAATGTGACAAAAGTCAAATATTTCTCTAGGCCGGATTTGCTGGGTTTTTTTTCCTTCATTCAGGGCCACTAGGTACAGCCCTACGAGTACGAGGCAGAGAGACTCGCTAGCCGCAGATCTAGCACGATGGAGAGAAGGCTGACTCGTATTGGGCTACTCGTACGCCAGAAATGGGCGTTTTTCTGTGTTTTACGGCTTGATCTCTGAAAATACAATCGTTCAGACAATGTGTCGCTGTTGGCGGGACATGCGCCCAGAGGCGCCGCTGTTTCACGGAGATACAAATGTCCACGGCTGACTTCATAAATCCTTGGGGGTTGACGTTCGCTTCGAAGACCATGGCAGGGCCAAACGATGTCTTTGATCCTGAGGCTTTCTTCCGAGATGCTTATGCTTGTTCACGCGATTGAGAGAGTCTCTCCCGCCGACACGATTTGATACTATGGCAGAAAAACCGTTCACATCGCATGACGAATACAAAGGTGCTCGGGCACTCCAGAATCCCCGAAGCTTACATCCATAGGCGGACCCGTGCAGAGTACCCGATCGACACGAAGACGTACGCAAGACATAATTAGTCGAATACTACTTTTTGGGATTATCCATACGAAAAGCTGCCCAGATGAGGGGGCGGGGCGCCACAAAAATTACGCAGGAATATAGCCATCCCGACTGGGCAGAAAGCCCATGATGCCCTCGCCAAACCCCTCCCAGCCGTTGAAGTCCGTCACGTATTTGGTGGCGGCCTTGAGATAGAAGCCGTCCTTGTCGCCGTAAGTCTCGGCAAACGCCTTGATGGCTCGCACGACCTTGAAGAAGTGGTCGTCCAGCGCCCAGCGGTGTTTGAGCGCGCGCTGGGTGATTGCGTCCCAGTTTCCGGGGCCTCCGCTGCCCGTGTCGACGACGACGGACTCGATGCGCTCGATCCCAAAGGAGAGTCTGTTCTGGAGGATGTAGATCAGGATGGTGAAGAAGGCGTACTGTCGCAGGATCGAGACGCGCCTGTCGGCGGGGAACTCGTGGAACAGGATGCGCAGCGCGTGGGCCACAGTCATGATGTGGGCGTAGAAGAAGTCGTACTTCCCCGGGCCGTACTCGGTGGGGCTGATGGCCAAGACAACCGACAGGTCGCAGCACTGCTCGAACTGCTGGACGGGATCGGTGACTTCCCAGGCGTTCCAATGCTCCATGAAGGCCTCGAAGCGGTGCTGCAGCACGGTGCCGAAGTTGACGGTGCCAGGGAATTCGACGATGCCGTCGAAGCGCGGGTCCTTCTGCACGCGCCGGATGACCTCGGCGAGGCTGCGGGTCTTGTATGGCGATGGGATCGGAGGCGGATTGTCGAGCAGGCCGTGGCACACGACGTACTCGGTGCATCCGAGACTCAAGGCCTGCGTGACGACCTCGGGGATGCGGAACTCGTAGCCATAGGCGAGGTGAATGAACGGATGGCCGACTTTTGTTTCGTTTTGTCATTGTTCGTCACAAAATATTTTGGGGAGGGGAGCACTTACGACCGCCACAAAAGCCATTGATGAGCGGCTCGGCTCCGGAGTAGAGGTACTCGTGGACGACCTTCTCCCAATCCCCACCGTTTCTGCGCACCTCATCGTCGAAAAAGTCGACGTACGCCACCGTATACCTGGGGCAAAACAAAACAGCAGGGTGTTGAGTCAGTAGTACTATTACAACCTAGACTTTCCCAAGGACAGACCACACGCGCCCCAGCCCGCGACCGAAAAAAGGAGGGGGCAAGGCCACTTACTCCTTATTCCCCAGGAACTCCCTCCAGTTCTCCCTGGTGACCTTGTCGCCGCGTATGAAACTCTCGTCGATCTTGACCAAGGTCTCGATGTCGTGCTTGTACGTCCTGGTCAGCTGCTCGGCATCGGCGCCCAGCGCGTACGCTGAGCCCAGAAGCTATCATTACCAGCAGTTAGCCAAATAATAATATATTCTCCACAATGGTTTTGTCAAGCCGGGGGCGCAGATTACGTACATGTGGCAGGTGGCTGTGCAGGATGAGCTGCGGATTGCGCAGCGGCGCTACAGCCGCGTGGCCTTGCTCGAGTAATCGGCGGAGTGTCTGCGTGCGGTCATCGGACAGCTTGGAGACGTCGTAGACGGGCGCTGGCTCTAAGGAGGTCTTGTTCGTCGGCGGGGGGAGGCGCACGGCCTCGCCGGTGGAGACGGTGGTTGTTACGGTGTTGGACATGGTTCTTGCTCTCTTAGATTGTTCAAGGTTTTGAAGTGTTAGAACGTATGGCCGGCCGGGGCTCCTCTTCCACTGTGTGGTCTGGGGCTGGAGGGAAAGGGGGAAGGAGGGGCTTTATAACGACATATGTCAGGCAATAGCAGATCTATGCATTATCTGCAGTGAAAACTGGGCAGGAGGCTCTTTGTGCATTTACTCCCGGAAGGTCGGCCTGAACATACATCTCTCGTCCTCGTAATCGTATACTAGTTTATAGTAATTGGGCCTCCACCATCGAGGTTGCGGGGGTGGGTCGTTTAACGCCACGGTGACAATAATTACCGGAACGGAACTCGGACCAATCGGAAGCGTGACCGTTCTTGGTAAAGTATTGGATGGTACCGAGGAGGAGATTTGTCTCCCTTCTCTAGAGGGAGAAATTGTGCGTCGACGTCAGCATGTGCGTGACTAGAGGGGGCAGACAAGGAGATTGGGAACTAAGATGTTGTGGGGAGGAGTCTCACCTTCGACAGCTCGTAAATGCATGCCGGCTCTTTTTGGGTCCGGGACCCGTCAGTCTCGTGGTTCGTACAGAAGAGACTGTATGGAGGGCATCCTACCCCTCTACGAGGTACGTGCGGTGTCCCACCCTTCATTCTAGCCCCTGCGTTGCGAGAGCCTTGGTGGTTATAGCCCTGCCTTGTGCATACTATTGCAGGTGCTGGCCTAAATGCTGTATTCGGTCACCCTCGCAGCCGTGTAGGCTTCTTTCTCTGCTCGGTGGGAGAAGTACCAGCGTTTCAGCCCGGTCAAAAGGAGTGACAGAAGGTTATGGCCAACACTGGCTCACTTAGCGCTTGGCTTGAAAGGCAACGTGACGTACCACTCTCTTTCAAAGTCCTGATCCGGCCTTTTGACGAGCGCACGCCCCGTCTCAAGAAGTACAACCCAGCTTCGCGGCTGGCTTCGATTCTATTCCCCCATTGATTCGAGTCAAGACACACTTCTCATCCGGCGAAGGCCATTGCTTCGTCACTAAGCTGAGAGACAAGAAGTCGGCTGATCCAACTATTTTCATGCCCAGTTCTGCCACAGTGGCTCGTCGAGGAACTCAAAGACGCTAAACGAATCTGGCACTGCACACTCACTCGGCAGCCCGGGCAGTTCAGTCCCAAGATCAGATGTCGGGTTCTCCGGTTGCGCTCTCCTCGACTGCTCTGCTTTTCTCGCTTCGTGCACAGTCTTGATGTCTTGGATCTTCGCCGCCACCGTCATCCAGATCAGTGGCACACTGCGTGGCAGAGTATGCGAGAGAGAAGTGGGCTCGGCCAATTGATTGGTTTGCATAACCAGCTCCCTGGCTTCTTCAGCCTTTTTCGACAACTGGTCCAATACATCGCTGAAGTTCAAGTACGTCGCAACGTAGTTCTGGTCCCACCCATCGTGGATACATAGAGACAGCTTCGAGAGGAGGACGTAGAGATGGCTGACGATCGTAAATGTCGAATATGGTAGGTCGAAATGTATGGAAGCAGGCAAAGACTGGAAGATTTCGAAGAAGTGTTTCGCAGACGTGAGACAAGCGAACAGCATGTCGAGGCGCGTGACGGAGAAAGATCCATACCTCGAGGCAGGAATATTGTCATCCAGAGCGATTTCTGTCAAGAATGTCTCGACCGCATAGTAGTTCATGAGGAGTGGCACTGCCTTTCATCAGCATGTCATGGCATTCGCCCATGGTGCAAGAAGCTCACCGCTTTGAGGAATGTCAAAGGACATGGATGCCTTGCATTTGCGTAGCTCAGCATCTATTGACTTCACATAAGCTCCTATCGGTGCAGACAAGCCTGAGCACAAGTCCCACTCTCTTTGGATGATTGTGCGGCTTATTTTGTCACTGATATAGCTCAGCTTGATTAGTTGGACAAGATAGATGTCCGTTGGATACTCGACTGATTCAGAGATTGTTGTAAGACACTCTTCAGTATACTTGGTGTAGCGGATGGCTTCGAAATCTCGGGCTGTCATGGATATCCTGGCATTCGAGCATTAACACTTATGATTTCTAGATAGAGTCTTCCAATGGAACACATACACGGAGGTCAAGTAGAAGCAGCCAAGGTAAGTCCGACGGTCTTCTAACGTTCGCAGTGCTGCCTCGTGTCGATCCATGCGAAAATACTCCCTTTGGGGCTTCGCGTATTTTCGAGGTGTATAGTGCTTGTTTAGACCGAGGTCAATCATCACCGACATGACTAGATGGACGATGACTGTAAGTTGACCACCGAGGTGGATATTGATATGGTACCTTTGACGTTAGTTCAACCGCAATCCCCTCAATGGGAAAGAAGAATTTACCACGCCAAGTAGACGAGAAGTCCCTGCAGTAAATCCAAGCTCTGCTCACCCTGAGTCATCATCTTCTGGCCCATGATTTCTTTGATAGCCTTTCCTATTGCTGTCTGTCGTGGTACGTCATGTCGACAGGCTACCATCATGATCACCAGGAGGAGGAAGGGCTTCTTTCCCCGCAGCTCGTCCAGACGCACGTCCGGCGCGATGATCACGAAAGGAAAATAAGGCATGAGCTCATTCCGAAACACATCTATCATTAGCTGCGTCTCATCGCCGCTTTTGATAAACTGATCGAGGTACGCGTTTAAGGAAAGGCAGGGTTGACTGGGAAGTTGCAGCGGGCAGCTGGCGACTCTCAGCGCCCCGAGCTCGGAGGCAGTCAGGATTGCCGTTACTCCGTCGAGCTTTTGTTCAAGGCGCGTTACATCTCTATCGGAGGTAAGTCTGTCAGAAAATGATCACATCATACCACGAGAAGGCCTTCACCTACGACTTCTGCCGTGGCGTGCGCCGGTGAGCGCCAGGCGGCTGTGCCCGACATGCCTTGTTCAACCTTAGGCAACTAAGCCACCGGATCATCAGCTAACCAGTGTCCGCGCAAGAGCAGAATCACCCCTACCGCTTGCAAAACTTTTGTCCCTGTTCCGTCTCGCATCGTACCTTGGCGGCGGCACAAGGTACACATGCTTTCGGAGCACGGATGCCGCTGGGGTCATCAAGCTGGCTGGGTGACTGGGGCATATCTGGGCATTCGTGTTCGGCTACCTGTTATGTCAAGCACAAATAAGGGCGGACGGAAGCGCGAGATAGAAAGCCTTCTCCGACGCTACATTCTGAAAGGACTAGGTGGGCGATGAAGACAGAAATGAAGGATTGGGAGCAAGCAGAACGCAGACACGGAATTTCCGACGCCGACGATCGATGTTGCTCGGGTAAAGACATCCGTCTGACGCCTCCAATCAGCGATTGGACATGCCAAGTTAGTTGTCAGACGATGGAATTCCCTCAGCCTCGCCCCGGCCTTCAGCCAATCAGAGTATTCCCCCAGTGGGTTAAGGCTATGGATTCAATCGGGCACGGAGCACATCCCGACAGATACAGCGACAGCTTAAAAATCAAGTGTTGACCTATGCTGTCTTTCTAGACTCGATAGGTAATAAGACGAAATCCAACATGGCATCTCTAACCAATTCAGAGATGTCTACCAAGGACGTGGAACTGGAAAGCGGCAAGGCTGCCGACCCCATGGAAGACACCAGCACAACTCACCAGCAGACAATGAAAATGGAGGACACGAACACGAAGGAATCACCTGTCGCAAATGGAGACCAAGATAAACAGTCTGATTCTAAAACAATTCTTGGCCGTCGAGTCTACATCCTCTTTGCTGCAGTCTTTGTCTCGACGTTCCTCATGGCCTTGAATGGTTCAATCATTGCAACAGTGAGCCTTGTACATGGTCGATTGAGGAAGATCGGGCATATGCTGATGGTGTTGATGTAGGCCATTCCGAAGATCACAACGCACTTCAACTCGCTCAAGGACATTGGCTGGTACGGAAGTGCTTATCTTGTTGCAACGTGAGTCCTCCCGCCTGCACTCTCGGGGGACAAGACTTCTGATTCATCTACTTTGCAGGTGTGCTATGCAGCCTCTCGTCGGCAGGATATATACCCACTTTCCTACAAAAGTGAGAGAAAAGATGCCTTCTTTGACAAAGCTGCTCGCCGCTCACCAGATCTCCAGTACACCTATCTCACATTCGCCTCCATCTTCTCGATCGGCTCGCTTGTCTGCGCCACAGCCCCTTCGTCCATGGCTCTTATAATCGGCAGAGCAGTCCAAGGCTGCGGCGGTGCTGGCGTTCTCAATGGAGCCTTTGCTGTGATCGCTGCATCAGCCTCCAAGGAAGATCGGCCATGTAAGACCGCGGTCAATGGTTGCCCCGAAAACAGTGTGATTGTAACTGATAATGATCTCAGTGCTCATCGGTATCGCTGTCAGCCTGACGTCGTAAGTCGCCCTGGCTGTGATTATCTCTGACATTATCGAGGGGGTCACAGCGTGTGTATCCGCTTTGTCTGGCCATGACATTGACCTGGGCCTGTTTCTAGGATCGGGACTATCATCGGACCCCTGATCGGCGGCGCTTTGACGCAAGATGTCTCTTGGAGATGGTGTTGGTGATTCCCCTTGTTGTTAACTTACCTCGGATCTGCTGACACTCACAGGCTTCTACATCAATCTGCCCCCTAGCGGCCTCGTGTTGTGCATCCTCCTCTTGTTGCCAATTCCGGAACAAATCAAGAAGAAACCCGTGCTTCCAAATCTTCGAGCCATAGTCACGAAGGAGCTCGATCTCGTGGGCTTCGCAATCTTCGCCCCGGCCTGCATCATGTTTCTGCTCGCCATGATCTGGGGCGGCAACCAGTACCGGTGGGACTCTTCCGTCATTATCGGTCTTTTCTGTGGCGCTTTTGGTGCCTTCGCCGCCTTCGCCGCCTGGGAGATTTTCAGGGGAGAAAGGGCCATGATCCCGCCAGCCATTGCCCGGAATCGACTTGTCATCTTTGGCTGTTTCACATCGTTCCTGCAGATTGGGGCGTTGTTGTCGCTCAGTTACTATCTCCCGGTGTGGTTCCAGGTCGTCAAGGACGAGAGTCCGGTCATGAGCGGAGTCATGGTACTTCCGACCGCCATTGCGCAGGCTATTGGCAGTATAGCGGCGGGGAAGTTGGGTGAGTTGTGGGCCCTTAGCTTCACACCTGGTAGAATTGTCGAGCTCACTTTTACCAAAGTCCAAGTTATTGGCTATTGCACTCCATGGGCACTCTTCGGCTGTGTCCTGACCTCCATCGGATCCGGGCTCATGACCACATTCACCCCTTCCACCGGCGCGGGACCCTGGATCGGGTACCAGATACTTGCCGGGACGGGACGAGGCTCCGTGGTGCAAATGGTAAGGCTCCCAGCTCTGAGATAGCGTTCAAACTTTCGGGGGTGTAGCGCTGGGCTGACCGCAATGTCCGGTGTTGCTTTTAGCCAATCACTGCAATACAGAACCTCCTGCCGCCAAAGGAAGTCTCCATCGCCACTTCCCAGATCTTCTTCTGGCAGTACCTCGGCGGAGCCGTCTTCCTCGCCGTCGCCGAGACGATCTTCACAAACTCCCTGCGCTCGTCGTTGAGGACCTACGCTCCAGGCGTCAATCCTGACACCATCATCGACGTCGGCGCTGCTGCAGTGAGATCAAGCGTGTCCAGTGGTCAGCTCCCAGGTGTCCTTCGCGCGTATAACCACGCCATCGTCTCGACTTTCGTAAGTTGCGACCCTCCTAGCCCCTTGTTTTGATGATGCATCTTTGGACTGAATCTTGGGAGCAGTATCTTGCAGTGGGTGCCTCTTCAGCGGCATTCCTCACCAGCTTTGGCATGGGATTCCAGAGGCTGCCTAAGAAAGAGAGTAAGCAGAAACCAAAAGCGAACGAGGCATAGTCTTCCCCGACGCTGTAGTCTGCCACCAGAATCAGATTGACCCATCAGACTATCTGCGGTGTGCGCAGTCAAATGGAGGGATGTCAGAATCATTCGATAGTTGATGTAAAATAAATCAAGACGGCTGGTTTAGAAACTCGAATTCTGATTCTGGCACAGGTCAAGGACTGGCCCGATCGGATTGAAACTTTGGAAAACCAACAATTTGGGGGTTAATAACTCATTGTAAGTATGGAAAGTCATTCAGGTGTGGCCGAATCTCAGTATCATCTCCAGCCTCATTCCATGCATGCTCCCGGCATAGCATATGTCGTTCATGTCCACTCCAGGGCGAGGCAGCACAAATCGCCACCGCCTTGCTGCAGACGAAGCACCACAGAGGTCTCATTCTCGAATCGCTGGAAGTCCACCTCATCTCCTGGCCGAAGGTCCTCAAGATTGATAAGGCGACTCGAAGTGCTCGTGTCGGTTTCACTGCCTGTCCTCAAAGTTACCGTTCCATCGCGCGGTGGCTGGATCTCTATCACGATGTCCAGGTCCGCAATTTTGATATGATATGGTCTGTCTGGGCTGACGCGGATGGGCACGCGGCTTTTTGACGTGAGAGTCGAGCTGGTGGCCGTGCTTTCGGAATGCGTGTCGCTCAAGACTGGCTCTTGGGGCTCTGGATTGCTTGCCGTGCCGCTTGCGCTGTGGGTTCGGGTTTCTGTCTTCAGACTCGAGTTCCACCAGGAGTCTGTAGTTGTAGTTGTCCCTCCGTCTGTGAGAGGCGGGAGCCCGTCATTGCTAGGGTTCATGATTGCAGATGCTATCGAAGTTCTCGAGTGCCGAGCGGAAAAGCCCCGGGGCCCTTCGTCATTCTCATCTACGACTGGCCGCAGACTTGACTCCGTGTCGAACTTCGCACTCAACAGCGTAGATAGTGGCGATAAGGTTGGCATGTTGTATAAGTTCTGTCTCTTCGTGAGAGGATGGTGACCACGCCATGGGTCTTTCCTCCTTCCCAAGAGTGAACAGTCGCGATTCATTCTTCGTATAACCGTCCTTAGCGCCAGAACCTGTCCCGGCGAGTACTCTGCTAGATCTGGAATCGTCCATTGGTCAAATAGTCGTCCGTGTGTAGCCGTGACGACGAAGGAACCCAGTCTTTTGATGAACAGGTGGCATAGGAAGCACGTTTCCTCGCTGGTACCTATCACTCGGGGCAGCATCGGAGTCTGCGAGAGTAGATGGTGTACGATCAACTGTATTTCTGCGTGGACATAGCAAGGGGTCTTCGTTCCGGTGAGGGATATTGAGCTTATTCGAGCTTCGTAAGGGTGGATGTATTGTGGCTTGATGTTTGAGAATAGATGCCTAGTCTTCCTCCTGCAAGCTTCTCTAGCCAAGGTCTGTGGGATTCTGTGATAGGCGCCAAGCTTGTCGATCTGCATAATGTAGTTGTTTTGGAACGATTTTTGACCACCCAGACCAGCGTTCTCGAGATTGAGGCGGAATGGCATTTGTCCCTCGGAAGTGGCGATGGCGAAACTCTCCTTCACAACTTCCTGTAGGTCCCATTCCAGCTGCGAATTGCCCGAGCGTAGGGCGCTTTCGAATACCCTCCTCAGCTCGGAATATCTTCTGACGAGGTCGTTGGCAGCGGGTGTAGAAGCGGCAGCTTGCATTCGGGCCAACGCCCTTTCAGGGCCGGCCATCGACGAGCCTGTGGATCGCCTCCTGTGTGGAACTGATGATGAAGGAAGCTGCCCAAGGAACAATCTCATGCGAGACAAAATGCGCTCCCGCGAAAGACTCAATATCAGTTGTGATAGTGTCGAAGTACATTGCTCAAGCTTCATACCTTTGAGGTCGTTAGAACGCATAACAGTGAGGAAGTCTATACTAACCGCCACTTGCGCAGGACATTAGACATTCAGATATTTTTTCCATCGCACTCTTGACCTCTTCTGGCACTCCTTCATTTGCAGCAACGCGTATAACAAGGGCCGGAGGTTCTAAAATCTCCTCAATACAAACTGCAGTAACACTCTCTCCATCTTCTTGGGCGGCCGCGAAGATAAATGCAAAATCGTCTGCAAGGCGCTGCTCGATCTTGAAGGACAAATTCAAGGAACCAGTCGAGGGTGGCAGCTCTTGGGTACTAGTTGACCGTGACATCGAGTATTTCAAATCACCCGGAACGCCATTAGTCGCCGCGGAGAGGGCAGTGATGCGTCGACGGAAAGCGTCTTCTGGTACATCGTGCCATATCGAATTTTCCGGTTTAGCAGTCTGAATTGCTTGTGCAACAGACATAATCAACACGGTAATCCTGACGATGAATTATCTGGTCGAAGAAGCACTCACATGCTAGGGATTCAGGTACATGAATGCCCAGCTTGAAGTTCATGTGGCATTCGACGACCAGTAAGGCATCGCCAACTGGCATCGAAAACTCGTGACGCTTCGGTTCGTGATTGGATCGCTTATGCAGGCACATGCGTGTCTGCCCTCACTCCGTAGGAGTGTAGCTCAGATTGGAGACGCTAAATGCTGAAGAAATTATCGTGGCGCGTTTTGAGCCCAACAGCTCAACCAGAGGAGCTATGTGCCATGTCTCAGAGGACGATCGGTAACAAGTGGCGAAGAAGGCCAGCCCTAGGCGTGCCCATCGCCCGAAGGTGGTGAGCATAGACTCGACTTCAACCGAGTAATCTCACAGGTCTTTCAGAAAAATCGGCCAAGAGAGCCGATTGCGAAGCATGGACACGAGCCCATGTGTCTTGAAGATCCTGGCTGAATATTCTAAATACATCGAAGCATTGAGTCCTTTCGAGCATTTTCAGTTTTTCGATGACAAACGTCTGATCTCGCTTGGAAGTAAGCTCAGGGGCAATGATTCCAAGAGGTAGCAATATGGCCGTATTGAATTGTGAATGGTCAGACAGCAGGCGGAAAAGGTCAATGGCCCGTTTTGAATACTTTTTGATCTGTTTGTGGGCCATGAACGGCGGGAACGCAAGAGTCGTCGGAGTATCTGATAGCCCATCGCGATCTCTGAGCTGCTTGAAGAAGTGAATTCGGCTCGAGATGCGGTAAATTTCACCTATTATGAATTTTTCATCCTTCTTTGCATCATTTCCCCCGTCAGCCGTAACGAAGGTGAATTCCTTTGTAACATAGATGTCGGCGTCTCCAACGTGCTCTGCCGTTTTCCTCTTCATACTGAAACTTGGGAGGAAGTCCAAGTTACCATCCCAGTAATCGATGTCGAATGACGAGAATTGTTGGACATTATCGCTAATACGGCAGAGTAAAGCCGGGAAATTCGGCCTGGTCTGATGGAACGCATCTGCAAGCACGGATCCATCGTAAACACCGCAGGAAGTTGAGGTCAGACTTGTGTCAGCCACGAGCGCCAGGAGTTGATTGTATGAAACGAGGTTGTAAAGAAATAGGTAAAATGGCGTTGTAGAGAGCCGCACGTTATATTGAGCTACCCTCTCATGGCGCAAGAAGTCATGCGCAAATTCCAGATAGGGTCGGATGTTGCCGTAGACTTCGCCAGACAGTTTCCCAAAGACCACCATTAAGACGGCAGTGGTGACCAGGCATATATCATCAGATTCGAGATTTGTGATCTGGAAGCAGAAGCTGGCATTTGTGATCCCAGAGTTCTCGGACTCCGATTCGGAGGCACGTGGTCTCCAAGTCCTGCGGGAAATCTGATGGCAGTGCTTCAGTGCACGAAGTCGCAAGCGGAAGATCTCGCTGTCTAAAGATGGCAAATTCCTCGACTTGGCGTGCAGTCCTGCAATAGCCATCAGAGTCCAGCGGACGGGCTCATGTTGGAGGGCGACAGGAGCGAGGCATGAGAGGAACGGATTGTCTGTATCTGAGTGCGTTGGATAAGTCCTTGCAAAGCAATTGATGTAATGGTCCCAGAGGACACGCTCGAGAAAAGAGTTGGTAGTCACAGCACAAGGAAGATATGGTATCGGAACAGGAACCTGCCAGCCACGTGAAAGTTGACTTTGCTTGAGTTGCGATGATGTGGAGGCCACAAGGTCGACATGTGGGACCAGCCCATCTTCTCCTGGCCTTGCTTCCTCGTAATTCGGCGTGCGAGTGATTCGACGGTGGGCACAGGCACTCCGGCGCATAGAAGTCCGGAGTGATGACACAGGACCCCTGCGCCTTATGCCTTCTCGTATCTGGTCGTCTTCCCAAAGAAGTCGCTGCCGGTAGCCTCCGCATAGGATGTTCAAGCGTTTGCAATTCTCGCATGAAGGACTCCCCAGATCGCATTTCTTTTTTCTGGTCAAGTCAGAGGAAGTTCGGCCGTTGTACGTGCACGAGAGCCGGATTCATCGCCTGTCAGCGGCACCTACCTCCGTTTGCACGTCAAACACCCACCTCTTTCGCGTAGCTGTCGCACCATATCTGTGAAGAAAGGCTTTTGTCGAGCGCCCGAGGAATGTGAGATTGGTAGATGGTATGGTCGTTGCTTGTTTCCAAATAGATGATAGCAGCACTGTTCATGCTGTATGGTTGCTTATCTGTGAAGGACGTTTCTGTACCGAGTACCCGGATAAAGCCGTCATTGACATCATGGAGATGGCCGCAAATAATTGCACAGAGCTGTTTTCAACTCCCAACGGAGAAGGCTGTCCCAATATGCTAACCAAAAGGTATGCTAACCAAGAGGTTCTCCTTTTCGAACAGGGAGTGTCGAGATAATGTTGCAGGGCGCTATCTCGTGCAGCAAAGTTTTGGAGGACAGGTGAGCCCTTTTGGGCATTTGATCATTGAATCAGCTTGGCAGCACATCAGCCCGTGATCAATAACTGGACCACTTCACGGGCAATGCTGAAATCAAGGCGGGTTGATTGGTTAGATGCATATCAGTCGAAAGTATAATATACCAAGGGAGGGATTTCAATACCTTTGGTGGATCTTGGTGGCTGTCGGCGGCTGGTATACCCCCAAAATGGCATAGCTCCTCTTCCCAATCGGGTCATATAATGATGCTCGAAGGTATTGGTGCTCCGAAAAGTACATATACGACAGAGCTGGTGCCTTCTATCCAGATCAGTCTGTGCTCCCAAAAATTCTTCTCTGGTCTCTCTTCAACTTATACTGACCTCGGGGCAAGGAGACACACCACGACAGACGATATGGCTCCTGGAATTCTTGAATACCCGGCAGCAGATCTGTTGGCAACACAGTCTGTGGAGTCAATCACCAAAAAATCATACTTTCAGAAGTTCGATCCTGTGAAACATCTTGCGTATGTGCCACCAAAAAAGATCCATACTTTGGAAGATCTTTGCCTTCCCCCTTCGCCAATTTCGCCAATTGCTTCGACCGATCCATTCCCCCTGCTGTCTGAAGAGGCTCTTCTCGAGCATCGCCGGGAGCTGCTGTCCGATGAGGTCCTCAACAACTGCATGTATAGCACGAGAGAGCAGTCGGTGCAACTCCGCGGGATGGCCCCCAGATATGCCCCTTTCATTCATCAGTTCTGGACCTCCCCAGAAGTTCTCAAGATAGTCAGTGAGCTCGCAGGAGTCGACTTGGTACCTGTCATGGACTTTGAAATTTGCCACACAAACGTCCAATTGGGGCCGGATGGTCTGTCAGGAGTCAGAAACATTCCCATTATCCCTCCCGGGGCTCCCGAGCAAGACACGAGGTCAGCGGTTCACGCAGAGCCCCGAGAGAGTCCAGTGGTCACCAAAAAATCCATCGTCCCTTGGCATCGCGACTCATATCCTTTTGTCTGTGTTGTTATGTTGTCCGACGCAAGGCATATGGAAGGGGGGGAGACCGAGATCCAAAGAGGTGATGGTAGGACAATCAAAGTCCGATCTCCACAGATGGTGAGTTGGTTGCCAAGCCCCCGGTAAGATTTGAGATGTTGGCCACTGACAGAGGTAACCACGTCAGGGCGGCGCGATGGTCCTTCAAGGCAGACACGTGTCTCACATAGCTAGACCGGTCGACAACATGCCCGAGAGAATTACCATTGTGGCATCTTTTCGGCCACGGTACTCTGTGCTGCTGGACGACTCTTCACTGATGAATGTTCGAAACAAGTCTCGACTGTCGGAGATGTATTACCAATGGACCAGCTACCGCCTGCATTTGCTCGCTGAAAGATTCCGGCTCGAAGCCGAGAAGCTTGATGCTGCATATCGCAAAGCAGTTGAGGACACCGACCAAGGCAGGCCAGGAGATTGTAAGGTAGACGTGGTCGACGTGGAGAACCTGGAAAAATGGATGGAAAAGCAAATGAGATACATGAGACGAACCATGTTCGAGATGAGACCGGTCACTGAGGATGACAACATCACTAAGAATGAGATAGAGGAAGTTTAGTTGTAGATAGGTAGACCGGGCAGCACGACAACCTTTGATTCTCGTTCGCGGCTTCCAGGAGACTTGCCTTGATATAAACCTCCTCATCCGCAGCCTAGTGCTCCGCAACCCTGCACTGTCGAGCCCGACTTTCAAAAGTTGCTTTTCAGCAGACTGTACCCACAAAGCATCTGAGGTCTGATTGCTCTGATAGTATCAGCGTGTTACTGCAGCGGATGTGGAGGAATCTCGGAGCTTGTTGTCCTCTGACGTAGTCCAAGCCTTGGGATCTTGGCACCACCATTTTCGTCTTTCTTTCTCTCCTGAGAGGCAATGTTGATTGTCACCTCTTAAACCTTGTCTTCACTTCAGTCACTCATTCTGGTGCCACATCATTCACAACGAACAAGAAGGAAGAGCCAGTGACAGCGTCCAGTCAACAATAGTGACAATAGGGCTTCCTGTCTTCAAAGTTGGAGAAATTGCAGAATCTTTTCTCTTCTTCGATTCCATCTCGGACCTGGATTCCTCGACCTCGAAGTGCTCATCACTGTTCGGTGTTGCTGGGGTTTCCAGGTACCTACCAGATCTCCCCCTCCATTCTCAGTGGCATACTCGAGAAAAGAAGACCTTTTTCGCTCTTGCCGTCTCTGCAGCTTGTGGTAGAGCCTGATGAAGGAGAAGGTTGTTTCTTCAAGAACCAAGGTGAGCCCAACTGCGTGTCAAAGGTGAGATTTGGGTAAGAAGAGAAAACCTCCACGTCGTGATGCGAAGGGCCAAAGTCACATGGGCGAGTGAGTGACTGGGGGACCTCCCCGTTGACACTTGAGTTGGCCCCACTCCTGTTGACTTCACCCTCCGAAAATATTCATATATATTTTTGTTTCTCGGAATTTGATCTCGAGGCCAAGGATGACATCAGTAGGGTGAAAGGACCCCCCGATCTGACTCTGAGCCACCAAAGTTCCACACTCAGTGAACGCACGAAGTACTAAGGATGTAAAACATCCTTGGGGACGGGCTACCATACATAAAATGCATGGTACAACGGCTTCGGCTCCTGAATGTGCAACAATGGTTGCGAGGAGATACAGATTGGCCGCTCCCGGTAATCTGGCGTGGTTGGAGGCCCGAATTTTTTGATTCTTTTTGTATTCTTTTTTGATCTAGGTTGGCGGAGGAAGGAGTTCAGACACTTTACTACCTGTGTGTTTTTTTCTCACCGCACAAAATATTTTCGAGGGCGACGTGAATGTGCGGTTGTGTGCGCACTCTTTTGAGGTTGTACCGCACCTCCTCCACCAGGGGAGCTCACATATTCATCACATGCTCATCATCACCAACTGTCCACGTTCTCCGGGTTGGTGGCTCAAGCCGCGAATAAGCTACAGGTAGTGGATCAGGTCATTATTATGTCTTGATCATGATGGCGATCGTCAGCAACCTTTCCCACACGGTATCCGTTGAAAACCCTCGCGTCCAGCTACTTCCTTGTTGACACGAACTTCTAAATCTCTTACACCTATGGGAAATCGCTGCCTAGGGACGAAGTACCCGTCAGTCACTTTCCGCCGCCCTCCCATAGCCAATTTCCAACGGCAGTTCGGAGCTGGACCGGTTTGGTCTATCCGCACTTCATCTCTTGCTTGCTGACTCGTATATTGGACACACATCAATGATGAAAAACCACCATTTATCTCGTCGCTACCCGTTGCCTTCACGGCTACACATGATTACAGGCAGTGAGCATAGCTATCAAGGTGCGGAAGAAGAACTCAGCTTTCCAATGGTTCGTGGCTGCTGTCAAAACAACTGCCAATGGTGAATTCGAGGATATGGTGGATTTGCAACTATTGTGGAGCTTTTTGGCAGTGTTCGGGAATTGCTGCCCTTGATCGGTCTGTGCTTGCCATGAGGATTCGATACCTTTTCCATCATGGTCGCGGGAAAGCCAATCGCGTTGCATTTCTTGACATGAGGAAATTACTGGGGCAGCATTCACAGCTGGACAAGTCCAATTCTGCTGCGACATTCGATGCAATGGTTTCCATCGAGTTGAGTAAAACATACAGTGCGACCTCAATACATGGCTTTCTCGGGACAGAAATTCGAGCGCTTCATGTGAAGGCAAAGGCAAATACAGAGATTTGAGACCTTGCCAACAATGTTGGTTGTGCTTTTCTTCTCCCTTTGGTTCGAGCTCAGCAGACGTCTTAGACGGTACCCACCGAGTACTCGGTACATGCTCCGTGATAAGGCGACAGCAAAGCCCCTGAGCTGCACGCAGCGCCAAGAAATTTCTAGAAGGCGTGGCGTATTTCCAATCGGTCACGTGCTTCTGCCACTTGTTTATCACGTGAGGGTACTTTTCATTCAGCGCGTCCTTAATTTCTGAGGCACCTACAGCACGTTTTCATCTCTGCCATACTTCTCGACGCCACATAAACTTCAGCGCATACTGACATTTCACTCACAATTGAGGATATCGCAAGAAAAACATAAGCAACCCCATCAATATTAGCCATGGCAAACTACCTCGCGTCCATCTTTGGTACAGAACAAGACAAAGTAGGTTCCCCGAACAAGTCTCTAGTTGCAAAGAAGGAACAAGGACTAACAATACCTTACAACAGGTCAACTGCTCATTCTACTACAAAATAGGAGCTTGTAGACACGGCGACCGCTGCTCGCGCAAGCATGTCAAGCCATCATACTCACAGACCATCCTCCTCCCCAATCTCTACCAGAACCCTGCCTACGACCCGAAAAACAAGATGAACGCCTCCCAACTCCAGAACCACTTTGACGCCTTCTACGAAGATTTTTGGTGCGAGATGTGCAAGTACGGCGAGGTCGAGGAGGTCGTTGTCTGCGACAACAACAACGACCACCTGATCGGCAATGTCTACGCGCGCTTCAAGTATGAAGACTCGGCGCAGGCGGCCTGCGACGCGCTCAACAGCAGATGGTATGCGGCACGTCCGATCTACTGCGAGCTATCACCTGTCACGGATTTCCGGGAAGCTTGTTGTCGGTTGAACTCCGGCGAAGGGTGCGTCAGGGGTGGATTTTGCAATTTCATCCACAGAAAAGAGCCGAGCCCGGAGTTGGAAAGGGAATTGGAGCTGAGCACCAAGAAGTGGCTGAAGATGAGGGGTCGCGACGAGAGGAGTGTGACGAGGAGTCCGAGCCCGGAACCGACGAGGAAGAGATACTGAGAAGCTCGAGCGAAATATGATCGACCTTTCTGGCCATACCGCTTGATCGCCGCATGTCACATCTCCAGTAACCTCGTGGAGGCAATTGAGACACGGAGATGGAGTGGATCATTTTCTGCGATCACTGCCTCAACAAAGGCCACGTCTGTGCTTACCTCTACGTTGTGAAAGAAACACTCGAAGACAGGCACTTTGGATCGGGGACACCGCATCAGCAAGACGTTTGCAAATTCCGATCAGACCAACAACAAAACATGGTCGTGACCCGACAACCTATCCGAAGAAGCACACGTCCGTTCCTGATGCGCCCTTCCATGGACGAATCGATTCTCATATCATCCACTGGCAACGGTTCACCACCTGGCAGCCAGAACCTCATGTTCTCGGATCAAAGTCCTCCTCGCCGTATGCGGCAGGTCTGAGCACAGACCACACAAACCATGGCCGGAGCCCAGCATTACATGCACAGCACTCGAACCCCTCACAAGAACATCTCCTCACGCTCTCCGATCTAGTATGTCAGAGTATGAGGGCGAAAGAACAGAAAACACCGTGTGTGCCTCTACCGACACAGGACGGGCTAGTGAGTGATCGACCACCCCGTTCGACCGCTCCAGCAAGAAAACACCCTCTGTCAGTGCAGAGCCGAATCAACAACCCCAATCTACTGTAACCTTGCAGTGACTGGGGGGCCTGACAACCGTCGCAACGAACGAGTACTATTCGTGAGTCGTTTATTCGACCATGGGCCCTGTGTGTGCAGGACGTGTGCCGTGCGGGATGAGATGAGCTGGGAGGACCTCGAGATGAAAAGCATGCATGGACCGCCCACAGCAGGTGTGCAGGGGTCGTTTCTTCGTATGGATTGCAAGTTGATATCAGCATGGATCACACAAGTAGGTAGTTCCAGAGCATGGACCGCACGAATGGTGCAAGAATTGCTAGAGAATGCGGGAGAATTTTATCTTTAACGTCTGGATTTCTGGGGTTTCGCTCTTCCTAGTCTGGGCCTCCACGGCTTCCTCGTAATCTCGACAGTGGTATTTCGACTTTTAGAGGCTTCGGTCATAATCAGTCTACTCATCGCCCGGCTCATGGATGTGTACTCTTCTGCTAATAATCTTTCTAGCAATTGCTCTATGGGACGTAGCTTACAACGGCGAGGGCAACCTGCCCGTTCGCCGGTAACGGGATATCCATATTCTTCGTTAAGTCGTGATGATCCGTGCTGTACTGCTCCTTTCGCCAACTCTTACTGTTCCTAACCCATGTTGTCCACATGTATCGAATCCAGCCGTGTCGCCATAGTGCTCGGCCCTGGTCTTCGAGCATCCAGGCTGGTCCTCCCAACCCCGCTTCCGAATGGTGAATACAACCGAACTGAGCATACAGCCTTCTCTAAAGCCCCAGACTTCAAGCGGCCGGTCTCTGCCGTTAGTCAGAGGTTCAGCCTCATTCCGGAGTAGATGTGAGATAGATAGTAGCCGGTAATATCCTCGAGCTCGGAGGCATTGCTGGTAATCTAGATCTTTCTGTGTCGTGACGGTTTGGCTTTTCCGACATTTGTCGTTCCTGATGAGAGAACGATGATCGGTATTGGTCTCACGGCGACTTGTCCTTAAACGGCCCAACTTTTGCAAACCACAGCAGCACAAGGACGATGGCCACAATGACAGCTACAAAGCCGAGGGCGATGATGCAGCCTATGATTCGGGTCCGACGTTGTTTCCTCCGGTTCCGCTCAAGCCATGTCTCCCTGTGAACGATAATTAGTCCGTCTGCGTTCCCACAACCATGTCTCACCGCGATCAACCTACGTATGTCTCAAGGGTGCCGTTGAAGACGCAGTTGACATTGACCTGGTGTCCGAAATGTTTGCCTTCTCTTCATCCAAATGTACAGCCATTGAAAACCGCCGCCAGAATGCCGGATCTCGAACACCTGCTGCCATGGTTGACGATTGAGGATTGACGATTTAGCGACAGACCCTCGTGTAGTATACCAGGGCTTTTGTTTGAACTTGCGCTCGTGCAAGGGTTCGAGAAGACTCGGATGTCGGAGAGCTGGCGGTGCAGAGATTGAAGGATAGCTGCAGAACGTTTCGAGATAGAGCGACACAAACCAAAAGAGGGCACAAAAGGTGGTACAAATGAGTGGTCGATACTGAGGCACGAAGGAATGAAGTGCCACAGATCTGGAAAGACGACGAAACTATGAAAGACGCTCAAGGAAACGCGCAGTTGGTGCAGGAGCAAGCCTTGATCACATCCTCGAGAAGCAAGAAGGATTCAACAACAAGAGCTGGGAAGGAACAAGCTTGCACGGAGTATAGCAGATAGAGCTGACAGCACCAACCAGAACTTGGTCCGCACCCAGCGAGCCAGGTCCAGGTCTTCGATGCATTTTCCCGGTTCAAGGACCCGTGAGGTTCCACAAACGAATTTGCCTTTTTAATAAAGCATCGCTGTTTGTTGTTTGCCCTCGTTCACCTTTTTTTCTCCCCTTCCAACAGCCTCGCACAGATTGATCACCCAAGACCCCGGTCGTGTCGCGTGGCCATGTGGCAATCGCCTATGGATGGCCAGCCTTTCCCTGGGCAGAAAACGGCTGGCGTCGCGTTAGAGGAGCTCGGGTGCGCCAATCACGGTGATGGAGCGCCAGAAGATACCCAGAAGCACCAATTTCGTGCCCAGATCAAGAAAGCCACTTGTTCCAGGAAGGTGATCACACGGAGGGGCACACGATCGCGCTATTGATTGGGCTAACGGGGGTGGCAGCTGAGGGAGGAGAAACCGCAATGGTTTGGGAGAAATGAAGGAATGGTGAGGGATGGTGGAGAAAGTGGGAGATTAAAAGGAAGTTGAACGTCGGTCCTTGGAACTGCCGACGCCTCAATCATGCCTGCGAAACACCCTCGACACGTACCTACGCAGCGTACGCCAGACGCGCCAACGTCGTCATCGTTATCAGTCAGGGATGATAGGTGGCAGTCTGCAAACAGCCCGTTGCCTACTTCAAAGTCTTATTGTGCCAGCTAACGAACTCAATGCCGGTCCAAAAGCACCGCGGCTCCAGGTGAAATCATAGATGATGCTGCAGAAGTCGTCAACGTTGGCGATACCAGCCGCGTGAATGCACTCCGCAAGCCGAGAAACGAATTGGGTGCGCAGATCGTCAAACAGAGTCGCTGAGCAGGCGGCCACGGTGAGGATCCAGAGAAGAAACACGTTATTGGACCTTTCCCATCGGGGGAGCAGGCCTTCTGTTCCCATCATCAACTGCAACTTGGTTCCATAAAGCATCCCGGCGCCAGGTTCAAAGTCAAACTTGGCTCGAATCTCACACAGATACAAAATACTGGCGAGTCGAAAGCACTCCCGTTGACGTAGCTGGATTTCATCTCGCAACGTGCCATGGGCGATGGAGAGGCAGTCGTGCAAAATGGGAGAAACGTGGAAGACTGCAAATGGACTATCGTGCCACAGATCTCGCCTCGTGCACTCCTCGTCCATGATGTGGTTCAGTCGCCTCAACTGTTGACAGATGTGCCGGACCGCTTCGCTTTGTTCGAGCGTGTCGAAATTCTCTCCATGCGAGAGTAGGCTTACGTCAGTCATGTCAAGGTCGAGTCTACTTCTTCTAGCGAGGAGACGGTATGGTGGACGGTACCGTGGCGCGGCATCCTGAAGAAAACGTCCATTGGTTTCTATCCTAGATGCTATTGGCCTGGGGCACAAGGGTCAGTGTGGAGGGAAGCATACCAGAACATCGACAGCCTAAGGCCGGCGGTAGAATCCAAAGTTTGTTCTCCGCCGCGATGGTGGAGGATCTTTGCAAGACCATCCATATGCACTTGAAAGATTTGGGTCTGCTTGATCAAGTTCTGCCAGTTCATTAGATTCTCTCCCCAAGAGCGAAGCTACCGAAGTACAGACGTACCGCGTATGCAGCAGCGGCCAAAACGGTAGTGATCACTTCATCACTCGTGCCCGTGGCCAGATTGTTCAATCTCTGCTGCAGCGACCGTGTCGTAATCAATGCGTATCTCGCGTCTTCCCCCGAGTCATCCTCAGTTCGGCACCAGTGGACCAGATGCCACGCGGACGCAGACAACATCTGTGAGACGGCGATTGTTTCTCGAACAAGATCGATGAATCCAATGTCGATGAGGGTGCGGAATTTGGCACATGTTCCGTCGTACACTACATAACATTGGCTTCTTCTTTAGAAAAAAAAAACATAACAAAATTGAAACAGGCCAAAGTGTAGATCACGGACAATGCATGCCATCCTGGGGTGACACTTACCATGGTCCCAGAGACGATGTGCCCTCGAACCAGCCTCGATGCCGAACGATTGAAACGGATCCGACCGGTTCGCGGCCAGCAGGCTCACCGGGCTGATAGCGACAGCACCTGTAGACTGGCCGGCCGTGGTCGCCGTGCTCGATGTAATACCACCACTAGTATTCTGTGCCGCTGTCGAATCGTCTTTCGACAACAGGGGACTCACATCCACTTCCCAGGTCGTCTGGCGCTGTCGTCGTTGCAGGTGGTGAGGGCCCTGGCGGCGTCGATAGTTGGCCTGCGCATGGCTGTGGACGAGCCTTCGAGTCTCGGCGCTCGGTCGGGTCTCTCGTCCTGGACTCACTGCGATGAATTGGTACTGTTGTTGTTGTTCTTGTTGCTCAGCACCAGCCTGGGAGGCCACCGGGTCTTTGTCTTGTGGTGACGGCCCTTGCGCCATGTGTTGTTCACGAGATCGTAGGAGATGGCGAGATGGTGAGATGTTTCCCTTTTGCATACCTAGGTAGGTAGGTAGGTATTCAACAGTGGCTCCCAATCAAGCGACCCTGATCTGGGTACCTGCAGTGATCACCACCGCTAATGATGAAATGGTTGTGGGTCAGCGTGGATATTGTGTGATAGAACCAAGTAATCTTTGGGTTCGCGGGTGAATATTTATGGTAGCGATTTGGGGTTGTGGTGGTGGTCCGCCTTATGTACTACAACGACTCCGAGGAAATAATACTCTCCACCTACTCGCCATATCTGTGTTTCCAAGATGATTGTAAGCAACCCGCTCGAACCATTTCGTCACGCCCCGTTTCTCACCGAGACTGCAGAAATACAACGGTGTAGGGGTCGCAATACTCAACGGCTTTACACAATGGAACCTCTTTCGACATGCCACATAACCTCTCTTGCCTCTCAGACCGAGTGCTTCTGTTATCAGCTGTCTCTTTCCCCTCCTGAGATCTACGCCTGGTCGAAATCAAAGGTTGAGAGTAAAATATTGCTTGCAATGGCCGCATAGTCATGGACAACAAGACCTAATCTTGAAAAGCTAATCTGCGCGTCAAGCATGAGTCCTCTAATGTATCAAACCCCAGCAGTAAAAGCTCCATTGGGATTACCAACTCTCAAGGTACGAGTATCCACCATTCACAGCCACTTCACCACAGCCGTGGCAGGTTGCTTCCTTACTTCTTCTTCTTGGGTGGCGGGTTGGTCTCAATTCCCTTGTACGACACAGACCCAGGCAACTTTGCCCACGGAGCAAAGACATTCTTGACGCTCTTGTTGTCCAACACCGGTTTCAGCTCGGGGAAATGTCTGATGAGGACATCTTTCATACCCGTGTTCTGCACCCAATTCAGGCCTTCCTTTGTGTACGTTGCGGCGTTCCACTGGCCCGCGATAAAGCGGTCGCTCTTCAGCCGGCGCGACGCCATGAGGATGAAGATGCGGAACGCCGTGTCGCTGAACCCGAACCCAGCCGGCAAAGGCTCGCTGTGTGACCCAATCAGCGTGTCCACCAGCTCGATATCGCCGCCGTACGCGTCTGAGAGCGCTGCAGCCAATTCTTTGTCGCCGCCCGTCAACTCCTCAAAGGTTTTGGCCGGTGGCATGCGCAGCAGCCGTCGGAATTGGTTGTATCGTGGCACCCCACGCTCGCGGTCTCGAAGGATGTCCACGGTCCCCATATCTCGATGTAGCCCGTCGGGGGTGGTCAGATTGCGGAGGAAGTCTGGGTAGTTGGAGTTGGTGATGGCGCCGGGGTAGTTGATGCCAAAGGAGTAGAAAGCGTCAGCAAAGGTGATATCACCGTCGAGCGGTTTCTGAGCGTTAGTGAAGAGCATGTCCTCAACCTGCTTGTGGAGCTTAAGTTCGCCGTCATGCGCGTCGAAGAAGGCAATGGAGTCCGGGATGAGAGAGTGCATACGGTAAACTGAGACAAACTCCTCGGTGAGGGAATACGGCACGCCAAATTGGTCAACTCCTGAGCCTGGAATGCCGCTGATGACTTCACTTGTCTTGGAGATACGACCCAACAACTTTGTCAAGGACTCGCCGACAAGCCCCCACCAATTCGCGTTCATGCCGATCTTGAGCGTCGGGTGGGCGAGAATGGCTGGGGTCCATTCCACTGTGTGGATCTTGGCCATCAGCGCACAGTTGACAAGCCGAGCCTTGTCGAAGATCTGATCGCCCTTCCAATCAGGGTAGTTTCGCCGCAACATGTCGCAGATCGAGTTGTGTTCCAATGCGAAAAGAGTGTGCAACATCTCCATGCCAATCCACCAGTTGTTGTTGAACCCCGTCAGCGGGTTGCCCTGGGCATCACGCGGCAGGAACTGTGCGTGGTATTCCTTGGTGAGCAACAGCTTCCCATCGCTATGCATGTTTCGGAGTGTCTGCGTCACGCTCTCATCGGAGCCGTAGATTTGCGAGCTGTCCCACCATGCCGTATTGACGTTCTTGTAGCCGGGGCACTTGCGGTCAGTCTCGCTGAGGATCTCATCCGGCTCCGTCTGGGGCAGTTCCATTTTGCCATACGGCCACTTGTCTCCATGAGGCAAAGGGATGTCGTAGTTCTTGTCGCTCTGGACGGGCGTTTGTTAGCATTGCGTTTCTCCGTGGAAAGGTTGTTCACGACTTCGTCAACCGGGCTTTTATCACTTACATCCTGATGGAAGAACCAGTCATGGGTTTGGAATTGAATCCAGGCTGCGGCAAGGAGGTTCAGGGTTGTGGCTGGAATGAAGGATTTTCGTGCCATGAAGCGGTCGCTTAACTAGGATGATGCAAAAGAGACTTGTCAGCAGGGTTCCCTTTGTCGAGACGGTAGGTACATATGCCGTCAATGCCGATTTGAGGAAACTCACCATTCTTGGATTTGGATTCCACAGATCCTCCTCGTATGGCTTGGGGCAAAAGGCTCGTGGGAAATTGCGTCCCAAACGCATCCCAGTACATCCCATGAGTGGCATCTCGGTAGAGTTGAACTTGCCATCCGAGTTGCGGGCAGTTTCGAATCGTTTGTCGGTCATGGGCACGGTGGACTGGGTACCTTGGGCAGCTCCGGAAGGATAGACATCATACAAGTTGTACTGGCGAAGTTCGACGCGTAAGGCCTCCAAGTTGATGGCGCCGACCAAGCTGGGGAGCTTGTGCCATGGGATGAACTTGTTGACGATATGGAAGAAACCCACCAGCAAACGATCACCAAAGCTGGGCTTGTAGCTGGGTCTCACGGCTTCGTCCATGCTGGCAGTGGCGGCTGAGAATATTCGAGGCAGAAGGATGAACAAAGAGTGTGCATGGGGAGGAAGACTGTAGGAGGTTGTAGGTTGTAGGTGCGTCTTAAGACGCTGGGATGGAAGTTCAGGTTGGGAGCGACGCTGCGCAAGCCATGAACCTCAGCTGCTCCTACCCGCATGCGCAGGTCAAGCGTGTCACACAGAAGACCAGCCAACGCTCTTTCCGCCATCGTCCTGGACGCCTTTTTGGTAGAGACTGGCTGCCTGAAGCTGCAACTTGCTGCAACTTGCTGCAACTCATCTCACAACCTCTTCGCGTCGTTGGGTTCAAGCTTTCACCGATTCTTGTAACAAGGGCGTTCGCCAAGGCGCCATCAACAAGTTACAAGGCTGACTGGTTCGGTTGAGCCGCCAGGCTTTCAGCTCTCACGCAAGCTCACGCAAGCTTCCCTCAGCTTATCCAGCTAAAACACGAGAGTTGGCCAGACCGAGCTCTGACTTGGTTCTCGTGACTCTGATCCTCAGCTCGTGTAACCGACGCCTCAACGCTCGTATCGCCACGCTGCAAGCCAGCTGCCAGCCTTGAGGTTGACATGTGCTTTGCAGAGCAATATTCAATCCCTCTGATCCTCCTCGGATGATAGCCTTTCCATCATCGCTGAGTTGATTGTGTTCCACGACACCAGAACCATCACAGCAATTGCCAGGATGCACTTGACCCTTACCAACATTGCGAAGACCGCCTTCACCGGAGGGTACCGCGACAAGTCTGCAGCGACCGCTCGCCATGACGAGGAAGATCACAGATACATTCGCGGCGACATCGAAACTCGCGGCCCATGTCCCGGGTTGAATGCGTTGGCGAACCAGGGCTACCTGTAATTAGCATCCTCCTGCCTCTTCTCACCGAAAGTGACCTGTGCTGACCCCTAAGCAGACCACGAGATGGGAAGAACCTCACTATTCCTCAAGTCCAACACGCTCTCGAGACCGCCTTGCACATGTCTCCGCTGGCCGCCGCCTCGCTGTGCAGCTCTCTCCCCCCTCTGCTGCGCAAGGACGGCACATTCGACCTTGTAGACACACGGCGCCACAATGTGATCGAGCACGACTCCTCCTTCACCCGACTTGACTTCCACCAGGGCGACAACTACACCTTCCAGCCGGACATGCTGCAGGCCATGATCGATGACGCGGACGGCGGACCGGTGACCCTGCGGTCGTTGGCCAAGACATTCATCCGTCGTGACAAGGAGAGCCGGGCTGCGGGAGCTCCAAAATTGCCGTTGAATCTGTGGTTTGTGCGAGTCTTGCAGTCAGTTGGGGTGATGAACACGGCTCAAACTGGTGGCATCTTGACCAAAGAAGTGTTGCATGCTGTTTTCGCCGAGGAGAGATTTCCGGAGATTATCCTCGAGAATCCAACACCGAGGACCGTCTTGACATTGCTTGGGAATGCGTTTGGGATGATGCGATATGTCATTTTCGGGCCTTAGGGAAAATAGAGACAGCCGGACCCTCCCCTAGATCTTATTGTTATCGCCGTATCAAGGTTACGAAGCATGCTCATGATTAAGTAGATTTTTGAATTCTGCAGGTCTTTAATCTGTCCGAATACTCCACTGTACAATTTCCGATATATTGCCGACAATCGCTTCGTCCAGTCTGCATCTCTCTCGAGACGACAAGATGTTGTCCCGCCCAACGCTGCCTCTCCATAACTCCTTGCCTTCACTTCGTGTCCAACTCTGTTCTGTGGGCTGCTAGTAACTACTCCGGGGCCTGGCCCTTTGTCCCAGTTTCCTGAGGCTTCTCGCCAGCGGCCACCTCTTCAATCGCCTCGCGGAGAATACCCAACCCTTTCGCCATGTCGTCCTTTGTGATGTTCAAAGGCGGGATGAACCGCAAGGTATCGTAAATTGAGGTGGTGAGGATCAACATGCCCTTCTCCATGCACTTGGCCTGTACTTTGGAGGCGATTCCTCTACCGGTCACAAATTCCACCGCTTGCATCAACCCGAGACCTCTCACGTCGTGAATCATGTGCCCGAAATCGGCTTTGGCCTTTTGTAGCATCGCGGCCATTTCTTTGCCGCGGGCATTCACATTTTCCAAGATCTTTTCTTCCTGGAAGGCCTTGGCCACGGCAACTCCCGCGGCGCAGGAGACCGCGTTGCCGGCATATGTGCCGCCCATCGAACCCGGTTTCTGCGTGTCCATCAGTTCCTTCCGCGACACGATTCCGGACAGCGGGAATCCGTTGGCAATCCCCTTGGCCATGACCAGGATGTCCGGGCGGACGCCCCAGTGCTCGATGGCGAACATCTTGCCAGTTCGGCCAAATCCACATTGCACTTCGTCGGCCACCAGGAGGATGTTGTTCTTGTCGCAGATTTCCCGGACGCGGGCGAGATAGCCTGGTGGTGGGGGCACGTATCCGCCCTCTCCGAGAACAGGCTCGATGAATATGGCTGCGGTATCCGAGGGCGCCGATTCCCTCTTGAGAAGGAGCTCCAGTTGAGTTATGGGATCCATGCAGCAGTTGTCAAAGCCGTATTTACCCCCGGTATGTGAAGCGATCGAACACTGCGCGCAGTAAGGGAACGGCACAGAGAACACGCCCGGCATCAAGGGTGCATAGTTCTCGGCATAGATGGTCTTTGAGCGCGTCATCGCCATCGTTCCAAAGGTCCGTCCGTGGTAAGACCCTTGCATGACGATGATGTTCTGCTTTTTGGTCGCATGGCGGGCCAACTTGACCGCCGCTTCCACCGCTTCTGAGCCAGAGTTCCAGAAGAAGAACGTGTCGAGGGATTTGTGCGGCATCAGCGGCAAAAGCGACTCGATGAGCTCGAGATAGGGCTTTTGAAACGCGATGTTGACTTGTGCATGCACGATTTTGGCCGCCTGAGCTTGAGCCGCCTTGGTGACGGCGGGATGGCAGTGCCCTAGGTTGGCCACGCCAATGCCACAGGTGAAGTCAAGCATCTTCCTCCCGGATGCCATGGTCACGTAGCTCCCTGAGCCGCTCTCAATGACCTCTGTAGAGAGCCGCCCAATGCCCTTGGCTACATGGCGAATGCCAAATTCGGTGAGCTTGGGAACACTCATGGTGATCGAGGCTTGAGGGGTATTGCCGGGCTCAGTGTTGGTAGGCAAGGAACCAACGCAACGAGCTCAGAAGCCAAGAGTCGTTTGTGGATGGCGCAGCTGCCCAGACTCCAAGAAGCGTACCTAGTAACTGACCACAGGCTTGGAAAGGAAAAATTTCATTAGTTTGACAATTGAAGCTGCGGGATGGTTGAATGTTTTGGGCTCGTGGTCTGATTACGTTTAAACCTTACGTCATTGGCCAATTGTGGATGCGGTGCTCGGTGGCACATTTTTCCGTTCCGGGGGACATACAAGATAAGCACCGCACTGGCACAAACGACGACATCATGATGATAGGGCGTACTGGATGGCTGTCAGAGTTACTATGATGCTGACCTACATAGCTAGGTACATATACTGTAGGATAATGATAATTCGGTGGTCAAGACGTCCGTTGACGAGATGTCATGTTCAGCTTGAAGCTACAACCACAACCTATCACCGTCTTTGGGATTTGAGCGGCCAGAAATCTTGCCAATCAGTCCCTGTCTGGGAACATGAGGCTCAATCCCATAGATACACCTTGCTCAAGCCTCGCTAGCCTTGATTTTATCCTCTGTGGTTACATGTTCCACAGTTGCCTCAACCTTCTCCGTCATCAACTCCTTCACGCCCTTGAGGAACCAAATGCCGGCCAAGGCCAGGACAACAAAGGGGATGATACTCGCCCATGCAAGTCTATATGCGTGAGCATATGCCGAATGGCTGGCGTCTAGTGTAGCGGCCTGAATGGTCTCGTTCATTCCCGGAACCGTAGAGAGGCCAGTGCCTGCAGAGAGAGCTGTTATAAGGGCAGGCACGGATGACTTGGGCAAGCCGGCTCCGACTGCGGCATTGCCGACATCGGTCGCATAGGATTTGAGTTTGCCGTTGATGATGGCGTCGAGCACCGCCGAGCCAAATGCTCCTCCGATCGCGCGGGCAGAAAACCCAAGACCAGTTGCCGTGGAGAGGAAAGCATGGGGGGCGGTGAATTGGATCAAGGCGACGATGAGTGTCAAAGGACCGGATTGACCAATGCCGGACAGAACATTGAAGCCAATTTGAGCATTGTTCATGTTGGGTGTGATGACAGCATAGCAGATGCAGCTGGTAATCACATCAATTAGTCCGAGGTTTGTTCAACCGACGACAAGCACTTACACGACGAGGAAAATGATGAATGTCGCAATTAGTGGGGACTTCAAATCCTTGTACTTGGTAGCGTACAGCCTGTCCATTTCATTAGCAGCTGCAACGGATCCAAGTGTCGCACACTCACGTTAACGGGATGGATGTGAACAATGTCACGAGGTTGTAAGACAGTTGTCGGATGGAAATCTTCCACGCATTGGTCTGGAATCCGAGATTGAGGACGATTTGAGGTGTGACACTGTTGACTGCGCTGTAGAAGATCCATCCCTCAACAGCAAAGGCAAATACCGAGAGGGCGAAATTGGGCGAGCCCTTGAAGAAGACGTGAGCAACAATGCCATCGGACCGGCCTTTCCATTCTGCAAACAATGTTAGCAAAATTGAACGCAAGAGAAGGCCATCTTCATGGTGGTACGAACCATAAACGCAAAATACAGCCAAGAATCCGAGCCCAATGCCCAGCGGAGCAGCAACATGGACGTCTGACCATGCGTAGGCTCCACCTGCCCAGTCCAAAGCCAGCAAAAGTAATGTACAAGCCACGATGAACACAAATGATCCGATGGGGTCGATCGCCCAGATGTATTGTTTCAACGTCATCTTAGGGTAGTCGGATCGTCGAGTAGGATGGTAGAAGAGGACGAGCCCGACAAACGTAGCTAAGTGGAAGGCCGCTTGCATCCAGAAGATGTCTCGCCAGCCTGACGGGCTTTGGTTGGTGACACCACCTGAGCCGAGAATCCCGACGCTGAAGAATTCGGTTAGCAAAGTCTAGAGCATTTCTTCTGGGTTAGCAACATACAGTCCACCCACTGCACCTCCAAGGAAGGCGAATCCATTGGCGAGGGCTCTGTATTTGAGCGGCAGGACCTCGCTGGGAATCGCTTGAACAATTGCAATGGTGCTCAAAGTCACACCAATCAGAATACCACCCCCAATGAGCATGGACATTGATGTTGCTTTGGCTGACATGACCGCACCTCCGAAAGCGATCAGTGGTGGTATTGAAGCCAGCCATTTTCGATCCAGGACATCACTTAGACGACCGACAATGGGAGACAGCACGCTCTGCATGAGCAATGGCCCCTCTGTGACCACCTAGTTAGCCACAGGAAGGAATGGTCGAGGGTATCCTATCACTTACGGATGATCCAGCCAGCGATTGGTGCATCGCCCAGATCTCGAATGATAAAGGCAATGACAGATCCGGCAGCCACGACGACGAAGACCTGAGCCATGATGGCAAAACAGGTGACAAAGACGACGAGCCATGATCGCCAACTCAGGTTGACGTGCTCAGCCTCGTTGAGCTCTTGAAGATGTTGCATAGGAGCCTCAAACTCGGCTGCCCGCTGTCTCTCACGCTCTTGCGTCTGAGGCGCATTTTCGATGACTTCGGTCGTCTGGGAGACGTCCTTCTCGGTCGCCATCTTGTCGGACTCGAGTACCCTTGTATGTCAAGGCTGTGAAGAGCGACAAAAGGAGACGGGGGGCGATGTTGGTCGGAGGACTAATTTCCTGGAAGTCGTCTCCAAAGAGTTATAGGCTGTCCACGGACCGGTGCATATCGTGGTAGACATGCTTCATCCACGTTCTGGCCACCGTTTTTTTTGCCACGGCAGTTGATCATGAGCCATACACCGGCCAGACTCCGTATAGCTCCTCCACAACAAGGAGCAAATTTCAGGCATCGTCGGGCTCAGGATGGGGCACGATAACCAATCTTGTGGAAAATGATGCTCCAGAAGGGACAAGCTAAGTGCCAATCGTCCACCAGCTCGTTGGGATGCATGGGGGTATTTTCCGGAAGTGCGTCGAGACCCGCACGTGGCGATCATTCGGCATTTTCTGAGTGTCCGGGGGCAAGCAGAGGGTGATTGAAACCTTGGACTGGTGGGAGCAGTCACCGAGGACGGAGAACTGAGAAAGTGGGTAAAAGCCAGCGATACGAAGGAATGGAAATGGAGGCTGGTGGTGGGATTCTGCCATGTTGCGGAGAAGCTGGAGCGGCATCCAAGGTTGTGGGGTTTTCCGTCTCCTAATTTCGACGACGACGACATCAGTCGCCCGCGCCTCTCGAAGGATTTGACCAAAAACCCTCGTGGCGTCAAAGTTCGCTTGTTCTCCGTGCTATCATTGTACCACAATTCGGTCGCCGGAAGGGATTCCCTATCTGGAATGCCTTCTGCTGGCCGCATTGACTAATCCAAGTTGTTTGACATCAGACATCCGCGGCTACGAGATCTGCGGGTGAATATGGTTGTAAAAATATCGCAGGAGCCGTCCCGGCTGACGGATTGGGAGTGTGACTGTGAGCAAAGGACGCCCTTAACATGGTGTCTGGTTGTCTGGCTTTCATTCTCTCTGGTACGAGAGAAAGGCGTGGCAACATCCAGCACCACATCAATTAGATGAAGGCTGCTCTATTCGTCGGAGTCATTGATGACCATGAGAATGGCATGATGCCACGGAGCTTGAAGTACACTCGTGCTTGCAGTGAGTTAGCTTTGACTCCCTGATGAATGGTAGGAACTCGACTGCAATGGCGATGGCAACGGTGAGAACGGAAGCTCTGCACAGCGCTTCACTTCGGGGTTTTCACTTCACTTTCATGGTCTCCTTAGGCCTATCTAAAGGCTGAACCTCATCTAACAAGTTTCATCAAACCAATCGACAACTGCTGCTCGATCCTGTGTCAACGACTCCAGAATTTTCAAAGATTCTTGCTCATCACATCCTTAATGGTCGCTTCGCAACCGTCTTGAGACATCATCATCGGTTATTGAAATGGGGGTGCAAAACCTCGCACAGCATGGGCCACCACAAACACCACAACCGAAGCCGATCCCCTGGGTAATAATTCCTCCTAGGCTAGCGTCCCCAGGCAGTCCTCTCCAGGGTTATTCTAAATCGGATACGGAGATTCTGGGAGACATTGTACATGAAGAGAGTGATCCTATGCAGACACGTCAATCCAAATCTGCAAACCACTCACTTCCTGATGCTGGAAATGTGCGAAAGAGACCAGTGCCTACGGCACGAAAGGATGAATGGCAGGACAGCAGTGACGAGGGGGAAGGCAATAATGCTACCGTCCCGAATCTCAAGGGCAGCAGATACTTCAGCTTGGGCATGACCAACAGCCCACCGAAGAAAAGGCTAGTCACAAGCAAAGGACCTCGATTCAACAAAATCTACAAGCCAAAGGGAGCAGAAGCCAAGAAGCCGTCTCAGTCAAGTATGTCTCCAGTTGATTTCCTCACGCTCTCGGAAGGCTCGGATGTGAGACGTGTTGAAAACTACTAACATACATCAACTCCAAGAAACTGCAGTCGACTTTCGAAACCGCAGAGAAGCGGAAGAATCCTACAGAAAGAAAGTCTGTGCCCTTATCGACGACGATATCCTGCAGCGAGTTGACGCAGAAGGAGGGATTACTCCTGTTGGAAGAATGTACAAGGCCATCTGCCGGATGATGGAGCGGCAAAGTAAGAGCAAGCAACCTGGGGCGAACGGGGCCAGTCACGATGAAGTTATGAGGTTGAGAGCTGAGAATCAAGCGATGAGGGAAAAGATCGATGAAGCAACTCAACTCTTGCGTTCTGCGTGAGCCATGGGTTTCTGGTGGCTTGAAAAGGCCTTCTTAATTCGCTGTGCTGGATTGGCTATGTTACAAAATATCAGATGCCGGTACAGTGAAGTTGCGCATTGGGAGCTCAAGTACCACATTCGGTGGGTGAAAATGTAAGGCGCTGAGCATGAAAGCAAAGAAGACGAAGATCAGGATGTGGCAAAATACCGAGAGCTCTATTCTATCATCCCATCCAGGTCCCAGGTATGGAGTCTATCCCTTCGAAAGGACAATCCTGCGGCCTCTACCACTTTGATTCCGAAGCCCCCCATGCTGTTCTATAACTTTGCCTGTTTCTGAGACGAAAAGACTGCCTTGTCATGAACGCACGTAACACACAGCTTCCCATTGACATAGACCTTGCCCACAATATTCGCGGTATTCCTGCCGGCCGCTTGAACCTCACAGTCTACAGTCGCCTTGCTCCCCATCGGCACCGGCCGCAGATAGGTCATGGTGATGGTCCTGCTCACATGTCCGCCATCCAAGAACCCTTCCCTCGCTATCGTCAGCAACGCCGTACTCGTCAGGTTATCCAGCAAGGTCGCCGCGGCGCCGCCGTGCAGGTTGCCGGATTTGTTGCATAGCTCCGACCCGATGTCGAGACTCCATTTCACGGAATTGGGTTGCGCGTCGAGCAGTTTCGGGTTGCAGTGTTGAAGCGCGTGCGTGTCGAAGCCAAAGTATTTTGGGTCGCTGAGGATTTCCGCCTCGAGGCCCAGGACGCGCTCGCGGAGCGGTAGTGAGAGGAAGTTCTTGGTTTGAAAGACTTTCCTGTGCGGGTTTATTCTGCTTGTTTCTGACATGCTGGCGAGAGGAGAGAGGTATCCCCTTTCAATTTGGTTCTTGTTTATTCCGATGGACCTTGACTCGCCGCTGATGCCCTGGAAGAGTCGCAAGTAAAGCCGTAACGTTCTCTATTTCTCAAAGCTCGTCTGAGAATTGATAAGCAGGGTCTTCAGCCTCACAGAATTCCGGTTGATGATTTTCTCGGGCTGTCTAATAGAAAGTTGATCAGTCTCGGCGAGGACGTTCGCATAATATAATAATCAATGAGATTTCCAAGGTTGTCTTCAGTTACCGTCGTACCGAGGCACGGAGGTTCATTTTGCCTCAGCCTGACAGCCTGACAGCCTGCCCGCCAGTAAGCCGTCTCACGTGGTGATAACGATAAGGGGAAGGCTACTAGCAGTCCCGAGTAATTCGGGCTCCGGCCATGGCGCAGTCAGCCTCCCACTGCTTCCCCTCCGGGCTCAATTGAAGCATCGGCGAATCAGACAGCCATTGGCCTCTGACGATGCAGTCGATCCCAAACGGTGGATTGCCAGTGCCAACCAATCGAGTTTGACTGCAATGCATTTGAGGGCGCGTCTTGGACCCAGACTTAACCTGAGGAGAAGTGAGGCTGATGCGCATTCCAGTCCCCGTCACTGTCAACATTATTGCCAACGTTGCCTCTCCTCCTCCATATCCACTCCTTCGGTCCGTCTTGTTTCAACCTCTCCGCCGACCGTCGACACTATCCTGAAACCCCTCTTCCTTTGAATATGGTGTCGTTGGAACGGTGGTGTCAGTGTCAAGACGATGGACGAGGACGACAATGTCGATAATGCTACCTCTCCCGAGAACCACAACAGGCAATCAAGGCGGGAGCGGCTCAAGGGAGCACTCGCCCGTACAAAGAGCAAGTTCAAAAAGAACACCAGTGACACCAATGAAGAGAGGGATCTTCCTGATGATGTGAATGAGTTTTTGGCTGCGGGCAGGACATCGACCTCGTCGAGCGGACCATGGCACGGAGACAGCCTTCCACCACATCCTATCCGCACGAACACTAATGCCACCAGCCTTGACCAGAGCTCTCCGGCTTCTACAAGGCCATCCACTTCGGAGTCATTCACCCACCCCTCTGCCCCTCAACGTTCACCGAAAAAGGTTCCAATCCCGCGAATAGACGTGTCCAGCTCTCAACGTTGGCCCCGAGCTCAACCTATCGGTACGTCGGAACAGGATATCAACGACTTCCTGCGCCCAGAGTACCAAGGGCGCAGTCAATCGGTCAGCTCATTCTCCAACAAGCCAAAGCGGAAGGGACGTGGGAGAGGCCTAAGTGTCTCTTTCATCGAAGCTCCTCCAGTCATTATTGGCGAAGGCGGGGACGATGCGCCCACACCCCCAGTCGAGATCTCAAAGGCGAGACAAAGAGCTAGATCTGCCTCGCCAATGCCCAGCCGTGGTGGCCAGTCTCAACCGCGTGACCACCACTCGGGAAGTCCTATGAATGGGGCTTACGGCCATCGAAACCCTCCGATCCCTCCCCCGTCACGGCCTCAGGCCCACGCACCCCCAGACGTCCTGCGGCCTAGAATGCTGCAGAGAGTGCAAACAGGGAACTTCTCAGGCGGGACGATGGGGGCATCCGCCTTGGATAAAGAGTTCGAAATGACTCTTCGACTGGGGCCAAATGCGCTCAACTCGCCGGTCAGCCCGGGAGGATCACCTCATACTCCAGAGCTCCTGGCTCCGAAACCGGTACGGGTCGTGCATCCGCCTCCGCCAGTATTGGAAGAACCTGCACAGTCACATGTGGTCAAAAACCAGGTCCCGAGTACAGACTTGCGCAAACAATTCAGAGAAGGGGACGCCTTGCGTATGCACCTCGATAAAGAAGCACCAGAAATTGTCGATGGAATCGCCGCCGACGGGTTGGTGAAGAGTGAAAGCACCTCAGCCGAGAAAGAAGCTTTCAACAGGATATGAAAGTAGTCCTTGTTGGCTTTCTGAAAAGATCTACATCTATGAAGTGATCTAGCTGGACGTTCCATTGACCGCGTTCAGTGCCTTGAAGCCCTGGATCAGGTCATCGAGCAGATCCTTCTCGTCTTCAATGCCGATGCTGACCCTCAGGAGATCCTTCTCCACCGTTGAATCGGTCATTGTCCTCCACTCAATCAAGCTCTCAATCCCACCTAAACTGGTTGCGTGGTGGAAGAGATGGAGCTTGCTGGGCAATGCCCTGGCGAAATCTTGCGATTTCATAACGATAGCAAATACTGGGCCATAGCCGTTGGGCATTTGTTTCTTCAACCACGTCTTGTAGTCTTTGGTTTGCAGACTCGCATGATGCACCTGTTTGACGACGGACTTGATGATCTCTGTATCGGAAAGGGACAGGCCCGTGCCGACAGTGTGACCCGTCAAAGCACCATCGAGGGCATCAACTATCCTTCTCGCTGATTCACTCTGCTTCATGATTCGGAGCTCCAGAGTTCGAATACTCCTCACACCAAGCCAGCCTTCCAAACCACCCATCACGGAGCCCAGATACACGCGATCTTGCAGCATCTTGGGAATCCAGTCTTTCTGTTTGACCGCCAAAACACCACAGAGCATGTCCGAGTGACCTCCAATATACTTTGTGCCTGAATGCATGACAATATCTGCACCGTGCTTGAAGGGATCCTGCAGGGGTGGCGGCGCAAACGTGGCGTCCACGCTGAGGTATGCACCTCGTGAATGGGCAACGTCGGCGTAATGCTGTATGTCGAAGGCCAGTCCTGTCGGGTTCACAGGGGTTTCCAGGTGCAGAAGATCCCCCTCTTGCAGATCCTCCGGCTTGCAGTCTAGCGGCAGGAGCTGCAGCCCGGAAAGCCGCTGGTGGATTCTCAACACGCCATGACATCCGTGATAGCCAGCGCCAATGGCCACTCTCTTGGGAGCCAAGAACGTTATCAATGCATTGAATGCCGCGAGCCCGGAGGAATATGTCAAGCAAGGGGTTTTCAGCAGCACAGCCAGGATCATCTCCAGGCGTGATGTACTGTGTGTTGTGTGGCGGGAGTAGTTGTGTTCGGTGGGCGCAAAGATGGGTTCCTCTCGTTCATGATATGGGCGCAGTTGGGCGGGGTCTTTGTCGTAACGAAAGGTAGTGGAGACATGGATAGGAGGGGCGACATCACTGACGACGTTGAGAGGGTCATCGGCGTGGATGGCTAGGGTGGACGGAGAGAGGGAAGTCAGGTCTAAGTGCTGGGAGAGTTCTTCGATATGTTGCTCATCGGCGGAGGAGGGCGCAGGTTGAGGGGTTTCGGAAGAAGTATCCCCATGATGAGGCAGAGTCCCGTTGGTGGTGGCCATACCGGCAGGACGTCTGTGAGATGAGATGAAGTAAAGTCAGGGAGAATCTCCAGAAGAGCAAGCTGGAACGTTCAGGTTAAATAAAAGACTAGAGTCGACGCCCTGCCATTGACATATTAACCTTGCAATGATTGCCTGGTATTTTGTGGATTGCGTGCTTGATGCAGGGCTGCCAGCTGCTCGCTGGTTGCCACTGGTGGCAGTCGTGGGGAAGCCCGTGTGCCTCTGGACACCTGCGCCGGAGCGGCATTAGCAGCTACTAACTTACCCCTCCCAGCGACGTCTGGCGCCCTGAATACCATTTACGAATTGACGCAAACCTTATACGCGGGGCTTTGTGCCATCCATCGATCGCCAGGAACGACGCGAATGGTGGACCTCGCACGCCTCACTAACTGCTCCCTGGCAGGTACAAATGGCTGATGGTATCTACCTAGCTAGGTATCTAGCTAGGTACCTAGGTATGTCAGCCTCTCCCATCCACGACTACCTACCTACTAGGTAGGTACTCAACACTCGTAACTGCCAATCGTTGTGTTACACGACATTATCTTCCAGCAAGCTTGTCCACTCGTTTCACTATGCCGATGCCAACAAACCATGGTCCACGAGACGTGCAGATTGGTCAATGATCCCATCCTCGTATGTCCCAGCACGCCGTGCAAGAACGTCCCTCTTTGTTGCCTCGTACAGAACATTTCTTGTCATCCTCAAGCATCGTTGTTTCAATGGAGTTGTTTATTACGAACCTCGACTCAAGATTTACCAAGGACAAGTTGAAAGATTCCCTGACCCCCATCCTCTCCGCGTCTCAGATCCATGTCTTCGAAGTCCGAAAAGCGGTCGGCAAGACGGTTGCAACGCTCACAATTGCAGATACTTCCACAGCTCAAAGCCTCTTGTCCAGATCGCGTGCTTACCCAAACCTCCTCAAGTCTCCATCAGGGCGATATGCGGTGTTCAACGTGAGTCGTAACCCGCCGGATCCTCATTGGTTGCGTGTACTGCGCAAGGAAGACAAGGACCGACTGAATTCCAAAGCATGGGAGAAGTCTTTGCAGCTAGAGTTGAAAGCTCAAGCTGCCGAAAAGGAGACTGAATTGAAGATTACGGCACTACAGTGCGGTCGTTGGGAAACATGGACTGGAAAGACTGAAAAGACTGCATTCGTGCCCTACTTTGAGGTCTCGGCAGAAGGCAGGCTGACAAGAGATGCACGAGCCTTGGTGATACAAATCAGAATCTCTCCTTCTAAGCGCCACGATCTTGTCATAGATCTATCCTCCATACTGGCTTTTGTTATATCACGGGGAAAAGGCAGCAGTACTTTGACAATCACACTTGTCACTGCACCAAGAATCTACGAGAATGAGGTGCCTGCGGCGGATTCTGGACTGCCCGAGTTGCTCGCAGCTTTACACCTAGGCCCGCAGACAGTCAAGAGGTTTCGTGAGTGCACATTACCAGGATCCGATACTGGTGTCGTTGGCAGCTGCTTGACATACAGCATGGTCCTCTCAACAGGAGCTGCCAACCTGCAACACCGCATAAAGGCCATGACTTATAACCGCTTTCCCATCACAATGCTTCCGGCCATGTTTGCCCCTCAACCACGAGTTGGGCTTTCAAAACAGGTGTCCAAACTGAATGCTAAGGTTGCAGCGTTGAAATGTTCCTTTGCATGGAGGTTTCAGATACATGGGTTGTGGGCCAATGGTGTCCTATCTCCTGTGGAAGTCCAGTCTCTCCTGCCGGCCATGAGTGACCTACTCGCTCGATCAGGCGAATCAACACTTATTGCGGTCTTGCGGCGGCTCAATTTGCAACTGTCTCATAATGATGCTACCACCGATCGTGAACAGGGTGCTATGCAAAATGCGATAAACAGTCTCGAACAAGATGCGAATATTTTACTCGAATGTGACAGCTCACACACCTCACAAGACGTGGTCTCAATTCACCACGTCACTGTAACCCCTACTGGCATATATCTCACTGGTCCAGAACTCACCGCATTGAACCGTGTCTTGCGACAGTACCGTGCACATGCTGACTGCTTTCTGCGGGTTCTTTTTTCCGAGGAGGATGAAACGCGGATCGAGTTTGATAGGGATACTTCCAATGAGCGAGTCCTGCAGGGTCGTTTCCTGTCAATTCTCCGTAACGGCTTGGACATTGCAAACGAACACTTTGACTTCCTCGGGTTCTCACACTCGTCCCTGAGGTCCCAAACATGTTGGTTCATGCGACCTTTTGTTCACGATGGCTCATTGTTGTTCGCAAGAGACCTCATCAGCAAGCTTGGTGACTTCAGCGCGATCAGGTGTCCGGCCAAATGTGCAGCCCGGATTGGTCAGGCTTTCTCTGAGACCTCATCTCCTGTATGGGTGGATCCGAGCATCGTCAAGGTGTATCCTGACGTCAAGATTGGACGATATTTGTTCACTGATGGTTGTGGCACCGTGTCAAGGTCGACCTGGAAACGCCTCAGGGGAAGCGTGCGTGCCAAGGACCAGCCTACCTCCTACCAGATCCGCTATAAAGGTGAGAGTAAGTTGTTGGATGGCCTTTGCTGACTGTCTTGCAGGTGCCAAAGGAATGCTCACGCTTGACACGCGCCTTGAAGGAGACCAAATACGTCTTCGGGAGTCAATGGTAAAGTTCGAAAGAAGCCCGTCCGACGAGATCGAAATGTGTGGTTCAAATATCCGGCCGCTGCCTTTCAAGCTGAATCGCCCGCTCATCAAAATACTCGAAGACCTTGGGGTCCCTGACTCGACATTCGAAAGGTTACAAGAACAAGCCATCCAGCGACTACGTCTCAGCGCGACCTCAAGATCCGTTGCGCTCAATTTCATCAACGAACACCTCTCGGATGGTAGCAGCGGCTTGCCTACACTTCTCAAGCATCTGCAGCACATTGGTGTCGATGCTACGGAGGACAGCTTTTTGAGGGAAGTACTTGGAGCATTACTGCAGGTTCAACTTCGAGAGATCAAATATCGAAGTCGCATTCTAGTTCCAGAAGCTCTCACACTCTACGGAATCAGCGATGAGACTGGTTGGCTGAAGGAAGATGAAGTCTTTGTTACTTTTGTTGACAAAAAGACTGGAACCCATTCCTGCTTGGACGGACGCGTGGCCGTCACCCGGTCTCCTGCCCTCCATCCCGGCGATGTGCAGCTTGTTCAAGCCGTAGCACCACCAAAGAGTTCTCCTCTCTGGGACCTCCGCAACTGCATCGCCTTTAGCCAGCATGGTGCTCGCGACATACCCAGCATGCTGAGTGGTGGCGACCTAGATGGCGATCTCTACAACGTCATCTACGACGATGAACTCTTGCCAAAGAAGACTGTAACTCCAGCAGCATATCTCCCAGCCGTGCCTATGGATATCGGCCGCCCAGTCACTGCTGATGACATGGCAGGGTTCTTCGTGGACTTTATGCAAAATGACCAACTGGGCAGGATCGCCAATCTCCACCAAGTCTTCGCTGACCTTGATGGCACCTCTTCAGCCAATTGTCTCTTGCTCGCGGAATTGCATTCAACTGCTGTGGACTTTTCTAAAAGTGGCGTCCCCGTCGACCACAAGCGGATCCCGAGGGCTCCCGGGTATAGACCTGACTTCATGGCGCCAAGTGCGAGTACCATAGTCGAGAAAGGTATCAAGAGACCTGAAGAGGCTGCCTTACCTGACGGCCGCCAGCGGTACCGATACTACGAGTCCGATCGTATCCTAGGTCGCCTGTATCGGGCTGTGAACGAAGATACCTTTTTTGATGACCTCGAGGACGATACTTCATCGCTATTCAGCAAGGAGCCTACTAACGATGTGCTGAGGGACATCTGCGATTGGGTGGTGTCCCACCTCGGCCACCCGCGCGTTCAAGCTTTTCTTACGCAGGCGAGGGAAGTCAGAGACTAGTAAGTTTTATAGAAACGACACTGGGAGGAGCTAACATGAGCAGCTATGAATCGAGTCTGCTGGAGATAATGTCTCTTTATGCAGTCCGCCGGACGGAGCGACTCACTGAAAAAGAAGTCTTCATCGGCACGATCTTGGGTCGTTCGGGCGCAGGAAGCAAACATCAACGAGAACAATCAGACTACATGAAGTCTCAGTTCAATTACGAACTTCGAGAAATCAAATCACGGATGGAATATTTGACGACGGAGGATGGCGATGAAGGCTTCCTTTGCCTCGCTGCTGCCTGCCTCCATGTGGCTGTGTGTGAGCCCAGCAATTTTAATGTCCAATTGAGCAGCTTCGGATGGTTTGCTGCAGGCTTATGTGTCCCTGATATCGTGAAACAAGAAGAAGGAAGTATCTTCAGTGCATGACGGCAGTGGGTGTTGTCGATCCCGAACGTCTGATGAATTATGGGTATGATGATATGATATGGCTGAAAACAATTAATGTGTTTGCACCACTAGCAGAAAAAGAGCTTCGTCTAACCTAGCTCTAATTGCGCTTGGTCTGAGCGAGGATGATTTGGGATGCTATTCAGCGACCTTTTATGCTCGTGTGGGCGGACATTCGGTTCTACTAAAGACTATGATGACCTTGTACGACAGATAGACGATAATTCAGTCAAGCATTAAATAAGCAGAAGGCAATGATGCAGACTCTTTGGCAAGTTGTTGATTTTAGGACGGGCTACTTTACTCAGACAGCTGTTCAATCCTCAGAGATGCTTCACACTTCAACTGGACTCCATGTGCTCTCTTCTGAAAGAAAGAAATAATCGGACGGGGACGGGTTGGGCATACTTTCTAGACCGGCGGTCGGTGTCTCTGGGACAGGGAGACCCCAGGTGTTCTCTGGAGTGTTGGCGATGAGACAGGAAGGTATAGGTGGGCTTCTAGTTCGGCTCACTTCACACTGACATATTTAGGAAGCATCACACCATCGAGCGTGGAGATATATAATGCGTAGACTGGCATCACCACAGTAGTCTTATATCGTTACGGGATATATATTGTCTAACCCAAACCCCCTTTAGCTGACAGCCCTGTCAAGTCTCATCGAAGCAACACCTACTGTTATTAACCAAAGAGATACATCCATCCATCGTCTTTACTTCTTTCGGAATCTTCATCATCCTATGCGGCTGCGGGCAACGACACGGTCCTCGTTGATCATAACGGCCCCCTTTTCCCCGATGGCATAGACCGTGGCCATGGGAAAGGCACTAAGCTCCATGGGCAGCACGCTCGCATCAACGACTCTTAGACCTTTGACGCCGATGACTCGCAACCGCTCGTCGACCACTTTGCCCAGCGCACAGGTTCCCACGGGATGATTGATCAGCGTGACGGCCTCGCGCACGGTGTCCCTGGCGGTGTTCAGATCCTGCACATCGACACCTTCAGGAGGGTACAGGCGGCTTTTCACCCGGGATGTGATGTGCGGGGAGCGGAAAGCGCGATCTGCAAAGGCGAGTCCTGCGGCTAGGACGTCGACGTCGGCTGGGTGAGAGAGCAGCGCGAAGTCGATTCCGGGTGGGGCCAAGGGGTCGGCGGAGGTGATGTGGACGGAGCCCCGTGAGCATGGGTACATTAGGACGACTTGGAGTGAGATGCATGGGTTTCTGGGAGGGTCGGAAGGTGGGGGCCCAGGCATGAACTTGGACATGTCGGCGTGCGTGTTGAGCGTGTCGCAGTAGGCCGGGATGACGACGTACTGGATCGCCGAGGTGCTGGGCGAGGCCAGACGTGAAGCCAGTATCGCGGCTTGTGGGCTGTCGAGTTTTGGTGACGGCTGCTGTGCCGACGAAGACGCCGAAGAGGGAGCAGCAGCAGGAGGAGGAGGAGAGGTGAGGAGAGAGTAGACGGTCCGTGCGAGTGTGCTAGCGTCCACGAGCGAGCTGTAGGATGTGAAGCCATTCAAGCCCGGCGCGTTGGCCAGAACCCCTTCACGCGACTCTGCGTAGAGGCGCTGTTGGGCCGGAAGGAATGCAGGATCGAGGTAGATGCTATCCAGGCTGGTTTCGCCGTCCGCGAGCTCGTAGCTCACGTTGGTCATGATCTGCTCCTGGGCATTGGAGCCGACATGTGGGTTTTCAACTCGTGGTTCAATCCCTGCGGCACGGAGGATCGACGGATCCCCTATCCCCGAGAGCTCCAGCAGTTGCGGTGTTTGGATGGTGCCAGCACTGAGGATGACCTCCGCTCTGACATGGACGGTGTGCAACCGGTCTCGCCTGCCGCCGTGCGCAAAAGCCACCCCTCGAGCAGCAACAGCAGCAGTTCTGGAGGAGTCGTCGTCGTCGTCGTCGACGAGGATGACTTTGGTGGCCGTGGCTTCGGTCAAGATTTTGAGGTTTGGCCGCTGATTAAGGAGCGTCGGCGCAACGTACCCCGTGGCTGCGTAGCTGCGTGTCCCCCTGTTGACGCTGCTGCGGTCAATCGTGCTCAGACCTCCGTACCAGCCCTGGTGTTCGCCCGAGTAGTACGGTTCCGTGGCCAGCGTGAGGCCGGACGTCTCCTTCAGCGCTTCGAGAAGGGCGTCCTCGGCGGGGAATCTCGTGGTCGCGTACGAGGTGTGGATCGCGCCCTGCGTGCCATGATTCGCCCCATCGATGGGGTAGATGTCTGGTTCTGGCCTCGTTGGAGGATCATAGTGCTCGACTTTGCGGTAGTATGGCGCCATCTCGTCCCACGACCAGCCCGACGAGATGCCCAACTCTTTCAAGTCGTCCAGATCGCGAGCTGAGGGATAGCCGTACGCCATGAAATTGATCGCGCTGGATCCCCCGAGGACTTTGCCGCGCGTTACATGATGGGTTTTGTTCTTGTTGGCTTCCTATATGAGTCGTGTTCAGGTGTTAGGCTTTTTTCTTTTCCTGTATAGGCATTGAAACACCCAAGGTTCCCGTCCGTGTGGTTTGAGATCCAGAGACATATGTACATACCTGAGGTAGTGTCGTAAAGTCCCAGGCATACTCCGGATTCCGCAGAAGAAACGCGAGCGTGCCTGGGGTCTCTACTAGAGGATCCCCGAGACGGTTCTGGCCGGCTTCAAGGAGTCCCACGCGCACACTGGGGTCCTCGCTCAACCGGGCTGCCACGACCAAGCCGGCAGTTCCGCCACCCACGACGACGTAGTCGAAGTTGTCCTCGAGAAAGGCCTCGAGAGAGCAAAAGACTCCTCCGGAGCTGGTGGGTTGTTCGGATCCCATCGTTGCATGTCCTGTCAAGTCTTCCGGCTGCTATGCTTGAAGATCGCTTGGCCCAGCGAGCAAGCGTGAGCTGTTCTTATAGCGGCAAATCTCCTCCGCCATCGGATACCGTCATAGAGTTGGGCAGGGCTGTGTAGAGGTCAGTCAGGGGCAGCAACTAGCCCATTTCAGCATGGTATAGCCATCTTATGACTGGTAGGTAAGCAGCGCATCAGGTAAGCATTTCAGCGATGAGATGCTGTGGAGTAAGGATGGCTTGATCGCTATGTTGATTGGACGGCGACATGCCTCCTCGTTTAGACTGTAACATTGTGACTATTTGGGATCTCACCAGGCAGGGACAGAGCAAATTTGTGCCGAGTCTGACTCAAGTTGTCTCCGGGGGGAGCTTTCTCTTTCTCCGTCAGATGCTAGACTCTTTATTGCTTTGGCGGCCCAGGCAGGCGACCCGCGGGTCAAGGGAGCGAGTGCTGCAAACACAGTGAGATTCCATTATAGATGTGGCAACATGTATAGAGAACTCTGAATGCTTGCTCAACTTTTACCAGAGAGCGTGCAGCTATCCCCTACTTAGTTACTAGTTACCTGGTAGTTATCTAAAGGGACGGAAGTGCCAAGGCACTAGGTTTGCCTACCTTCAAGTACGAGGCAGGTACAGGATACTAGTAGCCAGGAGTGTCACACTACATCTAGTCTCTCGAGGACCTAGGTAGGAATCCTTACCAGGCGTGCCATGCAGTCCTCGCCGTGTCTTTTGTCCCTACGGCCCGTCCCATTTACGACATTTCATTCGTACTCACCACAATCCTCAATCCGGCCCCGCTGGCTAAGTATGATATCCTTCGCACAATGCCAGGCTCACCGATCCAAGATCGGCAATTCCAAGCCTTCTGGTAGAAAATAGAATCAGATATGCAATGGGTTGAGGCTCCTGGATCCGGTTCGTCCACTTTCCTCGTTCGGTACCCTGGGCGGGCTCCACATTGTAAGCTGGGGCCGGTTCCCTCTCCAAGCATCTGCATTATTAAGCCTATGCGTTTACGGGATTACGACGGGAGTTATTTGATACTGACCTCTAGCACGTCATAGATTGGGTGCTTGCCCACGTTTCTTCTAAAATCGGAAGACAGTCAGCCACGTCCTTAATGCTATCACAGAACGGTATGGTATACACTTCGGAGATCGATGGGCGCAGCAGAAAGACGGGTTGGATTCTCTGTGAGGCTGATGACCCCAGACCCGAGACGGGCTTATGAAATAGTCAAAAGCATTGGTGCTACCCTACTCGAAGAATGACTCCGGAAATGGAGCCACAATATCCGTACGTTCGATCCGAAACAGCTGGGGCTACGGTCGCTACTGCAAAGCCAAAAAACCTCATCCAAGAGGCACTCAAGGCTTCAAATTGTGGTGGAAGAGAAAGTCTGAGCGCGCAAAAAACACTTGTGCAACTTCTGAATTCACTAGAGAAAGGTTGTTCCCGCAACAGCGGCCGAATCAGCAATGTCACGCTGGACAAGTGGAAGCACGGCAGCAACCCAAAAGTTATTTCCCCTTTGACCCTCAAGGCTTGAGAACGATACCCTCGCCTACTTCCGACTCCTGCTTCAGACCCTTGTCAGCCGCCTCGGCAAAATCCCTCAAAAAGAGCCATCTTGCTTTCTCGTCCAGACGCTTCGCTTTCCAATCATTCAGCGTGCCATTTGGATAGAAGACAATCTCGGCTTCCTTGGAGAGGAGATCCGTGTCGTGGGCAATGATGACAAAGACGTTGTCCGCGGCATCAAACTCCTCGAGGTACTTGATGGTCAAGTTGGCCCGGTCGGTGTCGTGGGAAAAGTTTTTGGTGAGCATGTAGACTTCCTTGTTGGGTTTGCCGTGGTGGAAGACGTCGCAGAAGGCGGCACCGGGACAAAACCCGCCCTTTGACTTGATCCTGCTCGTCGCGCTGGGGATGTCGAGAGGGATCTGCTTAGGAAGAGGCAGGTACTCGGTGGGACGATACTCTCCGCCGTGGTGGCAGGCATCGCCGCCCATGAAGACGAAAGTGTCAGGCGTCACGCGCGCGAGGCCGCAGACATGGCCGACGGCGTGACCCGGCGCGTCGACGATGTAGAAGGATCCATCGCCGAAATAGTCCATGGCCTTGAAGTTGCCCACCATCAGGTCGCCTGACGCGGAGAAATCAACTTCGACAACTTCGCGCCCTTTCCAGTCCGTCTCCAGCACCTGGCTATTTGGGTTCACGGGATACCCGGGCATGAGCGCTTCCTTGAACCCGGGACCGACGATCAATTTTGTCGAGGGCGGAAACGTGCTCGGGTCGCCCGTGTGGTCATAGTGCCAGTGACTCCAGATAATGCCCTCGATACTCTCGAGCGCCACGCCATTCTCGCTCAGAATTTCCGACACGTTCTTCTCCGCCGCCACACCCCATTTGTGGGCCTTGATCGTGTTGACGATGCTGGGCGCCAGGTTCTCCCAGTCCTTCCTCGTGCCCAGATCGAACAGGATCTTGCGGTTCAAGTGTTCATGCTCGATCAAGAACGCGAACGCCGGGCACGCGAGCTTGTCGTGGCCTGGTATCGTGGGGCCGAACAAGGATCCCAACGTCGCTTCGATCCACGACGTGCTGTCGATGATCTTGACCGACACGGTCGAGTTGGAGGACGGGATGTTGAGCGCCGGAGGCTCCTTGGGCAGCACCATGTACTCGTCAATATTCTGGGCAGAAGGCATTTTTCTTTTTTTTTTTTCTTTTTTTCTTGGTTCCCGACTGTTCACAATGTGACGAATCTTTTTCAATTCTATTACGGTCACTCTTTCTTTCTAACTGTCTAAGTTGTGGTGCTCAAATTATTGTCCTCGGGGAGTTTCCAAAAAGACAACCTACTTTATACGACTATGCCGAATAACCGGGACAGCGAAACTCTGTTCTTGGGGTAATACCATCTACGCATACCGAGTGCTCTCCTCTGACCCGCCCTTCGGCACAGGAAACTCTTCGTATCTGTTCCAAAGAAACTCAGAATCCCCGCGCGCCGAGCGTGATTTTCCCTCTCCATTTCCCCACTGGAGCCGGTTACTAAGAGAGTTATCGAGGTCACGAGTCGAGGTACCTAAATGGAGGGCCAATGGACATCTCAGTATGATCTCACTGTTGGGCTCGGGAAGATGGACGCGGGAATAATTTGGGAGCATTCCACAGCATTAACAAGCAGAGAATACTTTTACATGACCACCAAACGATGCAGGGGAAAACATAGGTCAGCTATCCCCAAGAGTCGGGAACTGTGGCCGTCCCTCCTTTTTTCATAGTAAAAAGCAACAGCTTTGCTACCCTCATTATTGGCGTTGTCCTTCGAGCAGCGGTTTCAGCCGCTTGATCATTCCATCAAGGTTGTTTGATAATACATTACAAGTTGCTAGAAGACGAGGGAGAAGGTTAGCAGGTAATAATACCTCATCAGTGGATCTCCCGGAGCACATACCAGGCCAGACCCATCGCTCCCTGATCATGTCCCGATAGATCATGATGGGCAGCAGCTCTCTTTGGATAGGCTGCTCGTATTTGTATTCGCTTTCCGCCACGATCTCGTCCATCATGGCGGTGATGACGTGGTCTTCTGGACCTGGGATCTCCGAGAGGTGTCGACCGAGAAGGTACCAGCACATCAGTAGACCTATATTTTGAGGGCGTTAATTATCTCGTACACTTGTTGAAATATACACAAGGGGGTTTCGTAGTTGGGGGGCCTGGGGACCGCTTGTCTTTTTCAAACGGCGAAGCTTTACTTACTGCCTTCATAAGCGGCCAGTGGAGCATAGCACGGATAGTTCAAACACGAAGTCTTGAGCAGGTATCCCAGGCCCAAGCGGACGCGGACCAGCAGGCACCTGCAGGCTCGGACGATCGCTTTCATCAGATCAGGGGCATTGTCGAGCTGATAGAGCTTCGCAACCCGGCTTCGAGACACCTGGTCGATGGGAAGTCGGGCGATAGCCTTCATTTCATTCATCTGCACGTTGGCATACAGGCGGTAGTACGCGGCGTTGAGGACGACCAGTGCGTCGGCCATCAGTGGACCCTGAGGCGCATCCGGCACCGTCGTGGCGTGCGGATGCGTCCTCCAGGCTTCTTCCCACGTGTGCAACGCCAGGCGCAGGGATTCCTCGTCCGGGCACGTCGGTGTCGTCGTCTCAATGTTGCCGAGGCGAAGTGTGCAGATGTGCGAGAGAATGACGCTGATCAGGGTCAGCAGACCGAAAGGACTGATCATCGTGTCGTCGAGCGGCGCGCCGGAAAGAAGTTGACGGAAACACACAACCGTAGGCGTCGTCGTGACTCGTGGTGAGTTCTGCCAGCTGAGGCCGCCGGCCGACCATAGTTCCTCCGAGCAGGGTAGCATCCCGTCGAACTCGGTGTTGGAGCTCCTCAGAACCGCATTGTCCTCGTTGCAGAGCAAGACTGCTCGGAGGACCGTGGTCCAGGACACGCACCTGGCGCCAAAAGGTCAGCAGCGGACTCGAAAGGAGTCTATGTTACTCACCTGATCATGCTCTCGCGAAAGACCCAGCCGGCCCAGTCATTCACAGAGACTTTTGTCGCCTCGACAGAGGCTTCCCGGCAAAGCTAGGGTGATAGATTAGCTGGTGCATCTCAATTTGCAAGTTTGCGACCCCTGATGACCTCAGATGCAAGCAACGTACCACGTGAAGCCGTGTGAAGGACAGTCTGGCCTGTCGTTGGATTCGACTGTCGCCACCAAAGAGTCCGTACTGGCAGGTAAGCAGCCTTGTTTGTAATTCCCAGAGCTGGAATCCCGAGTCTCTTTGTCCGGCGATCACTAAATCTTCATTCTGCAACACAGCCAGGTTAGACCTTGGGTCATGACGTTCTTCGAAGTCGAAGGCTGGAGACGATTCTCTGCATACCTCGCTCAGCAGCTTCAGGACCGCGTAGTATAACCTGATGCTAACCTCTTGCTCATTCAAGTAGACAGCCCCGCACGCCATGACAGCAAGCAGGAGCGGTGCTAAAATGGCAGGTTAAGTCAGTGCTAAGGTCAAGGCCACCGAGCTTGGGTCGGACGGGCGCTTGTCCTACCTTGAATTGTGCCGATGGAGAAGGTCTGCGGATGGACGATGGGACAATGTGGCGCAAAGTGCTTGAAGAAGCCTCTCACAAGCCGGATCACCATATAGTTTGTGGGGAACACAAAGTCACAGAGTCGATTCTCGACATCGAAGAGCTGCAGGTTGACTTTCGCTTGTTCGATTTCCGATGGGATCAATCCCAGGAACAAACCAGACGATTGGTACTCTCCATTGTCAGGATCAGCATTCTTTGCTGTCATGTTCTTGGCTACATCCTCGGACCATGGAAGGGCGTAAAACGGCTCCTCCCACGGCCACTGGACAAAGGCATCGTCCAGGAGCTGGAAGTCCATCTGAGGCCTTGCTGTGGCTTCTGCATTTGCTGTAGAAGCTTGCACACGGTCCAAAGTTGGGACTTTCCATCCTCTATCTAGACCAAGCTCGAAGGCGTGGGCGTTGGCGTGGGCGTTGGCGCCAACTCCAGCACCTTGTGTGTTCAGAAGGGTCGACAATGAAGGAAGAGCCTCTGGGATGACCTGCCCATTCGCTAAGCTGTCCGTGTTCCCACCGTTGGGATTGTCTGGTTGATGTACTTGCACAATCTGGCCACTGAGGTCGAAGTTGGAGTCGTCGGATGATGTATCGGTGTTAATGCAAGGTATTTCCTGTGAGCCGGCTGACTTCCCGGCTCCACGATGAAGGACTCTCATATGCCTCGAGATGACATCCTTGCGTGCGGACGTGAGACCACATATTGGGCAAGCATGTGGTCTTTGCCACCGATCTGCTCATATACCATTCAACTGGTCAGCTCGGCAACTTGCCAACACTGACATCTATGCATGAAAGAATTGCTTACGACCAAGTTCATGGCGCCGACAATGCTCCTTTCGCGTGAATGATTCGCCACAGACGTTGCAGAGATAACGACGTTCTTTTTGGCTTCGCGTCACCCCGTTCCTTCGCGGCTTGAAAAACCTCACTTCCTCTGCCAGTGGGGCCCAAGCAGTGGGAAAGGCCGACACAGCTCCTGTTGTCATGATAGCTGAATCTTCTTAGGTAGCTCAATTTGAGTGGGTGCGAGACTGGGGGAAAGCAAATATCAAATTGCTCGCCGCGGAGGAGGAGAAACAAGTTGCTTGCCTCGGGATTCGGGTTCCGTTGCAGGGAGGCCAGGCCGCCCATTCTCCCAAAGGAGATCAAGAGCTGGAGAAGCACGCAAGCACGGACAGGGCTGGGCAGGCTAGAGTGGCCCTGTGACAGTGATAACCCAGTCCCTATTTGGTGTTAGTTCATCGCCCTGCTCGGAGTAGACATGGAGTAGCGGACCCTTTTTTGCGGGGGAAACTTGGACCCTGGAGTTTGCCGAGTGGGGGATATTTTCATGTTGGCGCGCCGTTTGCATTCTGTGGAGGTTGGTGTGTCAATTGTACCGAAATCGAAGAGATGTCATGCAATAGTAACTCGTATTTGGCTGACTCGTGCTTGCCAGGTGGATCCTCCTCCTCCGTCGTCGCTGCTGCTGCTGCTCCGGTCGGCTGCTTGGAGCTCACAAGAAACTCTCTCATGCTCAAGGCTTCCCCCACCAAGACCCTTGGGGTCGAGGGGTATCCTGTCGGTTAACACGAGGAGGGGTCGCGTTTGTTGATAGAAGGTTGAAGATCCAGGGCATATTACTAGGAGACTTTCCCTGAGAGTGGCAGACATCCATTTCTTCACAGACTTGACCGCCAGGTACGTGTCTACTAGACAGTCCATTGCCGCGCGCTCGATAAAGTCAAATTCTCAAGCTCTTCATTGTGTTTCTGTCCAAGATGCCCGGCCGACTCGAAGGTAAAGTTGCGATTGTCACCGGTGGTGGAAGCGGGTTCGGAAAGGCCATCTCGACCAAGTTTATCCATGAAGGCGCGAAAGTCCTCATCGCGGAAATGAACGAGCAGAGCGGTCAGGCAGTCGCTAAAGAGCTCGGGTGCGAGTCGGTGAAGGCCAACGTAACTAGTCGCGAAGATTGGAAGAAGGTCTTGGAGAAGTGCGTTGAGCTATATGGTGGCCCTGATATTGTCGTCAATAATGCCGGAACAAGCTACTCGAACCAGGTAAGCGCGTCAAGAGACAGTCAAACGGCATAGCGCTGTTGGCAAGGCCATTCTGACAGTGAGATTGCTAGCCATCCGAAGGGGTTCCCGATGAAGAGTTTGATCTCGTCTGCGCCGTCAATTTCAAGTCGATCTATCTGTCAGTCGCTGTGATTATACCGTGGATGAAGGAGCACAAGAGCGGCGGTTCATTCATCAATATCGCATCCACGGGGGCCACCAGACCAAAACCACGGCTCACATGGTACAATGGGACCAAGGCTGCAGTTTGTTGTGCCACCAGGTCGCTGGCACAGGAATATGCCCCTAACAACATCCGATTCAATTCGATATGCCCGCAATTCGCCAGCACAGGACTGTAAGGACGGTAGACTCCCAGCTGTGGTTGACCATTCTGGCTAACATACATCCTCTAAAACATACAGGTCTCACAAATTCCTCGGAAAGGAAAATACCCCCGAAAACCGCGCCTATTTCGTATCCTTGATTCCCTTGGGAAGATTGACTGACGTGACGGACATTGCCAATGGTTGCTGCTATCTGGCAAGTGATGAGGCGAGCTTCATTACCGGAACCGAGTTGATCATCGACGGTGGTCGAAGTGCCTAGAGGCACTGGACTGTGCACAATATACACAAACAAAATGTTGAGATAAAATGATGACCTTCCAACGGAGGTGCCGAAATTGACTTGTCTATTTGACTATGTGTATGATCTGTCCTACTTCACTTCATAGCAGGAAATGGCCGCAGACCGCTTGAAAGTTGAGCTCTTACGGCGGACCAACAGACTCCCGAATGCCTAATGGGCATAAAACATCTGCGCACATGGCAAGCTCTGTCCACGACTGTCTTTCTGCAGAAACTTAGTGGTCTCTGACTGCTTCCCAAAAGGAACCAAGGCACCAAGACACCAAGGCACAACTGGCGCAACTGGCACATGGCATGGTGGTCTTTCTTCTGATTTGTGCAGTTTCCGGCCACTTTCCGCTCCGCCTCCCTCTTTTCCCCACTCGAACACATCACCACCGCGGTATGAGGTGATAAGAACGGTGTACATTCAGAATCATGAGTACATCCAGAGCACAGAGGAGCTACCGGTGAGTGGCTGGAAGCTTGGCTGTGAACATGTAGCGGACTTTTCGCAATGCCGATCGGCGCTGCTTGGTTGATACAAGTGGGTCCAATGGAGGCATATTGCCCGACTGCCAGGATAGAAATATGTCTCGCAAGGAAGCCCTTCCTCCTATCTCTCCTTCACGTTCCGGACTCTGTTGGCGGCGTGCGTGGGCTTGTGCCGACTATACCGTGCTTTTCTATATGATCACTTCTACCTGGTAGTGTCAGCTCGCTGCTGGGGAACGATCTCCTACACTCTCATACTCGATTGACGCCGTGCACCTATCTTCTCAACAAGATGGCGGCAGGGGAGCACAAGGGCTGGTTCAAGGACCAGCTCAGACTCGTGACCATTGGGGTATGTGAGACAAATCCCAAAGCCAGGTTCAAACAGTCGGATGGTGGACTTCCAAGAAGTACATGGGCTCCAGTGGTTTAACATTTCATTCGGACAGATCACCATCTTCGTTTCACTGGGGTCTTTCACCTATGGCTACTGTAGTTCTATCATCGCTACCACCTTGGGCCAACCTGATTTCTTCAATTACCTGAACCTTGCTACTGAAGGCCCCGGCTTGTCTCATACCAATGCCATAACTGGTGCTATGAACGGTCTCTTTCAGGCCGGTGGCTTGTTCGGATCGCTCTCTATCGGCCCACTCTGCGACTATTTCTCACGACGAGGCGGCATTGGCATTGCAGCTGCGACCTGTTTGGTCGGCGGAGCTCTGCAATGCGGATCTGTCGACGTCGGCATGTTCTTATTTGCAAGATTCTTGACAGGTGTGACCACACCAATCCACCACGTACATAAGGACTGTCAAAGTGAGCAGAGCGGCTAACTCTGTGGTAGGTATTGGAACTGGCATGATCGTGTGTGGAGTGCCGCTCTACCAAAGCGAGGTCGCTCCACCTCATACCCGTGGACTCGTTGTTGGCGTTCACGGCGCCTTGCTCTGCACCGGCTATTCAGTCGCTGGCTGGGTCGGCTATGGCTGTTTCAGCTACACGGGACAGTTCCAGTGGCGTTTCCCGCTTGCTGTGCAGTGTTTTGCGCCCTTGATGGTGCTGTGTGGATTGTTCTTTATTCCAGAAAGTCCTCGTTGGCGTAAGTTTTGGCTCTTTCACCCAAGAAGATTGGAGCACGGGACACTTTATGGGCCTAACCAAGTATGTGTGTCGCACAGTGGTCCTCCACGACAAGCACGATCGAGCCTACAAAGTCATGGAGTGGCTCCACCGCGACCCTCTTGATCCAGAAGGCATCCTCGTCAAGGAAGAGTGGTACGCCCTGCTGAAACAGCTCGAACTCGAGAAACTGCGCGGTGCTGGAGGATACAAGGAGTTGTTCACCGGCTGGCCGAATCGAAAGCGTCTGCTCTTGGGCTTCTTCACCGTCTTCGGCGGCCAGTGCACCGCTACCATTGTCATTAACAACTACGGTGTCATTTTGTACACGGCCCTGGGGTATGTGGCACCGACCACTCTTGCGTTCACAGCCGGCTGGGTTACAGTGGGAGTCGGTGGAAATGCTCTCTCCGCGCTGATTGTTGATCGAGTGGGACGTGTGAGGCTGTTGAGTGAGTATTTCCTTGCAAAAAGAACATTTCTTCTGCTTACCATTGATAACAACAGTAATCGGTTTCTCCGGGTGCCTCATGGCTCTCATCGTCGAGATGGCACTGTTGGCAACCTACAAGGGCACGACCAACAAGGCCGGGCTTGCCGCAGCGGTATCCTTCCTCTTCATCCACGTGGCCTTCTACAGCTCCTGCGTCGACGCCGTGACCTACATCTACTGCACCGAGATCTTCCCCAACCACCTCCGCGCCAGGGGTACGTCCATTTCAGTGAGCGGCCTCTTCTTCGCCACCGTCATTTACACCTGCGCCGCGCCCACCGCCTTCGCCAATATCGGCTGGAGGTATTACATTGTCTTTGCCGTTACGACCGCCATGACCATCGTCGCGGTCGTGCTCTGGTGGCCAGAGACCAAAGGTCTGTCCCTCGAGGAGATCAACGCGCTGTTCGGCGACGAGGTCGCAGTCGATGTTGCACACATGACAAAGGAGCAGAGGGAGGCGCTCGACGAGAAGATCTTTGCGCAGCAGATCGAGGGCGCCAGTGTTGCCCCGCCTGAGAAGGCCTAAAGGTCTGCCTCTTCCTACAACGTGCCCAAACCCAGAATGTTACATCTGATAACTAGAGTTCTGGAATTGGTAGTGTGGATGGGATGGACCCAAGGGGAAACATTGTGAAAGGCATGATAGATATTTCGATGGGAAATTGTCATATGGGAAGCCGGCATGCCAAGAAAGGCACTGGGTTGGCCCATTACAATTTCAAAAGTCTTTGTCTTCTTTTTCCTTGGTTTTCCTCCTTCTACTCTTCCACTTTTAATTACAACACAGAAAAAGGCAGGTGGAAGTTACATTTGAAGCGAGCTTGTGTCCGCCTTGTGGTCATATCCTCAAACTTCGAAGCTGTCAAAAACCCATTTCGCGCAAAGTATCTACTTATCGACCATGCTTAGGTGGCATTCAAAGCCGGAACCTCAATGTCCAACAAGGGTGCATGCTGCTGTGTCCCGAAAGTATCCCTCTCGCCAACACTGCCCTGCAACTGGTTGATGGGCCGTTTAAAAGTGCATTTCCATCCAAGAGCCGGTTCAAAAAACATACACGTCAAAATGTCGTCGTCAGTCAAACCGTACAGCGTCTTCATCACATTTGGGGTGAGCACGTTGCTGTCACGGACATGCTTCCAGAGCGCGGCATCGTCGAATAAAATGTCGAGCGTGATCTCGTACGGACCGGAGTTCTTTGACCGGACGACCGCTGCGAGGTCAGAGATCCTGGGTTTCGAACTCATCACGTTGTGTCTCGGAGCTGTGAAATGCAATGATGCTCCATTAGCTTTAAAGTTCATTTCTGGGTTGACGTCTTTTCCACTGCCACGCAACAAGCTCTGAGCTTACCTTCTGGATATGTGACGATCGAGTCTTCAGCCCGACGGACTGGTCGTGCAGAGGGGATCGGCTTTGTCTTCGCAGCATCTGGGTTGCCAATAGAGAAAGTCTCGATCGGGAAGAAGCTGAGCGGATCTTCCACGTCCATAAGATGATAGATGCTGAACTTGTATACTGGTCCCACGGACTGCTCCAAAGGTGTCAATGGAGAAGCAAAGTTGCCCGCGGTTGCCAGCTGTCCTGGATATTCAGCATGGAGAACCATCACTCTGGCAAGACCTGCTATTGCGTCGGCCTCGTCTTGGGTATCAGCAACCACCTCACCCAAGATACCAATTTCATGAGGGATTGTGGTGGCCGGTTCCAGTCGACCCATAACAGCATTTCTTCCATATATGTGATATATCAGTTGTGGGCCCCCCGGTTCCCCGAGGGATGGAAAAGCTGCTTTTGTCCTGGCCCGGACCGTCTGTTCGAGAAAGTCATCAATGCCTCGAATAAGAATCGGATCCCGGATCCCTCCGATGAAGGCGGAACGGAAGCCGATCTGTGTGGCCCCCTCGAGTTTGATCTGATATGTTGGGGTAGGGACGAAGTTGGCCCCTTGGATGAGGATCGACTTATTGTCCTCTAGCTGCTTGAACTCCACGTTGTCCAGATGGAGGACACCGCCCGGCCCAGGAAGTCTGTCTGGTCGAGTCTTCTCATACATAGTGTGTGCGGCGACGGAACGAGGGATGCATCTCTGGCCTGGAGTGACGGGTGTGAGCACGAAGCTATCCTGATACATGGTTGCCAGGATCGAACGACCCTTCGGGACCGCGCACTGTCCGCCACACTCGACAATCTTGCCCATATGCCACGCCGGATCTCGATGTACGCCGCGGTGCATGCTGTATGCTGCCAGAGGTGCTGGATCATACGATCGTCCGGCGATGATGATGTCAACTTCCGGATCTTCCAATGCTTTCATAAATGGTTCTGCCCCCATCTGCGCGACGACAGCGACAGCGTCCGATACATCTCCCTCTTTTAACGCGGGACCTGGTCCACAGGGCGTTACAGCGCCTGCCTGGAGTTGTTTCAAAATGGCCTGTCGATCGTCCTTGAACTTGATAGTAGAGACCTTGAATCTGCATCCCTTTTTCTCACTGATCTCGCGTACAACTCCGACCATGAAGTCAACTTGCTCGTTGGTCCCCGCGCCACCGGCACTGCTAATAAGCACTTTGATGCCAAATTCGGCGCATGCCTCAAGTACAGGGGTAAGATCATGCGTAAAGGCTTGCTTGCTGACAATTGTCCGGCCACTACCAAGCATGTACGGACCCGGGTCGGTGGAGCCGCTGTCCATGATGATGGCGTCGGGACGGGTGCTCTCATCCATGATGGTTGTCCAGAAGTCGACGTGGTCGTAGCCATAGCCCAGCATGGGCACCGGCGCGAAGATTTTGACGGGATAAGATTTGGCAATCATTCTGACGGTCGCTTGTCAAAGTCGCCTTCTCTGTTCACAAAGGAAACGACGATGGTACTCCCATATGTTCCTGCTTTCGAGTGTTTGTAAGGCTCGAATTGAAGGGACGTATCAATACGGCAGACCCATCCGTGGCGCTTTCGGGCCGCTCTCCCTCCGCTGTCGGAGAGATTGAAAAAGGGTGCCGATGAGTGTCTATGGATCAGCGCCGTTCGAGATCGGACGGCCTCAGCCTTGCGTTCCCCGACACCGGTCTAGGCAGAGAGGGCAACCTTCACCTTACTCGTGTCGATCGGGATAGGTTCGGAGAGCAGGTTCAACACCAAAGCTCATTTCTATGCGATTTACTTGGTCTCCCCACTGGGCTGTTCCGTGGTCCTCGCATCTCACCACCATGTTCCCCAGCCTTCCCCACTCCAACCTCCCACTGGGAAAGTTGAAGCTTGTATCAACCCCAGAATTCGTACCCCGGGTCCGACCCTCCGCTCGAATGTACCGAGACACCAAGCAACAGAGGTGTCAGCATGTGACCTTGTTCCTTGTGTTCCACAGCTAGAAGCGGCTTGGGGAAAATTCCCCTCAAGTCGACCGCGGTTCGAGACTGGGTGGACCTCGATAGGTCTCGACAATGGCCAGGCCTGCCACACCGGTGGGGGTTTTGGCGGCACGAGTCAACAGGCTCTGAACCCATAGATGTGACTGATACTTGTCCTGCCTCCGCTTCTTGTTTGCACAAATATTCATCCTCAGGGTTAATATTGTTCGTCTCCTAATAGCTCTTACTTTCCAATACTCGACATCAGCTCAATTTATCGTCTACTTTCGTCAACCATGGGTTCTCTCGGTTCTTTTCAGCAGACCAAGACGCTTTCCGATGTGAAAAACAAGAAGCTGCTGCATTATAAAGGCTTCATTGATGGACAATGGGCCGATGCAGCTTCTGGCAAGACCTTCGATTTAATCGACCCAGGCACAGGTAACATGAACGAAACTTTTCTTGCGGCGTGGAAGAACATGCAGATCTAACCAATTACACTGAAAGGTGAAAAACTCGCCACTTTCCCTGAAATGGGGGCGAAAGATACGGCCCGAGCTATTGAGAGTGCTTCCAAAGAATTTAAAACATGGAAGAATACCTCAGGGCGGGAGCGTGCGCGGATGCTGAGGAAGTGGAATGATCTGTGCTTGGAAAACACAGAGGACTTCGCCTTGATCATCACCTTGGAGACAGGCAAGCCGCTTTACGAAGCGAGAGCCGAAGTAATCTACGCCTGCAGCTTTCTTGAGTGGTTTGCAGGCGAGGCTGAGAGGTGCGACTTGCTCTGCTTCATTTCGCGGCAAACCCCAATGCACGTTAAGTCATGCTGACAACTCTGATCAAACTCAGGACTCACGGTGAAAACATCTATACCGCCAACAGAAATCAGAGACTCGTCACCATGAAGCAGCCGATCGGAGTGGTTGGATGTCTGATGCCCTGGAACTATCCGATGGCTATGATCACCCGCAAGGCTAGTGCTGCCATTGCTGCAGGCTGTACCACTATCTGGAAGCCGGCCGGCGAGACCCCTCTCTCTGCTGGCGCTATGGCTGTCCTTGCTATGGAGGCGGGCATTCCCGCTGGGGTGATTCAAATCATCACCAGCTTGACAACTGTCGCCGAGGTAGGCAAGGAGATCTGCACCAACAAGCTGGTGAAGAAAGTCAGCTTTACGGGCAGTACGAGAGTCGGTAGGCTATTGATGGAACAATGTGCCCCGACAGTGAAGAAACTTAGCTTGGAACTCGGTGGAAACAGTCCTTTCATCGTCTTTGACGACGCAGATGTTGACGTGGCTGTCGAGGCGGCCGTTATGGGTCAGTAGTGTTCTCGGAAGGTGTCTGCCAAGGGGTGTGGAATCCCTCATTTGCTGACCGATATGACAGCAAAGTTCAGAAATACTGGTCAGACGTGCGTGGCCGCCAACCGCATCTTCGTCCAAGATGGAATCTATGACAAGTTTGCCAAAGCTTTGTCCAACACGATCTCGACATTCAAGATTGGTCCAGGAACCCAGGTACCATACCCCTCTGTGACGATTCTGAGCAAAGAACTTGTATACTCATGATGATTACAGGATGGCGTCTTCGTTGGACCTTTGACTCATGAAAACGTTCTGTCAAAGGTGTTGACCCATATCGAAGGTCTGGATTCATTCCGTAAAGCCTCGCGACCGCCCAGATCGATACTGACATAATTTCAGAGGCAAAGAGCAACGGAGGCAAGATCATCTTGGGCGGCAATCGGGTTGACGGAACCAAAGGTTATTATGTTCAGCCGACTATTATAGCAGGTCTGTTTTGCCCCGGAACCACCTACTCGCTGTCATTCCGTCTCACAAGCTGTTAACCAAACCACATACTGTGAACAGATATGCCGCGCGGTACTATCACGGAGCAAGACGAAGTCTTTGGTCCCGTCCTTCCCCTGTATAGATTTCATACCGAGGAGGAAGTCATCGAACTCGCGAACAATGTCGACGTAGGGCTCGGAGCCTTTGTCATTACGTCCAGCATGCCCAGACAGTGGCGTGTTACCGAAGCTCTGGAGGTAAGTTTTCCACCCTGTGCAGACTTCGCCCAGTGGAGATTTTTGCTGACCACGAATGACTTAGGTTGGCGTCGTTGGCGTGAACATTGGCCTTCTTTCAGCCGCGGAGAATCCCTTCGGTGGCGTGAAGCAATCCGGCTTCGGCAGGGAAGGTGGACGTGAAGGTATCAATGAGTACCTCATTCTCAAGAGCATGTTCTTAAACGTTGCGAGTGGTTGATTTGAATAAGAAGAAGGCGATGGAGACAGCTGTGGGAGATTCTGTTGAGCTGTATGACAGAACAGATGTAGCAAGTATACAAGAGCTATACTCTGCTGCGACCGTTGTTCCAGAGTCCATGGTTTGGCGAGGAAGCAGGTAGCACAGTTTTCTAAAGGTTGCTACTTTAAACTACCAACTAATGGCGTTAGTGCTGTACGACCAGAGCGCTCTCTCTCTGTGTGTCTCTCTCTCCATGCAATCCTTCCCTCTAGCTACACCATGCCCTGAGTTGCAATAAAGCAGCATCGGCGCATCCACTCATTTCCACTCAAAACCCGCCTTTGAGAGTAACACCTCCGGCGGCAGCATCAAACTCTGCGCTTTCGTTGATCCCCACAACTTTAAAGATGTCATAGATACCCCCCGCTTTGTCTTCCCTCTCGGTCACGATGCCGGTATCGCGAAGCTCCTTCATCGCGCGCCGCGTCGAATTATAGACCTCAGTAAGGGACAGAATGGACCAAATGACGATCTTGAAGCCGATTTCTTTGGCCTCCTGCGCGCTCATGACCGGCGTGACCCCGCCGGTAACAATGTTCAGCAGACAGGGGATCGGGTGCAGGGCTTTCACCGCCTCGCGAGCCTGTTCTTTGGACACAAGGCCCTCGAAGAACGCGACGTCGGCGCCGGCCTCGTGGGCGGCCTTTAATCGGCGAATCGCCTCGTCGAAGCCCAGTGACTGGAGAGAGTCGGTGCGCGCAATAATGACGAGGTCGCGGCCCGAGGCCTCGCGCGCCATGCTGGCGGCGCGGATGCGCGTCAGGTAGGTGTCCAGGGAGACGAGTTCTTTGTTGCGCAGGTGGCCGCAGCGCTTGATGAACGCCTGGTCTTCGATGTGCAGCGCCGCTACGTTTCCCTCGATGTAGGTCTTTGCCGTCCGCGCTGCGGATAACGACGAGCCAAACCCGGTGTCGGCGTCAGCGATCACGGGCACTCTCCAGTCTAAACCGGCGATCATGCTGGCGTTGCCGGCCATTTCGATCATGTTGATGATTCCCAAGTCCGGTGCTCCTATCCGAGACGCTGCCGTCCCCGCGCCCGTCATGTACAGCGCGTCAAAGCCCATATCCAGGGCTATGCGCGCTGTGTAGCCGTCGTATACACCGGGGCAAACGACGATTTTCTCCGGGTCGTTGATCATCTCGCGCAGGATGGTTGCGGCTTGTCGCCACGGCTTTTTGCCCTCGCCATTCTGCTGGGCGGTTCTCGTCGTCATAATGCGTGCTTGTATATGTGAGCGGAGCCAAAAGGAAAAGGTCCTGCTTGCACGTTTTACAATGTCCACACCAAGCAGCCTCTCGTCGTTAATCGAAGCTCATTGAAATTTATATTAGTGCCTCAGAAAGAATGCTTTCGTTGGTGTAGGCATGGGCCGCTAGGCTGCACGAGTCCGAAACACGCATACGAGGACCGAGCGGCAATCACCTGAGGGCAACAAACAACCACCACCACTGTGAGGGATTGATTTTATGCAACTTGCACCAATATCATCGTCTCCAAAGCTCCGCTTACCGCAGGACGAACTGAAGAAGTTGATTTCCCCACCGGGTGGGTGAAGGTGGAGTTCAGTGGGGTTTGTGGTTGTGAACCAATCGAAGCCACAGATCTCGCTATGAGCATAGCACAAGGTACTTCGCGGCGCGGAATTGCCTTGAGGATTTCGATTCCCGGCGCCTCGACCTCTCCCCCGGGTACCGGTGACTGAAGATCGACGGACGAGCGATCGGAGGGTGCGAATACGGATGAATACCTGCGATCTCGGGCCTGGCCTCCTCTAGGTGAGGCGCGAAGCACATAGAGGACTGCCGATCGGAGGTTCGTAACCTCGTCGAAAATGGACCAGCTGCACCCAACTTGGTGCCCTCTGCCCGTGACAGAGGCTCGTAGTTTTGCTTATGGAAGCCTTGCCTTGCCTGGAAACGGAAAGCGGACAACGAAAGAAGCTTGACAATATCAGACCTCGTGATATCAAACCTTTTCGGGCTATCTTTGGTGGTGGCCATTGAATGTCACGACCTCATGAGAAAAGGAGAACTCGGTGTGTCAAAGCATGGCATTATCTAGGTATTCAACATTCCTTGCTACCTAGGAGCGTCCGCAGCCTGTAGGGGACACCTGATCACGAGCGAAGTCGGCAAATGTGCCGGATCACATTTATCGTAATCGTGCAATACCCCTCTGCTCAGTCAGCCAGCCCCTTTACTCCCTGCTAATCATCTCATTCCTGAGGAGACAGTGGTGCTGGTGATGAGTCCGTGTGAGTAATGATGCTTTCTTGTTTTTCACCTCCTCTGTTTAGTGATTGCCAGGACAAAGATATGCTTTTTATTCTCTCGCAAGCCCATGTGCACACTCATGGAAGGATATCGTTGGCGTTGAAGTTTTGCAGTGGTCACCTCGTCGAAAGAGCGACCTCGATGGCCGAGGTTTACTTTGCAGTTTGCAGATCAACATCTGAATTGCTTCACCCAGATTTCCGGACCGCAAATTCAGAGATTAGCCGCCCTGCCTGGTCCGCCGTCATATTGTTCTGGAAGGCGACCTGTTGCAAACTTGCTCCGTTCGCCACTCGCTCCGCCAGCGACTGAGCAAGCTTGGTACGGGCCGCAAAGCTTTTGTTGATCATGTCGGGCACATTGGTGTTGTTCGTTGTGTTGGCACTCTTTGTGTCGACGCAAGAGTCAGCATCCTGCGCGCACAATGAAAACGGAGGGTCCTTTTTGAAATAGGTACCTTTTCAGTGGTGGACAAAGCCTTGTTTGAATCCATGTTGTTTTCGGGCATAAGAAGTCATTGACTGATGCGTCTCACAGAACTAGGGGTGTGCGACTGTGGTCATGAGCTTTCTGAGTCAAGAGCCTTCTGAGGTTTCCTTTTAAGTGCAGAGGACTGTATAACAGCTTTGGCGCGTAACCGCGGACTTCACTAGGTATATTTTCTTCACTGATGTTGTAGTATGTAGTTACTTCTTTTTCTCGCGCCCATAGCAGCCGTTCTATTTGCTATACCTGGAGTGAATAATCCTCCCGCGCGAAATCTATTGGCTTCACTAAAAGGCGGCTCCTCGAGACAGCGTCGCGCTGTGAGGTGGCCAATGTGTAGTTGGGACAGCTCACGCTTCTGCACGCTACTGCCGGTTCTGAATATGATTCACTCCTGCTGAGTCTCCCTAGGGAGTGCCAAATACCTGGCGTTCTTTGTCTATGCTCCTTTGTATCCTTTGTTCTTCTTCGACTTGTACTTGTAACCGTTGAGTAGGCAGTGGCGCCTGTGCTGTGTCGCTGAGGCAGGAAGGAAAACAGGTGAAGGCAATAGGGAACTGCCTTACTGATAAGCAAGCTACACTGCGTCAGAAGAGTGGCGTACATGTTATGACATAAAATGTCTCTCCTAAAGTCTCGAAGTCAAGTATTTTCTCTCATACACCGCAAAAACAGAACAAAACAGTCTGAATCCTCACTCTCGAAACTTGGTCTCTCACACACCGAAAGCAGAATAAGACGGGAGGCAACATTATGTTGAACACGGCGATGGCTGACATATTCTTTGCATACCGTCGCAACAATCCTGGGCTGGAGGATGCTTTCGATGATCTCGGGGATGGTTTGAGCCTGGAGCGGGTGAGTCGTGAGCTGAACACCGACGGTGCCCATCTGATACAACAACTCGCTGAGTATCACAACTTGCTGATGGCTCTGGTGGATGTTGAACGAATGAACCTCGGCGACCTCGATGAAGTGATTGCCAGGCCTGGTGAGGGAGTTGCTCAAGATCTATCTCGGAACGGATCACAGCAAGAGGTGCATTCGCTGAACGTGTGGGATGTCGTTGCTACTGCCTTCGTGGTCGTGCTCGTCATTGCGATCTACAGACTACATAGTACAGCTTGATCTGGGAGAACGCTAGACAGCTACGCGAAGATCCAGAACAAAGAGGAGTACGAGAAAGGGAAATCCTGCATACAATACATCCATTGTCCCACAGCAATCCAAGGAGGTAAACTCCGTCAAGTCTAACAATGAGGATCCCATATTTGAGTGACTTTGTTACAATGCTGACTTCTTTGAACCCTTGCTGCATACGAAAAATAAATTTCATTGTTCGGGAGATATGTCATGTATCTCAACATCAAAGTCTCGATGACCAATAACAATACCCTTTGCTACTTCCATCCTGAGTCCTTATTTCTCCACGCAATTTCAACTGCCACAGCTCCACGAAGGATGGAGTGCCTGCCTAGCTGCGAGGCAGTACGCGTCCGCTGCCTCGCTGGATCTCTTTTCTCCATCTTTTATAAACCCAAGATCTTCGTCTCTCATCGCACCTAAAAAAAATAACTCTATCTCACCCAGATCACTCCAACAGTCACATTTCTTCTGTTCCCACCGCTGAAAACTGAACTCTGTCCAGAAGATACGCGTTGCAGTTACTGCGGTTCCACCAAACCACACGGTCTACTCTCCAGGTTCGTTTCATATTTTCGAGGACTGAAAGTCAAGTATATGAATAGGGGTTATCGCTGACAGAAAACTCTCGGCAAGTTTCTGAATCCATCAAAGGTGAAGAGGATTGAGTGGCGTTCTTTGACCAGTATTGCCGGAAGCCACTATCAATTGAAGTCATGACCACGGAGCAGACCCATCCAAATCCGCCAACTATCAGTCCTGTGGTAACACCTACTCAACCTGGCACTTCCACATTCGTCTTTGGGCAAGGGAAGACTGCTCCGAGACCGTTTCTCAAATTGCTGACAACGAAATACATATACGACCTTGCACCAGATCCATCCCTCGTGCCGAGACCGCTTACCATCCGGAAGCAGACTAGAAACGTCTCAGCTCCTGCTGCCCTTGGGAGTGCCACCCTTGACACCTGGCAAGCCGAGCGTTGTAATGAGACGAGAGACGGAGGCAAATATCCCACCCATCACTTCCGCGATCGACCTCGGTCCCACCAGCATGCAATTCTCGACATCATCTCCAGGATAGTTGCAAACGGAGTGGACGCGGCCCAGATCGCGAAAGACATGGACATGGATCCGAACGAGTTGATTCAATACATGGCGAGCTTCGGTGTATCGGCCAGAGATGCTCCCAGCGTTCTGGACGAAGAAATCCACGCTTTCTTCTCTTCCGTCCCAACGACAGTCTTCAGTGGAGACAAGCTGTGCAGTGCCCTTTCGGATCGTGATGAGACACCTAAACCCACGCACTTGATGGATATAGCCACTAACAATTTGGAAGCAGAGTCAGATGACGGGACAGAAAGCACTCACAGTCAAATTGCTGGCCAAGGCCTTCTGTCCTGGAGTGGGGATCAAGATGACGTCTTCGGAGACAGTCCTCATGAAACCGTTGTCGCACAAGTAGGCGGTACGCATGTCCAGAGCGAAGATGTCTACCACGACGCCCAGGAAAGCTATGGCGGGACTCTGAGCCAAGAATCCGGGATGAAACTATTGAACAGCGACAACCCTACATGTTCCGAAGATCTGGCAGGTCCAGAAGGTCAACTAGATTCCAAGATCAGTTTCATGGCTGTCCCGACTCCAAACATCGCTACAGGGAGGAAAATCACAGAGCCAAGAGTATTCATGCCACCGGTCTCAATACTCGGGAGACTCTTCTGGAAGATCCCCAGGGTGGTGTGGATAATCCTTGCTGTGATGGCTGGACGGCTGCTGGGCATTCTGCTGACGGAGCTAGATGGGTCTGTGCCCTAACACTGATCCCAGATGGACTCGAAAGTTCTGTCGTGCTTCACTGAAGGAGTTTCCAAAAATCTACTTGGATATGGTCGTAGGATATCCTGGAGATTCAACATTGAGGGCACAGAGTGAGTGGACCACGCATGGCGGGAAGAATGGACGGGTCGTAGATGCGAGTGTACTCCCCGTTGTCTTGTGTAGGAACTATTCAGAGCGTCATGGCTGCTGTAGCAAGAGGAGCATTCGTCCCTTGCAAGGCTGACAGGAGGTGAGTGAAGGAAGTTGTATGCCAAGCTGGGTAAGGCTGTGGGAAACTTGAAGGACAGACTGGGCGAATTAAGCTTAAAGGTTGTTCGACTGACAGAACTTCACCTTCTCACCCTCTGCATGTCCCAGGACAGAGCTCGCAAACTTCTCATATCCTACTGACCCAGAGACCACCAACGCCTTCCCCTGTTTTCTATCGAATCGGTCGAAATATATCCCGTTATTAATATAGAGGGTTTGCTGGTGCCGCATCTTCCGGCAAGGCAGACTTCGCGACTGGGATAAGGCTACCTAGGTATTGGGCGCAATCTCGTATTCGGATTCGTGTTTACGTGGCCATGCGCCCTCCCGCAAATCAGAGCGACCCTGATGCACAGCAACCATCCCTGACACGCGGGGATTTCGAGGCGCTTGTCGTGTCCACGCGACGTCCATCGCGGACTCGTTGATGGTGTGAAAGGCGAACCGCCTTGCCTGGGCTGTCCAGAAAGTCAGGCGACTTCGACAAGAGCTTGCAAGATATACCGACCACCTCTGAGTAGCCAGGAAAACATATATTGGAAAATCAAGGACTTTAACAAACCCTCCACATGTTTCCCACTGCTCTCCACTTCTCTTTCTACAACAGCCTTCCATATTCCGCACTAAGTTGATCTATCATTCACAATGTCCGAACAGAGTATGTCTTCCTTCTGTACTACTCATGTTTTCGCGGTTCACTGGACTAATTCTTGCTTCTCCTCTTAACAAACGCATCAGCCAGCGTCAACCCGTACCTGCACCATGTGGCAAAGGGCGCCTCATCCGCCTTTGCCGTTCTCTTCTTCTTATCGTTGCTCTTACATGTTTATCAAAGCAGGCAAGTCTGATCAAAGAGATTGCTCACTGAAAACCTGCACCATCCCGCACGTCACTGACGCTGCGGAATCGTGTACAGCAAGTACAAGTCATGGCACTACACCCTGTGTCTCCCCATGGCAGCCGGCCTGATGGTGGGTGGGTTCATCTGTCGTGAGGTTTCGGCCTTCAATGGTTCCGATCAAGTCAGCGCTGTCGAGGGGCTCTTTTATACTGCTACGTGAGCATAGCTTCTGGCTTCTGTGCTGGCTGGCATTCGACTGACGGGGTTTCGAACAGATACATCTTCACCATTCCGCTCTATGCTGTAAGCGAATCTATTCCCAACCTGTTGTGTCCTGCGATTGCATCGCCTCTCTGTCTGACAAGCCACCTAGCTCATCCTTCACCTGGATTACAATCTCGCCGATACGCCACCGTCCCTGATCCCCCGAATCCGTCCGCCATTGTACTTTCTCCTCATTTCTATCTTCACCTCGGCCGTCATCACTTGCACCGCCCAGGGCTGTGCGACGTACCTCTCCCCCGAGGGTCGGTCACCGGACGACCTCGCCTCGGGACTGCGTCTCATTAAGGCAGCCCTCTTTCTTCAGCTATTTCTCAACCTGCTCCTCGTCATAATTCTCAAGGTCTGGCTGATAAGGCTATGCATCCGGCGCCGTCAGCGAGCCCGGGAAATGCATGGCCTGCCGCGCGACGTGGGCAAGGTGGTAGCCGTGCTCGTTTTCCTGCTTGGATTGATCATCCTGACGAATGTCTTCCGCACGGGCCAAATCTACGCCAAGCCAACTTCGCGACTGTGGACAAACGAGGGGTGGTTCTGGGGGTTTGTAGTCGCACCCTTGGTCCTGTATAGTGCGGCATGGCACTTGATGCATCCCGGACAGTTGATTAGCCAGCGAGAATCGGGACAGAGATGCTATGGGCCAAAGAGCGGCGAGGATGGGAATCATCAGACCCCTGCTGGGAAATTCTGACACAGTGCGAGAGGCACAGCGAACGGAGAAGAAGGAGTAGGACAAATGGCTATGAGGGGGATTTTGTTCGGCACGATGGCCCATTCCGCACAGCTTGTTGGCTAAGACAAGGAAGATGTCTCCTCGGCAGAAATCTGCCATAGACACTCTCTCGTCCTGCCTCATCTATCAAATTCATTAATAAATCAAATCGGGAAATTCCTATGCACGACAGCCAGAGAAGTACCATTCCCCTTTGCAAAAAGAGGCAACTCACCAACCTTCCATTCTTGTTTTCCGTGTCTTGACGGCACCGAGGATCTGCCGCGGCATGCCCTCTTCTCTACATCGATCAGCTATCCCTCTTTACATCTTGATCAAATCCAGAATCAGATACTTTCAGCAGAACTCAGGGTCTGGACCTCTGTTTTAGGAAGGCGTTTGTTCATACTCAGACAGGTGACCGCGCTCCTAGGCCCGAGCACCTGGAGGATGTGGATATTATTCAGCTCTGATTCGCCAGTGGCAGGAGAGCTTGCCCTGGCTTCTCCTACGTACCCCTCCATTTCTCTCAAGAGAAGCTCAATCGTCAGAACGACGCGAGAAGATGAAGAGCAGAGAGGCAAAGGTATGCTAGATGAACTAATCAACGTCAGCCGTATGCACCTAGCATGATCCAAGTATGTGCCTAGTAGGTACGTACTTCAGCTGAGTTCAGCTGTCTACTCCACTAGAGCTCAGCCCCGTTAGTTTGGTCTCCTATGTCGGTCTGTATACCGAGTCTAGACAAGGAGAGTTGATACAAAATGCTTCTGTGATCACTCCATGAAGCCCTTCTACTTTGTGTGCTTGCTACTTCAACAAAGGTCGAACAGGGGCTCCCTTGAGGACTCATGCCCCAGTAAGGAAATACCATCTTACCATCATCCCTAATACCAGAGCAGCAAGAACAATAATATGGCCAGCCAAGATCCCGGGCTTCTCGCCCGCTTCAACCACATCGTTCAAGGCGCCGTGCCTACATACACCTACACAACAGGTTCCGTTCAGCGGGTCCGCGTGATTGGCATCCCGGGCTTCATCTACCCATCCACCACGGACAGCGACGAGGAGCGGCTAGCATTCGCGCGAACACAAATTGAAACGGCATTCACCAACCCGGACATGCTCAAGGCAGTTTTCAACACGGCCGACAGCGGGCGGCTGACCATCTTCATGACGGGCGAAAACGCCCTCTGTGGCCAAACCATGGCCGACGGGACGACGTGGGAGTTCCCAGGCAAGAACACGGTCCCGCTCAGCTGGCAGCCCGCGATCCGCGAAACGCTGCTCGACTGCGCACAGTACATCGCCATGTACACGCACGAGACCATCGGCTGCTCGATGACGACGACCTACGACCTAGGCGTCAATGATGCCAACGGAAAGCCGACCCTGTCGAATACTTCCATCCTGGTGTGTTCCGAGAATAACGAGGCATGGTCGGTCGACAAGGGCATTCCGAGTCAGATTGACGGCTACGACAATTGGGTGATGGTGGACACGACGGGCTCAGCACAGACGACCAAGGTATTTTCCGTCAGCGACATCCTCGGCGGCGGCGCAACCGACAGCAAATCCGTCATGCTCTCGATCCGCATCTGCTTGGACGCGACACAGGACACGCCCTTTGACCAAGCGACCGAGTTGCGCCCTCCTGATATCGTTCTCTGTCCGGCGCTGGGCGCCCCAGCCAGAGAGAGTTGGTCCAATGGACTGAGCTCCGTCGTCATGGTGGCCGACACGGCAGATCAACACATCACACAGGTCATGAAGGGTGGCACAGGCACCTGGCAGAAAGTCGATAATTTCGCCCCTCTCAGCCACTACAGCTACATCGATACCCAGCAGGCCACCCAGGCTTCGCAGATCCTGGGAGAAAACTTGTTGCAAGCTCACGGGTTCGCGCAAGGGGCTCTGCTGGCTGAGACGTTCACGCGCGTCCCCGGGAGCCAAGTCATCACCATGAAAGACGAAGAGACCGGTGCCACCACAAGCGTGATTGAAACCGCCACAGCGAGCATCCCGACGAGACCGGAGATGCCGGCAACGGTGGCCAGCCTCAACAGTTTGATGGGCGGTACCTCGTCGGTCATTGATGCTGAAGGCTTTGCTGACGGAGTATGGGCCGACGACCCGGACACTGGCCTGCCGCCGGAAGAGCCAGTGGATCCTGCGAGCAAGGCGAATGACCAGAACCTTGCACTCACGCTGACTAGTGGGCTTGGAGCAACCGAAGCCAAGATTCTGAAGGAAAGGAGTCCTGCCTTGCAGAGGAGGAAGCAGAGACTTCACTACCAGCCAGTTCAGCACTATGTCCTTGGGTCCAGCGGGATCGCCAGCTTGAGCAAGGAAGAAAAGGACGAGCTGAGCCAGCAATTCCGCACGGGACCTTGCACCGTCTCCGTGCTGACGCCGGCCGACGCGAAAACACTCACCGACGTCGAGGCGCTCATCGGAACACGTCGTCTGAGCAGCGCACCGGCGGAGACTATCAGCCGCGTGTCCTACTACCACTACGTGAAGCCCCCGAATCGCTTCTACGAGGACCGAAACGTCAAGCCGTACAAGGGCACAGTGATCTATACTGATCGGTGCAACACCACGGATGCGGCCAGTGAGGAAGCGAAATTGCGAACAGAACGGGATCGCCTGCACAGGTGGCTGCTGCACTTCAACTACGGCTGGCATCCTCTCAGTAAGCACAGCAAGCGCGCCTTCGACACTAGCACAACGCCACAGGTCATTCCGTTGTACTATCGCGACGCGCCGGAAGCCCAGGTTAAGGGGACAGCCCAGGTCCAAGGCACTGTGCAAGCCGACGACGACACGCCGACGGATCTGATGAACATTGTCTCGCAGTTCAGCGACCTGTGGCCCGACATCGCGCCCATGGGGCAACTCATCGACATCACAAACCCCAATTCCAACCAGAATGGCATCCGATTCGGCAAGATCGCCGTCACGACCATCGGCTTCGGCGTGACGTGGACGCCCGCGAGCATTTCGACGAACGTCAAGGACATCTACTACGTCAGCCATGCCGTCGAGCTGGCGCCGAACCCGCAGCTAACCATGGGCGGGTACGTGCTGCGCACGTCCATCATCGATCCCGCAGCGCCAGACCCATACATCTGCACCGCGAACGACATATACCCGGCAATGGTGGAGTCGAGCACGGGGTTCAGTGGCACGGACCAGGACTTTTTGGCCGTCATGGACCTCAACGAGCGGTTCTTCTGCTACCCGGGCCTGCAGGTGCGCAACATCTTCAACGGGCCGCGGACTTTTATCGTGCAGAGCTCGTCCCCGCAGACGACGCAGGAAACCACGCAGCTCACCACGGGCGTCGACTACAGCGTGACCGGCAACTGGGGATTCTTCGACGCCTCAGGAACCGGCAGCATAAGCGGCAGCGCGAGTTTCTCCTCCAGCAAGACCACCGAGGTGCCCGCGGTCAAGGTCACGGACATGAGCTCCATGTACGGCTTCGTGCAGGACGCCATGTACCGCTTCGACTTCAGCAGCAACACGCTAGTCGGCGCCACGACGATCGACCTGCAGACCGAACAGCTCTTCTTCGTCGACGACGATCTGAAAGGTGACAGGACGACGGGGACGGGCATCACCCAGAAATTCCAACTGATTGTCTACGGCTGGGCCTATGGCGGAAACAATCAGATGTATACCTGGAGAGAGATCAGGCCGTTCGAGCTCGCGGTTCCGCCTCTTCCAGCCGGTGTGAATCCTCCGCCACCACCACCGCCGATACCACCAACCGTTTGAAAAACATTCCTATCAAATCACGTTAGCACATATTAGAAGATCGCATCAAAGGTATGTTCGAACTGGAAAGGGAATCTCGAAGAAGGGAGGGGGAGGGGGGGG